CCCCCCCCCCCCCCCCCCCCCCCCCCCCCCCCCCCCCCCCCCCCCCCCCCCCCCCCCCCCCCCCCCCCCCCCCCACTGAGCGACTTTTCGGCCGGCGCGATTTTCAAATTTTCGGGAGCAAAAAAAAAAAAAAAGTTGGGCCCCCTCCCCTAAAAAATCCTGGATCCGCGCCTGCCCAAACCAAATCTAAGTAACCCCGGGGTCTGATAGGTTTCAATTGGACCTCACGCTCGTTCACAAAATTGAACTATCACTCACAAAGTATGATGCAGAAGCAGTATCTGACTTGAACCACCTTTATAATTTTTATGGAGAGAAACGGAAGATGATCCTTTATCGTAGGGTACTATTCCAATGTCTCAACATTGTATTTCTTTACTGTATAAAATTAATGTGCCTCATTTTTAGTGCCCTTTTTTACTGGCTGGGGATGACTTGTGATTCTTTCAATCTCAATACATGAACTGTTTTGTTCGACCCCAGCCCCTCTAAAGAACTATGTCACGTCATGCTCCGGGGAGGTGGGGGAGGGGGGGGGGGGTCATTCCAACATGACTGGCTACGCACCCGCGTCTAAAAAAAGGTCGATAGGGTGTCTTTTCAGCTAAACGGCATTGTCGACGATTGTGGAGATGTCTTTAAATGGCAAAATGATGGGGGACTGGCAAAACGAATTGGTTGACCGTCAATTTTAAAAGAGCAATTAAAGCAGGCAAAAACAAAATTTGACTCTTACCTAATTACGCCTATTTTTTTTCTATTTTGTACACAATTAGGAAATCGGTCATGATCCAGCCAACACGAAAAAGGAATTTGGAACTGAATAGAGGCTGCATGCTTTCAGAAAGGAATCCATCCATCTAAGCAGTCGCGCGCTGAATGCTCGCGATCGCCCGCATATTACGTTTGAATTGAAACGAGTTTACGCGCTAGTATTACGTACGTACCGTACGCGTACTGTATACAGCTCTAGCTAGCCTAGTTTAAATTGATTTCATTATGATCGTCATCATGTAGACAGATTTTTTGTTCAGGTGAGCAAACAAAATAACTTATAAGACTTAATTTTGGCCCTAAATATTTGACGTATAGAGGGTCTATATCAAGCTTAAGACATTGGGATAAACTTTAAATCTTGGCCTACTTTGGATTGAAGATGTCTAGATCTAAGTTAGACCGAATTTTCCGTCTCTTCCGTTCGTTAGCCTCTTATTGGGGTAGGGCCGGCTCTCTCTTTAATTATGGGTCAAAATCGAAATCCATTTTGAAAATCTTTTTCAACATGGATTCCGATTTTGACCCATAATTTCCTAAAAAGGGACTATTAAACTGATTATTTCAGTCAAGTTGGTAAGTGGAACTGATTTATTATAGCCTAGATCTAGGCCTAATTTACAATATAACATGCTCGAGGTAAAATGACATTTTGGGGAATTTTGGGGGCAAAACGCTACGACCAGGACTGGCCGTGGCGTTAGCAAGGACATACGGCTTCCGTCTCTAAAGAGAGAGCCGGCCGACCCTACCCCAATAAGAGGCTAACGAACGAAAGAGACGGAAAATTCGGTCTAGATCTAAGTTAGATCAACAACACATTTGTAAAAGGGTGAGTGAACTGCGATGCGATCCGAGTGAGTCGAGATAAAGTTAGTCTGGCTAGATTTAGTATGTGTGTGTGTGTGTGTGTGTGCATGTGTTCAATGTGCATGCGAAAAAAGTAGATCTAACAGTTAGACCTAGTCATTGTGAAAAAAAAACTAACGGTTGATAATTTAATAGGGCCTAGGTGGGCTACATTATATTTCTTTGTATTGTGGCGTTTGGGAATCAACAAAGTAATAAACTGATTTCATCTTGCTGAAAATATGCATGGTACCTGTGACACAGAGCAGCTGAGCCTGTGAGTCATGTGACTAGAAATAGTATTTTGTCTTAAGTGGCCGAAAACCCCCTCCTTTACTTCTGACTGGGTGTGGAAAGAATTGCATCCACAGAGTCAGAATCTACACACATATGACATCAAACTTTGGTTAACAGTTTAAACTTAGTTAGTAACAACTAATTACTTGTCTCCCATTTCTAATAGTTGTGTAGATCTAGGGAATATTAGGTCATTTAAAGAGTGCGCTTTCGCTCCGACAAGGAACCCAACTAAAATTTAAAAAACTTAAAAATCTGTCTGTTAATTGTTAAGTGTTGTCTAAATGATTATGTTAAAATGGGAACTAGATCTAGCCTAGGCCTACTACTAGATCTTAAGCCTTAAACTTGAGGAAAGACGTAGAGTCTATAGACTATTATTAAAGTAAGTAAGTGTTAACTTATTGGAGAAAAAAGTTGTATGTACTAATGTAGACTAGATCTAGACCCTATGTAGATAATTATAGCATATAAAAAGTCTTTCCTTTGGCGCATTTAATATAATAGATTCATCAGAATCACATTTTAGGTGCCCATGCAGTTTGTAAGTGCACTAGGTCTACTAGACTTGAGCCCACTAATTTTCTTGCGATAATGATATTAGACTTTATCAGCTATTTGTTAAATTTGTATCTTCTTCAGTGGACCATGCTATACTAAAATAATAGAAAAGCTGACAAAAGACAAATTTATTTTCACCTTGACCTAGGCCTGGGCTTGATAGTATTTACAAGAACTTTAACAACCTTTTTAAACTTCCGTTTTAAGAGTAAACTTAAGTCTTTCAAGTTATTTACGCTCTGGAGCTTAAAATAGGCACAATTACAGGCTTAAATAAAGGCTGAATCAAATCAAATATGTGAATCAAAGGTGAAATGAAATCAAAATCCAATTTTAAAAATCCCAAATATGCGACTTCTAGATCTAGAGTCGAGAATCTAATGAACTTTTAATAAAATTAGAAATAGGATCTAGACCTCTAGTTACAACCAGATTAATTTGGTATTGAGTAGATCTATAACTTTCATTTTGCTGTAAATCTAAATTCTAAAAATGTTTTGCAGAAAGTGAAAAAACATGGGAAGCCAGGAAGGATTGAAATATTCATAAACACTCTAAATATGCATGAAATGTGGTCACCCCAGATTTGATAAACCCTTTTGTAACTGCCAATATTTCCTTAAGTTTTTTTGCCTAATCTGATGCCTCGTTATAAGCTATCAAAGTAGATTTCTTGCAGATTAGATTGCACATACACTTCAATACAATGAAGAGGAAGAAGGCAAATCCAGCCACATAAAAGTTCCTAAACAGCTTCATATTGAGGATGGCCTCTGGGTATTAGGTATTGCCACATCAAGTTCTTCTTTGGCATCTGTATACTTGCTCACTTCTCTCACTGAATCAAGGAATAGCAAGACAAGGATGAAGAGAAAGACATTGAAATGTCCATGGAGTAATCACCATTCCAGCTGCGCCGCCTTTCCTGTACCCTTCTTCCGACCGGACCAGAGGAAATCACCTACAATTCAAACAACAACACTGTAGAATCCTTTCCTACCAGTACAGCTTCTTCCCCAGCACTATCTGGAATGTCCTTCCTGCAACAGTGGTTTCGGCTCCGTCTATTGAGTCTTTCCGGCGCCATCTTACACCACTCACCCTCCGTTAGCTCTCCAGTTGAGATGCATCTTTTTACTTGCACTGTAACTTAGTTCTTTGTTACTGCACTCAATGTCATGTGTTCTTGAGATTGCAGCCCCAGCAATCAAAGTACGACTTTACTCTACGAAGAGGACTGTACTCACTGAAAGAAGAAGAAGAAGAAGAAATACCAGTGGATCTGCTGTGATGGACTTCACTATTCCATAATTAAAGAATCTCTGCCACATGTATGGCTTGATGAATGGGAGCATTAGCAGGATAAGGGCGAAAACCTACAGATATAGGTGGGCTGTCACAAATGTCCACTGTAGTGTCATGGTGTTTCTGTCTCGTATACTTCCTTCAAGATCCCTCGAGGAGTATTTGGAATACTTGTCTGTCTTCTGTTTCCTGAAGAGGGGTCTAGAAGATAGTCTGGACTAGTAGGGGTCTGGACTCTTCCAGGATCGAAGCAAGAATGTATTTCCCTATCCAGCCTATTAATCCAAACACATCTACAGAAGTTTGAATCTATATCTAAGTAAGATGTTGAAGTACTAATAAAGCTACCCATACCTAGGTTTTGCCGACAGAGGAAACATACATAAATGTGGTATCAGAAGTCATATTTCTCCAGGGAGTGGAGAAAGCGGGAAAGCACTTAATCCAATGACCGGGGTAATAGTATATCTGTAAAGCGCTTAGAGACATCCGATATGTATTAAGCGCTATATAAAAGCTGAATATTATTATTATTATTATTACCTGTCTTAGACCTAGAGAAATCCTTCCTTGCTTCTAACTTGATCAAAATTAAGTGAGATGTAGAATTAATACATTTAATTATTCAGTCATTCATTAGCATACATAGGCATAAAAAAGAAGAAATAATCTAGTAAAATTATTGAGTAGAAACCATTTAACGATATTCTAATCAGATCATACTAATAAAGAGATACTTTGAGACTCATTTTGTTAAAATAACTATGTATGCCTCAACTGTTAATGATGGATTATTATGATGTTAGTAACTCTTAATTTTATTTGTTTCTTTTGTTGCAAATGACCTAGCTTGAGAGAGTTATACCTGTGATGTCAGGCATGTTACCATCACATCATTGGACCACTGTTCTCATAGTCCTTGCTGCCTTGATAACTTATGCCTGTGGATCATGTAGCTGGCACATAGACGTCGTTCGATCAGAGTTCCCGTACCTCTTTGAACCAATAGTTCAAAACAAACTGAATTATATTGTAGTGAATCTCGAGGACGTGACCGTAGGGAGCCTTCCAGAGGAGGTATGTGTTCTTAAAGCCCCACTGTACTACTTATAACTATTTGCGCCCTCTATATAGCAAACAATGCCTAATTAGCGCCTGTTGGTCCCCCATGATCCCTTTTTCTTATGTTAATTGAGAGCTGATTTGATGAGATAACCACCTGTCAGTGACCTTGCAGGGAGGTCTAGTCCCCCCGGCCAAATTAGTACAGACAGGCTTTAAAAGACCAACAAACTAACCCCTTTTTTTCCTTCTTTCTTTTAACTAATCATACTGAACTTAATAAAAATGCAAGGTGGAATTGATAGGAGTACTGAACAAATAAATCTGATATAAATTCAGCAGATGAAATTATGAACATGGCAAGGAAAACCTATACTACTTAACCAACCTACTTTAATGTCTAGATTGCAAACTATTGAGTGTTAAAACATCAAATATGCTTTGCTATGTATATTTTTTTGCTTATAGCATCCCTAGATATACGGATCTTGTTGCATAATACTTACCACTGATGGTAACTTTGCCATCAATATTAACTACCATGGCAACATCACTCAACAAACTATCAAATAAAGATTTATATGGAAAATTACCATTAATGGCAAAGTTACCATCAATGGTTAGTTTTAAAGCACAGGCCCAGATATCAATATAAACACTTCTTACATATTCTACAATGTATAGCTACATATCATTTGGAGAATAGCTTGAATAATGACTTGATGATATTGTGGGAAATGATTTGTGCCATTTCAATGATTCAATGATTTCAATGATGATATTTATAACATACATGTATGCACCTTGATCTACAATCCTATATGTTCCTTAGAAACTTTTGATTTCTTGAAGTCTAACTTGAAGACAGTCCTTTTATCAAAAGCATATGATACCAGAATGTAATTCAACACAATTTGTATGATCCTGTAGTCTCTTGTATTTCTTCTTCTTACTTTTCTTCATTTCATAATTCACTTTGAAATGGTTTTACTACATAAATGGTTTAATATAAGTGTGTTATATTATATTTTATTTTTCTTATTTATAATAGGAAAATTTTGCAATTTTATCTTGTCATTTTGCAGGTAGAACCATGTATGTACCCATATTTTGTGCAAGTACAAGTCGAGTGCGATGAGATCTCCAGCTCCAGTACAATAGAGGCTTTACTGTCGGCGGGATCCTACCCAAGAATCACCATATCGTTTGGCGCCCTCCAAGACCAGAGTCTCTCGTATCACACCTGGACCGATTATGTCTTTGAGGGTGCACTTCTAGACATGGAGCCAGACTGCAATGTTGGATTCTGCCGACCCGTGTGGCTAGTTCCGTTGCCTACCAATGAAAAGTACCTGATAATCCATGTCAGTGTAGAAACTGTAGGTGTCGTCAAAGCAGTCTCCATGTCTAGGCAAGTACAGAGCTGCCAACCAGTACAAATTTGTTGAAATTGTATTTGGGAGGTATTGTGTGTGTGTGTGTGTGTGCCATTTTCAATGGTAACATGCTTATTCTAATCTGTAAAGTATCCTACAAGCATCTCACATCGGCAATGTGTGGATGTTGATTGGTTCATCAAACACACCAGTCATGACAAAATCCTGCATATTCAACCAATTATCCATAACAAAATATCTTCCTGTGTGTAGGAACTGTAAGAGGCATTGATCTGTGTTTTTTTTTTTAAATACAATTTTTGTCAGTAAAATACAACTTTGGGAATTAGAAAATACAGTTTTGAACTCCAGAGGTTGGCAGGTCTGCAAGCACTATGAAAATGACTGACAAAGAAAGCGGACAAAATATACAGTTCCTCAGGTAGACAAAGGAACATCCCTTCATTTCTATTATGTAAAAATGTGTACAACAGGTGTCACATGCATATTCACCTGTTCTACACATTTTAACATAATAGCAGTGAAGGGATGTTCCTTTGTCTACCTGAGGAACTGTATATTTTGTCCGCTTTCTTTGTCAGTCATATTCATAGTGAAGTATGATCAAGCCTGCTGAGACTTGATACTGTAAAGCATCTAGACTGCAGCAGCAAAATACGGACAACTTTATATATAAATAAACGACAAACAAGTATTTAAAAATAGCTGAGTGCAACAAAAGCTTTAATCACCCTGCAGCACAATGGTAGACTTACAATTCAAAATTACAATAAAAATTATCAGTTTTTAAGATGAATATGAATAAGTTAAAGTAAAGGAAAAGAAATAGGATGACAGTAAGAAGGAGATTTGTCCGTTTATATATTTTTCAAATGCTCAGCCATACATCTTCCCTCTGTTATTCAAAATATCAATGAGATTGAGAAGAAAAAAAATCTTCAGTACCGGTAAATCATTGTTCTTTTATTTGGACAGACGGATGATAACATTAGACGGTTACAGCCAGCGTGTATCTGCAAACTCTTCATATGTCCACAGTAGAATAGGAGCTGATACGGATCTATCCGGGTTGGGACTCTTTGAGAACGAGACCCACCAGGTCCTTCCAGTTCACACAGTCAGGGGGATCACACCTATCCAAGCTATGGCAGGGTTCGTGAGAAGACCGGTGGCTCTGATCAGCTCAGACTTCTTCCAGCATTACAGGGCAGTAGAAGTGAGTGTAAGACCTACACAAATACAGTCAAACCTGTCTATAGCAACTGCCCAAGGGAAACACAAAAGTGGTCTTTGTAGACAGGTTCCTTTAGTACATTTTTCAATGAGATACCATTTTCAAAGGAAACAAAAAATGTGGTCTTTGTAGACAGGTGGTCACTACAGCAGGTTTGACTGTACAAATCTGTAGTATTGAAGTTGTAGTAAAGAAGTTGTACTGTGTGTTTCACTGTATATGTTGGAAGGTCCTGTTGTGGTACTATATGAACAACACTAATAGTTCATTGATGTGCGTAATGAGGCCGCGATTGGCGGAAGGATATGGGAATAAAGCACTTTCAAGATGGCCACTTATACATGAACATTGTCTACAGTGATCTCTTATTTATCCGTTCATCTGATCTTTCAACATGGTGGCAGCGGTCAAAAGAATTGCCATATCTATTACTATGGAACTGCAGATCACATAGGGCCAGCAATAATCTTGAATGACTTATGAAAGATTGATAGGGACGGTTTTTGAACTGCCGACAATCACACTGCACAGCCAGCAGAGTAAACTCACAGCCGCGTCTCCAATATGACTTTGTGTCGGCGAAAGGTTGCGCACTGTATTACGCGGGCAACACTACGAGTAGACTAGTGTATCGACTATCAGACTAAAGCCCTACATTCAGGACCAGAACTGATGCGGAGGCAGAACCAGAGCCTAGAGGCTCGCCAGGAGCAGAGCCTAGAGGCTCGTCAGGAGAAGAGCCTAGAGGCTCGACAAGACCAGAGCCTAGAGGCTCGACCGGGACCGGGAACAGTACAGCTATAGGCCGCTACCTCGGACTCCAGCCCTGCACTGCATTTTGGTTTTGGAACTAGCGTACGCCACTCGGACCCAGAGCGTCGTGTTGCGGACCGTGCAAGTAGATCCAGGACTGATTGCTGGACTTGGTCGGATCTGATTCAGTGATTGTGGAATGAAAACAAGATTAGACTCTTAATCAAATGGACTATAATCTAAGCAGACATATAATGTTTGGACTCGGTTTGAAACAGTTAAACCATAATTAATGTGCTATGACGTATAGAACTGGACTAGTCTAGTCTAGGGGTCTAGATCAAGACCTAGCCTAGATAGATAGTCTAGACACTTTTTTTTCTAGTCTAGACTCTACTTATGGATCTAGACTAGACCGAGTATGAGAATGAGTATGACTAAGAAGGTGTAACTTGATCAAAATCTACTGTCACTTTGTTCTATATTACTGGACCTGGTCTAGATCTAGACCAGATCTGGACTAGGCCTAGTCTAGATTTCTAGATGTGTTTACTTTAGACCTTGACGAGTCCAATTTCTACATGTGGACCTGTCCTAATTAAATGAATGATACACATCTCTTAGTCTTACATGTATGTAGAAGAGCTGATGTACTCTACTAGATCTAGATATAGTAGTGGTAGACTCTACTGGTACTAGACCAAACAGTGGTCTGTGGTATCCCCTTAAAGCGGGTCCAGGACCAGTTGTCTATGTTAGACCAATTACACAAGGGGGTCCAATTGTCTATGGATCTAGACTTGATATATCTTGATACATTTGAACCTGCATTTTGAAGTTGTACATAGAGTCTATAGTGTAAATGCTAATTGCTCTGTAGGCCTACATGTCGATCTAAGTCACAATTCATGTATTACATGTAATTACCTGTGTAGTCCAAGACCCCATTGTAGAAACCAGGACCATGGCCCGCTATCCAGAGATGAAGTGGGACTCTCGGTGTGGTCTCGCTGAAGAATTCACGTTATTTCAACAGCGAATGGAACTTTGCCTTCTCGATAATGAGATAACTGATACTACAAAACAGGCAACAAAAATAAAGATAGCTCTTGGGAACGAAGGGTTACGCAGGATAAACGCCTCTAGCCTCAGCGCAGAGGATCAGAAGGACCCAGGCAAGCTATGGGCCCTAATCGAAGGCCAACTGAATGTCAAAGTGAACTTCAGGATTCATCGTCTCGAATTAATGCGATACAAGCAGATGTCTGGAGAAACGATCGACGAGTTCGTCAATAGATGTCGGAGTAAGGCAAAGGAATGCGAATTCACCGAAGGGGAATTGAGTGAAAGACTTATAGAGCTGGTGATTTCGTCTACACAACTCGAGTCATTTCAGAAAGACCTACTCGACAAAGAAAAAGGGTTCTCAGTTGATAAGCTTCTTGAAGAAGGCCGCAAATATGAGGCCATTCAAGTCGGTAAACAGTGCCTGCAGACGCTCCACACCATTGGAAGTGGGAACATTGATGCTGTTAGTCACGACAGTAGGCAGAAATGCAGGAACTGTGGTCTTTCACACCTTCCAAAGAAGTGTCCAGCCTTCGGGGACCTGTGCAATGCGTGTGGCGTCAAAGGACACTGGGCGAAGATGTGTCGAAAGACGAAAGATCCGGTCAAATCGAAGATCCCTCCTAGACGTCCACCATCACAAGACAGGTGGAGCTCACAGCAGAGACAGCCCAGAAACAGGCAGTATAGGTCTACATCCTTTCATAGCAGGAACCAGCGTAAGGTTGACGAAATTGGACCGGACGACACAAACCAACCGGACAGTGATGAACGTGAATTCCACATGATACATATATCGCTAAACTCTATTGACTCGGAGCAGACCGAAGCATATGCGAGTATCAACATCATATGTCCAGACCTGAGGGGTCACCATCGCCTCAATGCAAAGGTTGACACAGGAGCCAGCGGTAATGTTCTGCCACTGCGGACGCTGAAGGACATGTACAGGGCTCGATGGAAAGATGTTATCCGTCCCACCACTACGCGACTATCTGCCTACGGAGAAACGCCTTTACGCTGCTTAGGCACCTTGATGATGTCGATGATGTATGAAGGGTCGCCTTGGGTCGTAGACCAAACATGGTATGTTGCGGACGTAAAGGGACCAGTCATTGTCGGACTTCCTACTTCCAGAAAGCTAGGGATTGTTACGATTCACACAGTAGAACAACAGATGGGCCTGGACAGTCCAAATGATCTTCCTCCCATCAGGTCAGCTAAAGACCTACAGGCGGCTTACCCAGACCAGTTTGACCAGATTGGGAACTTCAGTGGCAAGGCAACGTTGCACTTGAAGAAGGATGCAACTCCATCAATTGATGCGCCTCGAAAATGCAGCATCCACCTGAGGGACAAGCTCAAGAAAGAGCTGGATCAGATGGAAAGAAACGGCATCATTAGGAAAGTTACTCATCACACAGATTGGTGCAGTTCCCTCACCACAGCCCTGAAGAAGGATGGGTCATTGCGAGTCTGCCTTGACCCCAAAAGGCTCAATCAAAACCTGAAGAGATGCCCTCATAAGATTCCAACTCTAGAGGAGCTCAATCCTGCATTCTCACAGGCCAAGTACTTCTCGAAACTGGACGCAAAGGCAGGATATTGGTCAGTCCACCTGGACGAAGAATCGCAGGAGCTTACTACATTCAGATCACCATTTGGAAGGTATTGCTTTCGCAGACTTCCATTTGGACTTTCGGTGAGTCAAGACATCTTTCAACAAAGGATGGACACAATCCTTGCACAGGCGCCCGGCTGTGAAGGTATAGCTGACGATATAGCAGTATTTGGCAAGACTGAACAGGAGCATGATGATAACCTCTGGAGACTGATGGGAGTTGCACAAAAAGAAGGTCTGGTGTTCAACAGTACAAAGTGTGTGATCAAGGCGAGAAGCATCAATTTCTTTGGTTCACTGTACACAGACAAAGGCATACAACCAGATCCTAGCAAGTTGGAGGATGTCAGAGAAATGCCTACACCACAGAACAAGGACGATCTCCAGCGAGTGTTAGGGATGATGACCTATTTATCACCATACATCTCAAACTATGCTGAAAAGTCAGCAATACTGCGTGATCTTCTGAAGAAAGATGTTCCCTTTACCTGGCAGGAGGACCATGAGGAATGCTTTCAACGATTGAAATCAGACATTTCAGAAGGAAAGTGTCTACGGTACTATAACCCCAGTGTCCCAACAGTACTGGAGGTAGATGCATCGCTCAAAGGACTTGGAGCCTGCCTCCTTCAGAATGAAAGACCAGTCGCATTCGCCTCGAAGAGTTTGTCAGATGCACAATCCAACTACTCAAACATCGAGCGAGAGACATTGGCACTTGTTTTTGGAATCACACGTTTCCATTCATATCTGTTTGGCAACCGGTTCACAGTCTACACTGACCATAAGCCACTCGAAACGATCTGTAGAAAGCCCCTGGGGAGTGCGCCTCCAAGACTACAGAGACTTCTCGTCAAAATACAGGGCTATGATTGTGATATCCTATACAAGCCCGGAAGTCAGATGACATTACCAGACACACTCAGTAGGTTGCCAAACCCCAGAAAGAGAGGAGACGTCATCGTTGAGCTCCGTGTAGATGAAGTCATGGAATTAGACGAGAATCATGACACTGATCTGGCAAGCTTTACACCTATGAAGCAGACACAGCTGCAGAGAGAGACAGCAAGCGATCCGAACTTGAAGCAGCTGAGTAGAATTATTCACGATGGATGGCCAGACGTGATTAAGCAGGTTCCAAGCAGCTCAAGGATTCACTGGTCATACCGAGAGGAACTGGGCGTCGCCAACGGCATTATCTTCAAAGGAAGACAGGTGTTGATACCTTCAACGCTGCAATCAGACATCCTGGAGCAGCTACACACGAGTCATATGGGTATAGAGAGAACTCGTAGACTAGCAAGGGACACGGTATACTGGCCAGGCATCAATAAGGATATCGAAAACCTTGTCAAGACTTGCCCTGCTTGCCAGGAGAACCAGGATCGGCAACAAAGGGAACCACTACAACCGCACGAAGTTCCAATGACGCCATGGACAAAGGTAGCCACAGACCTGTTTTTTCTTGAGGGAACTGAATACTTACTCATTACTGACTATCATTCCAAGTTCCCTGTGATCAGGAAAATGCACAGCACCACAAGTGCTTCAGTTGCTACCGTAATGAAAGAAACTTTCAGCCTCCTTGGAGTGCCCTCCGAAGTTATATCTGATAATGGACCCCAGTTCATTGGAAAAGCTTTCAAAGACATGTGTGAGTCATGGAACATCAAGCACACCACCTCATCTCCGAGATATCCGCGCTCTAACGGCCTAGCTGAACGGATGGTACGCACCATAAAGTCGATGATTCAGAAGTGCAAACAGACAGGACAAGATGTCCAAAAGGCACTTCTCCACCTTCGAGCAACGCCTCAGTCCGACCTGCCATCTCCTGCCGAGATGATGTTTGGGAGGCAAATGAAGACAACACTTCCAGGTCGCCATGACAGACAGATGAGCGATGTCCACGACCAGCTCCAGCGAAGGAGGGATAGGATGAAGAGCGACCATGACAGACATGCCGGCCGGGTACTGCCCCTCCTGAAGGTCGGCCAGAAAGTCAGAACCTTGCATCCAGAAGACAACACATGGCTGCCGGCTGAGGTTTCAAGAGTTTGCCCAGAACCAAGATCATATGAAGTGACAACACCCAATGGTAGGGTGTTAAGGAGAAACAGGTCCCATCTTAGAGAGATGCCGATACAAATAGAGACGGCAACAGCACCACCACCAGGGACAGAGCATCTTCCAAGAGAGGATGGTGACAACTGCACAACACCCGTAGGAACACAGGATTTCGATGGTTCAATCCCTCGTTCTGATTCTTTTGCCTATGTCACACGATATGGTCGCAAGGTTAATCCCCCATCTCGTTATCAAGAATAAAAACTTCATCGATTAATAGATTGATAAACAACAACTATACTTTATTTGTTTAATGATTTAGCATATCCGGTAGAATTACATTGATGATAGTAAAACCTCATATTTGACATAAGGTGATTCAATTTCTTAATCAGTATACATGTATGACCAAAGTGTTTTATATAACTGCCACGCTTAATATTGGTTATCTTTCAACAGAAAATCTCTTTTGTATACAGAACCGAATTTAGCAATTGTATGCCGTGCTCGTGCATGATATTTCAACTCTCCACACAAATACCAGGAATTATAGTTTTGTTACGCAGATTTGTCGTATTGCTAAGTCCTAATTAAAATGGGATGAAAAACGTTTTTTCGGAGGAAAATGTTGTTTATAACTGTTTGCCAGAAAGCAATATGGAATCACTTTAGTTTATTCCAGCAAAAGTTATGTAAAGTATAAAAAGTTGAATTACATTATACAAATATGTCGATTCAGCAACAAAATATGCCTGTTATAGTGGAGGACACTATTTTACCATTCTAAAATTTGCTTTTCTTGTTGAAAGGTACTGTCTTGTAAGTTTTAGTTGAACAGTTTTTAATACTGTGCTTCTCGAAAAAAAAAAAAAAAAAAAGGAAAAAGAATATGTTTGGAATGTTTCCTCCTGTTGAAATTTCTAAATTGTGTTACTGTTTTAGTGGATAATTTCCGTCATGCACAGTGCATATTGAGCAGGGAAGATACAACTGGTTAAGGAGAGCACTATCAACTTGTCATTGAAAGAAGGGGGATGTTGTGGTACTATATGAACAACACTAATAGTTCATTGATGTGCGTAATGAGGCCGCGATTGGCGGAAGGATATGGGAATAAAGCACTTTCAAGATGGCCACTTATACATGAACATTGTCTACAGTGATCTCTTATTTATCCGTTCATCTGATCTTTCAACAGGTCCCAACTAGCTATCATTACTTGGATATTGCATTGGTTGTTACATGTCAAAGTTTCATTTCAACATTTAGCCTACAGTGAGTTTATTAAATACAGTGTAACACTTTTTGAGTGACCATATTCAAGAGAAAATGTATGCAGGCATATAGTAGTAATAGTAGTACAAGTAGTACAAGTAGTAGTAGAAGCAGTAGTAGTAGTAGTAGCAGTAGTAGTAGTAGTAGTAGTAGCAGTAGTAGTAGTAGTAGTAGAAGCAGTAGTAGTAGTAGTAGTAGTAGTAGTAGTAGTAGTAGCAGTAGTAGTAGTAGTAGTAGTAGTAGTAGTAGTAGTAGTAGTAGAAGCAGTAGTAGTAGTAGTAGCAGTAGTAGTAGTAGTAGTAGTAGCAGTAGTAGTAGTAGTAGTAGAAGCAGTAGTAGTAGTAGTAGTAGTAGCAGTAGTAGTAGTAGTAGTAGTAGCAGTAGTAGTAGTAGTGGTAGTAGTAGTAGTAGTAGTAGTAGCAGTAATAGTAGTAGTAGTAGCAGTAGTAGTAGTAGTAGTAGAAGCAGTAGTAGTAGTAGTAGCAGTAGTAGTAGTAGTAGTAGAAGCAGTAGTAGTAGTAGTAGTAGTAGCAGTAGTAGTAGTAGTAGTAGAAGCAGTAGTAGTAGTAGTAGTAGTAGCAGTAGTAGTAGTAGTAGTAGTAGCAGTAGTAGTAGTAGTAGAAGCAGTAGTAGTAGTAGTAGTAGTAGTGGTAGTAGTAGTAGTAGTAGTAGTAGTAGCAGTAATAGTAGTAGAAGTAGTAGAAGTAGTAGAAGCAGTAGTAGTAGTAGTAGTAGAAGCAGTAGTAGTAGTAGCAGTAGTAGTAGTAGTAGAAGCGGTAGTAGTAGTAGTAGTAGTAGTAGTAGTAGTAGTGGTAGTAGTAGTAGTAGTAGTAGTAGTAGCAGTAATAGTAGTAGAAGTAGTAGTAGTAAGGCCCTTTAGGTGCCAAAACATGGCTCGGTCGGTCAGAATTTTTGTTTTTTCCTCTTTGGGCTGATATTTTTCAGTTTTGAATGCTTTAATATTTTTTCTCTTTAAAAAAGGGTAGAAAAAAAAAACTTTTGATAAGCCGACTGTAGATTTCAAGATTTTTGGGTAGGTCGCTTAGGGTAATACAACATCTTTTTAGTAGGCCTAATAATATTAGTACTGATAGACAGTTATATTAGATATCTGCCACATGTAACATGTAATCTATCTATTAGATTGACCTTGGTGATTCGGCACCCCACTGTCTATCAGGACCACCCATCAAAGAAGCTGCTACCTTCCCTGACAAGATCATCCTCAGCACGGCTTGGGGACTATTTGAGATGTTTGCAGACAACTACGCCACCACTGATGAGGTAGAGGTCGGCGTCTATCGTCGCATCGAACTTGATCAGTGTATCCACCATCTCGTAGTGCCCTCGCACGGTAGACAAGGGCCAAGGTTTCTGTCTGTTGGGCAGGATGGCAAGAAGCTTTATATGTCGAATCTGGAATTTGGTGAGTAGACCACTAATGAATAGGGATTCGTAATTGAAAAATAGGAAGTGATAGAGAGTTAAATAGAAAGAGAGGAAGAGAGAGAGAGAGAGAGAGAGAGACAGAGACAGAGCGAGAGGAAAGGAGGGGGTGAGAGGGATAGAGCGAACAAGTTGTTCGTATACCAAGGGTTATGATATATGAAAATACGAGCAATCGTAGAAATGATGATATTTAGTATTCTTAGTTCTCTTTGTTACATGTCGATGTGTTCAGTAAGTGAAGATGGGGCTTGGAATTAGTAGTGGTGGTTATTTTACCTGACTGCTAAGAAAGCATAAATGCGTGTTAGTTAGCAACCAAAGGACCAACGGCTTTAGGTCCTCTCCGAGGGATTTAGCCATTGTTTCACGCAGGTATTTGTTTCATTACTACAGGTGTTCCTACACAATTGGAAGAGTTGGTGGATTTCAGTGGAAACAGTGCATGTGATCACATTGGTAAGACAATATATGATTGGGCAATCTATAAATATATATTCGTGTTGTAATCATGTTGTAGGCCTATACCTATATGATTTAATTATTCTCTTATCTACAGTAGATGGTAAACTAGTATTCAGACATGGAAGTTATATATTCAAAACTCGTAAAGGTATTCAATTTATGTTATTTGGTATTGGCATGAGAAATGCACTTGGAAAGCTTTAATTTTACTTGCAGTTTATGTATGCAATATAAATGTAGAATGATTGAGCTCAAACCTAAATATAATTGTATACAAAATAAATCACAAAATAGCAATTCCTGGATGCACCATATGCTCTACACAGTTTGATCTGTATTAAACTCACAAGAATGTTAGATTTGACAATTGACGGCAGTTTGATACATCTTCATCTAGTTGAATATGTTTACCAGATTTTGTACAGGCGTCCATGGAAAAGTGAATTTAGGTAAATAATGTTGTTGAAAGATGGGTAATTTCAAAAGTAAACAATGTTCTGATATCAATAGCTCAATTTTTCATCAAAAGTGGATTAAGTTCCTTTTGGAATTAAGCTTCATATAGTGACTTTGCTTCATTTCTTGCATGAGTCTTGCTCATTTGTGATTTTTTTCATTTACATCCCTAATTGCCACCCTTAGGTCAGTCATCTTGTACCATCATTGATGCTGCATTTGGTAATGTTGATATGGAGGCTACCTATGTCTTGGTAAAGACTGCTGGTCAGCAAATCGTAACGCATTATCATTTACTCAAACTGAATGGTAAGTGGTTCTCAGAGACAAGGATAAGTCAAATATTATTCATTAGTATATCATACATTATTTATCATTCATTATTTTACTATTCATTATTCATTATCATTATTATCTTTATTATTATTATTATCATTTATTACTATTAATATTAGTATCATTAGTATTAGTAGTAGTAGTAGTAGTACTAGTAGTAGTAGCAATAGTAGTGGAAGTAGTAGTTATAGTGGTGGTGGTGGTAGTGGTAGTAGTAGTAGTAGATGTAGTATTATTAGTAGTACAGTCAAACCTGTTTCAGCTAGCGACCACCTGTTTATAAAGACCACATTTTGTGTTTCCCTTCAATATTGTTCCTCATTGGAACCTATATTAAAGGTACCTGTACATAAAGACCACCTACCTATAAAGACCACTTTTTATGTTTCCCTTGAGTAGCCCTTATGGACAGATTTCACTGGAGTATATGTCATTATATCAATTAGAAGTTCTTAATCTGACATACATGGGGTAATGGATTGTTCAGTTATCCTGAGAAATGTCACTGCTTTGCACTCTAGTCTTATTCATTTCTATTGAACACATGTAATAATCAAATTTCAAATGACCTGTATATATTGTGTCCCTTTCCTCATATTATTTATGTGAAACTTGTAGGAAATGTACAAATATTAAAGAAATTTTAAATGAAAATCTTGTCTAAGACACATCTAGTTTTTATGATATACAGACATCCATGTATGTATGATGAATGTAGAGGGAAATAAAAATGGTTAGAACTTCCTTTCAACATGCCTATATATATGTACCATTGTGCTATGTTTTGTTAATAACTTAATTCAATTCAAATGTCTCTTCCCAAATGTGTTTGCCAGGGCATGGCCAGTGGGATATGATAACATCACTGGAAGCAAACCTCACCATTCCACATGGTAAGCTTCAATTAGATTTCCATTCCTTTTCAGATTCGGCAATTCATTAAGTACCATGGACAATGAATTCCTTATTCATAACAAGACGATGCTCGGTAATTGTAGTGTGTACCATTTATGAATGGATATATTTAATTTCCTTCACTTTAAATGTCTTCTAATCCTCTATTGTCATTTTCAAAATATTATGCATGACACTTTAATATACAGTGAAAAACCTACTTTGCACAATGTTTCTCAATGACCCCTGTACTTAAAGTATCTTTGCATTATTAAAGACTACCTTCCACTGAAGACAACATTTTTCACTCTCCTTTTTATGCTTCTCATTGAAACCAATGAACATGTGTATAAAGACTAATTGTCTTGTCTCCCTTGAGTGGTCTTTACATCAATTCAATTCAAGGTTTATTAAAAAATATCTTCGCAGCCGTTGATGGCTGCATTGCAATACAATTCACAGATAAAAACATGCAAAATTACAAAATATATGCTTATCAATTACAATGAACATAGATTAGCATAAATTAAAAATAAAATATAAAATATATAAACAGAAAACCAAAGAGTTCAAATGAGAGTTTCAAAAATGTGGGTTCTTGAAATTACATCAGGAGTTTAGCAATTATTCAAAACTATTTCAAACATCTAAAGACAAGACGAGAAATTGCAAAGATTATATTTCAAATTAAAAACTTATCTTTGGTGTGGTAAAAGACAGGTTTGTTCATTATAAGTAAATCATCATCGATAAATCATCATCGATACAGGTTTGAGTGTAACTTTATTATGTGATTTGCTTTACTGTCTTTTGAAGCCGTCTCTGGAATAGACAGGGACTTGATAAATGTCAGTGGACTAGGAAGATGCGACACTCGTCTCAAAGAAGACGCTACGTGTATGACTCTTGGTCTAACTGGATTAACCTTCAGTGGCTATGTCTCTAAGCACCTCTTCTTTTGGGGAAACAGCATTTTGCACAGGTATATACTTTGCTTTCCTTTCAAGTTATTTCATAATGGTTAAGGTGCTGTTAAGTTGTGTAATTCTACTGTAGCATCTAATTAATTCAAAATTCAAATAATGTATATATATATGGCTAGAGTTGTAGTATCCAGGTTGAAGTTCATTTGCTTGCTTGAATATTTGTGTTGTGACAGTGCACTTGAAATTGCTTTATCACTCAAGTCCTTTGTTTACTGTACCATTGATGTATGACATGACTGCATAAATATTATGTAATAGCACTTCCTCGGGCAATGTGTCTAGCATAGCACCATCTATTGCTGTACACTTGATACACACTCAGAAGTCAACATGAATTTGGTTGTGTTGTGAGGATCAAGGATCCCCCTTTTGCCAGCGCATCATGGGAATTTAAGCCATATTATTGTCATAAAGGCAGGCAAAGAGGTTTAGTTTTGTTGTATATTTAATGTATTTTTATGAATTGTCAAAACATTACCTGTAAGTGGAAATTAGGGTGTGTGTGTTTTGGACTTCATAATGAGAGATGTTGATGTTAGTATGAAATGTACATCATCATTATGTAAGAAATACAAGCCTATATATGCTGTTATGATGTATATACAATATGTACATTTGATCTTGTATTAAGAACATTAACCAAGGTTAATTTTATATGTTATAAAGATCATAACACAATGTACATTTCTGAGTTTCTCCAAGAGACTGTATCATTGCTATGAATTTGATGATGCTTTGATGTACTTGTATTTATGATCCTTTACATGTGTCATTATGCCACAGTTTTCACGGAATGGAATGGTATGGAGTACAAAGCAAGATTTATACTCCAATCATTAAAGCTACAAATATCTGTAGCAACCTTTGTCCAGACTTTATCTTTGTTGTCGACCTTGCTACAGCCACAACTTGATATACTGTGAAAACTTGAGTGTACTTCACTGTCTTGGATGTACAGAAATAACATTGCAATAAACAATGATAGTGGTTTCTTATATGGTTTTATATTCGTCACACATATGGGTCAAGACTGGCAATTGATGTCTTGCCAAAAGGTAGTGCTGCAATGTGAGTTGAGCAAGAGTTGAGACCTAAAATTCTTGTTGTATGAAATAGTATCTTTATTTTTTATCAATTATCTATTCTATAGGAATTGACACCCAACTTTGTTTTATTTTCCACTATACTACCTTAGCCCTGACAATGGAAAGACTGTATTTGTCCTGCTGGAGTACACATCTCAGGCTGCAATCTCACTCTTTGTGGTTGGCAAAGATCCTTCCTTTGCTTTACTCAACACACACCAAGAGGTAAAGGCTTAGAATCTTTGTGAAACACCCCTTAGCTTTGACTACTTGACTACATGAATGGAGTTCCAAATGTCAAGCTTATTACTTTGTACAAATTAATTTTGTAACAAGAATTATTTTGTTCCATTTTTTTTTCCATTTAGGAACAGAATTATCAAATAATTTATGGGATTTAGAGTTTGAAACTTGGCTCTCTATAAATTCAGAGGACTAACACAGCCCATTTAGTCTTGGTTTGTACCTGGACTAAAAGTTGTACAGTTTTATGGATTCTGGGCAATAAAATCAAGTTAGTTTTATTCATGTCAGCCATTGCTTTAAAGGGGAAGTCCACCCTGAAATTAAGTTAGTTTTAATAGGAGTAGAAAAATGAGAGAAACGAGTCAGTGAAAGTTTGAGCAAATTCCGATTAAAAATAAGGAAGTTAGGATTTTTGAAATTGTGATCAATCAAACACAAATTGGCAACTCTATGACGTATCATGCGAGCTCAACTTCCATTTGCTCAGTACTAAAAAAATCTAAAATTTTCATTTTCCCTCAAGAAAAATTTCAACCATACATGCACCCTAAATATAATAATTGCAAATATGTTTCTATACTCCCCCTGCAAGGAACAAATATATATTCCGTCATCAATAACGAAGAAAACATGATTTTATGGAATATTATGCACAAAGCAAATGAAGGAGAGCTCGTATAATAAGTCACAGAGTTGCCAATTTGTATTTGATTGATCACAACTTCAATAATTCATAACTTTCTTATTTTCATTCAGAATTTGCTCAAACTTTCACTCACCTGATTTTCTTATTATTCTGCCTCTATCGAAACTTATTTTGGGGGTGGACTTTCCCTTTAAAGTAGGCAAGGAAATAACCCCATGGTCTATTCATTCTTTTATCAAAAATTGGTAGTGCAGGAGTTGTAACATTTCCAACTGGATTATATTCTAGATCGTTTCATGTTTCAGGTATCTTTAATTTGAATTTGATTAAAATTCATTTATTTATTTAATAATATGGAGAAAAAAAGGACTTCCAGCATCCATACAGTATATCTCTGACATTTGGTCTACACTGTAAATATAATTTTGCTATTAAAACAGTCTAACTTTGGCAATGAAAGTCAACAAAAAATACCTAACATAGAATAATTCCCAATTTGATTATGTTTTTAAATATTAGATCTGGTATGGTGAGATTGGGGACAACGTTTATCTTAAGAAGCTGAGACCATCCCCAGGCTGGGGTCGCATGCTTCGACTCACGGGCCAACAACTAGAGGACCCCTCCTTGGATTCCGTCACAGTCTCCATCTACTTTGATTCTTGGGGTACACTCTATGAGGTACGTGGGTATTTGATGTGGATTTGATTTCATTCAATATTGATATTAATATTCTGGATGTTATACCACCTAAGTACATCTACAACAAATTTAGATGCACATTCTTGTTTGCAAGCTCAATTTGTTAGTTTTAGAGGAAGGTGAGTAAAATACAAAAGCCTAAACTAATGGCAAGAGAGACATGACTTTATACAGTAGCCTGTCATTTTAAGTTGTGCATTTTGAGAAGGGCATCAGAGCAAAATGTATGGCCACTTTTAAGGTTTGTGTTGTAATGGAAAATAAAAGGCATCAACCAAAACACGCCACACAGATTGATCTGATGTTGGTTCCTAAGCTTTCATAAATACTTTCTGTCTTATATTCACTCTAATATTTGTTAATTGCATTTTATCTTTCTGACTTGGAAGGAAAGATGTTTTAAAAAACACAATCAATTAAAATGTGTGTGTTTTGTGCCTATAAATTCATATTTAATTGCATTTGGAAGGAAAAACTGGACAACCTGAGGAGGCTTGAGTTGCAGTTGAAATTCTTTATTTTGAGGAATAAACAACACTTAGATATACTTACATATTCCTTTATCATTGTAGATTGTGCCTGTATTTGACATTTTATTGTATTAAGAAAGTTCAAACCAGAGAAACTTGAGAAGAAAGAGAAACAATCGGAGTGAAATTACAATTTATATAATGCCTTTTCCACTGGATACAAAGCGCATTGAGATACCATCCTAGGGCCAGGTCATTGATCAAAAGTAAAAACAAGTTATCTACAAATATACTCCATATGATGATTGATTGATTCAAATTTATTCCATTTCATATCAATTGTTTGCACAATACAGTACATAATTGACAAAGTAAGTTCATTATTATGAAATGAAACAGGAACCTACTGGAAAGCATAGCTTGTTTTTTGTATGAAGAATAAATATAATATGAACATTATTTCCATAAATCATTTTAAAGAGTCTTGATTATCACACTTAAATAGATATAATATAATAACATATTTTCATAAACCATTTCAAAGTGTCTAAATAATCGAAAGGTACAAAAGACAAGACACAAAGGACAGGAAAATGACATAAGACAGGACATGACAAAACGATTCATTCATACCCAATGTACTAATATATTTTTTTTAATTGTGCCTTTATTTCATATTCATAGTTCATTGCATATGGAAGCTCAAACCAGACCAAATTAAGAAGAAGGAGAATAGATCAGGGTGAAATTCTTGCAAACAGTGTGTACTCGTTCGCCATGGAAGAACTACAACATGAACATGAAGGAGGAGACCATGGAGGAGAGGAGAGTCATGATGAAGAAGAGGGAGAAGACCACGACGATGAAGATGAAGAGGATGGTCATGATGAAGAAGAAGGGGAAGAAGAAGAAGAGCATGATGAGGGGTAAGAAGTCTTTACAAATCTTTGCTACTCCTTCACTCTTCCCAATTTGGTTGACTTGAAAAAAAAGCAATGGACAGCTCTAGTCGATAAGATTGTCACATATGCACAATATCTAGGAATTTGTAAACAAACAATATATTTGGCAGTCCAGAGACAGGTATAGCCACTTTGTACAAATAAGAAGTTTTTGTCATTCTTCAGGTAAACTATTGATACATGATAGCATGCAAATTAAAATGATGCCTTTACAGGTTATATAATTAGCATTTGGTTTATTTGACAGGCCTGAGTTTTACATAGTTTTTATTCAATAATAATATCTGTGCATGTTATGGACAGTTTTTCTTGTACATTAGTGATATATCTACCGTAATTACTTGGTTTATACAGTATAGCCTATTGCTAACCACAATTAGATGACATATTGACTGAAAAGTGTGGTGCAGATGTATAATATAATCAAAGAAAGGTAAAAAGTCTTAGAATGTTAACTTATAGATAATTAATTTTCCTTTTCATTCTGCTGCCCGACCTGCAAACCACAACTTTACTTACTCAACACTCTCATAAAATAAAGATCAAACTTCAAACGGTAAGTTCTCGTTTCATCTTTCTATTATTCTCTATCTTTGGTTATCCTACAGGAGTGTGTCACCTCTGCTAGACTACGAATGCCCTTACAGTCAAGTCAACTTTGAAAACCTTAGAAGCATTCCGTTTGAGCGAAGGGAAAGGTATTTTCTTAGCGCACCCCAATTAGCAGAGAGCGACAAGCATACAGAGAAATCGCTGATGATCTACCAAGTTATCGTGCATCATCTATTGAGTGAGAAAGAAGATCTTCAGACAATCAAAGACAATGTAAGAAATCTCACCATCCCTTACAAAACTTGGGGGTGTTTCACATAGATCCTACATATAAGTTTAACTTATATCTCTAAGTTGGACTTAATGATTATGGAAAGCCGTTAGCATCTATGAATTTTTTTTTTGTAAGTGCTATTTTAAAAAGCATAAAATGTTGATTTCAAATCAATCATATTTTCTAAAGAAGAGTTCATGTTCTTGATGTGGAATTTATAAAAACTCTAAAATACTTGATTTTTCGCTTTTGAATATATTTAATTTTAAGGCTACAAATGGCTCTTCACAATTTTTAAGTCCAACTTAGAGATAAGTTTGACTTAAGATCTTTGTGAAACACCCCCCTGGTGAGAAACAAAAATAATTGTCATATAGTGCAATGTTATTCATATCTTCTCATGAAGGAAGGCTTTGATCCATTTCAACATGTTCTTTAAAAATTAGACAGTTGGCAACAAATTAATGTTTGCTCTTGAAAGAAGTTTTTAAAATCAACTTATCTTGTCTAAAAAATATCATCAACCATTTGAGTTTGATAAGGATGGCTCTTGTGAAACAAACATGCACTAGATACAAGCAAGAAATGTAACTTTTTTTGTTTATCATCCAGTTTGCCAGTTTTGTAGCCAAATTGTTTAATGACATTACAATCACTCATACATTAAGCAGTAAATATGCAGAAAATGTTTGCATTAATATTTAATATGAAATAAACTAGTGATCAAGATATGAAGGTAAGTATCACATACAAATTTCCTCTTTTTATCTTTGCAGGAAATTGCGGAAGTCACTCACAACCCCTTTCGCAAGTGGTACGGAGAAATGGACACTTTACGCTACTTTTATCAGTATCTTTTCCAAAATAAGAACTTGCAATCTGGGATACACATTGATCCTGATGCATACTACTTGCAGGTCAGTTATAGTGATAATTAGAATGAGAATAATGATACAATCAAACCTGTCTTTAAAGACCACCCAAGGGAGACAAGAAAAGTGGTCTTTATAGGCAGGTGGTCTTTGTAGACAGGTGCCTATAGTACATGTTTCGATGTAAAATTATTCAAGGGAAAAAAAGAAGTGGTCGCTGTAGACAGATGGACTTTCTATACAGGTGGTCACTAAAGCAGGTTTGACTGTACTAATATGATCTTATTTACCCAAGCTATATTAAATAGTATTAACATTGCTCTTCCTGAGGGCCCTGTGATAATTTGAAATCATAACTATTTATAAGCTTGTACATGTAATAGATACACTTATTATAAAAAACCCAACAGATATTCTAGAACTCATGGTCAGATACTCTAGAACATATTAAATTTATTCTTAAAGTGTCAGAATATCCTTAAATATTGAAGCAAATTGATTGCATGATGACATCCCAATAATTCAATTGCAGATTTACATTTTTAACCTTCTTGAAAAGAGTTGATTGACATATGATAGGATGACTGATCCCCTCAAATCACTGCATCAGTACATGGTATCATACATATTCATTTCGTATAGATAAACTTTGCACTTTTGTACTTTATACCTTTTTGTCCTGCTTCTTCCTTCTTCCCCCTTTTCCTTCTCCTTGTCGTTTTGTGATTGTTTGTTGTTTTGTAATATTGTCTTTTGTTTTCCAAGTCTTCATAGGCAGAATTTGAAACAATTCTATTTTTTCTGGGGGATCCACAAACTACAAGCACTGCTTTTTAGTGGATACCCTCATTTCCTCAGAAATTCAGAATTTCTTGTAATGATTTTATTATGTGTAAAGTGCATTTGTATAGTTGCCAAGAAAAATGTGATATCATATGTAATACCTTTGTTTATCTTTCTGTTGGAAATGAAATAAATATGAATTGAATTGAATTGAAGAGGTTTGAAAGAGGCCAAAATCTTTGACCCTTTTTTGTTTTGCCTGACCACAACATATATATCTAAATGCATACTTTTTTGTTTTTCTTTACCTCACAGCCGTTTGGAAACACACCAGAGGACACCAAAACACTCCCATCTACCATCTACCTCGACAAACATGAAGTTTTTGAATTTGCCATCTCTTTGGAACTTGGTCTAACCCATAGCAGTGTGGAGATCGAAGACCTCTATGCTCTAGTCGAAGTGTCGAACGATGATGTGCTTGGAATCAACACCCATTACTTTGAGTATCGGTTGAACAACACAATCAGATATGAGGTATTTAGAAGTGACCATTATTTATTTGTAGAATAATTAATGCACCTATTGGTGAATATCACACATATTGACAAGTTGACAAATTTATACAGTGCGTCCCAGAAAAAACGAAACCGAGAATTATCTATGTTTTATCATAACTTAATCATAATTATAATGAATAAATGACACATATTTGTAAAGTTTAGATCCTCTTCTTTCATTTGATGCAACTCATAGGATGCATATTTTACGCATGAGTGATTAAAAACAATTTGAAGAGAGTTATTAAGTTATGATAAACCATCAATATTTCTCAGTTTTTGTTTTTTCCGGGACGCACTGTATGTATCTATTGGTACAAATTATTTCATTCATTCACCTGTTACACATGTACATATATTTCATATGATAGTATCACTTAGTCTACTATGTTGAGCAAATTTTGGATAAGCTTTTCAGGTCATGGATGAAGCCTGTATTTATAGATTTAGATAGTTTTATTAGTAAACTGGCCAGTTGAAGACCTGCTATAGCAGCAGAGGTGTGCTTTTTCTACAGGAATTCTCCTGTTTGATCTAGTGCTTTGACAATAGTGTCTTAATGTGGAAATTATATCATATTGCTAGATCTCTTTAAATACTTGCAAAAGTGTATTAGCTTAAGTGGTTCTTTTAGGATTCCCCTGTTTTTAAATTTTAATACAGTGTCTTAATGTGCATAATGATACGTATTTCTTTGAAACCACATAACTGCTTTAAATTTGCTTGACTGTTTCTTCCAGTGTGTAAATGTATACAGAAGACTTGATCTTTAGGTGCTATATTTAAACGGTTGAAAGTGACATCTGTATTAATTGTGTCTTTTTTAATGTATTGAAAGGTCACTTTGTCAGACAAAGGAGCATTAGAGCTGCAGGCAAGCCCCGGTGTGGATCTCTATCCAGCCTCTGTGCTCATACATGTGTGGCATTCTACCTTCTCATGTTTTATCAAGGAAGGAGACATCTTCAAACCCGAGGTAAAAAAAAAAAAAAAAATCATCTTTCTCTCTTATCTTCCTTTCCCTTCATTGCTCTCTCCCCCTTTTCTTTCTATCTCTCCCTTTTCTTTCTATCTCTCTCCCAAATTCAGCTGGAGAAAAGTAAAGGGATAAACAACGCTTACAATATATATCTTTTAAGAAGAACTATACAATGACAAGAAGTGCTGCTTAACCTTATGTTTAAATGGTTTGGTGAACTGAATTGATTGTAAAGAATGTGGTAATGTGTTCCAAACTTTAGGGCCATTATGGCAAAGAGAAATTGCAACAGTGCTGGAAGATACTTTCCACTGGTGAAACTTAAAGGCATTCCTTGTATTGTAATTGTGTATGGTAGCATTCGTAAAGAACATTTCTTTCAAAACATCAGGTAATGTATTAGTAGTAAACCGGTGCATTATCAAAGAAGGTTGTAATTTGTATATATCGTAAACATCAAGGGTTTGAAATCTTCTAAACAGAGCCTGGTTGTGACGGGGCACGGTAATCAGAATGAGAACAAAAAATGGAAGACACGTTTTTGTAACCTGTGTAGTCTCAATAATTTAGACTGATGTTTAGAAGCCCATGCAGCATTGCAGTACATTATGTCTGGCAAAGCAAAGGCATTATATAACATTAATAAAATATGACGTGGCACAGTATATCTTAAATGACCAATGACACCGACATTACGGGAAATCTTTTTGGTAACTGAATCAATATGAGAATTCTAGGATAGGTTTTTGTCAAATAAAATGCCTAAATAATTTATATCGCGACATGCTCAATATTTAAACCATTAATATAGTGAAACATTTTCATAACAAGATTTGACATTTCGACGGTTCTTAAATACCAAGTATTTTGTTTTCAATTTATTTAAAGTGTCGTGCAAGCATTGTTTGCTATCTTTGTGTGATACAAATCTTTGGGTATCTCATGAAGATGTGGAAATACCAACTGCACAAAGCTCATAAAAAAATCTGCTTTTGAGGTAACTCATCTTGGTGTTTTCTTTCTCTTCCCTTTTCCTTTCCCCCCGTTCTGTCTCAAATGTGTCAAAACTGTTTTGTACAGTGTTGATTTTATGAGCTTTGTGCAGTTGGTACTTCCACATCTTCATGAGATTACCAATATATATATATATATATATATATATATATATATGTGTATCTTTTTTCAGCGTAATAAACAAAGAAGTATAAACATTTGAACCCAGGTCCATGACACAATGTAGTATACAATACACAACTGTGTCACTGGCAGGGTATACAAGACAAGTACAACATGTACAATATAGGAAACATATAAAGCATATACAGAAAATAGCTTACAGAATGATGGAAAGAAAAAAAATATGAAGTTGAGATTCCTCGACAATAATAAGCCATCCGATTCTAATATATAGTGGAAAATGTCAGAGTTCTTGCTTATTCACGATGGAAATCTCATAAAAAACAAATAGAAATGACAAATATTGCACACTGACGTGATGTGACGTGAAAAAAGTAGTAGAAGAAACCAAGAAGAGGGCAAAAATCACAAATTTTGCAAGAGGGTTAAATCCCAACCTTCTTCTCTAAAAGTGCCCTCTATACATAGGTATCAAATGTGTCAAAACTGTTGTGTACATTGTTAATTTTATGAGCTTTGTGCAGTTGATACTTCCACATCTTCATGAGATAACCAAGGACATGTATCACACAAAGATAGCAAACAATGCTTGCACAACACTTGCTTGAAGATTGGGCCGATGTTAAGTTAACTTCAAGTCGAGACCAAACACTTTACCTAACCCTAACCCTGTATCTCACCTAACACACAATTGTGTAGATATGCTAGAATCTTGTTAATCAACTAAATAAGATTTTAATCTTACACAAATTTGGAAGGTTAACCAAAACAGTACTTGGGCTTTGATAATACAAACAACAATACTTTTGTTAGAGAACCCATGCATCTTAATGAATATTGTGTCACATTACTATCTTTTCTCATGATTTCATGATGTGTTACAATGCAGAATAGACCAGGGACCCATTTCACAAAGCCTTATTTCAATGACAAATTACTAAAATCAGTGACAAATCTGATGATAATCAATCAGAAGCAAGGATTTCAGTAGCTTATAACAAAAAACGTCATTTGTCACTGATGACAAGTGCATGCAGCTAAATGAATATTGTGTCACATGACTGTCTTTTCTCATGCTTTCACGATGTGTTACAATGCAGCCCCCCCCCCCCCTGTAATGCGTAAATACACTTAACATTTTTTAAAACCAGTGATGTTTGGAAGAATTAAAAAAGGAGACAAGACAAAAATGTCATGATTTCTCTGTATTATCTTGACTGATCTTGAAGGGTATCTACACGATGGACATCATGCTTGGATGTCCACCCGGAAGGAAGCTAGTCTTTGATCTCCAGCTCAGCATTGACGTCCTTCAAACGACTTTCTACTATGACTGTCCTATTGTGAAGGAAAACAGACCTTGCCTGCATTATCATGATGGTGAGAAGATTGTATTTTGTAAAACCTATCCTTGTTGCAATGGTGCTACTAGTCAGGACATAAAAATGACCCATCTGGTGTTGCTCCTAAACGTTTATTCTTTTTAATCTTTCTAATTCAGTTTTGGTGTGATTTATCTTGATTGCTACAATAATGAAAATGATTGTCACATTATAATTGTCTTATTTGGTATTAGCTCTTAAACGTTTGTTCTTTTTAATATTTTTAATTCAGTTTTGGTGTGATTTTTCAGTTTTTTGTGTGACTTATCTTGATTGCTATAATAATAGTGAAAATCATTGTCACATTGACAACACCTTTTGTTGTTTTTGATCAGCGTTCCGTCCAATGTTCAAGGTTGTGGATTTCACGACAGGAGAAGCTAGTCTCTTTGAAGGCCTCTACACTCTGACTGTGCTGGGTGGGAGCCATTCAAGTGAAGAGGATATTGTTCTCTTTACACCCGAAGAGCAGCAAAGATATAATAACTTAGATATGTAAGTAAACTAATCCCATCTAGGGGTGTTTCACACAGACTAAGATTGACTTTAAGTTCTTCTATGGCAGACCATTCATGCCACTAGATCTTCTAACCATTCCTATGGTGACAAATCTACAGAATTTACATTTGTTGATAGTTCATTATTTGAGAAAAAAATATTATCTAAAGATCATAATTGAGAGACCAATAGTGAGAGCAACCAGTGGCATGAACAGCCGCCATAGTTAAGTCCAACTTAAAGTCGATCTTAGTGTTTGTGAAACACCTCCCAGATGTATGATAAGCATTATATATATGGACATCTTTCTTCCTGGCTTAATTGCTACCTTACTCATGCATTATTGCTTTTTGCTATTGTACTTCATTTGCTTTTGTCTTTTTATTGCTAATTTGAAACGGAATATTGAATTACTGAAAAACCAAGGGAATTTTACATTCATTCTACAATTCTTGAAATTATTGTTGATTGTATGTGATTGAATGATTATTATTATTAAAATAAGAAAGTGATATGGGTAAATGAGCTTGAGAATTTTTATCATACATGTATGCCTCGATCTCCTTTGTAATACTAAATTCATTTCAAACTGCCTGCCTGAATGTAAGAAACTTATATAAGTCTAATACATTTGTGGCAAGTATAGGTATCAATATGATCATCGTTCATGCTTCAGCTAGTGCCGGCAAGTCTGGTCAGGTTAATACAAGTATAAATTTTTGTGATTTGATCAGAAAACTGAATTGTTGACATGATAATCATATCCTGCTCTTTTTAGGTTGCATTGGCTGAATTTTGGAATAAACTACTGGGAAATCTAACAAATTATGGTACTGTTGACAACTTTAAGACTTTTCTTAAAACATTACTTTTCAAAAATACTTTCCAATGATAACGAGAGGAAGTATGTTGAGCATATCTCACTCTTCTGTTACTCTATCCATCTTTCCTTCGTACTCTTTCTTAAAGCGCATAGAGAAATATTGTGATATGCGCTATATAAGTATGGTATATTATTATTATTATTTAAATTGTTTTTCATTGGATTCCGCGTAGATCTGGATCACGTATATTGCAGCCTGTCAAGGTAGAGAGCATAATAAACGACTCCATCCCTGTATACTCTCTCCACAACAACACCATCAAGTGGGTCTGCAAAGGGGGATCCCCCTGCTCTGACGTCCCACCGAGCAAACTTCTACGCAGTCCCGAGTACTATTTCCTCATTGAGATGTCAAACCATGGGGTTGATACAGACTCAACCTACTGCCAATACGATCTGCAGTTTGTTGTGCATGTGCATGGCATGGATATTGGGAGCAAGAGCGCAGTGTTAATTGTTGTGGTAAGTGATTATTGTTGTGGTAAATGATTATTGTTGTGGTAAGTGATTATTGTTGTGGTAAGTGATTATTGTTGTGGTAAGTGATTATTGTTGTGGTAAGTGATTATTGTTGTGGTAAATGATTATTGTTGTGGTAAGTGATTATTGTTGTGGTAAGTGATTATTGCTGTGGTAAGTGATTATATTGTTGTGGTAAGTGATTATTGTGGGGGTAAGTGATTATTGTTGAGGTAAGTGCTGGATGTCATTATAGAATACTTTATTGGAGTACCGTATTTTGATATCCTACAGTATGTAACTAGCAATTTCATGATTTCTTTGTCCTAAAAATGGAATGAAAACCAATTACAAAAGAAGGAATATATTGTACCTTCTAATTAGTCAGACATGTTAAAGAACTAAATCACAAATGAAAAGTAAACCCATGAATACGTACGATGAGAATCCAAGCTGTGTCATTGTAGGAGCCAGAAGGTACCTTTCTCTCATTTTATCATTACTTTACGTTCTCTCATTGGATATTTCACAAATGCTATAATGCATATTGTACACCTCTTCTCATTTCTCAACTGTATTTCTTTCAATCTCTAATTTTCACGAATTGTAACCACATTTATACCATCAGTCCAATTTACGGTTTAGACAATTGTTTAGGTAACTTACTTTTCATTTGACACAAATTATTTTAAGGATTTGAACACTTTATTCTGTATACAGCTTTCATATCTCAATGCTTAAATAAGCAATCCCGTTTAATTATCGGAATAAAATAGATAAAAAGAATATATACTCTCTCATCTAACTTCTTGTGTCATTCACAATCTTTTACCTCTCCCTCTCCCTCTCACTCTCACTCTCCTCCTTTTCCCTCTTCCTCTCCTTTTCCCTCTCCCTCTCCTTTCCCTCCTCCTCTCTGCCTTTTCCTTTTCCATCTCCTTGCAGTGGTCTTTTGTGGTCACCATACTGGTTGTCTGCCTCTTCATTGTATGCAACTACAAGGAAAGGCGCTTGTGGAATCGCTTGAAGGCCTCCTGCACTAGACGTGACCGTACTCGGAGGGTTGTACCGGTCAGCAGCGATTCATCGGAGGAGATAGAGCTGGAAGTACACTACAGGGAAGGTATAGCTCATAGGCCAATCGGTAAGTCAAACGTTCTGTGCGGAACATAATTAGCCAAAGGGTAAATTACCATTAGTAATAATTTGAACCCATGTTGGAGAAAAAACACATATCTTGCGCCCACCCTAAAAAAAAAAGAAGCAACTATGGAGATCAATACAGATCAGGGTCACATCATGGGCAGCTTAATATCAAAGTCAAACATTTAAAAGCTAGGGTAAATCAGTAAAATTGAAGAGGAAAACAGCTGTAGAACAATATTTCTAGTAATTTCAGGGAACTTTTTTTACAATCGGTCTCGTCTTATTTTGTCGTCTTATAAAGTGCTATGTAACGTTGAATTGCTTTGCCGAGAAATTTCACAATAAATATCTTTATTTATATTTTATCTTTATCTAGCCTTTTTTTTCCTTCTTTTTCCATTTATGATAATTCAGGATTATCCACAACAAGCACTGTCATTGAGAGATTAGTAAAAAATGATGAAGATTATTATGGCTTCCCTCTAGATGGTAAGTTACATCATGTTATAGTTCAAAAGAATAACTATAATCATACAAAAGTCTGACTTGTACAAATAAACTTAATATTGGGAAATTATATACATTTTTTAAACACGTCTCTTATACATGCATCTGTCTTCTGTCCTCTTCCAATTCGTCTTCTCCTTTTGTTTATGGTGCAATAAACCTGTAATCTGTAATAAATGGCTTGGAATAAAAGTGTTGTTTTTTTCATCTGAATAAATTCAAATTTTTCAGAGGGCAAGAAAAATAATAATGATAATAAATAAACAAAGTTTCATATAGTGCATAATACTTCCAAGGTTCTTTATGTTCATAGTAATGTAGTTTGTTGATAATTTCATTTTTATAGATAATTATGTTTGTAAATATGTACTTTTTTATTGAAATATTTCATAGCAAAACAACTTACATACCGATACCAGGAACAAGATGTACAGCTTGACAAAATGATATTTTAGATACATGTTATCATTGATGTTTGAACCATGATTTTTGTTTCAAGCGACTTTGTAACGGTTCATTTCTGGCTAATTTCATGATTTAAGAACTCAACAATCCTTCATATTCATCATTGCTCATTTCAGAATATGATGAATTAGAATACACAGGAAACATGGACTCGTCAAGGCATAGAACAAACAGCCTCCACCATCGCTCCGTGTCATCAAACATTCTAGATCGATCAAAAACGTGATGTCTTGTTTTGTAAATAGTTTCATGCAACTTTTTATATTACTGATGTCGAGAGATAAAACTGATGGTTTTGAAGCAGTACTCTCAAATCTGCTATCTCTTTGATAGACCCAATAGATAATCAATATCTTCCTGTTAGGTATCGAGAGCAACAAACATTGCCTTGCCAATATCAAGATATTAATTCCTTTTGTGCGAGGTGGAAAAATTGTCAGTAGAATTGAAATTTACTTTCTACCTCAAAAATGAATTACCCTAGTGTAAAAGTAAAAAAAAGAAGCACTGATCGGAACCTCGACCACGTTGATGAGAGGATTCAAGCTATCCTAAATGAATGGACATGTTGAAAGGTTAACATTTTCACCAATCTGTAATCTTTAACCACAGATTAAGATCAGATGTGAAACTGTCACCTTTTAAAGCCCCACTGCACTACTTATAGCCACTTGCGCCCTCTATATAGCAAACAATGACTAATCGGTGACCATTGGTCTCCCATGGTCCCCTTTTTCTTTTATTAATTGCAGCTGATTTGATGAGATAACCACCTGTCAGTGACCATACAGGGAGGTCTAAACCCTCCTGGCCAAACTAGTGCAGAAGGGCTTTAACCACAGATTAAGATGTGAAACTGTCACCTTTTAACTATTGAACTAACTACATGTAGTATGCCTTGTAAGCAAGGCAGAGAACAGAGTTTTCCACAGAACAATCATGTTTTGGGCTGCTAAGAACAGGCAACTTTACTTTTCTACTATATTGTGCTTATAGATATGGACTGCAATCTGAGAATTTGACCTGATTCTGAGGACGAGTAAATTCATTTATATAGGGATTGTAAATCCCAGAGATCCTGATTAAATTCGTTTTGATAGCCTTTGTCTTTTACTACTCTAAAAGCTACGGGAAATTTCTGAACGTTTGTACAATCTTATCCACTGATAAGTTTACATAAGAGGAAAAGATTTTAGCTACACCTCATGATGAACTTACATAGAACTACATCTATAAAGGGTTAACTAGTGAATTGAAGACAAAATGATACTAACTGGGTTTATGCATACACGTTTGTTTGTGGTCTATATTGATTTATGTGTAACAGTAATGAAGGAGGATGCACGTTTTAGCATAACTAGCTGATGTCATGTGCATTTCATGAAGCTAGGAATGAAAGCTTGAAGAATTGGAAGTCGAAACCCTTTAAATTTTGTTGTTAAACTGTATGTAATTCAGTCATAATGCAATCACTTGAATTAAATTCCTTTTTTATTATTACCATTTTAGTGCTCCATTTTGAAGAAATGTTTCAATGTAATGTGATGAATTTTATCATTTGGACTTGTACATTACAGGTATCTGCATGGTCATGGTGTAAATATGTAAATATATGCACAGATTTGTACAAAAAATAAAGTTATCCATCAAATGGAAGAAAACAGAAATTGTCATTTTATCTTCTTCTTCATATTACAATGCTATAATTTATAAATCATTCAGAGATCTGTGCTATTCAAAGGCTGTCCCTATTTCTATGTTTAAAAAAAAAAAAAAGAAGAGGGTTCAGTGACACAAAGACGTAACTCCATATTTTGCCAAAATGAGTATTTGATATCAAAATGTTCAGAAAAATGTGGGCTTTCCAGGAAACAAAAAGGCTCAACTCGGCCAACACCCCATTGAGGTCAATAGCTAGTGAAACATAGACTTTAAGGCCCAAGTGCTCAGCGACACATAAACCACTTTTTCTCAAAATGGAGTTACGTCTTTGTGTCACTGACCCCTCGATATCTCCTGTTTCATAGAATGGCTGAGCTGTGAGTACACATTAAACAGGAGCTCAACATTCCCAAGTTTGTGCACTTATCATTTCCAAATGTGTAGCTAATTCAGCGTAGTAAGAAACAAGAACATAATTCCCATATCAATACTTTCCACATGCTGATTTGAGTTGTCGGATACAAATTGGAACTGTGAAGTGTGTTTAGAGTAACCTCTATCTCTTGGACAAATTAACTTACAAATGGATTTATAAACACGATATTCACACACAAAATGAACCGCTTCACTCTCTTAAAATTGTTTTTTCATTGTTGCAATAAAGCGAGTTTATTCAATAGACACATTTCATTTTAAAACATTTTCGAGAGAGCCACAAGTTTTAAGTGCAGTGCATACGAACCATAACTCTCGCATCTTTCACCATCTATATTCATATCACTTAAATACGCAGGCAATAACTGTACAAGAATTCGCAGATCGCAGTGTTGTATATTTTGCAATGTATGGAGGAAAAAAAATACAAACTTCACCACGACATTGCAATGAACAAGACCTTTCCATTTTCTTTCTTAATAACTCCTCTCTTTCGTCAAAAGAATCCAAATGAAAGAACACTTAAAAGCATGGTATCAAATTGTGATCCATGTTCATCAAAATAAATGTATTCTACAGTACTACTAACTTTTCGTTTGCAAAAAACTTTTGTGAATCTCATACACAATCCAGATTCACAAAAACTTATGATGTTAACCCTTCAAGACGTTTTGGTCTAGCACCATGCATTTGTTTGTAAGAAAATGTAACTAGTTTTTATCTATCCTTCACTTCATAATTCTATTTTCTTTTGTGCAATATTGAAAGTACTTACTGGTCCTTTGTTCTGTAAAAATGGATTTTAAAGAAACAGCTGGATTATAGAGGATTAATCACTTGAAAAACTTATTTGTATATTGTTAAAAAACATAAAATCAGCACCACCCCTACCCCCAATAAAAAGACACACACTTTCAAATCATTAAAGATTACAGAGCAAAAGGGAAAGAATGATTTCATTTCCATGTCTGCACAAAAGTTAACTTCTGTGCCAGTGCACGTGGGAGCATCAACTACACATGTAATGCACTCGCATAATTGCTTTTCCTTTCATCTACAATAGTATCTAACCTTGAATTTCTCTTTACTGATGTAATATTGAAGCTGACATCTCAAATACAGTCACTGGTATTTAACCCAAAACATTCAGAGCAAATACTTTTAGTCATTGATTCCCTTTGATGCCAGTAATGAAATGAAAGTATCACGTTTTACTTGCTTAAACTTCTTCTTCAGTTACGAACAACACCATATTAATTTGATTAGTTTCATAAACGGCAATATAATTCGTTTCATTTGCATTTATCCTCAAGATAGTCACTGCTGTTAAACATGTATATAATAAGGACATTTTTTCAGGCAGCCAAAGTTGTGTGCTGTCCATACAGGTGGCATACAAAATTATATCACTTGAGTTGGCAGAGGGCTTTAACAAATATCTATCTCCATGTTCTATCTTAACTGTTTTTAAATGGTACAATATCAGTCATACTGATGATTAGACATTATGGGATGGCTATGAATATGAAATGTTTATGAAAACTGTTCAGCCCAAAAAAGTTATTGCATGTAACTAATTTCTATAACTAGGTTTTTGCTTTAAACTACTAGTCCTTTAGCGTAGATGGTATGACATTTTGTGGAGGATGAGACACGTTCTAAAGAACCTTGAGCCTACCATTACATCTTTAATCTCTTGATAAATAAGTTAAAGATTTTTTTCAATTATTTACTATTCTTGTAGAGAGAGATAGAAAATGAGTAAATACATCAAGATAACAGACTTAGAGTGATTTCATAGTTGGAATGTTCTAGAAAAAAAAAAAATATTGTGCGACAAACACTTCCATGTTCTTTTGATAGGATATAGGCTTTCTGTAAAAAAAGAATCAGGGAAAACTTAATCTCACTTTTATGACAGATTATATCCATATTCATCTTGGTGAAATAGAAGAATCAGGATGAGCACAATCAGTTAAAAGAATATGGTATGTTTTTACATGGTAAGATCTATACAGCTTAGAAGATACAGTGATACAAGCACATCCGCAAACTCTAAAACCGTTGAATAGCACATTCTATCCCCCCCCCCCCCCTAGCTTCATACAAGAACCATCTCATTCATGTTGGTAATGGGTTCAAACCTAATTGAGAATAAGTTGTACTTTTTTAAACACCCATCTCTCATATTGTTAAATTGGATAATTCACTTTCAACACCCCAAACCAGTTGCAAAACAATATCCATATCAGACCCATATAAAATCAAAAGCCAGAGGCCTGCATTCAATCAAATCAAAACACTTGAGGTCCGAGACTATTTAAAGTCATGTGACCAAAAGGAGAACTAAAACCTTGATCTACCTACTTTTTGTTAAATTTGACTTCAGAATGAGCTTAAACCCAGCAGCGAGTTGAGATTTGAGTAAAATACAGGCCATTAACTTTAAAAATGTGATTTTTAATCAACCCATGCGATAGGCAACCCCACTGGAAGCACTATAAGCTAAAGAATCTAAGTCAGTCGCAGAGCAAGGAATTAATTACGTTGTAGTCACTTTCCATCCACTTGACAGTCTCTCTTTAACTCCTCTCTTAAAAACAAAGAAAAATTAATCATTGATATAATCAATATGTATGGTTAAAACAATGCATAGACATTAGACTGGATGCAAACAGAAAGAGTGCACATCACTTATATCCCATATAGACATAATAACATCAGACTTTACATTGACTTCATTATTTTCTTTCAAACCATTTTAAGGCACATAAACTTACAGATGCCAACTTACTAATAACTACATCCACATAATAAAAAAATTCAAATAATCTTAGTCTTTGCAGTAAATACTTAATATCTTGAGACCCAGTACTACAACAAGTTTTGTTAATTGATGACATGGTATGTAATAAAACCCTCATCAAATTTTACAAAGTGGAGAATTTTCTGTAGAGAGATATTTTTTTCATTTGAACAAGCAGACGAACAGACTTCTCCTTTGCAATTTGTTTGTGGCCTTTTCATTACGAGCTGGACGGACGGAAAGAAAAAAAATGTACTTTTGGGAATCTCGGTAACTTCTCTTAATCAAAATGAAAACTTTTACTACATTACATGTGCAGACACAGTCGCTACATTTCGCAAAACATTAAAGAAATTCAAATGAACCATTGAAAAGAATGGGGAGAAGAAAGTAGCACCAGAATTTTATCTTTCATGGCATTTAAAGATATTGTAACATCTAGATATGCATTACATGCTCACATCACCAGCATTTCTTGGCACACGGCACAAACTAAGCACATATTCTTATAAAGACATGGCAAATTCAAGGTATATTATAAGTATAACATTACTACAGTAACATCAACAAAGAGATTTTCCTGCATTCTATTAAAGAACTTCAGGGGTGTTAAATCAACATATTATTAGTACAGTTCTGGTTCCTATAATACTACATCTTAATACTACTATTTTACTAATAACACCCAAATATTTGTCATATTCAGCTGAGAAAATATATGTGATAACATCAATAATGATCATATTTATTTAGGTTTTAAAAAAAAGCACAATAGGGGACAGAACTTTAGGAAATCAATACCTTATAAATAAGAAAAATGCAAGTGTTACCAAATCATAGTCTAAATAATATATCAAAAGTTGCAATTATTACCAGCATCTCTTTACATGTTATATTTAGAAAGCACATACAAATTCATATCATGTTCCAAAAAGATAAGGTTTGACACAAGCTTTTTCCTTTTCCAAATTTATATTTTCAGACAGGGCAGAGAAATCTATCTACATCTGAAGACTGGATGGAGTGAAAGCGGCAGAAGATGAATAAAGATATTGCAACATACAACTTTTGCTTAGACAAAGTGCAAGCCCCAACCAAACACTGCAGGTCTACCTGACATATCATACATGCATTTCAAAGATGTAGCTGCCACATCATGTACAGGGATTAATTGTTGGGACACGGAAGAGAAGATCAGCAATCAATATCCTGCCAAATGCTGTTTTGTCTAAACTCACTTAGTTTTTTCTGATGCAATTTGATGCAATTTGATAAAAACAGAACTATGTGGATGTTGTATGCATAAGTATTCAAATTATTTTGAAACAAATATTTCATCAATCAATAAATAAATGATCTATTTCACACATGGACATACTCAGAATCATTTGCATCTGAGCCGAGCACAGTTTAGACTCTATTTCTTAATCATCTCCCGGGCAGATGAAGTAAAAAATTATTACAATGCAGCAAAATTGTGCTTTCTTCGTTTGCCAATTTTTTTCTCTGAAAAAAAGAGAAAAACTATGTGATATAAAAAAACAAAATTCATAAATCATGAAGACCTCCACAATTTGTGATGAATATTTGTGAAACTTCTTTTCCAATCTTCTCAACATTAACAGCCATTGGTACATGTTTTGACTCGTGTGCAATCTTGACATAGGATCTTTAAAGTCCGTCACTCTTTCTTTTGATACTTGTTGCCAATTTGGCAAGCTCTGCATGGGGGCTCTCCGATACCGATCTCTCAAGAAAATAAAAATTCTCACGAAACAAAATGTAAGTAAAAAATAAATGATCCTCACGACGCTTCAATGATCCGTGTGCACCTCTTTATAATTACTGATTAAAAAGCAACCAGTCTTTCCTTTTCTCTCACCCACTGAACTGTCATAATGAGTGACTTCATATCTTGTGGGCAGTGAGTGAGGGGTCACCAGTCTCCAGGATGACCATAACACATGGAATCCTAATAGTGACAAAGATATTGATCTTCCAACAGAAAGAGGACAAATCCATTATAAGTAGGCCATTTGGGATGGCATACACCGATTTTTGTTATAGGATACATCACATGACTGTCCGTCCTAACAGCAGACCAAGGCAGGATTGTCCAAAATGATCCTCAAACGTCTCCAACAAATGCATCTCCGTCTAACAAACCTCAAGTCGGTGAACTGTCACTACGGTCTTTGAGAAAGCTAATGAGGAGTTCCAGACTCTTGATGAAAGCACCAATCGGATCTTGTTTGCGTGGCTTGGGTCCTACTAATCTTGATTCCTGCCCCCTTGCAGGCGTTGATGGGCCAGCAGCACTCTGGCCTGTGGGCGAGGCAGCAGACGGTCCTGGAGCCTCCGTGGGTGACCGAGGTGACAGCAATGGAGGTTGTGGGCTTCCCGACGGCACATCAGGCGATTGCGGCACTTTAGCATCATCCTCTCCATCTTCAACTCTCCCGTCAAGCGATTCACTCGCAGTTCTCTTTTTGCTGCTTTTAACCTCCTTGACTATCGGTGCTTTTCTACTCTCGGTATTGTCAGAGTCTTGGATGTCGCTTTCTTTCTTTGGAACTTTCACAGCTCCCGCTTTCAAGGTTTGTGAGTCTCCTTTTTGGTCCTTTTGTGGATGCTTCATGTCTTGGCTGAGACGCCGCCTCTTGCTTGGTATACTGTCATCTAGAAAACAGAAAAGAGAAGGTCAGTTAACTTTTCAGAAGAACAAAGATAAACAGGAAAACAAGGATTGATTTGAAGGATTCCTTGAACACATGTCAATATCTGCCCTCGAGATCTTAACATGTAAGAAATATGTAAAATTAAGATTAAACATGTAGTTAAGACCAAAGTACATTCATATAATATTGAATGGCCTTGAGTGGGAAACAAGGGTATATCTCAAGCATATTCCAGTAGTCAGCAAGATATACCCTTGTATCTTACGAAAGAAAAGCAATTCAATATTATTATTAATTGTATGGTATCTTCTACCTCAATTTTTCTTAATATGTCCTTATGTTTTCTTAAATTAACTTCAACATTAAAAACAGGTAGGAAAACATTTTTGTCTTCACTTGTATTTTTCAAGGGCTGAGCACATACACATCCATTATTTTGCATATTTAAACATGTATTCACTGTTTTACACGTTTGCGCACCCCACACCACAAGACATGAAGAACTTCACAATTTGTGAGACATTTGGATTTAATTACATATGGGTTCCCAATTTTTTAAAGACACAAATTTAGAAAGGCCAGCCAATAATTGTCTTTATCTAAAAACAAATAAAGTACTGTATACACATTTTGCTAATTGTGTTTTACGTTTATTTATAGGCACTTTATCATCAACAGAATATGCTTTTTTTGGTGGACAGTTGCTAAAATCGATTTTGATTTATCATTATTGATTTACCAATAGAAGCCTGGTTGGAGAGTGACAAATTGAGATTAATGACATACCTGATGAAGTACTCTGTGTTGGTTTGGCATCTTTCTTCTCCTTTTCTTCTTCTTCCATTTGGACTTCCTTCTTCTTTCCATCCTTATTGCCCTTCCTCTTGGATGACTTCTCGTCCTCTCCGCAAGACGTCTCCTTGGCCATCCCCGCCTCCGTGCTCTCCCCCCTGGATGGCTCCTCCACCTCAAACTCGTCCGATGATGAATTGGACGACGATGAGGATGATGACGTGGAGGATGATGTCCTGTGTTTCTTGACGGGCGGCCTGGGTTGCCTAGGGGCGGGGCCCGGTTGATGTTTCTTACACACCTCCAGGATGTGTTTGAGGGCGGGTACAAGGGCGGGGTTGAGCTGCTGGGTTAAGACCACTGAGAACATCTGAAGGAGAGCTCTCAAGTCCTGTAGGGAGGGAGAACAGCATCAATTGAATCAGTGCTCATCAATACCATACCCCCAAACACACAGAGTAAATATGAAACAAGACCAATGTGAATGCGTCTCCAATATGCCTCCCTCCGCCTAAATTCAGTTAAGATCCAGGCTTTAATCATTCTCGGAATATCTCAATGAGAGCAAAAAGCTTATAATCTTTATGACCTCTGACTTGATAAAATCAAAATCTGATCACTTGCTCCCCCCTCCCCCTACAGTGATTCATACTAGTTACAGGTTTAAAGTTCACAGATAAAATAGTCATTGAATAGTCATTGACCTGGTCATAACAAGTTTTAAAAACCTTTATTTTCATGTCAATGACTTGCTTACCTTTACTTTCTTTTACCCAAAATCTAATCAATATCTCTCTCACTATGTTGCTGTGCATCAATAACAAGTTTTAAGTTCATGGCTCAAACCGTACTTGAGACTTTGCTATACTGAGGCTGAACCCTAAATTTTCAGATATTGACCACTATGACCTTTGGCCTTTGGGCTATTTATCTGAAATCTACTCAGACCGTCTACCTATGGTGATACACACTATCACCAGGTGCGAAGTTCATACCTCTAATTCTTCTTGAGGTATCGCGATAATGAGGCTATAGTGATGATGTAATTGTAATGTTAATGTAAAATGCCTTTGTATATTTCTTCTTTGTATATTACTTTTGTATATTTCTTTGTATATTACTTTGTATATTTCTTTGTATATTACTTTGTATATTTCTATGTATATTACTTTGTATATTTCTTTGTATATTTCCATGTTTATTTCTTTGTAAATTTCTTTGTATATTACTTCTTTGTCAACTGACCCTTTAGGCCAGCACTGGAGGACAGTCTTTCATATACACCAATTAAACAACACAGAAATTCTTACCCCGTTTAGCTTATAAGCTGCGATGGCTAGCTGATGTCTGTCATACTCAGCGATATCCTCTCGCTCTGATAACACATTGTTGCATATCGTCTTGACAACTGTATCCCAGTTATTGCACAGAATATGTTGATACACCTGACAAAGCGACAATGAAGAAAATTCACAATTTATCTCTTCATATGCCAATCAAAGTCTCTCCGAGAGTCACAATGTATTCGGCATGGGATAGTTTTAGCAATGGCTATGATAATATTTAGTATTTCCAGTATAAAACGACTCTGAAGCATTGCTCCATAGTCCGATGACATATCCACTAGACCATGATTCTATCTTTATTTGGATACTAGCAATGTCTAATTTGATATGTTATGATAGTGGGATATGGTCATAACACCATGAATGGCCATTTATTGAAGCCCTCTTTGCTTTCTTTCAATTATATAGGGCTAATTCTGCACTCTACACTCATTTCATTAATGCAAACATGTTTAATGATGAATAAAGGAACATCACAAAAGACTACATCTTAATTTCGTGTCTTTATCTTCTTCTTTTTTCCTTTCTTTTTTTGCATTGTACTTTATTAACTTAACATAATGATATCATTCATTGCATCTGAGAGCAAAGTACTTTTTACATTCAGATTCATTCATGCATGACAAATCATACCATACATGTATTTGGTAGCATTTTAACAAGGATGAATTGATCATGAATACTACAAATTGATCATCACAGAATAATTTGTCGAGCAATATCTGGGGAAACTTTGAGTTGGCTATCCTTATCCTTGATTTGTTACTCTCTCATTGTCCTTATACTATATTTTTACCAGTCTTCTGAGTGCATCAGTTGGTTGGGCGGAGGGACCATTACGGTTAAAGTGATTAAGTTTGCTCTCTTCTTCCCTGGCCGCCATCTTTTGCACTCAGAATATTGCTACAAAACTTGTATTTGTATAATTTTTGTGATTTTAATTTTGTAATCACCATGGTTATATTGCTTTATTGTTATATTTCTTGAAAGTGCCAAATAAATTGTAAATAACTTAATAAACAAACACACTATACTCACCCTGGGAAAGAATATACAGAAAAAGGATGTGACATGTACATTGTTGAGGAATGTTCGTTCATCTAGGAGGACACTCTCTACGTAGTCATGGAAGGACTGTAGGCTACATAGCAGCTCAATGGCGTCCCTCTCGCTACCCTGTATACAAAGGTATAACAAGATCAACAATGGTCAGTGATTTGATTTGATTTGATTTATTTTTCCACTCAAATATCCACAAATTAAAATGACATCTCTCTCTCTATCCCTCTCTCTCTCTAAGTGCCGTATCGATTGACTTTGGCGATCATGCTGTTCCACAACCGTCGGTTCCTAGACTTCTGTATTAGTACCACTCCCAGTTCTTTCACTCCTCTCTCCTCCAACAATTTCTGCAGACTGTCCATCCAAAGTATCCTCCTTCTTCCCCTACTCCTTCTTCCCACAATTTTCCCTGTCACAGCAAGATTCTCTAGGCCTTCTAGGCCTAAAATGACATATATAACCTATACAGTATTACAATATATAATAGAACAAATGAATTATACAAGTAACAAAATACCGATAAGTATGTACGTAATAAATAAGTTTACAGAGTACATTTAAGTTTGAGAATAAGACACAATGTTTTATATTGCTTGATTTAACTGAGTGGGGATAAAAGGGAATCTCAGAAAAGGCTAGGCTTGTTGAGCAAGATTCCCAGTATAACTTGAGTACTAGACCATCGTCAGCGTGCACCATAGTAGCCCATGAAAAGCCGGGAGAAGGATTGATCTTTTTCTTGTTGTAAGCAAACATTTTTTTTAGGTGATTTGTACACTTAACTACAACAAAAGTAATCTTTGATTTGCCACATACTTCTTTGGCATTCATATTAGTCTAGTTAATAACTGCTACCTATTTGTAAAATTGCTGCTCTTTTAAGGGATATGCTATCGATAGCAGTAAAGCCATAGATAATAACGGGTAACATGAAATAATTGGTTAAAAGGGCGTTATACATTATCAAATAATAGGTACTTAGTTCAAATCTAGCAATTGTTAATATCAATATTTAGTTGATATCTATAACCATCATTTTGTTTTATTTTCTGTACCCCGATCTCTCACTTCTTTTTAGGCATTGTCTACTCTTTGTATTATGAACATATTTTTCTATCTTTGTCATGTAAAGTACTGTCTTGTCTCGTTCTCGTCTCTGTTGGCATCCCCCTTTTCCCCCTATTATGTAGTTCCTTTTGTAGCTACAGACTTGTTAAAATAATAACTCATTATTCATAATTATCGTTCGAGATGTTCACACTTGTACAAGCATTGCTTTTTAGTTGACCCCTCCATTTCCAATATGTATTTCTACATTTGTTGTTATTGTTTATAATTGATTTGTAATGTTTTGTAGGAAACATAGATAAATTGAAATTGAATTGAAATTGAAACCAGGATTAGCAGCCCTATGGATGGAAGAATATTAGATCTAGGATTCCTACCTGTGTGTGATAGATGGTCTTCCAGAATTTGGCAAACCAGTCCAGCTGCAATGGAATACCTTCATATGCTACCAGTACACCTGTAACACAACAAGGAATATCAGTGCTAATTATTACCACTTACATGTACATGTCAATATGGAGAGAACAATTGGTGAATGAAGAAATATTAACTATCCCACAGCATTAGAGGTGTTGTGGTCCAGTGGATAAGTCTCCAGACTATGAACAACAAGGTACGGGGTTCGGATCCCTGTCGGAACACCAATGTCCTTTGGCAAGACAGTAATCTGTAATTGCCACACTCCACCCAGGTGAGGTAAATGGATGCCTGGCAGGAATTGGTTCCTTGAAAGGATTGAGCACGTAACGGCAGCCCTGCTAAAGCCAGGGTAATGATAATGGAGCGCCAGGATTGGCAAAGTGCCAGACATGAGCGCTATATAAGACTCCACTATTCTTATAATTAACAACGCACATTTTGGAAGGCAGCACATAGTAACATCATGTTGATGATAAATGAGCTTTAGGTGATGAGGGCTGGATATGTTATTCATATCATATGCCCCTCTTTCAATCATTCTAGCTAGTCAATACTTGATGTTAGACAACAGTTTCCATTACTTGTCAGTTGTTCTCTTTCCTTTACATCACAATCTCTATTTGCAACACTAGACTACTAAATCTTGAAATGTATTCTTAAAACATTATCAACAAGAACAAAATCAGAAAGTTCTACTCATTACTTTAAGGGCCAAAATATTTATATCATAATCTGATATCAAATCACAATTCTGTATTAAATTGATGATTTGTGGTTGATTGGAAAATTAGGGTTTTTAAAGATCAATCGTAACTCTATAAGAAAGGGCCCTGGTTTTGGAAACTAAAGAAGCGGTATAGTTACTGGTAAACAAGGACATGTTGCAGATGTGTGAAATGCTACTTACTCAGTCCTATGATCTCTTCTGTGAGCATCTTGTTATGCATGGCTGCATAGCACAACGTCTCCACAAGGTTGTGATAAGGCCCAAAGAAGTCGAGCAGAGTCTTATCATACTCTGGATCAGCTCCCTATCAAAGAAGGAAGGAGGACAAAATCAAGTACAGCTTTTTTAAGTATACATTCTTCAGGATATATTGTAAAACAGCATCTGAAGAACTAACACTTCAACAAGCTCTGCTTCTAGTTAGTTCCTCTTTTCTTGTGCTATTTTTATTATATTTGTCGTTTCATTGTATATTTTTTTTGTAATATACTTATTCATTGTATTATGTTTTACATGAGGAAATGAAATCATTTGAATCTCTTAGTGTCACCTTTTCATTCAGAATGCTCTCAATTACAAATTCTACATGAGCAGAAAGTACAAATAAAGCTGGAAAAATGTGAGTCCATTTCTGTTGCAGTATGTTGCATTCATAAATAAGAGTGACGTAATTGAAAACAAAACAAATCATTAAAATGTCTAAATTGGCAATGCAGAATAAAATTCAATTAATTCAATTTAATTTATTATCCATCTTTAAAAAAGAACAAGTATAACATAATATTAACACATTGTATTAAAATAATAATATAAACATAAAAATGGAGGGATACCCTTAGTAAGCAAGTTGCTTGTAAGCAGGGCCCTAGAATTAAATTGATATTCACTGTTTGTGTGTAAAAATTGGCAATTACTTTATTTTGGGAATGGCAGGTTCATATCTTACATGTGAGGTTTCCAGCTGACTTGGATGCAAGAACATCTGTAGCTCTGGTCGCGGCGCCCTCAACGTGGTCTTGTTCAGCAGTGGTTTGGGCATTCTTCTTGGGAAGTAGGGTCCAGATGATACAACTAAAAAATAGAGCATCGTAATCCAAATAAATGTCTCCTCCAACTGAGATATTCATCCCCTCCCCAAATTTGAGGGCAACACTGGATTGCCCAACATAGCATTCCATGGAAGTATACATATCCTAAAATGAATTATGAATACATATCATTGCGAAGGGGAAGCCTTACTGATCAAATATAACAACTTCCCTCTTCAAAATATGTTTGGGGCCCGCAGTAATCATCTCTCAAAATTGTTGATTTTGAGATCCAGATTGTCTGCCTTCAGCGGTCCTCCGTAGAGTGTCAAGATTCGTGACGACAGATGCAAGACACAGCTAGCCACAACATTTCCATGATATCTATATGATTTTTCAGCAAATTATTCGTGTTTTTCAAGAGAAATCTGTCCACCCATATATGATTTGTCCATAATTATCAATTGTCATGAATTTTCTTCGGTGACTACTTACGCCATTTTTTTCCTCCCTAGCGGATTTTTAAAAGCACTAACTCACCTGAAATGTTTGACTGCTGTTGGAACTGTCGATGAGCATGGTGCATCAGGGGTACAACCCTCTGTACAAAGTCATGTGGGTAGAGCGTCACCATGCTGTGAAGAACACCTGAAAATAAAATTGTTGAATCATGAGAGAAACTTGCTTCACAAATATACCACAATGGTCATGAACACATCAGAGAATGGTGCTACAGAAACAGTTGGTTTAGACTGGACCCACCTTACAAACAGTTGCACTCGATTCAAATCTAAGGCAACTTGATATTAATAGCAACTCTGCACAAAACAGTGTGGAGTGTGTAAGTTTAGAATTGATGAGAACTGAAAGATTTACTATTACATTGCACTCTTTTTGACTAGGCTACCGCTGGATTTTAAAAGACCCTGAACTAGGATTATATATTAAACTTCAATATTGGTACATTCTCCTGATTGAGGAACCAATTTGGTAATTTAAAAATTTGGAGATTTTAATTTTTTTGGAGACCACCCAAGGGAGACAAGAAATTTGGTCTTTGTAGACAGGTGTCCAGTAGGAGAAAGGGCACTGTCGGCTGCATATCGAATCGTTACAGGTTTATAGCAGTTCGTCTAATTCACAATTTGTCTAATGCCCATTTTGTCTACCATCCATATGGTCTAATAATAACTGAATCATATATAATAATAATCATATGATTATTAGACCTTGAATGCCGAAACCCTCTGACGCAATGATAGATGATAGATCAGTGAATAAGAATCAATGTATGAGGTATATAATACTTACCGACACACTCTGTTCTGACATTATCTGGGGTATATGAGTTGAGTAATGTAAGTAGCTTGTGGGCAAAGTCCATCCTCTCGGGAAACTGAAGTAGTGATTGCTTCACTTCTACAAGGCCAACATAATGAAGAGAGTGTGCTATTAATCATCTGGATCATGCACTTTGCATTGGTACAGTACTTTGGGCACATATGAGACTTGGACCCAGTCTTACAAAGAGTTACGATTGCTCCAAATCAATCAAAGGTCCTACAATGAATCGCAAGTTTACAGTGTCCTATCTCTTATCTACATAGTTGCGATTGATATTAATCTCAAAAAAGTTGCGATTGATATCAACTTTTTGTAAGACGGGGCCTTGAACTGTTTGCAAACTAAACTGCAGACAAAAGATCTCATCATCATCATCTTATTAATAACAACAACAAAACAAGAAAAAGAAGAACTAAAAGAAGATTAACTAATTAAAAACAACAATAATATGATGATGAATACTTGTAACTGTATAGCACTAATAACTACTATACAGACTACCAAATTCGATGCTCACAGCATTTCAGGTACAGTGAAACCTTTCTACAAAGACCACCCAAGGGAGACAAGAAATTTGGTCTTTATAGACAGGTGGTCTTTGTAGACATGTTCCTATAAAAAACCATTTTCGAGGGAAACAAAATTTGTGGTCTTTGTGGTCTTTGACAGGGGGTCACTAAAGCAGGTTTGACTGTATATCAAGTACACATTTAATGCCTCTTTCTATGTATAATCGTACGAGCTTGTATGGCAGACGATTGTTACCTTTCAAGTCTTGTTGCTGTATGGCCACTCGTAAGACTGCAGTAGTGGTTGAGAGAAGTTCTACTAGCTCACAAGCTACATGGCAGGCTGTAGCCTCATGGTACATCATGTGAAGGGTGAAGAAAGCCTGATGATGATGTAAAGCAAAGCAAAGCAAAGCCAATATTAAGATAAGATTGAATGTTATATACAACCGTACTTCCAAACAACTCCAGAATATCACACCAGCAACCCTAACATGAGGAGGCGCAATGGATCAGTGGTAGAGCAATGGTATCGGATCCGGGAGGGCCCAGGTTCAAAACCATGTCCATGCGCTTGTGCTGTTTGGTAAAGCACTAATCTTCATTACCATGTCCCTCGGAGAGGACTTGGGGCCGTCAGCCCCCATATACATGCTTTCTTAGCAGTCAGGTTAAACAATCATCATAACTTATCATACCTGAGCCTTGGCCCCTACCATAACTCTAACCCAACCCACACTATAAACCTTACCCTGATACATTATACTGATATATGGTGAGTGTATTCTGTAGTTAAAGGGGGTGTAGCATGACGAGACTAGGTGTCTTTCCTGTGGCCTGACTCGGGACCAATCGGGTATAATACAACTACGAACGACGTGCTGACCAGTTAATCAAGTCCATTTGTTTACGTGCAGTTGTCCAAAAGAAGTCGTAGATGGACTTGCCCAGTATTTGTCATGCTACTGCCCCTTTAAGCCTAGAGCTTGAACAGTGAATAAATAATTATCTTAAATAGATCAAATGACCCATTCTTCATATTTTTGTCTACTCTTTATCTTATTTTTCATCAGGAAAACTATAATTACACATACACAAGTAGAAAGACACATCACTGCATCATGTGTGACATTGTGTGTCCATTTTAGCTACAAAACATAGTTCATGGCATATTTTTAAAATATGATAAAATGTAGACAAATGTATAATTAGTATTTTTCATATGCAACTGCTCTTTCCTTCTGTTGCAGAGCCTACCTATACACAGCTTCATCAGATATGTGTTTGTTTTAAAAACATTACAATAAAAAAAAAAAGTATATAAGCAAAGCCACATTATACAACGCAAAATGATAAAGTCCAAGGGTAGAAGGGGTTTAATTAATTCACAAATCATGATTAGAAGACATGTTTTATATATAACATATATTTATAAATCAGGTGGTATAGAAAGTAACAACTTGCATAGAATACAGTAACACCTAGAAACATTGGTCAAATAAATATTGAGGAGTAAATAAAATGTTGTTCTTAAATTACTTAAGATGTACTTACATCAGCAAGTCTGCTAAGACCTTGCTTACTAAGCACCACAGATCGGTCTTCATCATTCTCTATTAATAACCTGAAGGCACTGTATAGAAACACAAGACAAACACATGTATATAATATATATGTTACAACAAATATATGTTTACATGAATACATTTATTCAAATGGCCATGTCTGGGTGGGCGAGACAACAAATACAGGTGGAAAATAAATTTGATTTAACTAAGCGCAGAGCATATCACTAATTCATGAGCTACAACATATGAATTTTTGGTTTCATTAAACAGGTCTACACTATGGATATAGAGATGGGAAATGGGCAAAAAACCCATTCAAAGGGTCAAAGGTCATAATGGTGGATGCTGCCAATTACTTCATTGAATATGCAGCCACAGAGGAGGTAATCTGCACAATGTTACATAGGTCTAATGCATACAAGGGATCTAGTAGACTTGGACCCCTTCCAAAAGTTAATGTGGAGCCCTGCCTAATGTATTTTGCACCAGAGCTACATGTAGGCATATATTAACTGTCCATTTTCATTGGAGATTGGGGAGTCCTGAAAAGAATTCTTGATAATCTTTCCTTCTTGAGTGTGTGTAGTCCTAAAAAGGACTGTTGACAGTCTTGAAACAGTCTTGAAACAGACTGTTGGTTATCTTTCTTAGCTTATAGTTCTAAAGAGAATTAGAGCACCGGTTGGAGAGGATGGGTGGTAGGAGTGGCTCGACGTTTCGAACAGGTGACTGTCCGTCGTCAGGAGGTTATACCTAATGAGTGTAGTCCAGCATGAGCTCCTTTCTAGACATTCCAGGTAGCAGAGGAGAGTCATCTTCTTGAACTCAGTGATGTGTTCCTCTTCCTCATCGATGTCACTTCGTCTCGTCACAAAGAGCTTCATCATCCGGAACAACTCTTCTACAACCTGATCAAGAAACAATGTTGATAGATGATGATCATCTCCTGAGCATCGCAAGACGCATTCTGCACAGCAACTATTGCTCTGCGGCCAATATCCTACACTAATGGAGTCCTAAATTCACCCCTGAACCAAAAACTATGCCTAGTCGTAACCCTAATCCTAAAGCTTAAACCTTATTGCAAGCCCCTAACCCTAATTCCTTGAGGCAATAATGAATAGAGAAATTGTTGACTTTTACAATTTTGACCTCGGGTACACAATATTTAGTCAGGAAGCCTCACTACATGCAGCATAGTTGCAAAACTCTATCATTGTAGATTATTATACGTTTTTGCCAATTTGTCAATGCTGATTAAATGGTTTGAACTTTGTCTTTGTAAAATCATCGAAATTTAGATTTGCCTTAATGAAATTTTTAAAAAATAAATAAATAAAAAATAAACCATTTATCCATCTATCATCAAATGAGTACATTTGAGAGTGCTTGTACGTACCATGGGGTACTGGTTAGCATGTGGAGTGAGATACTTGAAAGCCCACTGCATGTTCTGATGCGTTGAAAGCATCCTGGCAAACTGTGGACTCTGATGGCAGCATAACCTGAGCAGACCGTAGTACGCTGGTAGCATGATGCGGTTGAATACTACCACCTCTTGATCATCATGATCGGCACTGGAAAAGAGACAAGGAATACGTGAATTATTCCAACGACGATGGAAAAGGCCATTAAAACCAACAACAACATGCAATCACACTTTACATTATCTTTACATAGTGAGATTGCCAGTCCATCATTAGGCTTTCCAGTATTCAAGATGAAATTGAGTTCTAGTCATAGAGTTTGCTTTGGGAAATAAACTGTCTACAATTTTACAAGAACAGATGATTATTTAAAATCTAACAATTTTGTGAAGTGAGATTTCCAAGCCATCATTAGGCTTAACAGAATTCAAGATAAAATTGAGTTCTAGTCATAGAGTTGCTTTCGGAAATAAGCTGTCGACAATTTCACAAGAACAGATGATTATTTAGAATATAACAATTTTACATCGTGAGATTTTTAATCATAAAAATGCTAAAAAGTCACAAAATCTTGCTTCAAATCACACACAAAGAAATGCACTGCATACATATACAGAAACCTTGTCACAGCTTTAATTTATCACTTTACACTCAGTTTCTCTTCCTGCAATTCTAGTCTAATACATATATATTTCTTTTGCATTTTTGTACTTACAGAATGTAGTTGTATGGGATGTGCTTCATTACAACTGGGTTTGTGATGATGAGTTCTACGTTGTCTGGATAGTCTACACAGGTATTGTACCAAAACTGTAACAGGGCCTGAGGATGGAACAATAAAGCAGTTAAATACTTACTGTACTGGGCTATTTTGAGCGGCCGTTGAATGTCTTATGAACACGAAAATGAGCATGTTTGTAGATATTCACGTAAGGAACAAGATGGTATGATTAGTTTTTTTCCTAATATGCACATTTTTGTCGTTATAGCCTAACAAATTATGCAAACGCTAATTTTACAGAAAACTCTACATATTTGTCTCTAGATTTGTGAAGAATCTTGAAAGTGTATTGAATAAATGTTCCTTCATTTCAAATTCATGAATTTTCATTATTTTTATATTTGAAAATGCATAGGTTAATTTGCTTGAATCATGAATGTCAAATCTGCAAATATACAGGGAACTAGAATCATTACAAAAATTGTCAGACTCCAATTTTTGAATGTTGAAACTCATTATTCATATTAACTTCTTTTTCAACACAAAAAACATATTTTGATGCAGGGACGTCATACATACATGTTACTCTCTAGGATCATGCTAGGTTCACTTCACATCACATATGATGAATGTATTGGGAATAAATTACAAAGCTATATAACAAGACTATGGGTACACTCATTATTGTATACCACATCAATCTATGTTCATTGCTGGTTTTCCTCATCTTTAATTTGACATGAGAATGGTTGACATGGTTGGCTTACGTACCTGTTTGTTGTGATTGCATGAGATGGGTGGTTCAGATAACTTGGGTTGGTACAGATTCCAGAGATCCATGAAATGGGTTGAGAACTGAAATGAAGAAAAACAAAAATACAATACAATACAATACAATCGATACGTGCGCTATATAAGAATCCAATATTATTATTATTATTATTTATTATCATGGTACCATTTCAAATCTACAGACCAGTATTTACGATTCAAACAGGAAATCGTACCTGCCTTTTACTTTTGCCTGCCAAAAAGAAGTCACAATGCAAAACAATTGGAAGTCTCAAATCAGTAAACTGTAAATAGAATTTTAAAAAAATTAAAAATAAAGAAGGCGAAATTCAGCACAATGTGAGCCTATCTCAAGTTCTTCATATTTTCATTATTTACACTGTATTTTATGGACACCAAATTTCTGTTTCCTCTTTATTTTATCTAACTTTAGAAAACGTAATAATTTGAGTACTAAAATGATTGACATAGTTCTCAATATGACTTGTTGCTTACCATTCTCTTCTCAGCTCGTGATATAAGGCAGTGATTGAGGACAGCAAAGTACGCCACAAGCTTGGAGGTACCATGTGCTGTTACATCTGTGATCGCAAAATACACCCAAATAAACAAATCAATTCATGAACGATTACAAACAATAAATGCATCAAGAAACAAATAAGAAAATAAGTAAAATAAGTAAATAATTAAATAACTAAATAGGTAGATGGAGAGATAAAATGCAAATGAAATGAGTTTTAAAGATAAACAGGCGGATAATGACCTAGCTCTCAAAAGGCTCAAACAGCTCTGCCGAGAAAAAAGTTTTCCAAAATGTTCAACATCTAGATGAGGGTAAAGCATAAAGTTCTTATATACAGCTCTATGACCCTTTGATCTTTGACATCATAACCTAAGTTTGGCGGGAATCCACCAATCGGTTCTTGGGATAACTTAATCACGAGGATGGGATGTACGGACGGACAACTTTTACGTCGTTGCTGAGGAATAACGGTTCTAAGTTGCTGCTTTCATGAGGAAGCAGGAGCTACAGTCTTTTGACCCTGTAAGAATGGTCTCTCATGACCTGAATCAACTTACCAACATAGTGTTTAGCTCTAGGGAGTAGTGATAGAAGCAGTGAGTAGATCTGATGCAACACAATCAGGGACTCTGGGGCCAGCTGAAATAAAAGAACAATAAGTGATTTAGTTTCAAGTACATGTCTAGCATTCTTTCTAATTTTCTATGCATATGAATCTTTTAAAAATTGACTTTCATATTTAATTTAGTGACGATGATAACTAGCAGAGGAGACTAAAATGTATACCCTTTTACAAAGAATCTTATATAGATTTCAGTGTAGTTCAGTTTCAGTTTATTTTCATATTTCACATGTTGTATAATACATCATCACATTTGGCATGTTACATTTTTTTCATTTTTGTTTTGGTTGCATTTATACAAATGAAAAGAATAATACATCAGACTAAGTAGAATAAAGGGAGAAATATGATGGAGCCTATGGAGAAAGCAATGCTTGTAGGTCATAGGGTGATTTACTATGGCTTATAACTTTGTTCTTGTCATTAAGCAAAGTACTAGAACATAGTAAGTACTTTTTAGTAAAAATAATTTTTGTCTGTTTTTTCCCCCTTGTCTTCATGACCCCCTCCCCCGCCCCCCCCCCAAAAAAAAAAATTCTGAAGACAGAGACATTCAAAGGAAAAAATCAGGGTGAAGCACAGCTCTTGCTCTCGTGAGCTCAAAGTACCAAGAATGCACCGATTTCAAGTGACCTTTGACCTATAAATCCGAAAGAATAGGGCATGTCTCATACAGAGTTAGGATTGATTCAAATGAACTATACCTTTATATCTTTTATTATGTTCTCTATACTATTAAAACAGATAGAAGATTGTAACTCTGTGACTGATAGAAGGGCTTTTGACTGATCTGAATGTTTTCAAAGGCTCAGACGAATCATTAATCATCCCAAGATAACTTGGCTAGTTTGCAAAATATCCCGCTATATGTCCGGTGCGTCTTCACCAGCCCGAAGACTCGCACTATGCGCGAAATATCTCGAGGTCGAGTCTCTAGCTGATGAAGAAGACGCAATTCGTAACTTCGGGCTTGTTTCCCAAATCAGAAATGGCAGCCTATTTGGCAATCTCGAGCTGATGAAGACATACCCAATGATGTACTTACTCTGATCTCTCTCTGTGGACTATGGAGTGACCTTGCTGACCTGAATGATTGTCTGAAGTGAGGATCAGGTACTAGGGAGATTAGGAGGAAGGCGGCAGCTACAAAGTAGAGAACAAACAAAAATAATAATAATATGTCTTGTTTACCCAGGGTAGCCTCATCAGTATTCATACTGTTCTCCCTGAGGGCCCTGCAATCATATCCTTACCCCAGCTTTAACTGAGCTACCATAAAAAGGTGCTCAAGCATTCAAGGAATTTCTTCCTACCGGGTACCCATTTACCTCACCTGAGTGGAGTATGGCAAACGTAGATTAATGTCTTGCCGAAGGACATTAGTGCCGCGGCGGGACTCGAACCTGGAACCATGCGATCCAGTTTGGTGACGTGTCCACTTGACCACAATACCTCTACAAACAAATTTTTTTTTTAATCACTAAAAATGTGGACATTAATTCAATCAAACTTCCCTTCTATTTGAAACATCGTTCTTCTTACGTTAGGCGAAATGTATGTAATCATTCATAAAATTGATTATTTTACTATTTGTATTTACAATTAAAATGCAAGCTAGAAGTACCAAATAAATCTTTTTTGCAGCCAGAATTTGAACTAGGACTTGGGCTAAGCTCTGTCCTTCACTTGAGAACAATTTTGATCAAGATGCTGCTTATAAGTATCGGCTTGCATGGTGATGTAGATATACAGTAGGTGTAGGGTCGCACCATGTGAGAGAGGGGGAGGATTGGGGAGTCCTGAAAAGCTTACCATTTCGAACCCTGTTGTTTTGATGGATGAGAAACATCTCCACCCATCTGTCTATGTGATGTAGAACCCAGTGATGGGCTAGCTTGTTCCTAGGGACTTGGGCAGCTAACCAGTCCAGGACCTGCTGGGGATTGTACTCTGAGATCTATACAGAAACAGATAGAGAATGAGTTGAATTAAGACTGGATATGCTAGCTTATTCCGGGACCACAAACCAGTCCAGTATCAATTTGTAGTGAGATTTTTACTTGCACTTTTCATATGGGCACTCGACAAGCACAAGTACGATAATACGCCAACCATAAAGCTATATTGATTATTACTTGACAAACTTACAAGAAAATATGTAAAAAGACAATAGCAACAACAACAAGCGCAGAATGTTGAACAAACATGAACTTTAAAATCACCTGTTAGTAGGACAATTCACAAGTGACTAAAATTAGGTTGAAATGGATCAAAAAGATACTCCAGTGAAACCTGTGTATGAAGACCACTGAATGGAGACAACAAGAGCGGTCTTTATGTACAGGCTCCTTTAATATATGTTTCAAAGAAAAATACAGTTCAAGGGAAACAAAAACTATGTTCTTTCTATCTCTACACAGGTGGTCAGTCATTCAAGCAGGTTTGACAGTAGTAAGCATATCAAAAGCAGCGTTCAGCTTTGAAAGCCAATCCATTCTAAGAACTGAAGGGTTTGCTAGTACTATATTGCTAGAACCTGCTTTATTGACCACCTGTCTACAAAGACCACATTTTGTGTTTCCCTTGAAAATAGTTTCTCATTGAAACAGGTACTGTAGGCACCTGTCTACAAAGACCACTTTTCTTGTCTCCCTTGGGTGGTCTTTATAGAGAGGTTGACTGTATTACTTACATCCCATATTCTTTGAAGGATGATGGGTGTGAAGGAGGTGCATCCTGGTGGGACCGGTTCAACCAGCAGGGATAACATCTTGAAGAAAGGGATTCCAGCCTGTAACACCAACAACAACAAAACAACATTTTACATTCAAATAATGAACTCCTCATTTGCAACCTACTGTGTACTGACAACTTTTAACCTTTAATGGTAGACTCTTGTTCCTCTCTGTGGGTATCAGGACGCTAGAAAATATATCAGGGGGGTGTTTCACAAAGACTAAGATAGACTTTAGACTTTTAGTTGGACTTAACTATGGCAGGCTGTTCATGCCACTGTCTACTCTTACCATTGGTCTCTCATTTATGATCTTTAGATAATATTGAAATAATACAAAATGGTTATATTTACCTCAGGACTTAGCTTGCTGATTGCATTGAATATCATGGAGATGATCTGTATAACAAGATGAGCAAAAATAAAAACATAATGAAAATGCCAGATATACATGTTTAAGTACATATAATCAAAATGGTTGTACTTAATCATTTCCAAAAGTCATACCAAATTCGAAATATGAGCATTTTCTTAAGCCTTTTTCCTTCCAAATCAAATGAATAAACTATTATTATTATCATTTTATAAATAACTACATGAGTACAAGGACAATATGGGTGAGCTGACCAACGCCTATGTAACAGTAGGCTGAAAGCCTTGTTCCAACATGACGAGGTCAAAAGTTTGAAAATAAGAAAATAAGAAATATAATTTTCCCCTATATTTTTTGTTATTGTTTGGTTACTCAATATTATCATTTGTTTATCTGTTACCATTACCCTATAGCAGTTCATTAGGTTGACGATCTTGACCATTACTTTCTCTTAGTTTAATTTAGTATTGTATTGATTGAAATGTATTATTCTTTCATCTTTATTGCCATCTTGTACTTGTTATACCTGTCTGTTTGGCTCACTATTGTATATTTACTGTATCTATAAGTTTGTTGTATTATTTGTAAACATGATCAGTTTTGGTCTATGGACCTTTGAATCATGTATATTTATATGTCTTTTTAAGAATAAATGGTAAAAGCGTTTAAGCTAAACCGTTCTCTATCTCCACATCAGGGGATATGCAAACTAAGTTGATTATTTTTATTCCCACAGAATTGCTTTGTGCAATTCATTTACAAGTAAAAATTTGCCACAGCTGTTCAATGCATTACCAGTGCATCCATAAAACCTACCTGCTCAGCCAGCTTGGGCTGGAAGCGAGTGAGTCTGAAGATGAGATTCCTCGTCTGCTGTAGGTTGATGTTGTCTCGGATTTGTTGAAACAAGAATGGAAAGCCCTACGGACAAGATAAACAACACTCTATCAACATATGCAACATGGTGGACATCTAATCAAAACATAACCACCTTCTCTAAAAGAAGTGAATATCTTGCCTCACATTTAACTGTTTAATGGATATAACCCTAAATATTCTGTTTTGCAGACATTGCCAACTCTGTGACATATAATTTTCTTCCGAAGTAAATAACTGTGCACTACATTTATTATTAGACACATCAAGAATAATATCTATTTTTCCATTAATAACCATGAAAATGGTAATTCATGGAATTTTCACAACAAAGCATTGGGAAAGGATCTCAAAAAGGATGTCGCCAGTTTCCAATTGATCAATTATAACATTAAAAAAAAAAATTACAATTTTTAAAATAATCTTTATGGATTATCCTCTAACTTCTAAAGATCATTTCTCTCATTTTTCTGCTTTTACTTCAAACTATGTATTGTATTTAATCAATTATAACTTTGAAAATTACTATTTTTTAATATTCTAATGGATTAACCTCTAATTTCTACAGATTATTTCCCTCAGTTTCTGCTTTTACTTTAAACAATTTATTGTCGAAGCAGATTTGCCTCTTTTATACCTTTCCCCCAACTAGCACAGCGTAGTCGTTGTGAGAGAGAAGCAGCCTTCGGTCCGTCCTGGAAGACTCGACAAGATACGCTATCAGAGAGATCATCTTCTCCAACGATGTCGGCTTGTACTTGTCTTCTGTCAGTGATATGACATCATCGTCGTCATCTTCATCATCGTTCTCGTCATCCGATATCACCTCCACCTTCAAGTACAAACAACCAAACAATACCATTACTTACAAAATAACATTGTGTACCACTTAGCCACACAAACCCTTTATCTCTTGAGCTGTACATTTTGGATCACAGCTGTTATAATGATGCAGAAAATATGTTCCTCCTCATCAGGCATTTATCTAGATGGTGAACTATTAGAATAAGCCAAGTGATGAGCTAAGTAATGATACTGCTAAGAGAAATGCATAATAATCAACAACAAATTCAAATTCATATATTTTACTGCGTTAATGTTCATTGCAGACTCACATAATCAGCTGCTTTGGTGCCCAGGTAGAAGTTTGCCATGATGGATATAGCCTCTACCGACGTCAGGAACTGAGCCTGTATAGAAGGAGGAGAAGAAGTAGAAGTAGAAGAAGTTACATTTATTCAAATCTTTAAGTAATCTTGCTCTCTCAGTAGCTCTTTATCTTGCATTTTGTCCTTCCTCTCATATCTTTGCTCCATTCTGTCGTGTGTGTATGAGTTTGCTTGTATATGTGCGTGTGCATTTTAATTGATATTTCTATTATAATGTACTTGTATGTAGGGTCCCGATTACAAGCAGTCTTGCTTTTTAACTTGTTGTTTTTTGATATTTTTTGTCTATTGTATTAATGGTTTTTTTTCTTCTAATGGTCAATAAATGAAATGAAATGAATGAAAAAGAAGGAGGAGAAGAAGATGGAAAAGAAGGGGAAAGGGAAGAGAAGATATAGAAGGATGAAAAGGACAAGAATGAGAAAGGAAAGAAAAAGAGAAGGGTGGGGAAGGAGGAGATGAGGAAGAAGAAGATTTTAAAACGGATGATGGTTTTCAAATTCTTCAATTAAAGGTAAATATAACATAGGGGATATTGGTACTCCCAACTGGCACAAATTTTACTACAAAAAGAGCATGACCTTCATATGGTCGCACCATAAAAATGAATTATCTTGAAAAACAAAACGAGACAAAAACAAACAAACAAGGGCTATCAAAGTTGTCATGTGATTTTACCTCATCTTCTCCGATCTTTGCGAAATCATAGAGAACTGAGAAGTACTCAGTCAGGTGTTTGCATTGTGGACGTACTCCAACTGAGATCTGGAGGGAAAGATAAACGGTACAAACAGTTCAATCTGGATACATTCAAACAATCATACAACTAAATCTCAATAACTCACTTTAATAATGTCATTAAGAATTTGAACTATTGATACGTTTACTGGATACCATGCTACATACATGTATATTATTGATACCATGTAAATCTATGCACCATATGTACAGTAACATTCTAGGACATTAAAATGAGATGAAAGGTTCAACTTTGTGTTTATGTTTGAGTAAAAGGCATACTTTTATTGGAAGTAATGTTGTACTAGAAGTAATGGGTAAACAGTTTGAAAAATATGCAATTTTCCTCTTTACTTTTTCTATGCAATCTCTATACAAAATTTACATAGTGAGCTATTTTTTTCCTTTTCTTCATGTCTTCTAGAAACATCTAATCTTCATTCCAAAGAGCATATTTTTAATTTCTGTGACACCTGCAATTAAGATACTTTGCCTTAAACATATAAAGAATTTCATTCCAAAAGGGGCTAAATCCGCTTTTATTATTGATTCACCATTTTTTCTTGTAACTTATCACTTCTTTTTTGTATATATATGTTAGGAATATTACCTTACATCATTTATATCATCTTTTAACAAATCTAGCAATGAATGCTATTTTTTCATAAATTTTGACAATTTCAATGTTTGTAGATTAAGCCTCTTTTGGAATGAAACTGCGGTCAACTGTCATATTTTGATTGTTTAACTCATGTTAACGATTCATATTCAATGCAAAACACTTCTATGACTGACTGACTCACCACAAGGAGGAGTTTCTTGATAAATCTTGTCACACAGGATACATTGCCGATCTCATCCGGTTGAATATCACGTTCATCATGATTGCTAAACAGTGGGGAAAAACGTACAAATGTGTAAAGACTTGATGACTACTGACAAGTTGTCATGAAATTGCAAATGACATATACTTTGCATGTAATGTACACGCAAGACTCTCTGTGAACTCGTACATTATCCCTCTAACTTGTTCCAAAATTATTTGTACAAATTCAAATGATTTCTGTGTTCTATTTTATATTTTGTGATGCATTTTCATTTCTACTTTTCACCATGTCTAAATACATTATCACTTGGTTGATCAGCACATACTACATTCACAATTGCTATGTATGGTAGTCAATTTCTAAAACCCGTCCAAATCCAAATCCTAATCCTACACTTGTCTCAAAACCTTAATTTAAAACTACTCTAACCCTATATATTTGATGAAATAAAGCCTTTAGGAAATATTGCCAAAGGAACTCTAAGATCGTATATCTGGGAGGTGTTTCGCAAAGATCCTAAATTGAAATTATCTCTAAGTTAGACTTAACAATTATGGAAAGCCGTTAGCATCTTTGAAAATATTTTGTAAAAGTTATTTTAAAAAGCATAAAATGTTGATTCAAATCATTCATATTTTCTATTATCAAGGAGATTTCTTGCTCTTGATGTGGAATTTATGAAAGTCTAAAATACTTGAATTTCTGCTTTTGAATATATTTCATTTTACGGCTACAAATGGCTCTCCGTTATTTTTAAGTCCAACTTAGAGTTAAGTTCTACTTAGGATCTTTGTGAAACACCCCCCCCCCCCCAGTTTTCTATATTGTATCATGGCGCTTACCCTTCTATGACAGCATGAAGGTAGAGTGGTGCATGTTTCTCTCTCAGCTGTCTGATTACATGGATACAAAGCCTCTGAAACAACTGAGAAGTGATAACAATACATCTTTATGTAAAATAATTGTTCCTTTTGTTAGATTATTGAGGAAAGAGAGTGAAAGGTACATTGAGTGGATGTGATTCTCTTAAAGCCCCACTGTACTACTTGTAGCTACTTGCTCCCTCTATATACAAAACTTCCCCAACCGGTGCCTGTTGGTCCCCCATGATCCTCTTTTTCTTATGTTAATTGAGAGCTGAGTTGATGAGATAGCCAACTGTCAGCTGGGTGGTCTAATCCCTTTTGGCCAAACTATTACAGACGTCCAAAGGATAACTATTCACTTCTAAAAATAAACCATTTTGAAAGGATGATTGCACTTTATCCAATGCAGTTATCACACTACCCCTCGCCCCCCCCCCCCTTCTTCCCCAACACACCCTCTCTACTAAGAGATGGTCATGGTGACCAGCTCTTCATAGATAAAACTGTGCAGTAGTCATGAAACTGGCTGAGAAAGATATTACATGCATTTTTTAATCTAAACTAAAAATGACATACAGTGAATAGCACTACTCAAAAATATCATCAAACTTTGTTCCAATTTTTCAAAAAATCTTTAGCTTTCAATGAAAACAAGGTCATTATGAGAGCAATACCTGTGATGGGAATACTGCAATGGCATTCTTCCTTATATGGATTTAAAATATTTTTAAAAATACATTTTTTTAACCTGAACCAGAACTCAACTTTCTCTTTCTATTCTTCTTCTTTTTCTTCCATTTGAGTACATCCCTCTTTACAGAGTATTGTCGTAATATACTGGGGTGTGCAGGTGGACCACTACACTGGGGTTTCCCCCTACTCTTATACGAATAGTGCAGTGGGTTCTACACAGGGCCTCCATTTAACGTCCTATCCGAGGGACGATGTGTATTGTAATGCATACCTGCCTACATGTCTGTATGGGACATTTGATGAGGATCTGCTGAGGCCACCAATCATCTGTTGCCATGTAGTCCAGGAACCACTGAAAAATGGAAAACAATAAATTAAAGGTTTTCTTCCCTGACATAAAGGTGCAAAAATTATCAAGTTTCTGAAATCATAAGAAAATCTCCTTCTGCTTTGTATTATAGTTACTTCAATCCCACATGCCGATAATCTTGCAATCACTATTATATTATGGCTAACAGACAAGCTATCATCACCTCTACCATGACGGTTTTTCCACAAAATTATTTGCTTACTATTATATTTTCTTGTATCCTCTGCATTCAATCCTCATTTCCTGCCGACCAAGAATTACAATTATTAACTTCATTTGAATGATAGTTTGCAATGATTTTGGGGGACAGTAGCTTGCACAGAAAGGGTTAAATATCTTTTGACACCTCCCATTAGCTTCAAATTTGTCTTAAGACACATTTATTCAAAATTGCTTTTGATGATTAACTTACTCTGTTCACATTGATGTATATCTCATATGTGTTGTAATATTTCACACGTATTATAATTAGTAGGTTTATTTGTAATTTATTGTTTTGTTTAATACGTAATCGTCTATCATTGTATTCTGTTAGTTATAGCGCTTAGAGACTTTGGTGGTAAGCGCTTTATAAGCACTGTTTTTATTATTATTATTATGAACAATAAGTTTGTTTGTATTCTCTCTACGTGTATTCCTTGCTTACCTCACACGCTAGAGGACATGTATGGAACTGATTGGTCATGAGCTCCATCCATTGCTTGGTGTTGGGTTTCTCTTTGGAATGAATCAGTGTCTCCAACATGAAGGACGTAGTCAGCTAAAGAAAGAAGGGAACAAGAACCACTCTCCTTCTAAGTCCATGGTAATGCATTGAATATATGAAGAGCTTAATTTAAAAAGGAGCTAAATCCAATTTTGATGAAATTTGAGTTGTTGATATCAAAACATTGTTCACTTAAGTACCTGTCTTTCAACAAAATTATTTACCTAAATTTTGGGAGCAATTATGAAAAAATGCACCTTCTAATGTCACTTTGCCGAAAGACGCCTGTACAAAATCTGGTAAACAACTTTTCTTTTTCTCTGAAGTTAAATGAAAATGGATTTAGCTCCTTTTGGAATTAAACTCTTCATATTATGTTTATATTGAAAAAAAGCAACAAAAAAGAGATAAACCAAAGCTTTCCATCTTGCCCTCATCGGAGTAAATCGCAAGAATGAATAGAAAGTAGAAATCAATTGATATATAGCCCAGAACCATTCTGATTTCCGGGCCCTGTGTTACAAAGAGATGATATCAATCGCAACTATGTACATAAGAGATAGGAGACTGCAAACTTGTGATTAATTGGAGGACTTACGATTGATTTGGATCAATCATAACTCTTTGCATGACGGAGCCCTGATCTCCTTCTCATCAGATTTCAAATCTGCCTCCGATGGCAAATCTTTCAAATCACTCTCGTCAAAAGCCAAATTTCTATTGAAACTGCATGCATGAGGAAATGTATGTTTATAACCTGGAAAGCAGTGGTAGGTGCAGTATAGACAGCAATAAGGTCCTTTGGCAAGACATTAATCTACATTTGCCATACTCCACCCGGGTGAGGTAAATGGGTACCCGGTAGGAAGAAATTCCTTGAATGCTTGAGCACCTTTTCATAGTAGCTCAGTTAAAGCTGGGGTAATATGATTGCAGGGCCGTCAGGGAGAACAGTATGAATACTGATTAGGCTACTCTGGGTAAACAAGACATATTATTATCATTATTATTATTACAAGACACGAGAAGACGGGTAACCACTCACCTTGGAAGCTATGAGTTGTACTTCTTGAGGGTCGGGAAGGGTCGCTGGTAGGAAGTTACACACCTGCCACATGAAGTTCATGTAGTTCAGATCAAAGATGTAGCTATCCTGCAGGTATCTTGTGTTATCCTCCCAAATCCACTGAGAAAAGTAAAACAAAAATGATCACAAGATTAACAAATCATGAGAATTTCTTGTAATACCGTAATTTTATTATGTGTAAAGTGTATTTGTATAGTTACAAAGAAAAAATGAATATTTACATATATTTTTGTCATACTTTCTGTAATAATAACTGTAATACCTTTGTTTATCTTTCTGTTGGAAATGAAATAAATAGAAATTGAATTGAATAGTTTACCCGACTTCTATCTCTTAACTCTTCATGAGCAACTCAACTCAACTCAACTCAACTTCTCAATAGCTATTTCCAATAATGGTTTACAGTTTATATCTTGATTGACAGTTTACTCTTACACACGCTGAACATGCAGATGATAAAAGGGTTGGCATGGAGCCAAAAACAGGGAAGGTAAAGCACAGCGCAATCCTTCTGTTCACTGGTGCCCAATGTGTGTGTCGATCGTCACTCGTGGCAAGCCTGTCATTTTGGGTATTGGTACTTGTGGCAATTGAAGGGTTAAAGAATCAAATCAAATGATTCTAAATTAATGGTTTCACAACTCTATAAATAAGAGATAGGCGATTTAAATTTCAAATTTGATTGAAGGACCCCTGAGGACTATTCGTGCATTGATTTTTTTCTAGACATGAATGCTATATATAAGAGCTTATCATAATTACAATCTGAATAATCGTCATCTTCATGATCATAATCACCACCATCACCATCAATGTCAAGACCATAATTATCATCGTTACCACCACTGTCATCATCATCGTCATTATCTTCATCATCATCATCATCATCATCACCACCACCACCACCACCACCACCACCACCACCATCATCCCCATCATCATCACCATCATCATCATTATCATCACCACCACCACCACCATCATCATCATCACCATCGCCACCACCACCACCACCACCAGCACGATCATCACCACCAGCACCACCATCATCATCATCCCCATCACCATCATCATCATCATCACCACCACCACCACCACCACCACCACTACCATCATCATCACCGTCGCCACCATCACCACCAGCACCAGCACCACCATCATCATCTTCATCATCATCACCATCACCATCATCATCATCATCATCCCCATCGCCACCACCACCACCACCATCATCATCTTCATCATCATTACCACCACTTTCTTCATCATCACCATCATCATCATCACCAACACCACCATCATCATCACCATCACCATCACCACCACCACTACCATCATCATCATTATAATCATCATCATCATCATCACCATCACCATCACCATCATCATCATCATTATCCATCAACATCACCATCACCACCATCATCATCATCATCACCACCATCATCAAGTTCATAATCACCATCATCATGTTCATCATCATCATTATCATTATCACCTTCATCTTCATCATTACCACCACTGTCATCATAATTACCATCATCATCATCACCACCACCAGCACCACCACCACCACCACCAGCATCATCATCATCATGGGATTGAATAAAGTGTTCCATCACCATGCTTCTAACCTACCTCTGCTATCTCCTTGGAGAGATCTACGGTGGTCTCAAGTGGTTTGACCTTCTCTTTGGTATCCCCTTCCTCTGGGTCACACTGCTTGTAGAACAACATATATGCACTGTGTGTCTGCAATCAAGGGGGACAGATAAAACAAAAATATTAATAATGGCTTCTTATATGTATGACATCCATATCCATCAAGATGTTATGCACAATGTTATGCACAAGCCCCCCCCCCCCCCAGCATTACACCAGTTATAGCCGAGCCACCAGAGCAACTTTTGCTCGAGCATATCTAGTACCAGTTAACATGTACACCCGAGTGGAGAGTGGCAAATGTAGATTAATATCTTGCCAAAGGACATTAGTGCTGAGATGGGATTTGAACCCACAATCTTATTATTTAAAGTTTTGAATGAACCACTTTACCTTTACACCTCTATAAATCTCTTAACTTAAAATAATGCTCAGTAATTGCTGTGAAATTACATTGCAAGAGGGCTGACCAGAAACATTTTTCAGTGGATATCTAGAGAAACAAGTGTATTCTCACATGTGCTCTTCTTATTTGGACAAGAAAAATTAAACTTTAACCTTCCTGATGGACTGCTGATACAGAAGCAGATATATTTATATGGGGGTATTTTTTTTAACTAATGGCTGTTGAATTTAATATTTCAAAAGTATAAACATAAGCAGACAAAAGAAAGTTTTTGTTATTTGAAAACTGGTAGATCTACTTAATCAAACTTACCTTCTCAAAGGAGAAATCCATGTATTTGTCAGTCACAGAATCATAGGTCTTGGTCTGTTGTGAGAGAAAAGAAAAACATAGATGTTAACATTCTACCATAAATCATAAAGGGCTACAAATTATTTCAATCTATGATCACAAGCAAAGTTCAACAAAATAAACGAACCAGCATCACTTATGAAAAATAACACCAGAAATAATTATGGATCCGAACATCGAAATGGTTGTACACATTTTAATAAAACCACAAACTTATATCACATATAACTCTACCAAGGATTAGCTTCCATTTCTCCAAATTTCTTGGCCGCAAATCTACATTTTAAACAATTTGACAAAGATAACCATTTTTTGTTTTACTCCTCAGCAGGAATGGGTACTGTAAAACTTGTTTGAATGGAAGTTTTTATGGTCAATACATACAAATAAAAAACATAATAATAATGAAAACGATAAAACGACATACGATTGAAAATTTGAAATTAGAAATTGGTGCTCTTTTTTTTCTCCCTGGAAAATCCTGCACTGACTGGAAGAATAGAGGGTAATAGGAGTAGGGGTAGAAGGAGGAATCTGTGGATGAGTAGCTTAAGAAGTGGGATTTCTGAAAGTGGAATTTTTCTTGGGGAGAATGATCAACTTTAAAGAATATGGGACAGAGAGTTGTGGCATTCCATGGTTGCCAACGTCCCAGGTCATGGCACGTAAAGAGGAAGAAGAACCCTTCCAAAATCACTCACCGTCATCTCGCCTCCGTAGCACTCGGCCGGCAGCTGCTTGGGGTCAAAGGGCTTGACCTCTGCATCATTAAACATGAACCAGCGATCTTCTTCCTGATCCCTGTGCACACGATCCTGGATGAAGCTATAGTAATGGCCGCCGTCAGCCGTCCCGGTGTGAACGGTCACACCGATCAGCTCATAGAGGTAGCTCTGGGGCGGTTGACTACTGCTCGTTGATGCTACATCTGGTAAAGAGAAGAAACACACAAGAGCTTGGGTTCAAACATGATTCTAACTTTAAATTTTGATATACAGTCAAACCTGTTTTAGTGACCACCTGTCTACAAAGACCACATTTTTGTTTCCCTTGAAAATGGTTTCTCATTGAAACATGTACTAAAGGAACCTGACTATAAAACCACCTGTGTACAAAGACCATGTTTTATGTTTCCCTTGGGCAGTTGTTACAGGCAGGTTTGACTGTTTTTTTCATCCTTAGATGAAAGTGAAAGAAATATGGCTTTGTTACCAAATAGTGGTGACTGAGAGGACAAAAACAATTTTACAATTGGAAGTATATTGACATATTTATTAATCCAAACTGACTAAGAGATGACCTCATAGCAAATTAGGGATGTGCTATGAGGCTATAGCATCTTTGGGAGGATTAGAGCCAATTAGTAATTTGTAAGTATACATTGGTAACCTATTAATGCTTGTCAGTAATAATGCTGGTAGTAATTGACCAGTGCAACATCATTTTTACTTGGAAGTGGTACAAGTCATACTTCTTCAAAGGCATGAAGCATGTAAACACGTAAACTTCAGAGATGCATTGATAAGGTATTCATGAACATATAATTGAAAAGCATTCCCATAGACAATTTGCAGATCTTTTTAGAGAAATCAAATGCCTATGGTTACTTATTCAAAAAGAAAATCACATATCACCCGCCAAATGACTTTTGGTACCCTTTCTTCAAATTGTTGTAAATCACTTATGCGTAAAGTATGCAGCATATGAGTTGCATCAAATGAAAGAGAAGGATCTAAGCTTTAAAAATATGTGTCATATATTAACTATAATTGTGATTAAGTTATGATAAAAAATTGATAATTCTCGGTTTCGTTTTTTCTGGGACGCACTGTATACTTGCTTTTATGTATGCAGGGCCATGCTAAAGAACAGCCATACGACTGGAGTATGCCACCGTGCTAAAATAGACGAAACTTACCAGATCCCCTGCCTTTACTAATGAGTGCCTCCTCCGTATAGCCCGACATGTCAAGTTGCCTCGGAAAGGAGAAGTGCGTGTTGACTTTCTCCTTCATCATGGTGACCATGTTGAACGTATACCTCATGGTGTTGAAAGATAGGATCTTGGGTAGTGTCTTGAAGCAGGCCCTGTGAGAGAGAGAAAGAGAGAGAGAGAGAGAGAGATAGAGACGGAGAGAAAGACAGAGAGAGGGAGAGAGACAGAGAGAGAGGAAGAGGGAGAGAGACAGAGAGAGGAAGAGGGAGAGAAAGAGTAAGGGGGAGAGACAGAGGGAGGGGGAGAGACAGAGAGAAAGAGAGAGAGAGAGAGAGGAGGAATGGGGTACGGAGAGTGTGTCAAGTGGTAAGAATTCAGAACTGCAGAATAGCCCACCACAAAAAAATACCCTTTATGTTAACCCTGACCCTCATCCTGATCCTAATCCTGATCCTAACCCTAACCCCATCTCAAAATTTTTATCGTAGACCCTAAACCTGACACTATCTCTATCCTTGATCCTAACCCTTGACCCCAATCCAAACCTAATCTCAATCGTAACAATGACCCTAATGACTTGTGGGGGTACTCTGCAGTTAAGTCTCAAGTTCTTGGAGAGTTTTGCACAAAATGTCACAACATCTCAATATCTGACCTCTCTTTTATCACTAGTTTGTATTAGAAGTAACTTTATAACAAACATCATCAACAATACTATGCACTAAGTGCACAAAATGGGAGACCAGTTGATCCCAAACTGAACTCTACTCTAGGTAGTCAGTAAGATCTGTTATAGGATAAAATCCTACATAAATGTATATACCCACAATTGTACTTCTTCCACTCATCTATTCAGAAAATGTGTACTAATCGTCATACAGAAACATACACAGTCTACATGACACAGTCCTAAGTAATCAAGAGCTAATTACCTCTTCTCAGCTCTCACTTTCTTGCCACATTGTGAGCAGGTATACATGTTATCTCCTTCCAGGGTGTCTTTCACCGTTACTTCATCCAGAGATTCCTGTGCAAAGGGTGAAAGAGCATTTGATTTTAGATTCATAGTTTTTCTTTACCTCAGTTCACAGCAATGCTGGAAAGCAATCACGCCCAAAAAACTTTTTTTTTTTAAATCCCAAGGTCCGTGGTTCGAGTCCCGCTGCAGCACTAATGTCCGTTGGCAAGACATTGATCTACATTTGCCACTCTCCACCCAGGTGTTAAATGGGTACCCGGTAGAACGCGAAAGCCAATGTAGTATGTTAAGCAATTTGAGCCTAGTAGCTCTTGCTGGAATGCTCCCAAGGGAGTGGAGAACGTGCATACATTGTATGCGGGGAAGCCAGAATCCGATGACCCGGGTAATAACATATCTGTAAAAGCGCTGAGAAACTCAGACATTGCAGATGTATTAAGCGCTATATAAGCAGTATTATTATTATTATAAATATTGAAGTGTTCTAAACTTACATATAGATTCTTCATATCGGCCACTTGACATCTGACAGTGAAGAATTCCTCTGTTGTCTGGCTCACATGAGGGCAGTCCTACACATGGATAGAGAATATAAGGTGATTTAGGATTCTTGGAATTAGGAAGAGATAACCAGGCAAAAGCCAACGTTATATATATAACATACGACTGTCATATGCAGAGATGCTAACCTCTTGACACAAAAAAAACAGACTGAATATTTGACACTACCACTGGCCAGTTAATGGTAACTTAAATTTGCAAATCTATAAAACTGAGAATGAGAAAAAACTAATAGTCTTGGTATCATTCATAAAAAAACATTATACTAAGCGACAATGTCCTTCTTGCTTTTCATCCCAATGCATGTACAGCATGAGTTCTGGGTCAACCATACATTAAGTAATATCTGTATATGAAGAGTTTGATTCCAAAAGGAGCTAAATCCATTTTTTGTAACTTGAGAGAAAAGCAAATTTGTTAACCAGATTTTGTACAGGCGTCTATGGAAAAGTGATATTAGAAGGTGCATTTTTTCAGAAGTACTCCCAAAACTTAGCTAAAAACTTTTGTTGAATGACGGGTACTGAAGTAAACAATGTTCTGATATCAATAACTCAAATTTCATCAAGGGTGGATTTAGGAATTTGGGAATTAAATTCTTCATATGTGATATACCTGTAAACAAAATCAATAATCAAGAGAATTTGTTTCACAGCACCTTCCAATGTAAAACATAGGATGATGAGATTAGAGATTAGATTATCTTAATCCCAAGATAGACATCCAATGTACTTTTAATCTTGCATGGAAATCCCCCTCCCTTGGCCACTGATATGACCAAGCAAGGTCTACAGGCATGCTTCATTGTACTTCAAGAATCAACTTCTTAACCCATTAACTACCGAAATGTTCTCATTCCTATAGGCTTATTACATGGCTGGAATGCTCCCCAGGGAGTGGAGATTGTGCACACAGTGTGTGCGAGCCAACAGTTCCCATAGGTTCAGTAGCAGCTTACTCTATTGTAAAGTTATAGTAGATCAAAACGAGACCAGTAGCCGGGATCATAAAAACTTACAATGACTAAAAACAAGACAAGACGGGTCTATAATAACTGCCCAAATTATCATCTTTTGATTATCTGGTGCCAAGCCAATGAAGTAGCACAGATTGAAAATATTATCCTACATATCAAAAATTAAAAAAAACGTAAAATTCCTACACAAATTGTCATTTAATACTCACCAGTGACACAACATTGTTTGTCAGCTCTCCTTTGAACAAGCTACTCACAGTGTTTTTCTGTTGAGAATGAAGCACACACAAAAAAAAGAAAAGAAACGGTTCTTACATTTTAAGAAGAGCATGTATGGATTGTCTTTGTTACATGTATGTGGAAGACTGGATTCTGTGGAAATTAAAGATATCATTAACTGGAAATGGAGAAAGATTTAAGGGCACTGTTCTTGCATCCCTTACTAAGCTTTCCATGCTGTTTGATGCATGAAGTGTCTTCACTCAGTCCACTAGTATCTGGGTTCTCTCCTTCATCTTGCTGATAGGAAAGGTAAAGAACTTCTTCAAAACTTCAGGTGTGAGTACAATACTTAAAGGGAGTGGGCTGTCAGTTTCCATGTGCAGAAGATCAAAATTCGCTGACACCAGACTTGGTGAAAATAGCATCAATGGGTGTACAAGTCTGCACACAGCAAACCTGTTGGCCAATCAGGAATTACCCCCTTGTTTTTTGATGTAACATGGGATGCCGAGATCAGAGATAAGATTATCTTAATCCCAAGATAGACATCCAATGTACTTTTAATCTTGCATGGAAATCCCCCTCCCTTGGCCACTGATATGACCAAGCAAGGTCTACAGGCATGCTTCATTATACTTCAAGAATTAACTTCTTAGCCCATGAATGCTGATGATGCAAATGTCCGACAAGGACTTTACCCTATGGGGAAAAGAAAGAGCATTCTATAAAGCTTGTTAGACACAAAATGAAGGCTAATCCTGGTGAGAGCACTCATTATTGTGGTAAACATCCGAATGGTGTCAAAATTCCTCATAAGAGCCCACTTCTATCAGCTCGAGATTGCCAAATAGCCTGCTATTTTTTATTTGGGAAAGAAGCCTGAAGTTACAAATCGCGTCTTCATCAGCTTGAAGCTCGAGATATGTTGCTCAGCGTTCGCGTATAGTGCGAGTCTTCGGGCTGGTGAAGACGCACTGGACAAATCGAGGGATATTTTGCCAAATAGCCCAAGATATCTTGGGATGATTATCTCGACTAAATATCCTGCTAATTGCAACTGCGGGCTGATGAAGTCGCAAAGAAGCTGGATAATTTGCCATCGGGATAGTTAAAATAGCGGGTTATTTGGCAATCTCGAGCTGATAAGGACAGGCCTTATGTGTATGTCTTTAAGTGACATAACTACCTCACCCTTTCGTACTCGACAAATCCTCAATTACAAATAAATGGCCTTACCAGTCTGGGCGTGATCTCTTCCATCTTGCTGATGAGATCGGTGAAGAATTCAGTCATGTCCTTCTGCTCTGCCGTGTTGAGGGGCTGCTTGTCCATGGTGTACACTCTGCAGAAGCTACGGGGGTTGTACGCCTTCCTCTCACTCTCCTGCAGGTAGGCGAACATCCGCTGCGTCTCACTCAAGATGCTGGCATGCTTACTTGCCTCGCTCACCTACAAAACAAATGATACCATTATACTTTTACATGTATGATAATAAATGTGATGATATGGTTTTATGTCTCATCAATACAAAATATTGTTCATTCTGAGGGTCCTATTATCATATAGCCCTTTTGGCTCCCAACTGACAGACAAATTAGTGAATAACAGCCCCACCCTCACTATGCTCACAGATCCATCTTAGATCACACATATACCTGTTACATAATACCAATTGCCAAATTCAACTGCCATGGCTACATACAAATTACCTCAGAAAGAGCCCTCTCTATTCAGCCTCAAAACTTTTCAATAACCTGTGTACGTTTTATATTCCTCTCTTAAATAATACACCTCCTCCATTGTTTGTTATCCAAGTTATTTTTAATTCATCCTGTTTGTTTTCATCTTATTATGTTGTTATGATAATTTTTGTGATTTCTTTTGCATATAATTGTTTTATTCATTTACTTGTTGGGTTCTATTGTTGAACACGGCCTTGCTGAAAAGCAGCTTTTAGCTGCTAGCAGGCTTTTTAACCCATGATTAAATAAATAAAATACAAAAAATACAAGAATACAAGCATACCTTTGCTTGCAGGATGGGAGCCCTTGCTTCAGGCATCATGAAGAGCTGCTGCATACATGATGCCATGTAGCAGGTAGCACCAAGGTTAGTCAGACCCACATAGCCACACGACGACCGGCTATCATCCTGAGGCCAGTACTCCCACGGGTAAGGAGGATGGGTGTCTGGAGAAACAGAAGAGGAAGAAAGACGTTGGAGAAGATGAAGAATAAATAAGAAGAAGGAGAAGAAGAATGAAGTAGAAGAAAAAGACAAAGAAATAGAAGGAGAAGACGGAAAACAAGAAGAAGAAGAAGAAGAAGAAGAAGAAGAAGGAGAAGACAAAGAAATAGAAGGAGAAGGAGAATAAAAAAGAAGAAGAAAAAGAAGAAGACAAAGAAATATAAGAAGACGGAGAATAAAAAAGAAGAAGGAGGAGACAAAGAAGAAGAGGAGAAGGAGAAACAGATAAAGGAGAAAAAAGGAGGAGAAGAACAGAAGAAATAGAGTATGTAGAAGAAGAAAAGAAGAAATAGAAGAAGTAGAAGATGAAAAGAAGAAATAAGAAGAAAAAATAAGAAAGAAGAATGAAAAGAAGAAGAATAAAATGAAAACTAATAAATGAAGAGAAATAGAAAAGAATACGGTTGTGCAGCAAATGATCTGGCAATTGCTCTACGGCCAATATCCTACACGAACAAAATTCCTAAAGAATTAAAACTTCAACCAAACACTAGTCAGTATCTCATCCTAACCATTATCCTAAACTTAAAGTATAGTCTATTTTACTTTTAGTCTTTTAACACAAAAAATATTCATATTATTCCTTGAAACCTTGAAATCTGCCTTTCAATTCCATTCAAAAAAAGATAAATATGCCACTCAACTCAACGTGGTACCTCCACGATCAACGGCAAAACGTTCAAGACTTACTTGGTGCATGTTGTTGGAACATGACCTTGTGAAGCAATGTGTAATTGGCCTGGCATTCTCTAGCAAGCTCTAGAAGGAGATCAAAGCCTGCTAGACGACTGGTTCTGGACTTGCACTTGGGTAGGTTCTGGTGTCCTGGGGTCGGCAGCGAGAAGAGGCAGTCAAAGACAGTCTTCACAAACTTCTGCACAAGGAAGTAGATAGAGAATGGGTAAAGGGTGAATACAAATGTTAAAGGGGGTGTATAGCATGGCAAATACTGGTTAACGCCATCTACGACTTCTTTTAGACAACTGCACGTAAACAAATGGACTTGAATAATGGTTAGCGCACGCTAGCGTCCGCGAAACAGACCGAAGTTCTCCTCACGCTTCGGTTTCGCGTATGTTGCACACACGTGAATACTGCGGTTGAGTCATATTATACCCGATAGGCCCGGAGTCAGGCCACAGGAAAGACATGTAGTCTCGTCATGCTACACCCTCTTTAATTTCATTGAAGAAGAGGATAAGCTCAAGGAGGAAAACACAACATGAAATCCTCTTAATCAAACTATCTATCAATCATCCACAAGGTACCGTCCCGGAGCGGGGGTGGGGGGGGGGGGGTGGGGGCTATGCACCTCCATCTTCCTCCATCATCAGCGCTATAAAAGCTTCTATAAAATCATCCAGAAAGACATGATTCCTACCTGCCCACCCTCACTGAACTTGAACGGTGGATTGTGTTTGACTGCTGCTGTACACAGTTTAATGAGACCGGCCAGAGCTAAGTCCTCTACGGTGCTGTGACGGCCTTCAAGGATGGGACGGCTGAAGAAAAGAAGAAATTGAGATATTAGAATTAATTCTTCTAGGATGGGAATTATTTTTTGAACTTAATTGATCACAATACCTTCTTCAAATTGGTATCAATAAAAAAAATTTGTTATTTCTAAATTGTTGTCATCAAAAAGTCTTGAATCTGAATGTGATATATTTATTTTTTATTATTGCTAAATTGTTCTCCTAAAAATGTGTGCACTTGAATGTGATACAGATAGACAATAGCTTTGTCGAAAATTTCATAAAATTGATAATTGGTAATAAATTTTGTTAGCATCTCCACATGATGTATACTAAAGAATCTAAAAGAGGGAGGGGTAGGAGACAGACAGACATACATGTATAAAGAGAAAAAGGGACAAATGTCCCACATATGATGAGCAAATAACAGAATAGAGGCATAAAAGAATATCATGTCCACCTAGAATCACTGTTCAAGGCTAGCCAAACTGGGCCTTTTTATGCCCTCAATTCGATTCCATCAAACGTAAAACTGTAACGTGGGATGCTGAGATTAGAGATGAGATTATCTCAATCCCAAGATAGACATCCAATGTAGTATTAATCTTGCATGGAAATCCCCCTCCCTTGGCCACTGATATGACCAAGCAAGGTCTACAGGCACGCTTCAGTATACTTCAAGAATCAACTTCTTAACCCATGCACTACTGCAATGTTCTAATTCCTATAGGCTTATCACATGGACCACTCAGTTCCAATGGGCTTAGTAACAGCTTTCTCTATTGTAAAGTTATAGTAGTTATGATGTATACTAACAAATCTAAAAAGAGGAGGGGCTAGGAAACAGACAGACATATAAAGAGAAAAGGGGACAAATGTCCCACATATGGAGATATGATGAGAGCATAACAGAATAAAGGCATACAACAAAGCTATGTACAACTAGAATCACTGCTCAAGGCTAGCCAAACTGGGCCTTTTTAAGTGCGTGATTCCATCAAATCATCCTAAAATCCCTATCTTACCTTTCAATCTTCTGGGAGAGGAGCCTGGTGAATGAGTCTAGCTCAGCATTGACCTTCTCTGGGTCAATCCTGCCTGCTCCTACCCCTACCCCGCTGGCATGGGGGCTGTCTCCCTGCCAGTGGAGGTTGTCCATCAGTAGACACAAGAGCCAGAAGTAGTCACGGCAACTGGGTATGCTGTCATCGCAACTCTTGTCGCTGCCCTGGAAACCAATGAATAGAAATGTAAACATTCAGAATACTCTAAGAGCCAATATCACGGTGACTTGTTGATGGCACAATAATTAACACAGATTTTTACAGTACATGTTTGCACATGCCTTGCCAGCTCATTTTGCTTGTTGTTAAATTCACTAAAAAAATTAATGAAATATATGAAAACCAGAGTGGCGATTGTAGATTACTTTCTTCCCAAAGGACTCGATCGCAGACCATGTGATCCACAGTCTGGTGATGTATCCACTCGATCACGACACCTCTACAATGACAAAGATATCATTACCGTACCTTCTTGGGTTGAATGTTGAGAGCTGTATCAAGAGAGGTGAAGAGACTTCTAAGAAGAGACCATAAGAAATGTTGACTGGATGGATCCAGACCTTCACACAGCCTGAACAGACCATCGCATACCTCTCGTCTGATGTAGATCTACAAGATGGGTTTAATACAGACAAGGGTTCATGAATAAAACAGATACTTGACTGTGTCTGATTGGGAAAAGTTAAAGAGAAGGTCGAGTTCTGGGAAGAGGTGACAAATAATTTTTGAAAAAAGTGTGAAAGAACATCAGAAAAAAAAAGTTCCCTCAAAGACATGGCTCTTCATATGCTTTCATATTCCAAATATGGCATGTAACAACATTAAAATCGGGACAGAATTTGAAGCCACATGTTTGTGTAGCCCCATATACATCTTTCTGTGTACAGTGCTTGTAGCTTTACCAAGACTGGGCCAAATTTCTTATCATTTTGATGATTCCAGAACCTTGCAGTACACACTAATACTTGTATGCTAGATGATCAACCTTTTCTGATCGATTCCACACCGTTTCTTTCACAATGCAATCGCATGACCAGAGCTCAACACTATCTTTAATGTAAAATGAAGAGTGCGTTCTGGTGATGGTCATCAATAATTTGCAAGCTTTCTCACTCTTTTCTAATTTTTGATGGATGGATACAATGTGGAAAGACCCCCATGAAAAGGATTCTGTAATGCCCTCATATTCCCTCATGTGAGCAATACTGTTTGAAGCCTTTGATCGCATCTCCATGCCTGATGTGTGTAGCCCCATACACCCATATCTATGTGCGGTGCTATTCATTGTTTGAATTCTCCAGCGAGATTGGGTTAACTTGCTTTCCTCTTAATGATTACATAACATAAGAATACACAATTGTCCTTATACAGTCAAACCTGCTTTAGTGACCACCTGTCTTCAAAGACCAAATTTTTTGTTACCCTTGAAAATGGTTTCTCATTGAAACAGGTACTAAAGAAACCTGTACATAAAGGCCATCTGTCTGTAAAGACCACTTTTCTTGGATGGTCGCTATAGACAGGTTTGACTGTATAATACATAACATGAATATTCCATGATATCAAGATAAAAAGGACCACCCACCTCATTGGTCTGGAGTATAAGCCTTCGTAGCCACTGGTCAAGCTTGTCATACTGACCGATGGCCATCTTGACTTCAGAGTCTGTGGACGCCCACAACACCAACAGCTTCATTGCATAATGGACAACTAGAAACAAGCAGAATGAACGTAACAACCATAATGCGATTATTTGATTTTCAAATTTAGCTGAATTGAGACATCTGCCACCCTGAATACCATGTTCCCTGATCCACTTCATGGCCCTGTTTCATTAAAACTTTTATCAATAACAAGTTAGGCTAAATAACAAAAACAAAGTGTTTCTCGTCCCCGCCCGCTTCTTTTTACTTATACTATTTACTATTCAGAAGCAAAAAGCAACAACAACAAAAACCTGTGATAAACATTTTGTTTAAAAAGCTTCTAAAGTGACACAAATCATTTGTTTTGTCATACATTGCATCAGTATACTCACATAGCACAATGTCTATGAATAGATAGGCTTGGCCTGCTATAATTATCTTGGCAGCCATCTTGGAAAAAATGGTTTAGTTCTTTTGACCATCTACCTTTGACCTTTGACTTTATGTTAGAGTACCAACATATCTTGTACTCACCCCAGTAGCCTGCCTGCATAAGGGTGGAGTCCCCAGGTGAAGCGGCCAAATACAACACACCCATCAGTCTCTCTAGCACTCCAGACTGTGAGAGAAGCTCCTGCATTATCTACAAGAACAAACATCATTTCCATACAGGTAAATACTGAATAACCACATTGTAAATGCTGACTGTACTTTTGAATGCAAATTCAATCTTCATTTTTATTTACACATAATACACCTTTTTAGAATAAACTTTCAAAGCTTTTTTTTTTTTTACATGTAACGTATGACATTTACATAATTCATGTACAGAAATGGGTTATCATAAGAAAAAGCTGGAATGGATGTTCTCTTTGCTGGCAAAAGCAAATTATCATACTTCAGACAAAATGCAGTGTTATTACGAAGGGAAGGAGATGGGGAGTGAGTGTTAAATAGAAGGTGAGAGAAAGAGAGAGAGCATCATGCAGAATCAGTAGATGTGCATTATACTGTACATCTTGTCTTGTCATGTCTTGTTTAGTCATGTCCTGTCTTATCTTATTATGTCAGTTTCCTGTCCTTTGTGTCCCATCTTTTCATTCTTTTGTTTATTTAGACACTTTAAAATGGTTTATGAAAATATTTTATTATTTTATATCTATTTCATTATGATTATTAGGACACTTTAAAATGATTTTTGAAAACAATGTTTTAATTATATTTATTTTTGGGAACCTACAAAAACAAGCTATGCTTTCCAGTAGGCTCCTGTTTCATTTCATAATTTTGAACTTACTTTGTCAACTATGTTCTTTATTATGCAAAAAATTGATATGAATTGGAATAAATTTGAATCAATCTTACAATCTACCAAATTATTAACATATGCTACTAGATATGTCCTCAGCAATTTCAAAGAGCAGTGGACTTACTGCAGAGAACCTGACGGCGAGTCTTCCAGAGTCTGTGCTGTCCTTTCTAGCCCTGGCTGCTGTCCTGGCCCTCTTCCTAGGTACCTCCTCACTGGACGATGACGATGACGAGGGTGGCTCATCAAAGACTTCATCCAGATCTCCGCTCGGTTCATTCAAGGCCTCCTCCGCTGCAAACTCATTGATGAGCTTCAGGACCGAGGCCAGACATTCTTGCTGCCACTATTGAGATGGAAGATAAAGTTGAATACCGGTGATGTGAATAAATTGTAAAAAATTGCTAATTATTTGGAATGTTAATTGTTCTTTAACAAAGTTCCCATGTCCCCCTGGGTATGGCATTGCACAATGCATTTTGGAAGACAGTACAGAGATTGTCAATTATACATGCTGGGGAGTGTTTCACAAAGACAACGATCAACTTTAAGTTGGACTTAAATATGGCAGGCCGTTCATGCCACTGTTTGCTCTCACCATTAAGATCTTTAGATAATTTTGTTTCTTTCAATAATGAAATATCAAAAAATATGAATTATGTAGATTTGTGACCATGATTTTTTTGTCCCTTGAGAGACCAATGCCAGTAAATGGTGAGAGAAAACAGTTGCATGAACGGCCTGTTAAAGTTAAGTCCAACTTAAAGTCAATCTTAGTCTTTGTGAAACACTCCCCTGATCTACAAAGATATCAGATAAATAAATGAAACTGCTATTAAATCACTTTTACACACTTAGAAAACAAACATTACATAAATTCAAATTTGTGTCTTTTAATGTTACCTGCCCAGCATGGACCATTGTCGAGTCCTTCTTTTTTCTTTGTATTGTCTGCTGTATTTATCATAAAGTGACTTATTTTATGTTCATTTATTGGTGAACAAGAATCAAATTCATGAGGCAACCATGTCCATTTCATTTCTGTTACATTGGATGATGGGATCAGAGATTAGATTATCTTAATCCCATAAGAGACATCGATCATGTATTAATCTTGCATGGAAATCCCCCTCCCTTGGCCACTGATATGACCAAGCAAGGTCTACAGGCATGCTTCATTATACTTTAGTGATCAAAGACTTCAATTTTAAATGAGCAATGTAGTTTCACATATGATGGAAAAGGCCAACATAACATTCTATATTTTGTGTTTTTTAAGTCCAAACCATTTAATACAACCAAATTGATATTCTTCATCACATAACTCAACAAAGATAAGCTTTGTACTAAAGTTGCATATTACATTCTGGCAGATAAACAGATAGAGATAAAGAGAGAAACAGAGACGGAGAGACAGAGAGAGAGAGAGAGAGGGGGAGAGGGAGGGAGGGGAAGAGAGAGAGAGAGAGAGAAAATGAGGAAGAGAGAAAGAGAAAAAGAGAGAGAACAAAACAAAAAGCCTCCAAAATGTGACTTCTTTTCTTGTTTAGTATTACTAATATGCATTTCTGTACATCAGAAATAAAAAGATAAAATAAAATAGCATCATTGATAAAATAGAATTACTAAAAATCAATAATATCACTGTAACTATGGTGTAAATTTAAGATTGTAATCACAAGGCTCGTTCAGGCAGGACATGGCAAAACCAAGACGTTATTTGTTTCAATCATGATGACCTGAAGTGTAATATGCTTCACATTTGTGTATCTTACACAGAGCTCAGTGAATACACACTCAAGTCCTTTGTTGCAAGCAGTTGCCATTGATTTACACCAACAACGAAAAATGTGATGGCTTGCAGCGCCATATCTGAACGGGCCTTAATTCCTAAAAATGCACATATTTTTTTCTCCCTATCCCCGCATCATCAAACTTACAAAGTTCCATTGTTTGTCCTCCCGTGTCTCAAGACAAGCCGACATGAAGATTCCAAACAGGTGCTTCAATCCTCCACAACTGATAAACTACATGAAAAATAGGAAAGGTAAAAAAACAAGCTACGTCAGGAAAGAGAAGGCTTTGTTCTGGAAAAGGTGACAAATTAATTGTAAGCTTTTTCATTCTTTTTATGTTAGTATGGAAGAATATTACACCAAAAAAAAATTGTCCCCTGAAAAGGATGGTGGTTCGTCACATGCCCTCATATTCGAAATAAGGTAACAGCTAAACATTGTGAACCACACTTTCATGTCACATGTTTGTGTAGTCCCATATACACATATCTGTGTACAGTGCATGTGACTTTTAGCAAGCCTGGGCCAATTTCTGATGTTTTTTTTATGCTTCCGAAACCTCACAGTATACATCAATACCTATGCGCTACATGATCAACCTTTTACATTCCCTTCCCAGCAGTTTCTTTCACAACTCATTGGCATGACCGTATCTCAACTTTATCTCGAAGATATTTCCAGAGGAATGAATAAAAAGTACAAACATAACACACATATCTCAGACTTCTGAACATGTTAACATTTCTGTTATTGGTTTTCTTTTCTTTTCTTGTACGGGCCTTTGTTTTGTTTTGTTTTCTCTTTTTTGGAGGGAGTGGGGGGGGGGGGGCGGTGGAATGGTGCTGGACTGAGGTACATACTTCCTAACCATAAATTTTTGCATTCATGAAATTTGGAAGTGGTGAGGACTTGTGAAAGTTTCAAGCTGAAAAAAATAATGGAACCAAAACGGCCACAACACAAGATCTTTGCAATTAGTGAAGGTTTTTGGCTGAGAAAACAAGTCATTTACACATCCAAAAGTTTCTGAGGGGTGTTTCACAAAGATCTGAAGTCAAACTTAACTCTAAGTTGGACTTAAGCATTATGGAGAGCTGTTTGTAGCCTTGAAATAAAATATATTCTAAAGCAAAATTGCAAGTATTTTAGGCTTTTCATAAATTCCACATCAAGAACATGAAATCTCCTTGATAATAGAAAATAGGAATGAGTTGGATCAACATTTTAAGCCTTTTAAAATAAGTTTTACAAAATATTTTCTAAGACGCAAATGGCTTTCCATAATTGTTAAGTCCAACTTAGAGATAAGCTCAACTTAGGATCTTTGTGAAACACCCCCCAGGTCTTTACATATGATTCTCCTTACCATCGTACTCCATGATCTCTGTGAGAGGACGTCCACATCACTATCCATGTCATATACATTGGTTTCACTCTTACTCTGCAAGGAGAAAAAAAACAGTAACAGATTAAACTGCTTCGGCAAACACCTGGGCCTTGTTTCACAAAACTTGTCATCAGTGACAGTTTTTGTTATAAGCTACTGAAATCCTGTCTTCTGATTGGTTATCAGCAGGTTTGTCACTGATTTTTGTCACTTGTCATTGAAAAAAGGCTTTGTGAAACGGGTCCCTGTACAGAATGACCACCTGTCTGTAAAGACCACATTTTTCATTTTCCTTGAACAATACAGTCAAACCTACTTTAGTGACAACATGTATACAAGGACCACCTGCCTCTAATGACCGCAATTTTTGTTTCCCTTGAACTGTGTTTTCACAGTGAAACATGTGACCTTTGCTTCGCGACAGACAGCTACTACTACTACTTTGAGCAACACAATGGCTTTGCAAAATTATCTATTTCCAGTCTTAATTAGCTCCATGACAACCCTTTTAACACCAGTATAGATCAAACTTGCACTGCAAACAGTTAAATAATCTTGAAAGCTTTGGTATATTTATCACATGTGAAACAAATTGAGGCACAGGGAGATTATTTGTGTGGCACATATAGAGTTATTACACTAGGCATCAGTCATCTACCTTGGTTGGAATTGAATCCATAATCTTTGATTTAATAGGCAGGAGTGGGAGTGTCGTGGCCGAGTGGTTTAAGGCGCTTGATTAGAGATGCGAAGGTCGAGGGTTCGAATCCTGACACGGCACTTATATCCTTTGGCAAGATAGTAACTTGCACTTGCTTCTCTCCACCCAGGTGTTAAATGGGTACCCGGTAGGATGCGACCGTCATTGTTGGTCAAACAGTTTTTGAGCGTCAAGTTACACCTGGCTGGAATGCTCCCCAGGGAGTGGAATATGTGCACATATTGTGTGTGGGCAAGCACTGAATCCTATGACCGGGGTAATAGTATATCTGTAAAGCGCTTAGAGACATTGTATTAAGTGCCATATAAAAGCGGAATATTATTAGGCAGACACTTTTAACTGAGCCAACTAGCCTCCTCAAATTCATCACCTTATTCATATCGTGTATACATGTCAATCAATTTTAGAGAGTGACTGGACAACCAAGCAAATTCATGATACCGTATTTATTGATTCATATTCTGCTGACCTTTTTGACCTTCATGGCTGCTACCTCTGCCATGCTGGCTGAATGCTCACTGGATCCTAAAGAAGCCTAGTAAAATTAGAAAAACAAGATTAGAAAATGAATGTTATCAAAAAATATATTCATTACAACAACAGTCACTTGTAAAAAAAACTACATTAGACAATAGTTTGAGCTCAGGCGTTGCTTAATTCTGTTAGACACTGTGGGACATTTGCTATGATTACTTTTGTGAAAGTTATACTCTAATTTCTGTTATTTTCATCTTCTACCATGTTGAAGGTTATATAATAATTTCTTTTATTTTCATCTTTTACCACTATGCACTGTAATATGAATCAACATGACAGACCTGCACTCTTACTCATAGGTCATGAATTGGGTATCTCCATTGTAATTTCTCTTCCTTTGTTGACAAGTATTAATATCAATAAAGTGAACAGAAGAAGAAAAACAAAAACACCAAACCATAAAGATATCCATTGTAAGAATATGAGAGAAACCTACCACCGATTTGCTGCGTTGCTTCTTGGTAGGTTGCCCCAGAGCCTCGATGATCTGAAGAGAGTAGAGAAGCTTGTGGGGCTTGTTCTCGGTCAGTAATTTGCCCCAGTCTACCTTGACTGGTGCGAGGTCACCTCCTGAGGGCGTCCCACTAGAATTCTGCCCATCATCCTTGGTCTTACTGACTTCTGCCTTTGCTTTGCTGGTGTTGGGCTGAAATGAAAATAAAGAAATATCCTTATGAATTATGCACTTATGTGTAGTATAGATCATGATTTACAGTGTGAAGAGTTGAGAAAGGGATTCAAAACTTGACAAGGGACTGTTAGCAAACATTATGCTGACTGTACCAAAATATTGAAAAGGCACTCCTATTGGTGCTTATGCAATTATCGCTCAAAACTGTAAGCGTGTGCAGCCAGTTTTGTGGAGATATTGCCCAATGACTTGCCCTGATTTCAATTTGTTGTTACAATTACAATACTTTCACACGGTAACAGAATTGCAGTAATGTGTACAGTATTGTATATACAATAAAGAGCTTGACACCTGGGCCCATATTGATAAAACTTTACTAAGCTAGGTGTCAACTAATTATAAAGGCTATGGTACATAGCTAGTTGACAAATAGGCTTAGTACAGTTTTATCAATATGGGCCCTGGGGAGTGTTTCACAAAGATCCTAAGTAGAACTTAACACTAAGTTGGACTTAAAAAGTATGGACAGCCATTGGAGCCTTAAAATGAAATATATTCAAAAGCAAAAATTGGAGTATTTTAGACTTTTCATCAATTCCACATCAAGAACATGAAATCTCCCATGATAATAGAAAATATGAATGATTTGAATCAACATTTTATGCCTTCTAAAAAAAAAAATTACAAAATGTTTTCAAGGATGCTAATGGCTTCCCATAAATTTTAAGTCCAACTTAGAGATAAGTTCAACTTAGGATCTTTGTGAAACACCCCCCTGGAGCCCAATACATCTGTGGACTAAGTTAAACCAGGGCCCTGTTGCAGAAAACTTGATATCAATAACAAATGCTAAATTTCTATGACAAATCTGCTCTCAGCCAATCAAATGCCACGATTTCAGTAGCTGATAACAGCTATTGTAACTTGTTATTGATAACAAGTCGTATGAAACAGAGGCCAGGTTTAAATTAAAGATAAAGTTGAGTTCTGGTCATGCGATTGCATTTTGAAAGAAACGTTGTGGAATCAATCAGAAAAGGTTGATCATCTAGCATATAAGTATTGGTGTGTACTGCAAGTTTCTGGAATCATCAAAATGATAAAAGAAATTTGACCCGGTCTTGGTTACAAGCACTGTACACAGAAAGATGTATATGGGACTAAACAAACATGTGGCATAAAAATCTGTCGTGATTTTTATGATGTTACATGCCATATTTATAATATTCAGGTATTTGAAGAGCGATGCTGTTCAGGGAACATTTTTTATCTGATGTTCTTCCACACTTGAATAACACAATGATAACGCTAACAAATCATTTTTCACCTCTTCCCAGAATTCAACCTTCTCTTCAAGTCTGTCTCTATGAAAACAGGTCTCTTACTGTACCTTGATAGCAGGTAATGTCTTGAAGCCGTTGAGGACATCGGGACTGGTAGGTAGGAGCATTAGAAGATCCCAAACATTACGTGACAGCATCTGGGCTCTGCTCTCAAGGTCTCTCTCAGACTCTTCCTCCTGAACCAGTGAGTAGAAAGAACACAGTAAACAGGGAGTGTTTCACAAAGATCCTAAGTTAAGCTTATCTCTAAGTTGGACTTAACAATTATGGAGTTAGCATCTACAAAAATATTTTGTAAAAGTTATTTCAAAAGATTTAAAATGTTGATTCAAATCATTCATATTTTCTATTATCAAGGAGATTTCATGTTCTTGATGTGGAATTTATAAAAAGTCTGAAATAATTGAATTTTTCTTTTGAATATATATTATTTTTTTAGACTACAAATAGCTGTCCATAATTTTTAAAGTCCAACCTAGAGTTAAGTTTGACTTAGGACCTTTATGAAACACCCCCAAGATGTACTAAGAAAACTTCTTAAGGAACTGACCAAATTATTTCGAAAGTTACAATATTGTCACATAATCTAAATTTGAACTTCATATGCTGCATTTATACTTGTAATCATACGATAATATCATCTTCTTTATTCCAAGGTAGCCTCATCAGTAATAATACTACTCTTTCTATTTCTAAAACCATCCAGTTACACTGCTGATCCATCGTCTGTATTTCAAGACCAGTTGTGCAAATACCATTTATGATCTCTAGCGAAATAGGACGACATGAGATTTGTTTTTGTTTTTGAAACTGGTTACTACATGTAGCAGTCTTCACAACAGTAAGAAAGGTTTACCTGTTTGCCATCACATTTTAGTTCATTGAGCTGCTGAAGCAGATGAAAGAGGCAGCTGAAGTGTGGCTCCCCCAGTAAGAGCATCATGGGAAGCTTCTCTCGAGGGGGCGGAGGCAGGCACGATGCGGGTTGATCAGCCCCTTCACGCTTACGCTCCCTCCTCATAGCACCAAATGATACAAACACCAACTGATGAGAACAAAATAAAGAACAGCATGGGGTTTTACTTCAAGACTGAAAGACTGTGTGTATCGATTCCCTGAACCTAGCACTTAGGGTGGTATTCTCGAAAGCAGACTAACTTTAGTCCATGGTTTAATCCTCCGACTAAGTATGGAATGCCAAGTGTCCATATGAATATATTTTTGAATAATTTGATATGTCCCTTAATGACCATGATAAAATAATTATTTTATAGTTATAGTGCTGTTCATTAATTATGTTATTACATTTTATTTTAATTTAGTGACAGATTAAATTATTCAAAAACATATTCATTTGGACGCTTTGCATTCCATACTTAGTCGGAGGATTAAACCATGGACTAAAGTTAGTCCGCTTTTGAGAATACCATCCTAAGTGCCTGATTCACCTAGGACTGCCCTCCCTATTCCTCCTGAACTACATGAGACCACTCATAACCTTTGACACATCGGAACAGCAATAGTAGAGAGGATCATGGGTGAGGAAACTTGTGTGTGCACTATCTCAGCGTTTTTTTAGAGTTAAATTTTGAACTGAAGTAATGTACAGTCAAACCTGTCTATAGCAACCTCCCAAGGGAACCACAAAAAGTGATATTTATAGACGGGTGGTCTTTATAGACAGGTTCCTTTAGTACATGTTTCAATGAGAAACCATTTTCAAGGGAAACAAAAAATGTGGTCTTTGTAGACAGGTGGTCACTAAAGCAGGTTTGAATGTACTACTGTGGAAAGGTTCTCCACTCAGAATGGAAGTGTTACCACAGGATGGTTTACCGAGCTGCTTAAAAGGTAAATCACAGAGTTGCAAATTTGCATTTGATCTATCATAACTCTCTCATCCATTACCACATTTTCGTTATCACACTGCCCCTGATCTGTTTCTAAAAATGTTCATTAACAAGTTAATATCAGAGTAGACTTCCCCCATCAATTTTTGGAGACTGCTTGCCTCATAATGAGTGATTTGAAGTTTGGTGTTAAGGGCTGGTGTTAATGTTCAATAAACACTTACATCAGCCCTAAACACAGAAATGGAAATCAGCTGGTGTTAAGGCTTTGACCTCTGAATATCCTAAACTTCCGGAAGCTTGTGTTATCGATTTTGCAAAATTGTCGTTTACTGAACTGACCTTTGTGGCTGGTGTTAATATTTTACGTACAAATGTCATATTCACTAACACTAACACCCAACTTGAAATCACTCAATATAGTGAATGTAAACTACTAATTTTTACCCTCGCATCACTGAAACTCATCTCCTTCAGGGTCTTCTCGTCAAGATCCGGTATGAGCTCATGCCCGGCCGATATCATCCTCACTGGTCCAGGAATAACTGTCGGTAGACCCTGGTCCTCTCCTTGCTGCTGCGGCTGCTGCTGGGGTTCTGAACCCCCGCCCTTCTCATCCGGTACAGTGGCTGCATAGAGCGCTGCCAATTGACCGTTGTTCTCTGTGGATTGCTGCTTTAAGATGTCGCTGCAGAAGTGGGTGACCTCTGCCCGGAGGTCGGCGACAAGGTCAGTGACATTCATCTCAAGGGTGAACTGTTACAAAGAAATATGACATATCTTCAATGAAAGTAGACCTTTACAAAGGCATTAAATCAAAAATCATTTTGTTCTGAACGTATGTTAGATGTTCAATGCCGCTAAACTACATTCAAACATGAGCTTCTAACGTGACTTTTAGGAAAAGATAAAGTTTAAATACACTCTCAACAGACAGGAAAAAACCTAGTGAGTTGACTAGTTGACACACTCATATACAATAAAAAAGAAAAGGGCATGCATGGAACCCAAGTCCAACTTGTTAACCTTGCAAGGGGTTAAATGTACTTTTACTCTTTACACAAAAGAATGCAAGGTATTGGCAAGTTTTTGGCAGGTAATTTTCAACATATTACATGTAGCTATATACACACTATTCCCACATCTGCCAACCTTCCACAGCAAAACTCAGAGATCCTGTAAGGCCAAATTAGGAATGTATCACGTTTTCATAATTGAATACGGATGATTTCACAAACTCAAAGCCCCACTGCACTACTTGCAGCTACATGTACTTGCTCCCTCTAAATAGCAAATAGTGCCTAATCGGTGCCTGTTGGCCCCCCATGATCACCTTTTTCTTATGTTAATTGAGAGCTGATTTGATGAGATAACCACCTGACAGTAACCATACTGGGTGGTCTAATCCCCCCTGGCCAAAGTAGTGCAGACAGGCTTTAAGAGGAATCTAGGGTTCATAACATAAGTTTTTAAGGCAGAAAATAGAAATAATACCTCCACTGGCAGCTTGGTTTTCAAGTGATTTGTGCCCTTTGATGTGCTTAGACCTACCTTGTCTGGCAAAGATGCTATTTGGCATAGGACTCTTATTGTGGCTGCCTGGCTGTCTAGAAGATGTTTCTGATGACTGGTGATGCCACAACCCTCCAGCTGCCACTGGCGTAGGTGGTATGCATATCTGAATTGAAAAAACAAAGAATTCTCAGAAATAAAAAGTGATCGTCTTCTGTTCTGGCAAAGACAAAAAAAATAATACTTCAACAGAATCCGACAAAATTATCACCAAATATTTATACATATAAACTAAAAGTCCTTCCCTTTCAATTTCATGTTTATTTTGTTAATGTATTGTATTGTGCAAATTGATCTATATGTATATAAATATGTGAAGATGTTAAAATGTACCATCATTGTAAATATGAACGACTGAAAGAGGAAAAATAAATGAATTGAATTGAATTGAATTGAATTGAAAGTATCTACCCAATGTAAGATTGCCGAGTAACAAGCAAAATAAGGCATTCCACAAAATGGGACAGGATTACAAAATGACAGGTTTTTATAACACTACAGTCTATTGGGGAAAATGAGTAAAACCGGTCAATCAAGATTTTTACTTTTGTGGTGCACTTCATCCTCATTTTGAGGTGCAATTTTGTTAGGGCTTCAAGACTACACCATATCACAGACACTGATAACATGTAGGGCCATGCATCTCAGATTTAACATTGTTAAACAATGCCTCTAATCGAATCCTGATTACCTTTTTCTGAAAGCTTCAAGGTGAGTTTTAAGTAGGATGAGCCCTCTCTGTAGGACCAGGAGACTGGCGTCAAGAGATGAGTTGAGATCAGCCGAGGCCTGGGATAGACTCTCCATGCATCGCTCAATAAACTCTTCTTCCTTCTCTAGAGTACCGTTACCAGCTGGAACAGCAAAAAAAAAAATAATGATATCAAGGGGTCAGTGACACAAAGACGTAAATTCATTTTGGCCATTTTGAGAAAAAGTGGTTTATGTGTCAGTGAGCACTTGGGCCTTAAGGAGTTAAGTCCATGTTTCACTAGCCATTGACTTCAATGGGGTGTTGGGTGGAGTTAAGTCTTTGTGTTTGCTGGAAAGCCCACATTTTTCTGAACACTTTGATATCAAATCCTCATTTTGGCAAAATATGGAGTTACGTCTTTGCGTCACTGAACCTTTGATGTGTCCTTTTACATAGTGCAGCTAGGATACAATACACTCTACTGCCCTTAATAGAAAGTATCCCACATTTCCCACACATTAGCCGAGTCACCAGATTAATGCATTCAAGGAATCTCTTCCTTTGGATTATAAAAGCAATTTGTATAATTCAAGTCTGCATAATCCTAAAGATACATTTACTGTAAAATAATAATAATCTGTTCCAGTATAGCGCATAACACATTATGATATAACGTCCCTATGTGCGTCCAAAGAGCGTTGGAAATTATTACCCTAGCTTTAGCTCTGGTAGCTGTTATCAGCCACAGTGCATTTCAAGGAATAATCCTACCAGGTACCCATTTACATCACCTGGGTGGAGTGTGGCAAATGTAGATAAAGGACTTATCAAAGGATGTTAGCGTTATGTTTTTAGTTTTTGTAGAATAAAGGGCATTATCTTGCATCTTTGATAGTCTTCTCGTATGGTCAAACTGTAGACATATTTATTTTAAAATATTTCTGTCACTTTGAGTGATTTATGTACACTAAACATGACATGCATCTGGGGGGTGTTTCACAAAACTTGTCATCAGTGACAAATGACATTTTTTGTTATAAGCTACTGAAATCCATGCTTCTGATTGGTTATCAGCAGATTTGTCACTGATTTGTCATTGAAAAGGGGCTTTGTGAAACACCACCCTGATTGCACTTTGACATGTATCCCTATGATACATATTGCTCATAAAACACAAAATATTTCAAACTGGGATATGCCAAACTCAGTGTAGTCTCCAAAATTTGTGTAGAATTTTTTTTTCCTCATTCAAATCCACCATATTATCTATGTTCACATGAAGTATACTATAGCTAAGTCCATGTCTTGGTATGAAAAACACCATTGTTTTGCTGGTGCAAAATTCAAGGAACCTGTGATGCATTGCTTGCCAATCAAAGGATTTAATTGGGATACAAGGACCAGTATCTATTTTTGTGTAAATCATCTAGTTAACTACAAGCTTGTGTTAGATATCTATGGATTGTGACTTACCATTGATGTAATATGAGTTGATATACTGGATTGCTGAAAGACTAACGTCGGTGTTCTTTGCTCGAAGTGCGATCTTCCACAAGTGATCTATACCTGGCATCTGAAAAGATGAGAATGTTTGATTTTTTAATTTTATTTCTGCATTTTTCCAAATATAATAACTGATATAATAACAAAGAACATATAAACGTAAGGTATAATACAAAATATACAAACAATAATAACTTCATTTCAAAATGTTTTTTTTAACATATTGTACATATAATAACGAAACTTAATATTTCTATAACAAATTATTATAAATTTGAAGTATCATCCAAACTATCTGTTGAAAAAGTGAAGGAGACCGCAATCATAAGCGATGCTTGACTAGGATGGCGGCCTCAAAAAAAAATCTTAAGGTAAAAATTAAAATGAAAAAAGTGTCTCACATAAATGCTTTGAGCTACATTGTACAATGTATATCACTATTAAAAGGATTGGGTGTCTTTGCCTCAAATTCTAAACAAAGTCCTAGATTTAGCTCATGCTGCAATCATAATTATAGACCTTTAGGTCAGTCAGGAATCCCATGACTTTTACAAGCAGATCACCTGTCTGATTATCAAGATATTTATGATTTATGATTGTATTCCATTCCATTTTCAAGTGTTTCTGTGTGTAGGGCCCTAATTTTAAAACAGTGTTTCTGTTGTGGACCAGGCATCCCTGGATAAAAGAATGAATAACTAGAAAGAAATCAATTGTAATTTTACCTCTACTGAAGGACTATTGTAGGAAGCAGAGCTAGCTAGTCTAGCTAAGCTACACAGCTGCTGAAATAAATTCAGTCCAGTCATACTGATGCTGTCTGGCTCCAGCTGGGGCATCTGGGTTTACAAGAGAACAGAGGAGGTGAACATTGTTTATTTTCATCAATTTCACAACATTTTGGTTACACAAAGCGTCTTTCACTTTTTCAAAAGTATTTTTTGAATGATTATAAGTCATACATATCAATTATTGAAAAGAGGAAGTGAATATTGTTTATTTTCATCAATTTCACAAGATTTTGGTTACATCGAGTGTCTATCACTTTTTCAACAAGTACTTTTCAAATCATTACAAGTCATACATATCAATTATTGATCAAAGTAAAAACATAAAATACTGCCAAAAAACGCAAGGCAGTATAAAGTGGAAGCATGAGGGACCAAAGTGAGAAGAAAAGATTAGCATAGTTGATAACTGCAAAACGGCTTCTCTGGAGCTAAAAGTTTACACTTCCATACATGCCAACATTTGAAAATCAAAAATCTGTACACTATGTGCGCAAAGCGCACATCACGACCGCGAAGTCTTTTTAGCCGGGGTCCAGGGCCCGCTTTAGGGCCCTGGAAGCTCTGGGTTTCCAGATGCTCTCTGGTGCAATCTGAGCCTATTTTAGGGACCATTTCCCCTAAAATTCAACCCAAGTTTATGGGTAATTTTTGTGTCATACTAGGTCTAGGCAAAGTCATGCAAAAAAATATATTCAAGAAATTGACTTGAAAACACATCAGACAATTAGTCTGAACCGAGTCAGGAGCAAATTTGAAGAAATTATATTTTTAAATGTTGTAAAACCAAAGATATAAGAAGAAAACTGACCAAGTATCTGTACTAAAAATCGTACATTCGACAGCTGAAAATGACGCGCACGGTTGTGGTACGTGCGTTCTCGAATCCAAAATCGTATCTCACACACACACTCTCGCCATACCGCGAATGGTCCGTCGTGGGGAGCTAGCCGCCCGAGAGTTTGCCAGTGATACCAACGCACCCTCGGAGCTCCGCAGCGCACAATTTTAGCGGAACTCGAAAGGTTCGAGGTGGGAAGGTGGCGGGCTAGCTTTTTGCCATCGTTCCTTGTATTCCTATTTGTACTTCTGAATTCGTCTTGCTGCTGTTCCGCTCATTTTGACAGATTTTCTTCCGAGACAAATCACAAATCACAAAGTATACGGTACCTTGAAACACGTACTTTGCATTGGGACCCTATGCATATACGGTGCGCTAGCTATAGCCGCGATAGCCAATGCATGCTGCTGCGCTGATATATGCGTGCAAACGTATAGAAATTATACTTACGAGATTTGCCAGCGCAAGTATTTACGTACGGAAATGTTACGTACGGAAACACATATCAGAGTGCACGTGGCGCGCAGCAACACGCTGCCACTGTACGTACATATCAGTGCACGCTGCACACACCTTGCGCAATGCAATCCGTTCAGCACTCAATCGGATCAATACTATGTATGGAAAGCCAAATTCCCCAAAATCGGAACGATCCATTTTTTAGGGCTATAAAAACTTCAAAAACGGAACAGTTCCGTTAAAATCGGAACGGTTGGCATGTCTGCACTTCCTTCTAAAAAGCATACTACTTGAAAGTAAAAATACATACTTTACAACAAATGCAATACTACAGTGAACTTATTCAGGCAATGTAAAGCCTCATTCAGAATTTTTTCCTTTTTTTTTCAAAATATTTATTGAAAACAAATCTCATTCATAATAATAACAGTACATGATAATAATAATAGTAATAATAACATGTTAGTATAGACATAGAATATGTATAATAAAAATATAGTGTAATAGTGAAGTCATCAGCAATAAAAAGATTTGATGCAGTAAACCGAAGCAGAATTGTTTGGACTTAAATATAATAAGCTTCACATTTCTGTATTTTATAACCCAGAGTTCAGTGAATACACACAAGACCTATGCACAGTTACTATTTATTTACCTGTAAAATAGAAATGCAGCCCTTTTTTGTGGTGGTTTATCAGGGCATATATCTAAAAAGCCTTAATCAGTGTGTAAACAATACATATTACTGCAAAACAAAGAAAGATCACAACTTAAAGATAAAGTTGAGTTCTGGCCATGTGATTGCATTTTGAAAGAAACGTTGTGGAATCAAGCATATGAGTATTGGTGTACTGCAAGGTTCTGGAATCATCAAAATGATAAGTAATTTGGCCCAGTCTTGGTGAAGTTACAAGCACTGTACACAGAAAGATGTATATGGTACTACACGAACATGTGGCATAAAAATCTGTTCTAATTTGTATAATGTTACATGCCATATTTAGAATATTAAGGCATTTGAAGAACCATGCTTTTCAGGGAACATTTTTAATCTATTGTTCTTCCACACTTGCATAATACATGTACAATGATAATGTTCACAAATTATTTTTCACCTCTACCCTGAACTCAACCTTCTCTTTAAATGTGAAATAGAAATGCAGCCCTGTTTTGCGACAGTTTATCAGGGCACATCTGAAAAGCCTTAATCAGTGTGTAAATAATACATATTAATGCAAAGCTAAGAAAGATTCAAACTTAACCATTTTTGACCCAGACTAGAGTATGAGCCCATCCTTACCTTGTGGAAGAATATGTGTTTGAAGTTCTCTAAGCCCAGAGCATGTTGGTCCTTGTTGTTAGCTTGCTGTAAGAACCAGTTGAGCGCTTCATCGGAGCAGTCCGAATCCAAAGCTAGACATGACCACAAGGTATCCACTTGATCAAGGGTCAATCCTAAAGGTCAAAGCAAATGAGAGATGATTTCTAGTACATACAGCAATTGACTGTGAATGAACATTTTGATGGAACTCTCAGTGGAACATTTGACTGATATCCTGGTCCAGTGTGACATCTGGGGTTCCTCAAGGGTCAGTGTTGGGTCCGACCCTTTTTAACTTTTATTTTCACTTCAGTGAAGTCAAGAAACTAGTGCCAGCTAAAACTAAACCTCTACTTCTTATTTGTAACCAGGAGGCATGCCAAGCATGTCCTCAGCAGAAGTTTTTTTTTTCTTCAATAGGCTACATTGAAAGAAATATAGCTGTGCAAGCATGGGAGAGGAGGGAGGGGGCTTAATTTTTCTATCGTTGATTGTTCAACATTTGAGTAGTAGTGGTGATAGTAGTAGTAGTAGTGGTGGTTATTTTACCTGACTGCTTAGAAAGCATAAATGCTTGTTAGTAAGCAACCAGAGGACTGACGGCTTAAGGTCCTCTGCGAGAGACCTGGGAAAGAGGATTAATGCCTTGAACACAGGTCACCGGATTACGAGACCACTGCTCTACCGACTGAACTATTATCGCTCCTCCTATCGAGCTATCGAGTGAAATGCTGCCTTATGGTATCCTAGGGAGATTGTCTGGGAGAAGGGAGAATTTGTCCATGCCTTTGTTTATCTGAAGTGTCCCACACTTGGTATCAACGCCAAGGGCATTATGCACTGGCAAGACCCCAGTGGGGTGTATCACAAAGACTAAGATCGACCTTAAGTTGGACTTAACTATGACAGGTCATTCATGCCACTGGTTGCTCTCACTAGTGGTCTCTCAATCATGATCTTTAGATAATATTTTTTCCTTCAATAATGAACTATCAAAAAATGTAAATTCTGTAGATTTGAGACCACGATTTGTACGTCCCTTGAGCAATCAATGCCAGTAAATGGTAAGAGCAAACAGGGCATGAATGGCCTGCCATAGTTAAATCCAACTTAAAGTTGATCTTAGTCTTTGTGAAACACCCCCCAGATATACAACACAATGCCAGACTTACTGAAGTGGTCTGGAGAGCCTCCGGTAGAGAAGACACAGGTTAAGAACTGTAACCTGGTCTGAATCTCAGTCTTGTGGCTGTACCTGAGGAAAAGATATCATGATTGATAAACGGATTAGAGTAGAAACATTGGATCTTATTTCATTGATTTGACCCGGTTTATACCATTTTGTTCACTTCAGTCTTTATTTTCACTCTCAATAAAAACAACATACATAAAATATATAAACAGCAGAGAATCATCAACAAATTAAATGAAAATCATTGCGGCTAAATGCTGATTATTTTGAATTGATTACTAAAAGTAATGGACACATTCCTCAGGCATGTACTGATAGACTGAAGTTACCTGCCAGTTTATCAATTGCCACAAGTTGCCATTTTAGAGATTGCTACATCATACATGTCAGACGACCCATCTGAGGAAGTTGTCTGAATCACAGACATCGAAAGTTTCACAAAATAAATATTTCTAGATATGATAAAGAACCCGTTCTAAATAATTCAAACAATCTTTAGGAACTTGTCCATGAATAGCAACTTTATCATGGTCTAGAAACTATTCTTGACGACGTGATTTGATAAACTTACAGCTGCTTTTCCGGTTTCTTTGCCAGTCTGACTTGTCCTGTGTAGTGGAGCAGATCAGCAAAGAATAGATTCATCATGCCCAGTTCTCTCTCTGCCCACCTGCAAATTACAAGTCCAGTTCATTCAATAATTAGTTAATGATTTGTTTCTCAATCAATCAATAGTGATTTGTCAGTTTCTCTCCAAGTACCTCGGTCTTGAGCCATCCGTTTCAGCATTTCATATCCTGTTGCTCCACATTCTGCGATTAAATTATCTAGAAAGCCTTTATAAGGTCTTCCCCTCGTCTTCTTTCCATGTAGACGACCTTCTATAACTGATCATCAAGCCAGCATCATGCCGCATTTGTTTCTATCCCCACAATGAAAATATAAGTGTGAGAGAATTCATGTTACTAAAAAGTCTGGCTTTAAAATACCTGGCCATATTATAGTAATTCTAAATCCAAAGTCGAATTAAATGGAAGTTAGACTGAGGTCAAAGTTTTCCCTCAGTTAAAGATGACTTTTTCTTTGCATCGGTTTAAATGAATTAGTAGAATACAGGTATATGTGTACAGATCTTTGGGGCAAACTTACATTGTGATCCAATGTGTGTTGTAGTTGTTGCGGTACTGCTGGAAGGATGCAAAAAGCTTTGGTATGAGACGAAGGGATACAACCACCGACCTGAAAAAGAGTCAATTTTCGAACAAATGTAAGCCGATCGCCTGTCTGATTATCAGGATATTTATGATTGGAAATCAAAATTTCTTTTTTCATTTTCCTAACGTTTTTTTTATAACACTACAGTCTATTGGGGAAAATGAGTCATTTTGAAGCTTCAATATTACACCATATCACAGACACTGATAACACGTAGGGCCATGCATCTTAGATTTAACATTGCCTTTAACCCTTACTGTAGGGAAAAAAGTCATGAAACGACAATTCAAAATTCCAAGCGTTTGCGGCGCAATCTCCGAAAACGTAGAGGGGGGGGGCCTGGGCACCCCCCCCCCAGTACAGTAAGGGTTAAGTAATATTTGTACATGTGATATACCTGTAGACGATATCAATAATCAAGAGAATTGTTGTCCAGCATCTTCCAATGTAAAACTGTAACATAGGATGCTGAGATCAGAGATTAGATTATCTTAATCCAAAGATAGACATCCAATGTACTTTTAATCTTGCATGGAAATCCCCCTCCCTTGGCCACTGATATGACCAAGCAAGGTCTACAGGCATGCTTCATTATACTTCAAGAATCAACTTCTTAACCCATCAGCTACCACTACAGTCTATTGGGGGAAATGAGTATGGTATAACCGGTCATTCAAAGACTTTTACTTTTGAGGCACTTCATGATCATTTTGAAGCGCAATTTTTTAGGGCTTTAATATAACACCATATCACAGACACTGATAACACGTAGGGCCATGCATCTCAGATTTAACATTGTTAAATGATGCCTTTAAAGGGATAGACTCCTCTTTAACACTCCTTACCTATGCTGTTTGAGGTTCTCTAGACAACCTTCTACAAATCTCATTCTGATTTCTCTCTCAGGAAAGACACAGACCAGGGAGCAGAGAAGCTTCTCAGCCTCAGAAGACAAACCGTCACCCAAATGCACCTGAAAAACAAACAAATAACAAGCAAAATAAGCAATTGGATAATAATAATAATAATAATAATAATAATAATAATAATAATAATAGTCTTGTTTACCCAGGGTAGCCTCATCAGTATTCATACTGTTCTCCCTGAGGGCCCTGCAATCATATCATTACCCCGGCATTAATCAAGCTTACCATGAAAGGTGCTCAAGCATTCAAGGAATTTCTTCCTATCGGGTACCCATTTACCTTACCCGGGTTGAGTATGGCAAATGTAGATTTATGTCTTGCTGAAGGACATCTTGCCAAAGAATCTTCAAATACCCCATACAATCGAATGACATAATGTTACAACATGCAAAAAATAAACACATTCCTCCTTATATTGCATCAGTGATTAAATGTATTACAACTTCACTGAAAATGAGTATGAAATGAAAACACATCCAAATGCTTTCAAATCAAGTGTGAATTCTGGGAGCTGTAGCACTGTGGTACAATTGCTCATCATTGCTTGCAAGGTTTGTATCTAAGGTGGTCTCACATAACTGAGGTATTGTATATGAGTATCTGGCAGGACTTGCTGAAGCCGGCCGGAAATGATATTCTAAAGAGTTCATTGTTAACAAATAACCATGGTTAATACGTTTAGGATCATTGTACTCACAGCACTTTCATCCTGTACAAGGTCCCAGAGTAGAGTGTGAGATTGCTTGCAGACGTCTTCAAAGCTAAAGTCTTCAAAGGGAATGATTTGTCCATCTTCATCATCATCCTCTCCATGTGTCGAGCATGAACCTGCAAACGAAGAGACCCATGTGTTAAAGTGGGACTGCACTACTTGTAGCTACTTGCGCCCTCTATATAGCAAACAATACCTAAGAGGTACCCATTGGTCCCCCGTGATCCCCTTTTTCGTATGTTAATTGAGAGCTGATTTTATGAGAAAACCACCTGTCAGTGACCACACAGGGAGGGCTAATCCCTCCTGGCCAAACTAGTGTAGAGGGGCTTTAAGATTTGCATTCAAAATTACACAGAGATACAAGATTCACAATTACTTCTGAACTCAAAATTTAATGCAACTAAAGATTGTTGTTTGAGAGAGAGAGAGAGAAAATATATTGCAAAATAGAAGATGATGAAAATTAGTACACAAGATAATATGAACAAGAAAAAAAAACAAAAAACAATGCTATATGTATGGCTTTAATCTTAAGAATATACTCATTGGGGACAATCAGAGTAAAGAGAGGATAACGTACCAACCAACCAAAAAGAAAAAAGAATACTTACTGGACAGTCTATTTCGTTGTACAGGTGAAACATTAGCGATAGGCCTCTGCCTTCCCTTGACGTGAGCCTGTAACCGATGCGGATGATGATGATGATGATGATGGTGATGACGATGGTGACCATGATCTTGGTGCTGGTCAAACTGGCTCAGCTGGGCACTCAGCTGGGCCAGGGCATCCTCACAGACAGAGCTCGACTCATCCTCCTCGTCGTCCTCCCCGTCAAAGTCGGCCATGTTCTTGTCCGACTTGGCGCTGGCCTGGGAGCTGCTGCAGCTGCCCCCTCCCTCCTCATCGTCATCCTCGTCATCGTCGTCATGGTGATGATGCTGAGGGTAGATGAGGTTCATCATCATGGGTCTGCAAGAAGTAGATGATACATGTGACCATTTAAATAGGAGCTTTCCATGCATTGACAGAAAAGGAATGTTTCAATTTTCTCAGTTTTGTTGTTGTTTTAAAGATCACATGTGTTTACTCTATCTGCAATTATAACCAGTGTATAAGAAAAGGGTGTGAGTCTTTACAAATACAAACCTACTTTAGTGACCACCTGTCTACAAAAACCACATTTTTTGTTTCCCTTGAAAATGGTGTCTCATTGAAACATGTACTAAAGGAACCTGTCTACAAAGACCACACTTTGTCTTTCCCTTGGGTGGTCGATATACCGTATTTGCCGGCGTAAAGGCCACACCGCCGCATAGGCCGCACCCCCAACTTTGACATTTCGTAGAGAGAAAAAAAAAAAAAAAAGGAAAAAAAAAAAAAAAGGACCAAAGAAAATAATCATAATTTTCTCGTAGAACTCTATTTTTCCTACAAACTAATACCAAAATTATCAATCATTTTATAAATTTACAGGAAGTTTACCTAAAAAATGATCGTAATTTAGCAAATCTTCATCGATTTTTAGGCAGATTAGCACATTCATTGGACACTAGAGGGCACTTCGCATGCATACAGAAACATGAATGGCCTGCCATAACCAAGCTGTGGCCATAATGTTATCCGGTCTTACCCCTATCGTACCACCAAATGGAGAAAATAAACAAGCTTTTGTATTGTTATTAGAGATCTACCGAGGTTAGTTTGTCGCTTTAATTAATTAGATAGTCTTAATTATAATTTTTACTGTTTCGCTGTATACGCCGCACCCCGACTTTTTGATATTTTCTCTTCCAAAAATACTGCGGCCATTACGCCGGCAAATATGGTAGACAGGTTTGACTGTACCTACAAAAAATACATAGTCAGGATAATGGCACTGTTCATGTTAACACATAAACATTCTGTTAAGCAAATGTAATAATAAGAATAGAATAATACTTGCATTTTAAAGAGGTTTTTATCCCTTGAGAATACAATACATTGAATGGCGACAAATACATGAACTTTAGTCAAGCTTCCCTGATACAGGATTCAAGAATTCCCAGAATTGTTGTCATCAAGGAATGTGTCAACACATAAAGTGAATGTACAGGTCTATCAACTAGATACATTAAAGTGCAAGCATGGGACTGGTAAATGGACTCACCTCCTGATTGGCCTAGGTCTTGGAAGAAACCTTGGACAGTCATAGATCTCTGGATCCATGCCGCTAGGACCATGAAAGTACTCCTCGGACTGGTGAGAATCATGGGAAAGTCCATGGGTCTCCGACTCGGGCGACTCATCGATGGTGGGCAGCTTGCCCCTGACCGGTAGCTCATGAACAAGTTTGACAGGGCTGCGGTTCAGGTCACTGGGAGAAAGAACCAGATCTCCCTGGACTTTTTTGTACTCCATACCTGTGTATCATAAAAAGGTGTAAATCAAGAATAAGTCTGACATTGTGCATCTGTTTCCGACTCAAGTTTCTTGCAGTGTTCTTTCTCCTGAATTGAAGAGATCAGGGCCCTGCTTCATTTAACTTATCAATAACAAGTTGCAATAAACGTTATAAGCTACTGAAATCGTTGCGATAACCGTTATAAGCTACTGAAATCGTTGCGATAACCGTTATAAGCTACTGAAATCGTTGCGATAACCGTTATAAGCTACTGAAATCGTTGCGATAACCGTTATAAGCTACTGAAATCGTTGCAATAACCATTATAAGCTATTGAAATTGTTGCATTTATTTGGCTGAGAGCAAATTTGTCATCAAAATGTGACACTTGTTATTGATAACAAGTTTAATGAAACAGGACCCAGGACTTGATTGGCAGTTGAAACATTGATATTAATGAATACGGACAAAGAGAGTTGTAAAGTAATATATTTGAATTATAAATAAATCCTTGATCGAACTGTACAGGAGATATATGTATTAAACATTACGCCAGCATGTAAAACACAAGATTCTACAAGCCCTATCAAAGTTTTTTACAATGTCTTTTTTTCAAACTTCTCAAGAAATGTACATATCAGTAAAAATGTAAAAATGTAAAGATGTATCATTACATTCATAAGAGAGAATATAAAATAGAATATATCATAGTTAGAAAGGTCATTAAGTTTTGTTCATAATTTAGATTAACAATGCCAAGTTCTTGGATGATAACTTTCTGAGAGAAAGTTCGAAGACATACATAATCATCATGTAGGCAGACTATAATCATACAAATACACTTGTGAATGTAACAACTCTAATACATAAAGGCTCTGAATGATGATTAAATAGACATGACATGGATACTACCATACCTGGGCTAGAGTCGGAGCTATCTCCTCCCTGCTCGCTGCCAGTGTCCATGTGATGCTGATGATGATCCTTGCTATGTCTCAGAGTCTTGGCCAACTGCTTGAGGACATGTCTATTGCCGTCCCTCCTAAGGACGCCCCTCTCCCTGTCCCCTTCCATCTCCATATCACTCCCGTTGCTCACATCCTCAAAGTCACTTCCCAGCGGCACACCCTTGTCCTCGTAGCTCCCTTCCGAACCATCGCTCCCGCTGTCCGTCTGGTCGGGACTCGTAGCCATCGCCTCGTTCTCGGAGTCGATACTGTCGGAGTCGTCCTGGTCGGAGGCGCAGAGCGACGACGGATGCCGCGAGGATTTGCGGTGGGCGTGGCAAATGGCCATCTCGCCCTCTGACCGCCACGAATCGGCATGGCTGGCCTTGGAGCTGTGGGAATGTACTGACCGGTGGTCATCCAGGTCGTGATGACACATCACGTCCGAGGAATGGTCCTCTAAGTGGGAGGGGTCAAGACCAACAACATCCAGATGCTCCTCCTGCAACAAAGCCATAGTTCAGTTTAAAGTTTTAAAGCCCCACTGCACTATTTAAAGCTACTTGCGCCCTCTATATAGCAAACAATGCCTAATCTGTGACTATTGGTCCCCCATGGTCCCCCTTTTCTTATGTTAATTGAGAGCTGATTTCTTATCTGTTTTTCATAAGAATGAAAGGTGGAGTACTAAAATTTTGTAAATTGTCATGTGTAATTTTTCTTACAATTGTTTGTCACACGCTCAATAACATAAACAAAGACAGACAAATTTTTACCAACAAAAAATTGAAAAATAAAAACTCTGCAAGGGTATGAATAATATTGTTTTTAACTGTACCTCGTCAGCATGTTGATCGCAATGTAGACATCTATGACAAGGGCTTTCCTCTTCGTCTGGTCGGATGCCTTGGAATTCCAATGTTCTGCTGTTATTTCTGTTACCACCCATCGACAGAGGTACTGCAAAGATTTAAAAGGACATTAAAAATCTTGATTTATATATAATTTATGGGAATCGCTTCTTATAAAGCACTCATATATGCCACGGTAACCAAAGGGAACCATTTCTACCTGGATAGAGAGCGGCAAATGTGGAGTAATGTCTAGCCAGCGGATTTTAAAGCTGGGATGGGATTCACACCCTCAATCCCAAATAAGTCAACCGAATGAACCAAAATACCATGACACCTCCACAAAATGTGATTGTGGTTCTTTGGTGTTTATTTATTTCAACTACTATCAGTCATTAAAACTTTTCATCTGGTCATAGACTTAAATTTCAAGAAAGCCAATTCAAAATAATTCTGAACTGTTTATCATTCAGTAGAAGCGTATCCTGTTTAGTAAGGTTTTTGAGTAGGTCAAGGCATACGTCCTTTCAACATAATACATTTCTCACATTTTAAAAGTATTTATACTTGACAAAACTAAATCAACATCATATATCAAGGGTTTTGGAACTGTATTTCTTACATCTGCCTTTTTCTAGACTGCTCTTGAGTAGCGGGAAATCCTGGGTAGTTGGCGAGACTTGGACCGAGGGCAGTAGTCTCCTAGGATGGGATGTGGTCGCGGCCATGGCTCTCGTGGATAGAGCATTGTCCCAAACACACTTGGTGATTACTTGAGACAAGTAGAGGGTCTGTGTAGCAAGAGAAAAGAACCGTTTAGAGACAGAGAAGTTTTGGAGCAGCCGCAGAGTAACCCATCACCCAAGTATCGTTGACCCTTACCCCAACCCTAAACCTAAAACTAACTCCAGAGTTAACCCTGATCCTGACCAAGACCCGAGGCTTAAATGTGAACTTAACCCTAACCTAACACCAAACCTAACCCTCATACTGAGCCAAATGCATAAAAAGCTGGGTTGTGATTTAAAAAATTAAAAAAATTAAAAAATAGTGATTATAAATAGTTTTCTGACACTGATCTTGACCATGACCCTAACCCTTATCCATTCTACTGTTTGAATATTCTGCAGTCAAGCCCACAATTTTTTAATTTTTTTAATCATAATTACAATGGCATCTCGAGTAACCAGGGTTGGCATATTTCCCGTTTCGGAGGCTTATTTCCCAGACGCCGGGAAATAATCGGTATTTACCGGTATTTACTACTTTTTACCGGTATTTACCGGTATTTACCGGTGGTGAGTATGGTTGCTCTGGTGTGTACTATTTGTGTATGTGTGTTGTACATGTATGTGTGTTTGGGTGTGTACATGTATGCAGTGTGGATTTTATAAATCTGTTTGTGTGTTTCTACTACGAGTGTTGTGCGCTAATTATTTCAGAACAATATTTTCGGTTGTTGAGGCTAAAAACAAGTAAAATTATTAATAAATAGAGAATTAAAATCTTATTTCCTGTTTTTTACATATTTACCGAACGGTATTTACCGGTATTTACCGCGGGTAATTACCGCCACCAGTATTTACCGCCCAACCCTGATCACGACATGATTTAACTGGTTAGTAAATTCCTTTCATTTATACATTTTTTTACACAATCAAAGGAATCAACAATTATTATAATCATTATCTTCAAATAAATCTTAAAACAAATTTTTTAATAAAGTAAATTTCAATTTGTCTAAACAAGTAAAGGAAATCCCACATGTTATTTTTACTCACCTGTTCTGTGTGTTCAGACGGATGGAGTTTGGAGACCAGCTGCATGAGATGAAGAAGGGGACGGGATTCTAGATGCTTGATGAGATGGGGGAAGAGGTCATGGACGTAGCGACCGGAATGCTTGAGCTGTGCCGCCGCCCACACAGTGTCCAGGTGCTTCAGGGTGAGGGCGCCGTCACTCGCTAGGAAGTTGAGGATCACCTGGCATTGCTTGATGATCTGAAATCAAATTCGGAAAATGATTTTGATTTTGATTTTGATTTTGTTTTGTTTTTGGAGTGATATGTTATTGTGTTATTGGCCCAAATGTGTGGGCAATGTGTCCAGCACTGCATAACTGCAAGGATAAAGTGCTATAGGGTAAAATAATACCTTAGGGTCAAATACCTTTGGATTGGCAACATAGAGAAAAACTCATTAGATTTGTGTGTGATTCTGCAATTATGTTGTTATATTCTATGAAAATCTGTCTGCAAAAGTTTCATTAAAAAAAACAATGGTCACCAAAAATTCCAAGGAAAGAGAAGTTTCAATGATGCAATAATTTATAGAGGAAAATAGGATTCATTTGACCATTCAGAAAAAGTCAGTTTCATGATAAGCTAAAAATAATCTTAGCCTTTTTTCCCCTGACAAAACAGATAACGAGAATCGCCCTTCTGAAATTACCACCTCTTACCTCTACATGCATGTTGGGACCAAATATATGTTCCACAATTTCTCTCTCGAGCAGCCATTTTGTCAGTTCTGAGCCCATGCTGTAAAAGAAAATAAGAGATACAATTGGTTTAAAAGTGTTTAATTGATACAAGTTATACAAGTATTAATCCTGTAAGAATTTAAATTTAGCAGAGAGAATGGCATGATGTCAGGCATTAAAGTGAAAAGAAAAAACAGTTTTTCATTGTTTGTTTTATTTGATCTCAAGTAAATGGAGGTACTGAGCTCACAAGAAAGGGAAATGTGTACTTACTTTTCAACATCTGTGACTGATTCATTGTGATACACCTCATTGAACATGTGGATTTGATTCTGCAAATAACAAGAGAGAGAAATATAGAGACACACAGTGAGAGAAAGAATAGAAATATAAGTAATAAAAAGGGGATAGTGTGCAAAAAGAACAAACAGAAACAAATAATTCACATGCAAACAACAAAGACATTTCATGTGAACTTGATTAGTCGTATTTTTAGAAGTTGATTAGAAGTATTTTTGCCGATTATCATATATTTCTTGTCTTTCTTGAAGGGCAATCCAACATTTCTAAGAAAGCAGAAAAATATAAACAGGAAATAAAGTAGTGCCCCTTTCTTTCCTGTTGTGTATTTGTGGCATGCTACATTCAGTTTTTCTGGGAGGCACATGGCCCATGCCCCCCCCCCCCCCTGGATCCAGCACCTAAGTCTCAAGAGTCACATTTTCAGATTGCACGCAAAGATTACATTTATTGATTGAATGTTGAATATTAAGAAGAAGCATCATATTAAAACATGAAGTTTAATAACTGATGCATTCAAGAAAAATCAAATAACTTACAGTGATTTGACCTAAGCCAGTTAGCCTCATGGTGAGAGTAGCTGATGTGAAAAACTTGAAAGCCAGCTCCAGACTGTCCTGATCGAAACATAGAGGGCTCTCCACTGGCTCCTTGATGGCGCTCCACATCATATCCGCCATGTGTCTGGCTCCATTCCCTCGTAGCTCCTTGTCGGGCAACTTACACAAATACCTATAGGTGGGATCCACATACAAGAATGTCCTTTGTAAATACATATTTCAAAAGTATGGGCAATTCCTGTCCAGACAGGATGATCATATACCCATCGGCTCAGCTGTCCACAAATGAATGTGTTACTATCAAAACAAATGGGGACAAAACCCCTTACTTTACTGTGAAAATATACTCCTTTACAACAGACTTCAGGTGGGTTGAGAATTCGTCTATCAGGATTAGTGTCATGTCTCACATAAAATTGTCAGATAAGATAATAACCATCAACTTAATGTAAACCATTAATTATGAAATACAATAAATTAGATATTTATTCAATTAAATCCTTTAACTTATTGAATTGTTTTAATTTATTGGTGTTTATCTAATCATGTGTTCATGTCCATTACCTGTCTATACTTCAATCACAAGGTTAGACTGTAATGTACAAGGCTGGAGGAAGTCATGTACATTAACACTAGACATTCTTTGGTCTCTCCCACGCAATGACTCCAAGATGACATTTAAGAAGATAAACCAGCGGAAACAAGTGATTTGCTTTCCCCACTTCAATCATCCATGTGCACTGAATAAGCAGAAGTTAAACAAGGTGAGCCCTGGATGGCACTATATTTAACCTTGTCTCATATTTCCTCCCTTTACTTTTATTATTTTTTTTTTTTTTAATCTATTTATATATTTATTTATTTATTATTATTTTATTTTATTTTTATTTTTTTATTTTTTTAAAATTTTATTTATTTATTTATTTATTTTTTTTTTTTTTTTTTTTTTTTGGGGGGGGGGGCATCTAGGAATGGGGAGGGGCAATTATGATGATCCATACCCAGTGTTTAAAAAAAATGTTGACGAGATTCCTTTTAGGATTTGCGTTTGGACAAGTGAGACTCCTTTAAGCTATTTCACAGCTTTATGTAAATCACTCACTGCTTCAGTGTATTTTTTATGCCGGCTACAAGTGGAATCAACTTGTACATCTTAATTTTTGCCTCGAACGCTACGCTGTACTACACGTCCGATCGTACAGTTTATTTACAAACAATGGAAAATGGAAATCGTTGTGCATGGTGGGATCAAGATGTTGACTCCGTACCTCGGTCTGATGAAGACGGGCACAAATTAGCCTGCTAGTTGGGAAATAGTGGGATATTTTGAAAACAAGACCAAGATTTCTCGGGATATTATCTCGACCAAATATCCTACTAATTGGAACTGCGGGCTGATGATGACGCAAATTAGCTGGATAGTAAAAATAGCGGGTTATTTGGCAATCTCGAGCTGATGAAGACAGGCCTAGTGATACATTATAAGTGAATCAACTCTCCTCATCAACTACATCTGGTCGTGATCTAAAAGCATTCATCACAAAATTTAGGAATTGAAGAAGAAAAAAATTAAACCAACAATGACCTCTACCCTCTCTCATTTTTGACAAAAAATAAGTCCTACATCTGTACTATGACGTTTTTTCAAGCTAACACATTCCAGGTAGCTTCATCTAAGGGCTTAAGTGATAGAAAAGGAGGGGTTTTCCTGATCAATTTGCTTGGAGGTCAAATAAGTTTCACCTTTGACTTACCTTATTATATGCGTCCTTAGGGGAACCACAAACTGCATGACGGCATGTAAATGAAGCCACATCCTCAGCTGTTTATAAAATGACAAAAACATGAAAAAGATACACTTTAGAATACTCATTGAAAACATCAATAATTGTATACTTATCAGAGATACATGACATGTTTTGTTGTTTTCATATAAATGAAATGTGCGATCTGGATTTGTTTCTTTTGTATGAATGCCGGTAATACTTACATACGTGGAACTACACTATGTAACTTGAATAAATTTAAATTGCTCAGCATGGGAAAATAAAGATGAATCTTTAATAAGAACCATATGAATATCATCTTCATGAGATGTATCAAACTCAATAGAAAATGTAAATATATATTATGAGAGATGACTAGCTTATATTCGGAGGAATGAAAGAGGAAAGTCATGTGATCTAATATTCTTTTCTAACAAAGGAAATAATGTTTGAACAGGAAGTTTAGCAGTCGAACCAAAGAATGAATTCCTGTTTATGTTTAAGAATTGGCTACATGATTGAACATGAATAACTGACAACAGGATATTACTTATCTTTTTCAATCTACTGAAAAAGGCACTTGAAAATGTTGCATCATACATGTATGCTGTGATAGCAGGGATGAAGTTTTCACTTCTCAGATTTAATATTTTCATACAATGCATAGCTTTATGCTAATCTGATTTGAAAAAAATATGAATATGCTGTTCCAAAATCTAAAGAACATTGAAACGACTAAAACAGCATGCATAATAATCTATCAAAAAATTGATGAAATTATCTGAGCCTAAATCATTGTAACATCGCCACTAAAGAATTAGAATATGCTCTTTTGTTGTTCAATAATTCACATGTTTTGCAAATGAACATGTGAGGCAAAAAATGTTGAAGTGCATTTAAAATAATCAACCAGAAAAGGGCTAACAAAATAGTTGTTCATTGTTTCATTTCAAGTGCAATCAAGGAGTGCTCATGAATATCCTGTTTCAAGAAAAGCATTTCCAGTTCAGCATTGTTTTTGGATAGAAGCACTTTCTTACCTGGAAATCTTCCTAATACATACTACAAGTGACCGACAAAAATATACAAACATGCTACATGTATGTAAACATTTCTAAACATTAGGTTCAACAGCACATTGTTGCAAGTTCGTATCGAACGAAGCCTCATCGAATACTCACAGGAAAGACATACTTAATTATAATGTGAACATACTGGAGTTAAAAAAATGTGGAGGACCTATATTTAGGTATTAACACAATGTAAAAGTATCAAAGATTAGAACACTATTAAATTTATATTACACATGTATTCCCAAATTCTTTTTGTAACTTGTCTAGATGTAAAAGTGCCTCATATGAAATGAAAACCAATTCCTAAAATAGAATAATGACCAATGTGCAGCAGCTTTCACAACACTTAGACAATCCTACCCATCATATCTTCGTTATATTTTGAGAATTGAAAGTAAGACAGAGAGAGAGAGAGAGAGAATGAGAGAGACCTACAGTATAACATCTTATTTATGATCAACAAATAGCTGGTTGAAAGTCTATAGTGTAGCTGTACAGGTCTATGTAGTAGTGCAAGGAATGAAACCGAAATGAAAATAAAAGATCTGCTATTACCGAATGCACAACCAAAATATCCTACCCTAAACCCATCGTTCTTAAATTAGAACAGAAAATAAAGACTAAAAGACTTGAAATTCTACTCACATGATTGGGGATACTTGATAATTCGTTAGTCTAAGTTTCATTGAATAAGTAAGAACTTACACTTTCAAAACTATATTAAAAATTCAAAAACTTAACCTCAGGTTAAGATTTTGATGATGATGCCACAAAATAGTCTAAGTCTGTTGACCTCAAATGACCTTTGACCTTGACTTTGTGATCTAAAATTCTACTCACATGATTGGGGATACTTGATAACCCTTGAGTCAAAGTTTCATTGACTAAGAACCTATACTTTCAAAATAATATATTAAAAATTAAAAAAATTAACCTTGGGTTAAACCTTGATGTTGACGCCTTACTGCCGTCGCCACCGAAAAAGCGGCACCTATGTCTCGCCTTTGCTATGCAGGCGAGACAAAAATCAACAAATACAGAGAAATAATACTCATAAGTCTATAAAGAAAAAAATTGGGCCTTTTTATTTTTATTGACGTAAGAGGTTACTCGACACATGCAATAACAACTTGTGCGAGGTTGACTGTAAGTGCTAAGTTGAAAGTGGAAAAATAGCAGAATATCTTACGTTTGTGACGACGGTGAACATTGAAATAGCAGAAGAGAAGGGCAATGTCTCAGGAGTAGACTGCTGGAAGCATTGCCTCATCACAACCAATCCATTGCTATCACAGAAGAAACATACATTCCGTAGCAGGTGAAGACTAACATCTAAATCCTGAGAAGGCAAAGAACCCAAAATGATATGGTTTGTGTTAATAAATCTGAGAAACATAAACATTCAAATCTTGAAAAATAAAAAGTCCAATCAAGGGTAAAAATAAAAGCAGTTGTTGGTGGTCTTCATATTATTGGTACTCTTTATAATGAAGTTCCCTTCTGATTTACGTTTCAAATCAGAATTTAAAAATAGCAATAATAGCAATAGTTGAAAAACAATTAAATAAATCCATCAATGGTGCTAGACTCAAGCAGGATATTATTTACAGAATTGTGATTTTTTTTTCTTTCTACAACATTTCTTTGCTTCATATATCGGATTAAATTTTATGATTCATATAAAATTGAATACTTGTAATCTACATATCATTCCTATGCAATAATGTTCCTGGATATGAAGAGTACTATTATAACAGAGATCTTTAATATATGTACTCATTCGTTCATTCATTTATATACAACCATAGTTTGGGTTTAATTATCCATCTACAACATTCTCCCTGATTTTTCATGTCTACAATGGTTCAGTTTTAGGAATGTAAACAAAAATAACTGATATAATTATCATGTTACATACATTTGTGTCACAGTAGTTTCCTAGTGCTTCTGATTCTTGTGGTGACAGTTCCTGTTACGTGGAAAGAGAAGAAAACGTTTTGTACACATGTTTTGTTTGAAAAATATGTAATTCAGCCATCATCTTCTGGCACACACCCAAAACATATGAATATATGTACATGTACCGGTAAGTACCGGAAACTCATTACGATTCATGTATATTTAATTTATACATGAACAAGTAGCGTAAGTAGTGAGGTTCTGGCAAGTTTGCCTCAGATGCTGCAAACATAGTCCATCCTAATGGTAGGTTTACATTATGTTCCTGGCAGCCACGGCAATCATGTTTCAGGCCACATTTGTTAAAGATTAAACTACATTTTAATTACTTTGAAAACGAAGGAAAAAACATATTTCTATCCAATGTACTGTACTGCATTTAAAAAGGAATTCATACATTGTCTTATGGGGCGTTGTAAGAAAGTTGCAATCAATTGCAAATCCCCAGAATCAAGCGTAAGTTTTGCGATTAATTGCAAATTTGCAAAATCGCAACTTTCTTGCAACGCCCCATTACATGTAGTGTGTTTTGAATGTTAAACTTGCACACATCTAATTGGTTAGTTGGGTACTTGCAAGTCTATGGTAGGTGTTTTCCTAAATATGTAAAAGCATTGTAGCAAATACTCTACTCACGTCCGTGACACCATGGTAGTACTGTTTATGTGCTGAATACAATGGGAAGGTCATGTGAAAAACTTTGGCAACGAGATGCAACAACCTCTGTTTCTCCTCCAGTGTCCAATCCTCATCCTCCGCCCGACGACTACTATCCTCCGGTGGTGTTCTACACCTCTTCATCTTCCTAGCATCCTCCTTAGCAACATCCTCTCCATCCTCGGTGGTAGTCATACCCTCCTCCATTCCATCTCCCTTTCCATCTTTCGTTTCCTCCTCCTCCTCCCGCTTTTCACTCTCAGTTCTTCCTTCTTCAGTCATTCCTCCATCATTACTCTTCTCTTTGTCTTTCTCAGTTTCATCACACTTTTCTTGTCTTGTGTCCTCTGCTTTGGGCAGTTCAACATCATCCTCTTTACGGTCTGAGGTTCCTTGGCCAGACTCGCTGGCTTTCTTTTCTGCGTCCTTCGATTTGACCTCTCTTTCTTTCTTCCGCTCTTCTTCTTCATCGTTCTCTCGTGATTGGTGCCACGAGGAGATGATATTAATTGCAAGTCGGAGGACAAGCTGAACCAAACTGTTCAGCTGCTCAAAGTTCTTGTATTCCTTGAATACACAATTGCATTGTCTGGGAACAGAAATAAGGGATTGGTTAATTGATAGAGAACAACAAATTACCTTCAATTAAATAATTTTGTACCACTTTACACACAAAAAAAGTTTTCTTTAATTTATTAGAACTTAGATTTTTAAATTTTTGCAAATACAAATCTTAACCTGTACGCAAGACTTATAAAGACCATGTCCAACAAAGGCCAAAACCTGAAATCCTGAATGGATAACACCGTTTTGACATGACAATGTAAAAATGTACAGGACAGAAAAACAAGATCCCTGATTTCTTGTTTTGTCAGACTTCTCATGATACCCCTTTTCCTCTAATTGTGGCTTTTGTTACTTTTTTTTTTTTTTGGGGGGGGGGGGGGGGGGTTGCCAGCAGGGCTAAATAGACAATTCAATGGCATCTAGTGCTCATTTACAGTGAATTACACAAATTTCACATAAGCTTTTTGTTACGTTCAGGGAAATTTTTCGGTTGTCCAAAAGGATTTCACATGTAAAGTGGTCAGTGTTTAACTGGATGATGGCAAATATCTTATCAACTTATCAAGACCTGCTCTTTCAGTCAGTATGTCTGTCTGTCTGAATCTGTCTCCCCTCCCCCTTCTCTCTATTTTTCTCTCTCTGTCTCACTGTCTGTCTTCTCTCTCTCTCTCTCTCTCTCTCTCTCTGTCCATCTGTCTCTCTCTATCTCTCTCTCTCTCTCCTTCTTTGCTTCATATACATGCACATACACATATTATCCCAGTCAAACTTGTAGCACAGTGAGCGGCTGGATGTTTTGGATTATTCATCATCATGATGCACACACATGTAATGGAATCAAACAGTTTAGCAGTAGGTGACACAATTACACACTTCCTCACAGTCTCTTCCCCGATCTTTTGATCATATTTGGCTAACACAATTAGCACCCCGTCGGAACAATCCCAGGCCTCGAGACCCCAAAAAGACAGCAAGTTCAAGGCCAATAGGATGTATTCATTTTCACCATCCATTTGAGTTGCCGACTCAAAATAATACTGTATTGTTTACAATATGTATCCACAAATATTCCACTAAACCACTACAGAACCTTCAACCTACATGTACATGTATAGAGTTTCTATAAAACCACACTGTATACTTTTGCAACACCAAACCCTTTGTGCCTTGTTAACAAAGGATGTTTAAGAAAAATAGGAATTGATTTGATAATGGACAAGATTTCTTTAAGTGATTTCTTCAGTCTATAATATTTTATTGATATTTTATGTACCAGAGCTCTTTTTCAATTTTCCTGACTATTTTTGTGTTTTCCAGAGCTGAATTGCTCAACACTGCCTTGCATTTTCTCTTTTTTCTTCCCACTCTGCCTTCAAATCAGTGAAAACATACTTGTTTGTTCATGGTCAATATTTAACCACTGTTATTTTTATGTATTTGGTTGTCTATTTCCACCTGAGCTCTTTTGAAGGTTTCTAAGCTATTTTTGAGGTTTCTAAAACTATTAATTCATTGACCAATGCTAATTGCTATGTATTTTTCATATTTTTTTAACATATCATGCTGCAGGTAAAAAATTGTTCAAATTTATGGAAGAAAGTTAAACATTGCACTACCAACCGACCAGACAGGAAATCAAAGTTACTGGCAGGAAGTCAATTCTCTAACGAAATAAATGCCCTTCCAGGCATCGACGGATATGTTGTTTTGCAGGAAAGCCCCCTCTAATACATCATGTCTGCACTGTGCTAATGATGATGCAAGCTATTAAGCCCCTGACACTCTTTACTAATCCTGTATTATAAGCATCTTCTTCTTGTTTATAAGGCTTTATATAGCTTTCCATGAATTTTGACTATAAGAGGCATGACGATATTTCAGTAATGCTATGACGGTCTTGTGTCTGAAGTTAGGAATTCCTTTTGAACATGCACTGTGCAAAGTCCACATTATTAACAATACTTTGTAGCAAAATATATCAATATTGCAGAACTCTTTCCCTTAGGATAATTCAAATCTAGCTTTAGTGGTATAATGATCAATCCTATACGGTAACCCTTTGCAACCCTTCTCTACCCCTTTCACCCACCCCTCATTTAAAAAAAAATAAAAGTATTTAAAAAAAAAATATATCAACCTTATCAGATTATGTGCGTGTACATCACATGGGCAGATCTCTAACAATTTTCTTAAAACAGTATAAGTGATTCTGAACTACTTGAACAGTATGATAAATCTTCAATTTACGATAAACAACCATGACACACAAATGTCATTTCAGATTTGACCACATGGATTAATGAATTTAAGGAAATAATTAGATAGTTACCTCTGAAGAAATGCTTGTGTATAGTTGTAGACAATCCATACATGCTCTTTTTGCAATTCAATCTTTTCATGGCTACCTGCAAATAAAAAACAAGATAATAATAATAATATTACTAATAATGATAATAGTAGAAGTAGTAAATAATATGAATAATCACAATAATAATAACAATGATGATGATTATCATAATAAAGCACAGGTATAGGCCTACTTGCCCTGCTACACTTGAAACTTTAAGTACATAAATTGATTCAACATACTGCATTCATCCTGGTCTATAAAAATTAATTATTAATTAATTTCATAAATCACTTTGCAAAATAGAAAAAAGTCTATAAACACTACCGCACACTCATGCTGAAGCATTTAAAACTATTATGTGTCAATTTAAAAGAAAATATTCACTTCAGCAATCAATTTCATATGGTTGAATCAAAATCAGAAAGAAATGGTATAGGAATGCATCAATGAATTTGGGACTTGCAAGCCTGCGAGGCGACAAGGTATTTAACAAATGTACAATCTCATACAGAGGTATTATAAAATTTCTCTATCTATGATGCTGAAGAAATGTTCCCCAGCACTGTTCTGTGTAGTCAAGCATACATGTACGGTACACACTTCATAATACATTATAAAGCACATACTTGCTCAATACAAAATTTTATGAATGGAATTGTGTACCCCTGTGCTTTCTAAGGTGACAAAAGGTTGTGTGTGTGTGCGTGAATAAATGGCTTTCTATTGCTGACTTGGCTTGCTATTAATACACACAAGGGATGATGAGATATTAAGCAAGCTGGATGCTAGTCTAGCTAGAGCTGTGTATGTCGGGGAAGAAATTGCCCCACACCTGGGCTTTCCAATTGAGTATTATGTCTGATAGCCTTGAAGGTGTAGTGTAATATATTACAAACTTGTGTACAAGGTGAAAGCATCCACATCTAGCAGACATCCAGACTGCCAGTTCTCACACATTTAATCAAATGGTCATGTCTAGTTAGGTGTTAAATGAACTGCATTTGTAGATGGATATACTCACAAAGGCTATGTTTACGCTCGAACATTAAATCCCATGGGAAGTATTCATAAATATAACTTATCAAGAAACATTTGTGTATTTTTATGGGAATTCCAGGTGAGAATACTGTACATGTATATCCACACTTTTGATCAATACTGTAGACCTACATGTAAACCAGACAAATGTAAATAGACCATGTAAACCATGTATGAATTGTAAACAATGTATACATTGATTGAAAAGTATTCTCCAGTGCAATAAGTGCACTTTATTTACATACTCATGACAGTACAAGTGTTACATGTAAAGATGTTAGTCACATGGTTCAAACACTTTACTGGATCTATGCTAAGGTTCACTAGCTTGATACCAGAAAACATACATTGTAGATTAATTGTTTCTCTCTGTTCATGTTTTAAGTGGGTACTGGTAGGATTGTGGTTGGATTAGCATACATATATGTGAATGCTGACTGGCTGGAATGCTCCCCAGGGAGTGGAGAACATATCAAAAACATGTGCCATTGTGCCTGCAAGCCTCTGGGACATTGGATTTATTATATACAGTGCGTTCCAGAAAAAACGAATTCGAAAATTATCAATGTTTTATCATAACTTAATCACAATAAAAAAATTAATAAATGACACATATTTGTCAAGCTTACATCCTCCTCTTTCATTTATGCAACTCATATGATGCATATTTCATGCATGAGGGATTAAAACAATTTGAAGAAAGGGTACCAAAAAGCCATTTGGCGATCGGTATCTGAATTTCAAAGAGAAAATCAAATTTCCAGAAAGTTTATTCTCTGCCCTTTCATACGACACCTCAATCAGGAAAAATTAGCCAGGAATAACAAAGTTCTGTTTGTTAAAAGTAATGCTTGCATTTCCATAATTTTATCAAACGAATTCATTTTCACAAGCTGCCTGTCGTAGCAACAAACAACAAACTCTGTTTCGTTTACGATCAGCCGTACATGAAGTTTATTGTCTTCTTTGTTGTTAAGGCAGACAGCCATAATAAAATTATGGAAATGCAAGCATTACTTTAAACAAACAGAACTTTGTTATTTTGGAACCAGCTGTGTCTGTTGACATTTTGTAGAACATGCTGCATGCTAGCTACACTGTAGATGGGGCGAGGGCTTAAATTGATACATTTTATTTGTATTTTACATTAATGATAAGCTTTGTAAAAGAAAATCCAAATTATCGTTATGATAATATATTTATTGAAAATTATATATTCATTAGACCAAATGGTGAACAAAACAATATTTAAAACTGTTACTACCATATTATGTAATGAAAGCACGATGGATTTTTGTTTATCGCACATGTTGTATCGTTTTCACTGAATTTGCACATAGAAACTTTCGCTACCGTACGTTCGTTTCATTCTTCTCTTCCGGCCAGGGCTTGCCACAGCGAGTGAATTTCACCGGCACAATGAAAGGGACAGCAGGGAAGACGGCGGTTTCATCTTTGTTTACATAAGGAAAATTCAGTCAGTATTTTCATCGGTATGACTACGATAGAAGCACTATGAAAGGGGTATCAGACAGTATCTCAGTAAAAATTCCCTGCCCAATTTTGAATACACTTTGAGTGTAAATGCACCCTTGTCACAATCTGGGGGCCAATAAAGGAGCATTCATGTCACGGTACCCATCCTCACGTGCGAATCCATTAACTACACTAAGCTATCAAATCAACGCTTTAAACCTACAGCGTTATTAAGACTCAACAAGTTCTTAGAACTGTTGATGATTCCAAAGATTGCATGCATGGGTCCTTGTCAGGATTAGCCTAGTGTGCAATATCAACGAATGTCAAAGGTCTTACTGGTGCCAATCAAGATCTATTGGCGAATTTGTGCTTTGAATGAAAAACATTCTCTGTCTCCAAGAGATGCACCATGGACCTTCCCGATTACGTCCCCACATCTCTGGCATGACCCTAATTGCTGAGAAGCCACACGACCAGTATAGAAGTGCAGTCTTTATTCGCAACAGGCTATATGTTGACAAGACATCAGTTCCTGACAAGGATGACATTGAAGTCATCTCCACCAACACCCCGAGAGAATTTCTTTTAACTCAGTACATACATGTATAAACCTCCTTCTGTCACTTTTGACATTCCCCCTGACCTCAGCAGTAGCCATATCAATGTGACCATAGGGTGACTTCAACAGCAATAGTGTCAACTGGGGCAATGCTGAAACTAACAAAGATGGTGAGCAAGTTAAGAGGGCAGACTTGAACATGCGCCTCTCATCCATGATGCTAAGCTCCCCCCTTCTTTCAATAGCTCAAGTTTGAGACGAGGATACGACCCAGACCTAAACTTTGCATCAGCTACCTTTGCAAGGCTTCAGACCTGCAAAATCATGCACTGGTCAATGCCTGAGCCTCACACACTTCATTGAAGATCGTTTCTAGAGTGGAAAAATCACAGGTGCTGCATTTGTTGACCTTTCTGCAGCATATCACAATCAACCACCAAATCCTCACCCAGAAAATGCATGAGATGATCTCAGATGTCAGACTGAGCTGACCGAGTTGATTTGCAACATGTTGTCAATTCGCAGATTCTTCATGAACCATGTGGCAGACAGAGTTGATGGCGGACACAGAAGAACTGGGGCTCGTTCCTAGAAACCAACGACAAGACAGTCATAACTTTATCCGCCAACTACGGAGATGTCTCTAATCTTCCTAAACCGTTTCACAAAGAGCTTACTAGATAGATATCTCGTGAGATCGATACTATCGGCGAGAAGAGGAGCCACGATTTAGCCTTAGTCGCAATACTGTACCTCCGGATTATTACAAAAGTAATATTAGGGAAAATGCAATTACCGGTAGTTAAATGAATTAGTAATAAAAAAGATTGAAAATGATACCAAGAAATAAGAGATTATACAATATACTTCCAAATTTGTGTAGATTATACAACAGAAGTACTTGTAAAATATAAGTGTGAGTATTTCATTACATGACAGGTGAATCAGTTTCTGTCTTGAGATGGGTACCCCCTGGATATTTTCATTTGATAGTTTATAAAAAAAAAATACACCCTTATATTCTTCTTAATAAAAATACAATGTTTTGAAAGCTTTGTCCATTGTTTTAGGCGTCAGTACAATATTCAAATGACAAAACTTTGACATTCCAAAGTCCAAACGTTAAAACTCATGTTTTAAAGTATTTATTTTACACATTTGAAGATAGAATATATCTCGAAAGCAATATGGGTCTGAAAACTAGAGAATACACTTCTAACTATGGGTTGCCTGTTGTGGCAGATTACCCATCTTATCGAGGATTTTACAATGTGGAAATAAACACATATACAGGTAATCAGTTTAGTTAAATAGGAAAAGCCTTAGATATAACCATGGCATATTTTAAAAAGATTTTTAAATATAAAAAAAAATAACTCCCTGTTTAAGTGAATGTGTAGTAAGATCATAGCCGGAGGATTTCTTGTCCTTTTTTGCCAGCCATAGTCTACCCAATAAATGACATGTGATGGTGCTGCCCATTGACTAAAAAGTTACGACAGAGATATGACGGTGTCAGAGGCGTCATAACTACTTAGTCAGGATGTTGCGTTGATCTTGGCAAAGAGGGCTTCGTGAAACACGTAGCGGACAAGTTGCTCACTAAAGCTGATTTAGTCAAAAAGTTAGACTCATGACGGTTTCTAGGAACGGGCCCCTGGCTTCCATAAAAAGAGTATCCTTGCACCTCTGTTGTACAATTCGACCAACCCATCTCCCAAAACAGCAATAGGAGCAATCAGTTTAGTACACCAAGGCACTCACACAGAGTTTGCTAAATTTAGCTGCTGAATTTAGCTAACTCCCTGCACGGGCGCCTTTTTACACAAATCGCTATAATTGTAATGTAAGTATCAAATTGGCAATGCGAAAATATTTATTTTCTTTCATTGCACCATGCAAATGTATTTGCATTTCAGGCATAACGAACATCGCAAACTCTTGTAAGAGGCCAGCGCTGTGCAATGTAAATCGCACATAGTTAGCTCATCATCATCATCAGGAACACATAGAAGGTATAAGCAAATCGCTATTGCCTGGGTATCAAAATTTCACATTTTTGTTAACTTCTTGAACGACTTCAAAGTCAAGTGTTTAGTCAATTTCCTTAGTCAATTTCCATGCGCAGTAACAGTTTAAAATATGGCTACAGAGTTCAATTTCGACAAAGAAAATCCGGAAAAAAGACCCTTCCTTAAAATGCAAATGCATCATAGTTCATACAGTCAATCTGGTAAATGGAACCAATGTATTATTAGCGTAGGCCAAATTTTCAAGAATAAATGCATCAGATTAAGAATCGACTATAAAATTGAGTATTGTGGCAAAGTTTGCAGAGCAGACCCTACAGTACATGTATGGTCGGCTCACGTCTCTAATAAAGAGAGGAGTGGATCCTATAGTATACAAATAAGAGGCTAACAGTAACAAACAAAAGAGACAGTCTAAGTTGACTGCACTCGGTCTCTGCAGTCCTAATTTATAATTTATTTTAGGTGGTGGTCATCAATGGCAATTGTCACAAAAGTGCCGATTTTTAGAGCATTTTGATGAGTTTGTACAGTGATGTTTACAAAATTTGAGAATCAATTGAGGATGTCTAAACATTTTTGCCTTTACAAAAAGGCATACTAATGCTCCTACGAGTATGACTGATCGATGAATGATGACTGTGGCATACGGAGCTGAGACTTAGCTTGAGATGAGAGTCTGCAAGTCGACCAGAGTCTGCAAACACCATTCAGAACTTACGTGGATTTTAATATCTGGGACTACAATTTTCCTCTCACACATGCATTATAACGTTAAACGTAATGCACTTACGGACCTCGTTTACAAACATCTTACAACTTTTTAACATTTTTCCTCAATAAAAACAAAGCATTCATTTTTTTCTACACAAAAATGTTAACTCGAAGGAGAAAGTTAAACCACTTACTCAAATCAAGTAGCTTGAGAATATCTCCACAATAACAATCCGCAGAGTTATCCCCCGCCATTTTGCAATATTTGTACTTTGTTGCTACTTTTTTGTTGAAATAATTTGATGTGAAATTTGATTTTTGATTCATGATGAGTATCTATCGATATTTAAAAAATAATATATGTTTATTTTATAACAGTAATCTCAAATTCTACTTTATATTCGTTACCAAACTTAATTGAATATTTCTTTCAAATTGGCACCAATCTAGCACATGCTGGTTGGTCTTTTTTGTGCACTTGTATTATTATCTTGCAATATTACGAGCATAGCATGCAAGCTCTGAAAACTCCTTTTGTTCACATATTCACATCAAAGAAAAATTACATTTATGAACGCTCTGGCTATTTGGCGGGTTCAGCTCCCTAGCTCAACGATCGAGCAATAATCTAGGAATGAATATTCCCTCGCTCAATAAGGCCTTAAAATCAATTATTTTCGTTTTGTTTTGTTTTGTTTGGATTTATTCTGTTTTGTTTTGTTGATTTGTTAATTGTTTTGTTTTGTTTTATTTTATTTTTGTGTTGTGTTTCGTTGTTTCTTGTTTTTATGTCACAAATTTTCTCCTTCTTCTTCTTAATTCTATATTCTTCTTCTTCTTCGATCTTCTTCTTCTTTTTCCTTAGTTAATTTCTTTAATTCTTTCTACATGTATTTTTTTAAACGACTTATAATTATAGTCTTAGATAGACTATTCAACTTTTTACATGTGATGGACATTCGTATACTAGTAGGCCAGAAAACAGCCTGTCACCAAATAGTCACACATACATTGTATACATGGGGTGATTCATACATGGACATGCATGTACAAGAGTTAAAAAAATATCAGATGGCGCTGTTACAACTCGGAACTTGGGAATGAGAATTGTCACACATTTTTAATAAGTTGAAACATTTGTCCATGATAAAATAGGACCGAGACCGAGGATGAACAATACTCTAAGATTATTTACACCTCACTATTAAACACTTACAACACTGGGAAGGGGCATAATTTATTATACAAAACATTACAAAAATCACATGCGGCCTCTGTAAATACTTGCTATCTGTACTTGCCAACTAACTTCCTTTATCCATCATTAATTTTTTTTATTTTCCACTTTGTAATCTAAGATTTCACTTATTTGAAATGTTCTATTCAAAGAATTTAAGATTCCCTGCACTTGAAAAAAGTATCATTTTTAAAACATTTTTATGATTCGTGAAAAAGAATTCTGAAAGTTTTATTAACTTGGTTAACGGTTAAATATGGGAACAATAGTTTATATAATATTTTTTCTGGTATTGTGTGGAATGAATGGCGCTAAAATTGTGAATATAATTACCTAATATAGCAATTTTTAAAATAAATTATTACTCATGCTATACAAAATAGGCAAATGAGGTACATGGAATGCAATAGATAATCGTTTCGCCTAAAATAAATGAGTAATTATGCGACATACTGTAAAAAGTAAACCAAAAACGTAAATTTGTTGCCTTGTAGTATATAAATGGGGCCATTGTCGTTTAATACATTAGGTCGAATACATAAAAGAAATATAGAGAAAATAATAGGGTCGAATACTTATCTTTCATCAAATTGTATTTAAAAAAAAATCTTACTTTGATGTTACATAGTATCTTAAAGTTACCCTCACTGCAATTATATGTTTATTATCTTTATTGTCGACCAATCTCATTATAAATATGATTTTTTTTTCTTTCTTGACATTCCAAGTTTCCTTTTCTTCCAAATTGCTAATTTTTTTAAAGAAAATATACTCGTAAATCTTTATATTTATCACATTTCATAATTATATGGAATTCATCTCTTATACATTCATATTGCAGTCTTCACAGAATCGTAGATATGGGGGCGTTTTTTGTTGTTGTCTTTTTTGTGCGCTCGTAGTTTGGTCATGATATTGTTCTTAAAATGTATTTTGGTCAGTATGAGATAAATACTTTTCTTGCTTTCACTGTATAAGGACGCTGAAACCTGGGAAGAGCCTCGTCGCTCTACGTAATTCATCCAAACTTCGTATTCGTATCCAATATTTGAGCATGTGTATTGCAATTTGAATAAGTTGAGGATGCCTTCCAATTCCGGCTGAAACTGCTAAATTAGTGCATTTGCTGTTTACCCTTAAGATGTGTATTTTCTCAATATTATTTCTTATAATAAAGTGGTGTTTTCCCTGTTTCTATTTAAAGAATTTTCTTCATGTTCTTCATTGTACTAGCACCCTAAATTTCTGATCCATAAAGCAAAAATAGGTTGTACAGTAAGTTAAAGATAAAGGTTTAATAAGGTTGATACAGGGCAGGCGCGTACGCAGGATTTTTTCAAGGGGGGGTTTTAACATTTATAAATCGGGCCGAAAATTTCGCAACGACTCAGCCAGCCGCTGAATAAGCGGGGGGTAAGAGGACACTTTCTTTTTTTTTTTGGTATCGAAATTTGAAAATTTGACATTTTGCTCCGTTGGGGGTGGGGGGTAAGGTCAGCTTTTTTAGGTCAGCCATGGGAATTTAGTTTTTGTTTTTTTTAATTAAAAAAAAAAAAAAAAAAAAAAAAAAAATCCAAAAGGGGGGGGGGGGGTGGGTTTAGGGAAATTTAGAGGAGGTTTACACAAAAAAAAATACCAAAGGGGGGGGGGGGGGTTAACCCCCAAAACCCTCCCCCTGTGCCTGATACAGGGCGTAGTTATTGCCGTAAGTTTCTCCTGGCCTTACCCGCTAAACCCCTTGTCGCCGTTTTAAACGATCCATTATTACTAAAAACAATGCCTAAATATTTAATTTCCTTTACCGAGCAAAGTTTTTCCCCGTTTATTTCAAATTCACTCTTATCATTTAACCTGCCTGACTTATTATGTATATCATTCTTTTAGTTTTGGAGACATTAATATTCAACATCCAGGAGTTAAGTTGAGTGATTTAAACAGTATTGCATTCCTTGAGGGGATTTAGAAATAATTGCGAGATCGTCTGCATAAATTATGCAGTTCAAGCTCCTTTTAACGTGAAAACGTTAAAAATGTCAAAAAAAGAGTGAATTTTCACTCTATTTTCACTTTCTTGGGAGTGACGTCCGTGATCACTTGTTTAGGAGTGAAAATCGATTGATTTTAGAGTGCTCTCTAAGAAGAAAAGAGTGAATGTTCACTCTATTTTCACTACATTTTCACTCTCCAGAGGAGTGACGTCCGTGATCACTAGATTTTTTTTTTTAGAGAGGGCCTTTCAAAACTAGACATTCCCCGCGAGTATTAAATGAGGTGGTGGACAACTTTCCACAAGCTAAGATTATGGTATACGCTTTCGCACGAGTAAGGTAAAAATTCAAGCGCCAATTTTACTTACTTCAAAATAAAACTTAAAATGACATCAATAGTTCTTCAAAAACTTACTTTTATTTCCCGTACTATATCATGTGAACATCTGTTTGGACGGAACATTTTAGTTTCATAAACTTTAAGGAAGGAATTATCTTTGTCCCCTCCCGTGTTTGTACTGTAGTCCACAACACCTCCTTACAGTCCGTCCCTATATATTTTCCCTTTCTTTACAAATCACTTGCATCTCCAGACAACTCGTCTCTCCCTCCTCCTCTCTTCCATCATTTCCCGCTTTCTCTCACTCTTTCTCCTTGTCGAAAGTTAATCTCTCTTTCCAACTCACTTCACCCTCCCTCGCTTCCCTCTTCACGATCTTTCTCTCTCGCCCACTCTCCCTGTATTTCCATCTCACTCTCATTTTATGTTCTTGTTTTGGTAGTTTAGGTAACAAATTACTTTATCAAAGCATCACTTGAGCATACATCATAAATTATGCACTTGATTCAGAACATAGTAATGGAATACAAAGACAGATACTAACAAGAAAGAGACCTGAGAGTAAGGGAGAGAGAGGAAGAGAAAGAGAGAGAGAGAGAGAGAGAGAGAAGATGGGAGGGGGAGGGACAGGGGTAATAGAAGGAAGCTAGAACAAAGACAGAGTAAAGGGATGAACAAATATATAAAAATAAGAAATTAAAACAAAACACTCAAAGATTCAAATATGATTCTGCTACAAAAATCAGTTGTATGTTATTGTTTTTTTTAATGTTTTTGTATCATTATTTCCATTTCACCATATTCACTCCAGTCATCAGAAGTAATATTAAACAGATGGTATAGTTCTAAATTTTTCACAAGAACTGACTGTAGGTTTGATCAACAAACAGTTTCATAAATAGTGATACTAATTGACGATCCATTGAAACGTTCCTGCAGATATATGTTGGAACACTTGCATACCATTTTCATATATGATTTAAAAGATTATGAATATTGCTTAAAATATCAATTATAGGTCATAAATAACACAGGAAGGCCTATTGACATTCATAGACAGCTGATTAAAAATGTATTGTGATGTAAAGCTTTTCCTCATTATAATTTTCTTTTCCAATATCTGTATTTACATTACTAAAACAATTCAATACTGTTAATCGAACCCAAGCTAATTTCTTCTTATTCTGAATGTAAAAAGGTCTTCATACTAGAAGAAAATTCTCACGATATACCAAATCAGGCTGTGCATAATTATTTGTCATTCAAAATAAATTGCAGATTTAAAAGCTTTGACACTAAACTATCTGATAACATAGCCCGGGACGCTTGGGCAAAAGTCTTAATTTAAAAGAAGAATGAGAAGAAGAGAGATAGAGAGAGATAAAAATCAATTGTGAAAATGAACTGATATCTTAAAGTCAAAGATAAAATACAACAAAAAAGTTAAGTACAGAATTCATAAATTCATAATTAAAAAGAAAAGCAACATCATTTTAAACTCACTATTTTCAATAAAATGTTAAAGTATCGAAGAACACAAGGATGTAATAAAATAAATACTCTATTAATATCCCAATCAGGTCTCAAACTTAAAAACAAAAATCTAACGTTTCAAAGTCAAGAACTTTTTTCTCCATTTAAATACAAAAGTGAGCTAGGAATGGTTCCTCAATGTAAAACACATACATTGTGTGTGTTAATGGTTTTAGGTCATACCACCTAAAGACTTATTCATGGACTTATTCTCTAGCATTAGGCAAAAAACAAATACAACATACTATTTCAATAGAAAATAAGAAAAAGGAAGGTCATAAACTGCCCTCGATAGGGTTGTTAAATACAGATGTTTTCCAAGTTCAAAACAGCTTTTTGGCAGTTTACAAGATGAAACTCTCAAGTACATTACCCAACATTTTACAGATTAATGTGGGACGAAAATACTGCAATTACACAATCACCATAAATATAACTCCTCAATGAGGAGGATAGCTATTGCATGACTGATCAACAGTGAAACACATTTTTGTGCCGTTTTTACTTCCATATGGAAATATCACATTTCGTAATGCAACCAAATTTAATGCATACATCTTTGTGAAGTGCCTCAATGCAAGTTATTTCATTCACTTATTAAGAATAATTGTATTTCAATAGTCAGAATGCAAATTGCATATATTGTTATAGTGTTGTTAGGTAGGGCAGGCCATAATGTTTGCCCAAATATTGTATGCAATTCAGACTATTGAGATAAAATTATTTGTAACATGTGAATGAAATCATTTGTACCAAGGCTCTTCACAAAGACGTACGCATTAAATTTGGTTGCATTACGAAAATAGAATATTGGCAGCCAATAAAATACGATGGCCTTGTAACTGCAGGCACACACCACACACAGATATGTAGAGAGCTTCCAATATTTACATAGAGGTATAAAATGAACTCTATTTTTGTACACTATTTACAAGACTATCAAGGAAGAATATGCACACAGCTATAAGATAATCTATAATACAAACACACAGAAAATACAGCTAAAAATCTACCAGATAGGATGATAACTTGAATCTGCACCAAATATTTAAAACACCATGAAATATTACAGGGAATTTTTTATGTTGAGCGTTTTACTTCAAAAGTTACTGTTCCAATTCAATTCGATCTGATCAATATTGGTTGGAAACTTTAAAACCAAATACTCCAGAATAAGAGGTTTTTTTCCTCAGTAATCTCCTCCACTACCCAATGATAAAAAGCTAAAAATACTGTACATTATGTTTCTTTTCAGTTTAGCTCAAGTAAAAGCAATTAAAATGGATTATACACTGTAAAGTTTCCTACAAATCACTGTAATATGTTTAAATAGACACTTTTCCTTTATGATAGAATAGAATACAATGTTTTAAATTATTTCAATTTAGTTTCTGCATTCAAGCTGACAGCTAATTTTAAGTGAAATACAGCTATCGATTTAATATTTCCTAATTCAGATGCACATCATATTTGACTAAAAGCAATCCATAGCACCTCCGACAAATTTGTTAAATATAACTACATTTTAGGCTTCTTTGGTATCAACAAATTCTAGGCATATCTACATAAGACCCCACCACAATAAATGAGGGTTCGGGTCAAGTCTAGGGTTAAAGTTTGGGTCAGGGTTAGGGTTACTTGTGTGGTGGGGTATTCTGCCGTTGTTCAAAATTCAGCAACAGCAATTGGTAGCTAAATAACTTGTAAAACATGATGTGTGAAGAAAACTATGTACAGTGCTAAAACTACGATGATGAAGGAACAAGCAGACTTCTACATAAATATAATTGCAATAGGCAAGATACAACCTCTTTGGATGAAGAATACATCATGTGCTGAGAGCCAGAAGGGCATTAACTGTTATATTTTAATACAGAGATGATTTTGTCTATTACGAGCCAGAAAGTGGTTAATTTCGATTATTTTAAACATGAACACCCTCCTAGCATTCAAAATGGAAATGGCCCTGCTTTCAAAACCATTTATGCTGTTTGAGATATTGTTATATCTAGTTATCCTTGATTAATGATGACATATTAATAATTTCTAATTATGCTCAAGTTTAATATGATATTTCCCAATCTTAATAATGCTATCAATATATCAATGTACACCTCCTTATCTTTCCACTGCTGATAATGCAAAGACCTTGGTGACTTGTCCAAGACCTTTAGCAGAGCCTTCTCGGAAGAGGATTCTGGCGCCCTCCCGGATGTACTCAGGCTGCCGTACAAACCGGAACTTCACCAAAGCCTGCTCGTTGATTTTCACAGAATCCTGTTCAAGAATAAATTGAAATTGAGATTGAGATTGAGACTGAGATTGAATAAAACACAAGCAATCAAACTTTAGAGAAATAGAGAATTTTTTCTAAGGTTCACTTTGGGATTTGAATAATAAATTGAAAGTTAGGATTTGAGGTAATTTGTTAATATTTCAATTTTATGTGATTTATAAGACATTATTCCTTTGTATTTGAATAACATCAGCTGTATTGAGTATGATAGGTGAACAGATTTTTTGTTAAAGCAAACATGCGAAATATAATTATTGAGAAAGGACTCTTGTCCACAAATTTTCAAACCAGCAATGAATAAAGGAATTAACAAAGAGAACTATGAAAATGACTGTATTCTACTAATTCACTACACCCAGCGCAAGAACTACATGAACTACAACTACACCCTAATCTATATTTTTTCTTTCATTAAACTGGACTTTAAAATGAGCTTGAACTCAGCTTCAGGACCCTGGCCTATACAGAGTTGATATCAATCGCAGCTACTGTATGTACATAAGAGATAGGAGACTGCAAACTTGCGATTGATTAGAAGACTTCCAAATCAATCGCAACTCTTTATAAGATGGGGCCCAAGGGGGTGTTTCACAAAACTTGACATCAGTGACAAATGACAGTTGTTGTTATAAGCTAGTGAAATCCTTGCTTCTGATTGGTTAGTAGCAGATTTGTCACTGATTTTTGTCATTTGTCATTGAAAAAAGGCTTTGTGAAACGGGGCCCAGGTCTACTTGTTCAGAAGATAAAAGAGGGGAATCCCTTGCCTTGTCCATGTCACATATAATAGCATTCTGGCAGACGTTGCCTATATGCACGGTTGCTTGGTATCCACGACTGACGGAGGTAGTATGGTACAGGATACATATATCAGCTTCAAACTCGTAGCAAGGTGTTGGCTTTAGTTTCTCACTTACTAAAACCATTCCCTAGGAAGAAGAAGAAGAAAATTAATTCATGAATAAAATGTACAGAAATCTCTTTAAAGCCGGACTGCACTACTTGGGTCCTATATATAGCAAACAATGCCTAAGCAGTGCCCGTTGGTTTCCCATGATCCCCCTTTTCTTATGTTAATTGCCAGCTGATTTGATGAGATAACCACCTATCAGTGACCTTGCAAGGAGGTCTAATCCCTCCTGGCCAAACTAGTGCAGACAGGCTTTAATAAAAGTAAATCTTTGAATACAACAAGACATGTCAAACCTGAAAAACTTTATCTGAGATGGCAAATTTGAGTAACAATATCATGATACATTGCATACATTACAACCAGAATGGTCATTTTTTTTATTTTTTTTTACTCCAAGTGGTTCTTGTTTCAGCTTTTTAAAAAAACTTGTAGCTTAGGAGAGCAAATTTCCCCAAGCCCCAGGTTTTTTATTTTTTTTGCATCTAAAGTTGAATGCATTCATGCTCATGAAAGTTATGTAATCAATATTCACTTATTCTCCAGCAGCACATTCTATGGGGCACAGGTGGAATCATTCTACTCAAGAGGGCAAACAAAAGGTCTTCATGAAGCACCTCCATCACCTTGGCATTAATTATTCTAACACGCCAAACATTGGGGGGGTCTCCTTGTGCATGTGCTAAAGATCTGTGGATATTTGAGGTTCATTTGTCCCTAAGTTAACTAGGAACTGGGGGGTGTTTCACAAAGACTAAGATCGACTTTCAGTTGGTCTTAACTATGGCAGGCTATTCATGCCATTGTTTTATCTCACCATTTACCGGTACTGGCATTGGTCTCTCAAGGGACGTAAAATCCTTGTCACAAATCTACAGAATTTATATTTTCTGATAGTTCATCATTGAAGGAAAAAATATTATCTAAAGATCATAAACGTGAGGACAACCAGTGGCATGTAAGGCCTGCCATAGTTAAGTCCAACTTTAAAGTCGATCTTATTCTTTGTGAAACACTCCCCAGGTCTATTGCTTTCTGCATATGATAAATTAGAACACTGGAACGGTTACTACCTTTCTAATGGGCTTTTCCATCTCCCCTAGGGCCAGAGTGGCCGCTTGACCTGCCCTGACCACCCTGCTTGCTGACCGGTTCCTGTGTATACTCTGGATGTTCACTTTGCTGAAGGTCCCTTCCTCACTAGGTCCTAGTAGTAGAGTGTCGTCCTCTTTGATGACCCCCCTGTCAAAAAACATAACTCTAAACGTTAGAAAAATATATGCTTATGAACTGGGAGGCAAAAAGCGAACTGAATCGCTGCAACCCTGGGTCTCACCTCCAACTTTAAGTATTGCAAGTGTTCACTCCAAATCTAATCTAATGGGTAGAACGGATAATTATTCAACAAGATTTTGACTCCAGTGTTACTAATAATATACAATGTAACTACTGCTTTGACATGGAGTGCCATAATTGTTCTAATATACATGACATTATTATAAATATCATTGTTATCATTATTATTATTACATTAAAATCTTAAAATAAGTCCCTGGGTTTATATCTTAAATATTTCTGTCCTTGAAAGATAGCACACCTCACATGACATTAAAATCTTTAAAAAAAAACATGAATTTTCGTTTCCATATTTACAAGTGATCTTTACAATACATGCATAGAAATATGTAGACATTACATGCAGGGAGACATGATACCATTCATCAACTATTCCAATGATTTACCTGTATAGTGTACCTCCTACTACTCGCCCAACATTCGGAACACTGTACACCTCATCAACCTGCAAGAGTAAGATTGCAAACAGTACATGTTAGAGTTAAAGTTAAAGAGAAGGTTGAGTTCTGGGAAGAGGTGAAAAATAATCTATGAGCATTATCATTGTTATTATGCAAGTATGGAAGAACAACAGATAAAAAAATTTGATATCAAAAACTCATTTTGGCAAAATATGGAGTTACGTCTTTGTGTCAATGAACCCTCCATATACTTATTTTGAAGAGATTTTTGGCACACTTACTCCTTAGAATACAGGAATAATCCAAAGTAAACATAAGAGGAATAGAAAGCAAATTCTAATTTGATTTCAAGTTGAATTGTAGGTACCTAGACATGGGGTTCCCCATTATAATAATTAGTAACCATTAAGTTACTTTGACAATTCATTCAGAACATTTGTTATCACCTTACTGTTGTGGACCTACCTGGTATTCCGTCAATTCCTGCGTCAGCTTTTCTTGTTCCATAGAAGTGTTGGCAGGAGACAAAACATAGAGGAATTTCTTGAGCATCTCCATGTTAGCTCCTGTGACGCTGGACACGCAGAAGATTGGACATATGCTGCAAAGGACAGAAAGAGTGTTTTGTCTAGTCTAGTCTAAAAACAGAATTACAGAAGTACAGGGCGCTGTAACACAAAGCTTAGCAATTCTCGCATTTCACAATACATGCGCCACCAACGTTCGTACCATGAGAGGCAAACGCGGGTCGGAAGCATTTTTTAAAATCCAGGTGGAATTGCGATTAAGGCTATGTCTTGGCTCCTCATCTCGCCGATAATATCAATTTCACGAGATATCTATCTAGTAAGCTCTTTGTGAAATGGTTTAGGAAGATCAGAGATATCTCCGCAGTTGGCTGGTACAGTTATGACTGTCTTGTCGTTGGTGTTGAGAAACGGCCCCCTAATTTGTTGAGAAAGTTGTCGACCAAACTCCCAAAATTATCATGCTAGAGTGACTGTCGCAACTGAACCGAATGACGGCGCAAGAATTGTGGAACGCAAGAATTGATTGTACGATTGATTGATTGTACATAACAGTCAATAGCAAATTAGCAAGCAACCTGACTTATGTTTGTGTGACGGGGCCCTGTTGTGCAGATTTTATTCATCTGCAAATTTTCAACAGCCATACATGACAGCCATACATATACAAATATAAGCTGTCTAGTTGTTGGTGACTTAAAATTTACAGACTGACACTGAGCCATTGGGGAAGAACTGAATGACTGCATAACTTTCATGAGCCCTAATTCAGTATTTGCCTTGATGGGTTTTACAACTTTTGTATATAATAAATGATAAATGATAGGTTCTTATCTACAAACTGGCTTATTACACTGCATTCTACACCTACTTTGAGTTGTTGAAGTTGATTGCGGCTGTGACGGCATCATCTTCATTGTTGACTTGATAGGGAACCTTCTTGCAGCCTGGACCGGTCAAGAGCCTGGTCAGCTGAGAGATGGTACGCTGCCTGACCGCTGAACAACAGATGTCCATCTTGCTGACCACAATGAAGATGGGCACCTGGAGAGCCATGGCCAGTCCTAGATGTTCCCTGGTGGTACCAGCTAGGTAGCAAAAGAGAGAATCACTGATTATTCATGAGGAGGTGTTGTGGAATATTCACTTGCTTTCAGAATTTGACAGTTCAAAATGAATTAAATTGAATTGAATGCCAGCCTGGCACTAACATCTTTTGGCATGGCATTGATTGACTTACCATGGAAGTATTTGACGAAAATAAAATACAAAACGCTATTGAAGATGACTTATTTTGTTTAATGATTAAATTAAAGAAATCCAATCATTTGCAGGCTTCTCAGTTGGAACTAGTTTACTCTTGTTCTAAATTTAGTGAATATGGCCTCGCAGCATACCAGGGGTGGTTTGGTGATTTGGGAGGACAGAAGTAATTTTGTAGATATTAATTTGTATTTATTCAGATATTCAGTAAAAAATAAACATGTCCGGGGATGCAGCAAAAGGTTTAATAAAACCTGTACAAGGCTGCATCGCCAATAAAAATAAATGAATATTGCAAGATATTAAATTTGTCATCAGCATATTCATTACCCTTCTCAGGGGGAAAGTGTTCATGGTACATTCAAACCTGCTTTAACGACCACCTGTATAGAAAGACCACCTGTATAGAAAGACCACCTGTCTATAAAGACCACTTTTCTTGTCTCTCTTGGGTGTTCTTTATAGACAGGTTTCACTGTATTGCTTAGTCCCTAACACTTAGTATCAGCACCAAGAGTGTAACACACTGGCCAGCTTAGAACCCTGATCTTACCGATGCCTGTGCTTGCACTGATGACGAGCATGGCAAAGTCTGGTGCGTATCCCATCAGCCCAAAGATGGTCGTCTTGATGTACTTCTGATGCCCAGCCAGGTCTAGCAGGGTGATGAGCTTGGAAGCATTCTCACAGATCTCTTCTGCTGTTAAACAACCTTGCTGAGAATCACAGTAGTTGATCACCTAAAACGTATTTAAAAAATGTAGGAAACATGAATAATTTTGAGTGGGCAAGCTGGATAGGCCAGTAAAGCGCTGAACCAAAGGTCGCATATTCAAATCCAGCCCATACAGATGACTGAACCCTACATTTGCAATAAACAAAGATTATTAAAAAAATGTCTGAAAATGTATTATTTGTCCAAATACTGACATAAAACCTAATCATATTTTGCACTATGCTGTTCCTCTGGCTTATTTCTTTATCACTGTTTGTTTTTAATTTGTTTACATGTCTTTCAGTAACAGAATAAGTAAAAAAAAAAAAAAAATGATATCTACTATACTTTTAGGGAACTTATTTTACCAGGCCTTTTGGCCTATTAGTTCCCCTATTCTACATTTCCATTTTGCAATACTATGATGTACATGTAATTATAGGGCCTGTTTTCATTACAAAGGACTTTTATTAGATGTTTTCATGATGGAGGTCTATAATATGTGATCTACTTTCAATTTCTATGTGCTGAGAATCATACAGGTATCCCTGTATATTAAAGAGGATAAATTAATAGTCCAACAACCCTACAGTGGCAGAATCAAATGTATAAATGGGTTACCGGGTATATATAAGCACAGAAGTATAGCTAATGAAGAGGAATTCAACATTTAATAAAAACTTTAAACCACTCATTCATCTGATCAAATCAAAAGTACCGGGTAGCTCTTTTATTTCAAAGAATTGATAAATATGTGATGTTTTTGAGATGGAGGTCTGCATAGAAATTGAAAGTAGATCACATATTATAATAATATGTGATCTACTTTCTATTTCTATGCACTGTGAATCATACAGGTATCAGTGAATACAGAATAAACTGAATGGAAACAGGTTATAAACACAGAAGTTTCCAGGGCAAAGGGATTAACCCTGGGGGCTTAACATTTCAATCCCAAGCTTAAAACCACTCATGTATTCAATCAATACAGAAGAGGGTCATTTAACAGTTAATGGTCCTTGGATCAGAAGTTTCTATTGATTAGTCTTATCAGCTGACTGCAGCTTTAAGAAGCCAAAACAGCTCTGGCCTTGTAATCACGGCCATTGTTACATAACCGCCTATTATCTTCATGTGCGGGTACGATGTGTGTAAAAGCTGTGTTTGTAAACATTGTTGTTTCCGCATTGGCTAGTGTGTGGCGTTGCCATATATGCTATTACAGTTTAGAAACTGTAGTTTGAATGTTGTTGTTGTTGGTTTTAATGGCGTTTTCCATCCTTGTTGGATGATTTTCGCCATATGAAGAGCTTATGCCTTTAAATCTATAGATGGTCCAAACAGTCTATAAAGGAAACTTCAATGGACTCTGCAAAAGGCCACTATGGGCAGGTAGTCTTTCTAGACAGGTTCTTTCAAACATATACTGTACCTCCAAAAGGCTGACAAAAGGTTTTGGAAAGTAAGCCTTCATACTGTCACTACATTGGGTTTAAATATTGTTTTTCGTACTTAGGCAACATTTGCTCTGTGGTCAATTTCCTACAAAAATTAAATTCCAGACTTCCAACCCAGGACAAACACGTTACCTAGCCTCGACCCTAACCCTAAACCTAGCCTAAAAACCTACTTCCAACCTGAACTCTAACCCCTATATCTTTGACAAAATAAACCCTGGAATATCCTCACCAACTGAGCCCCGTTGCACAAAACTTACCATTGATGGTAACTTTGCCATCAATCGTAACTACTATGGAAACCTTGATTTTTATTGGCTGTTGAGCCCTGTTACCTTGGTAGTTGCCATTGATGGCAAAGTTACCATCAATGGTAAGTTTGATGCAACGGCTGAGAGCAAATGTCTGGTCACCAGGGCCTAGGAAAACAAAGCTTAACATTTGATCCTAACATTGATTTTTGCTATTGACTTCATTTTAAAATCACTATTAATTTGCAATCAATTGGACGATCGATTGTTAAGCTTTGTGTTATGTAGCCCAGTTTCCATCCATCCAAAAGGTGTTTGATATAGCGCCTTTTTACAGTTACAAAGCGCTGCACACACCGCTCCACAATGTTTGGGCCACTTTTTCTTACCTTTCCTCTGCTATTAAAACCAAGTATCTCATGGCTGATACTGGACGTCCTGCCTGACTGGATCTCATGTAGATGGCGGAAGAGATTCAGTCGTGCCCTCCCCCTGCCATTGTCCAGTTCACCCTGTGTCAAGACCCCTAGTAGAGTGCTCTTTCCCGCTTCTACATTGCCTAGTACTGCTATCCGAAGATCTATGAACTGAATGGTGGTGAATAAAGGGAAATGATATTAGATTAGATTGAATTGAAATAGTATTTTTATACATGATCCACTGGGAAGAATGAGGGCTGAATTTTAAGGAACGTATAAAGTAAAAGCAAAAACACAAAATACTATCACACAATGTATTTGTATAAGATAATTATGTAATGTGAAGCATAAAAATAATATAGAAACACTGAAACGTCTAAAAAGAAGTATTACAAATGTAACAAACATCTTAAATTCAAATTTTAACTTTAATCCACTGGATAAATTAATGTGGAATTACCGGTACAATTGAATATTGTTGTAATTATGTTGTCAATATCAGAGTTTTGGTCGACATGTAATATTCCAGCTAAAATGGTGTTTTATCAACCAGACTGTCAATAATGGCCCTACATAATAGTAATACATTTCAGCAAAAACGTTACACTTGTTTTATTCCTATTATACATTGTGTTTGAACGTTTTTAATGAACAGTATATAAATACTTGTGAGATGTATATATTAAATAAATCTAATTTACCTGCTGGTCATCAGGAACCCTCCTCACAAGTACTTCACAAGCTTTCCTGTCAGTATTCTCTCCTTCACAATCTACACACCGCTCCCTCAGGATGGTCGTTGTAGCTCCAAGTCTAAAGTAAGGGTAATCAAATGATATTTTGAATTTTAGTTTCATGGAAAAGTGAAGTAAATGTCAAAATATGAAATTACAACAATCATTATTATACGTAGTGAAGTACATCTGTTTTGTTGAGTGTTTAGCATTACAGTGAGTGTCAAATATCCTTCAGGCATTTGTACACACTTTGCAAATTGTAATTGAATATAATGTACATACGGTACACTCTGAAATACCGGTATCCCCTTTCAAACAGCATTGTTAACATACAAATGTACATGCACATGTACCGGTACACATCATGAGGTAGAGAAGAGTGATAGTGTCACATGCTCATTTCAACTGAGGTGGGAGAGAGAGATATTTGTTGCATCTGCAAACCAGGGGAGGTGTTTTACAAAGGTCCTAAGTTTGACTTAACAAATATGGAAAGCCATTAGCATCTTTGAAAATATTTTTTAAAAGTTATTTTAAAAGGCATTAACTATTGATTCAAATCATTTGTATTTTATTATCCAGGAGATTTCATGTTCATGATGTGGAATCTATAAAAAGTCTAAAATAAATGAATTTTTGCTTTTAATATATTTTATTTTAAGGCTACAAATGGCTCTCCATAATGTTTAGTCCAACTGAGAGTTAAGTTCGACTTAGAATCTTTGAGAAACACCCCACAGGAATACCAACTTCATAACTGGCTGCCATTCTGTTGAGAGTATCCAATGATGCTTCCAACTCTTCTTGGGAGAGAGCGGCTAGCATCCCATCGTCATCAACACCAACCTCACATACTGCCACACCCTAGCTCTCCCTGGACCTCCACAAACTTACCTGGATGCCATTCTGTTGAGAGTATCCAATGATGCTTCCAACTCCTTTTGGGAGAGACCGGCTAGCATCCCATCATCATCAACACGAATCTCACATACTGCCACACCCTAGCTCTCCCTTGACCTCCACAAACTTACCTGGATGCCATTCTGTTGAGAGTATCCAATGATGCTTCCAACTCCTTTTGGGAGAGACCGGCTAGCATCCCATCATCATCAACACAAATCTCACATACTGCCACACCCACTGGCCACACCCTAGCTCACCCTTGACCTCCACAAACTTACCTGGAAGCCATTCTGTTGAGAGTATCCAATGATGCTTCCAACTCCTCTTGGGAGAGACCAGCTAGCATCCCATCATCGTCAACACCAATCTCACATACTGCCACACCCTAGCTCTCCCTTGACCTCCACAAACTTACCTGGATGCCATTCTGTTGAGAGTATCCAATGATGCTTCCAACTCCTTTTGGGAGAGACCGGCTAGCATCCCATCATCATCAACACGAATCTCACATACTGCCACACCCTAGCTCTCCCTTGACCTCCACAAACTTACCTGGATGCCATCCTGTTGAGAGTATCCAATGATGCTTCCAACTCCACTTGGAAGAGACCAGCTAGCATCTCATCGTCATCAACACCAATCTCACATACTGCCACACCCACTGGCCACACCCTAGCTCACCCTTGACCTCCACAAACTTACCTGGATGCCATTCTGTTGAGAGTATCCAACGATGCTTCCAATTCCTCTTGGGAGAGACCGGCTAGCATGCCATTGTCTTCTACCCCAATCTCGTAGATAGCTTCTCCTTGGCCCTCCCTCAACCTCCATTTCATCTGGCTCACTAGGTGCTCGAAGCGACTACTGGATGGATTCACTAGCTTCAACTAAATATGGAACAAAATAAATAAACAATTATGGCTTCTAACAGTGAACTATAAAACTAATATTGTAAAACCACAAACATCTGTACGCACAAGACTTTCATAAGTTGCATAGGAGGTTCACAGAAGTTTCCATGCCATGAATAAACAGCATGACCTTAGTTTTTGCAGTTCTCAAAAGCTGCCTGGTGTGAAATAGGCTGTCGATCGTTATTCCATGACAGTTTTCCTGTAAGAAAATGTCCGGAGGCCAACAGAAGTACAAGATGAAAGTAAATGTACTTCTAAATTTCCATAGGCATAGGGAAGAAAAAACAAACTTTAACCTTTTTGAGGCTTAACAAATTCATGAAAATTTATAAGAACTACCGGTATCAAGTTTTCAACAGAATAATCTTGGCAAGTCAGGATTTGGAACTCTATAAAAGTATGGAAAAGGAAGTCTGATGTTCTGGCAAAGCATCCTCATTTATAATCTAGTCTGACTAGTCATATCTTTCACAGAAATTCAAATGATTGTGCACAATATTTCAAACGGGATCATTTTGCATTCATCCCAGTGATCCAACTACCCTAATAGACAGTTTACTAATTTAAATTTATGGATGTTTCTTTCATGGGGACCTAGTAATGAGCTATGCATATTATCCATTTACCTCTTATTAATAAATGAATTACACTATTAGTACTTAGAATCCAGTTTACATACAAAACTATGCATAGAATTTGAATATATTATATTAAAAAACCTGTTTATTGGGTATACTACAGTAACTAGGCCTTTAATACTTGTCAACATCTATAGGCCTACCGTACTTACAACTATACATTAATTTAAAGTATGGCCTTATCAACTATCAAGGGATCATGTATCTCCAGGCCCAGGGGTACTCATTTTGTAGCTGTACAAACTAATCCAAATTCAGACAACCAGAATTCAGACAACCAGAATTCATTGTATAGCTACATGTACATATCTCTCTGATTAGTAGTTCATGTTCCCAGTCTGAAGTTCTGAATATCATATTTAAAAAGAAACGCCATATACCATGTATGTTGCGCATCGTTTGATTGAATATTTCACAAAAAGAATCAGGGACTACAGGGTCTTGTTCTAGTTTGAACATGGTATTACATCACATGTATATGAAAATTGTTTGTACCGTAACTGAGTGGGACTTCTTTCACTTTACAATGATTCATTACACGTTTCTTTCGACATGTTTCATAAATTTCCTCTAGTATGAACAGGTTATCAAATAGACAAACAGCCAGTTGATGACCTTTCATCAGGCACGTTTGACATCTATTTGTAGTTTGCAGGCGCAGACCCTTGTCACTCGCTGTGTGTAAAAACAGAGTCTGCACAGTGAGACTAGGCTGACAGCACACTGCATAGGCTCTGTAATTTACACAATGTAGCTCCTGCGGTCTGATTTGACACAGCCAACGACTGATTAAGCAAGGATCTTCTCAAGACCTTTGGAAAATTGTGGTCAAGTGTCAAATCAGAGTCTGTGTCTGCAGACTATTTAAAACCTTGGCATGATAACATCGCGGACTCTTCCGTTATATAATGCCAATGTCATGTGACCTGAATGCCAACAGAAGTCTTGTCAGTCAGGCATCTCTGTTCTGATCTTTGTGAACAATAATAATATAAACAAGACCCTGGATATAGTAGGCCAATAACAACAACACAGAAAAGTTGTAAGCCTACTAAGCCCATATCTTAGCTACATGTATGTGACATAATACATATGTACATGTACTAGAAATCAAATGTTACTACAGTACCTATTGCCTACAACCGTAGCTGAAATCTACCGGTACATACACATTATATATGTACTTTATACATGTACATACATCAAAATATACAACATTTCTATTCTTACTGATATCAAAACATACCAGGATAATAATTGCATGAAAGCTAATATCTGAAGGGGTTATTCAACAATTTTGACATTACAAAACAGTACAATTCTTACTAAAAGTATGCAGTGATACAAAATAGCATTGAATAAGTGACTTTAAAAAATACATTCTGGAATGTCATATAAAAACAAAGTTTAGGAGAGAGAAATAATTGCTTACCTTATACTCAATATTGCCTTCTGCAGCCTGAAATTAAACCAAAAAAAAGATAATTTTGAGTGATTTCAAAATGTTTGAAAATATCTTAAAGGTAATTAAGAAATTTATCATTGATGATTGATATAGGCTGGCCACAATGCTCTTTCACAGATTTCACCCCAAACATCAAATTATTTCTGCACTGTTTCAGGTACAGTATGGGTTAAGGCTTAGGGTACATGTATATTTGTTGTATCTAACAAAAACCTAATAACTAGACGATAATCTGAACACTTCTTGTACGTGTACATGTACATGTAGCTCTATGTGTTGACTTATAATATGAAGAATCAATGGCGCGTTACTTTCAAACACACAATATATACATGTACTCCAGGATGTTTCATGATTTACCAAAGAAATACTGATGCCTCAAATTCCAAGGCATATCTTATTAGTGGTTCTACATACATGTATATCTGAGATAACCATGATCTCTGACACAAACTTTCACAGAATTCAAATTGATAAGTTTTGCTAGCATCCAATGGCATGACAATGAAAGTTACTTCAGCACAACAGTTTCATCCTTCATTATCTTTCCTTCTACTCCCTTCATCATAATCACTTTCGCCGCAACCAAGGACCTCTTCCATTCTATTGTGAGTTTTGTGACGTATGCAATAAATACCAATGCAACCCTTTTGTGACAATAATGGGAGTTGAACATTCAAGATCTCACAGAGATCTTTAAAGAGGAAGACCACCCTGATAATAAGTTAGTTGAACGATTTAAAATATAGTCATGTATCAATGTTAAGGTTTTTTAAAGTTGATATCTATCACAAGCAAATTGGCAACTCCACCAGACCACCATGCACCTTTTTGTGTACAATTATCTTGGTTCTGGTAGAAGTAATAGATTATATATGTTATGGTGATATAAAATAATATTTGCAACCATAATGTACAGTAGGCCACATTTAATAAATTTATTCTTAAGAAAAATGATAGGGTGCCCAAAGCTCGCAGAGATTTGAAAAAATATTAGGAATGTGACTCCGATCCATGATTTCTCATATTCTACACAAATCTATTTTAGTTCAATATTACAAAATAAACAGCAATATTTTAGAATACAATTTGGTGCAAATAGAAAATTAATCATCAAAGAATTCTGGAGATATCGCAATCTCAAAATTCAATGTCGGATAAGAATACTCTGCAACTGACGAAAAAATAATAAAAACAAAAAGACGTTAATTCACACACAGGAGTTTACAGCAGAATTGTCAAAAAAACCAATCAATCAGATGTAAAATAATTGCATAATTTGCAAAGGCTAATATCATACAATCAGTTGGTATCACTCTTAATTTTTAATTTTGATAACATATTTTTTCTAAAAATGAAGATTTCCAGACTCTTGTTGGCAAGTAACTAACGCAAAAGACTGCAAAATTTGCTGAGGTTTTGTCAATATTTTCATAATTTCACATGATGATCGATGAAGATGATATGATGATGAACTATAACATTTAACAGGATATGATAATGGTAATTGATGATTAGACCAAATGTGAAGAAAATATAGTCAATTTTCAAATCAATTTTTTTGTTTTTGTTTAACTCTAACTAATCCCAGGCCCAGGCATTAGTCATTATCATAAGATGATGACGTGGATCCTTATCAAAAATAAATGATTGGTTGAAAGCGTACACGTGACCAGGCATTTATTTTGCCTAATGCGTAATTTCGATAATGACCGGTCATTTAGTAAAACCATGTTATAAAACAAATAAAACAAAATCTTATAAAACAAGTAGTAATAGAACTAATACACATCATTTTGTTCGGGCATTAGTAAAATTACCCACACTCGGTACCAGTCTAAACACCCTCGGCCACCGCCTCGGGCATGTTAGACTGTTCCAAAGGTACCTTTAGCTTGTGTGGGTAATTCTTACTAATGCCCTCACTGCTGTGTATTATTTGTATACTGAGTGTTAATGTTTATAGGACAGGTCAATCAAAAGTCTAGACACTGAATGCTGAAAAGGAAATGTAAACAAGCAAAAGTAAAAAATTAATCTTTTTTTTTTACTTCTACTAGGCCTACCGACAATACCTTAAATAATGGCAGTAAAAGTTTCATAGATCTACAGGGCAAACCTTCTTCAAATGCAAGTGCAAGAACTTAGAAATCTTTTGTTTTGTTTTGGCCCAACCCGTGTATCCGCTCTTTTCATATAGCCTAGGGTCCACCGACGCTTGAAGCTGACTAGCCCGCGCCTAGCCCACCCGCCTTCACTGTCAACCGCTGTTTGTTTTGACTTACCTCTGGCGGAAGGTTGTTCAGGGAGCAGGAAGATACCTCTACTTTCTCCTGGCTGCTCATGAAACCCGACAAATTCCAGCTAATATCCATGTTGAAATCAAACACGAGTGCACATTTCAGGTCAGAAATTGCTGCTAAAATGCTGTTCAAAGTCGGATTTCTCCGCTCTTGATACAACCAGTCAATCCTCTGTATATGCCACCTCACGCACTGCGCATGCGCAGATAAATCACCATAACATTATTATTATTATTATCTGATGCAACTGACAGGAAATTGATAAGACAACAATAACACAACTGACTTTGCAACATATGTCGAAAGAATTGCAACATCATTACATGTCCTAGTAAAGTTAAGACCATTTACACAATAATGATACATCTATTATTCTGCTGAAACCCCCCTCTTCGTGTCTTTATAGGATTTTGTTGTCTCTAGCTCTTCCTCATGCATGCACCCCTCCTGTTCTACCTAGCCTAGCTCGATCTCCTCTTTTTACCCCTCCCCATTTCCCCCTAATCTGTCAGCGTCATTTCCTCCGACTTTGCCTCCTCCTCTTCCTCTTTTCCCTCAGAGTTTGCCTCCTCCTCGACCAGCCCAATCTTTCTTTTGTTTCTTCCGACTCACCATTCGATTCCCGCTTCCCCCCTCCCGTTTTGTTCGCATGATTTTCCGTTCATTCTTTGCTTATTTTGAAACTAGGATATGTACTTTATAACAAGTGGTAATTATAGTACTTAATCATTTTTTATAATATCTATGTCATTTCTGGCTACTTAATCATTGAATTTCATATTCAACATGTTTAAGTCGTGAGGGGAGCCTTGATTCAGAAGCTTGGTGATCCCCAGGTATAAGCTGATGTTTCATATTGTATATGTTAGTTTTCTTGTATTCTTTGTTCTTAATTGTTACACTATTTCGTGCTCCTGGAAATGGAAATAAAGAAGTAATGAAATAATTCTGTCAATAATACTGTATTGAACCAAGGAGTTACTATCCCTGCATATCACTCAGGTACAGGTACTCGCCGTAGACGGCGCGTTTGCTCACAATTTAATGCAGGAACAACTGGGTTCAGTGGCAAGCATGTATTTACAGAGGGACATTGGGGCACGGCCCACCAATCGAGTGTAGATTTTTTTTTTTTTATATAGAAAGAGAGACAATAGAGGAAAGCGAGAAAATGAAAGGGAGAATGGAACAAGGAGGAGGATATGAAGGCAGATGATCGAGGAGGAAGAATGAGAGGATATATGAGATGAAGGCATGCAGAGGAGGAGGATAAGTTGAAGGCAGAAAAGGAGTTGAAGGTAGGGGAGGGGACGAAGGCAGAGGAGGAGGAGGAGGAGGAAGAATGAGTTGAAGGTAGAGGAGCCTGGAACGAAAGCAGAGGATCTTGAGATGAAAGCAGAGGAGGAGGAGGAAGAGGAGGAGGAGAAGGAAGAAGAGGGATAGGATTTATGAAATGAAGGCAGAGGAGGAAGAGCGGTTAAAGGTGGAGGTGTCGTGGTCGAGTGGATCCGTCGACGGACTGTTGATCGTAAGGTCCGCGGCACGAATGTCTTTTGGCAAGACATTGATCTACATTTTGCCACACTCAACCCAGGTGATGTAAATGGGTACCTGGCAGGAATTGATTCCTTGAAATGAAAAAGCGCCGCGGGGTAATAATCGGGGCAGTGACAAGAGCGTCACAAAGTGACGGACACGTCCGCTTTATAAAAAGCCACCATTATTATTATTATCATTATTATATAATGAAGGCAGAGGAGGATATATTATTATGAAGGCAGAGGATACGGAGAGGAGAATGAGATGAAGACAGAGAAGGAGGAGATGAAGGCAGAGGAGGGGGAATCAGAAGGCAGAGAAGGAGGTGGAAGATGAGAAGGCAGAGACCGTCTAGGAGGAGGAGATGAAGGCAGCTAGGGAGGAGGTGAGGGCAGAGAAGAATGAAGAGGAGGAGGAGATGAAGGCGGATGGGTAGGATGAGTCAAAGCAAGAGGAGGAGCTGTCATTTGTTTTTGGTGGAAGAGGCTAAAATTACAGAGGAAGATGATAAACTGCAAGGCAAGGTGAAGATCAAGTTGAAGATGGAGAAGGATTCATAAAATTAATGAAGGAGTTAATAGAGTTTGCTGAAACCTTCTGGAATGAGATGTGGAAGAAGAAGATGAAGGAGAAAAGGCAAAATCAGTTGGAGGAGGAATTGAGCACAAATGAAATGAAAGAGATGTTGGTGGAGATACAGGTGGCCCATGACTTCGAAAAGGAGGGGAAGATAAGCGGAAAGGAAGAAGATGGGAAGAACAAAAGTGTTCGAGATAACACAAATCAGGTTGTTGTAAATGGATGAAGACGTGCCCCTTTCATCAAACGGCGAAAGGAAGGAAACAAAGAAGACAACAAAAGAGTAAGAAAGAGACATAGAGAGTAAGAGACATTTAGAGACAGAGGGGGAGGGGGAGGTAGATAATAGAAAGAAAGAGAGAGAGAGAGAGAGTAAGAGAGAGAGAGAGAGAGAGAGAGAGATAGAGAGAGAGAGGGAGAGAGAGAGAGAGAGAGAGAGAGAAATTGATAGGAGGAAATGAACGTAAGAATTTCCGGTCGGTATCATCCTGACATGTAGTATGAGTTTTATATGTAAAATGTGACTTCAACTTTGAAATCAACACATTTAATTGTGAACCCCTTTCAACTTTCTTGAATAAAAGCGCACAATGTTGTCCTTTGAGGACAACAGTTACTGCGCTCAACTGTGACGTAATGGATGCGGTGATGCGCATGCGTCATGATCTGCATAGTTACAAAGTTATCTTTTCATCATTATTGATGTAAGCGCTTTTAGCTATAACATCGATTTAGTAGCATCTCTTCTGAATATATCAGAATATTTGTCTAATTGTCTTTGATTTGAATCTTTCATCATGAGTGACGAACGTAAGTCCTATCTAGAAAACACGTCGATATCATACAACTAGAATAATTTATTGCGATATGTTTTCTTCATGATTTAGGTTAAAAATCAATATCATATGCAACGTCAAAATAATCTTGCGTTTAAAAAAAAATAAAGATAGGGGTCTTAATAAGACAAGCGTTAGTTTTTAATAGACTCCTCCTTCTGTACGTTTCCTATACTATAAGTCTAAATCATTTAAATTGCTTCGATATTGTATAACACCATGATTGTAAAGTGTATACAAGTAAATTTTGGGGTATCACTTCTCATATTAATTTTTATGTATAAATTATTGTTACATTCTCATTAATGATGTTGTCATGTATTTAGAAAAATACAAAAACATATTATGTGGGAATTCAATAAGCTTTGCAACTTGGAATACAAAGACTGATGAAGTAATCAATTTTTCATTCATGTTCAAATTTGAAAATGTTCAAATTTCCAATTCTTCTTCTTCTTCTTCTTCAAGATAATCTGCCTCCTTCAATACTGAAGATTCTTGCAGATGCCGTATACTCGGCCTGGTTGGGGTATGCAGGTGGACCATTACACCGGGGTTTCCCCCTACTCTTACACGAATAGTGCAATGGGTTCTTAACGTGCAAGGGTTATGACTCTCCTGTACACGGGGCCTCCATTTAACGTCCTATCCGAGGGACGGAGTGTTTTCCACTTGACATAACCTGCATCTATGAACAAGGGAAGGGGCACGTTAACACACAACGCAGGCTTCAGTCATCCGCCTGGGTGGGAGTCGAACCCGGGATCTTTGGTTCGACAGGCAGACGCTTTACCGACTGAGCCAACTCGCCTCCTCAAATTAAAGCGGATGTGGAAAATCGTTTGCATAATTATTAAAGTCGTATTGAAATCCTTGAAACTAAAACAGTCGATAGTCGCTTTTAATTTTGGATACAAAATATATGATGTATCATACAGTGTCATTATATTGGTCTTCTCCAATTTGTTTTTATTATTCAGCAAATCGAGTAGTTCCTAGATTTCAACACGAGTTGGCAGAGACTCTTGCCTTCAGTGAGTATGTCTATCTGAATGACATTCAGACAAACCAGATTAACGAGTTTGTCCAATATCTCCAAAAGAAAGGCGCAGAGCTGACGACTGATGAGGAGGAAATCATACAGGAGAAGGAAGCAAAATTTAATGAAGCGGTAGAATGGGAGGAGGAGTTGAAGGCAGAGGAGGAGGAGGAGGAGCTGGATGTAGAGGAGGAGGAGGAGTTGAATGCAGAGGAGGGGGAGGTGAAGGAGATAATGGCTGAGGAGCCTGAGAAGGAGATAACGACAGAGGAGGAGGAGATGACGGCTAAGGAGGAGGAGATAAAGATTGAGGAGGAGGAGGAGGAGATGACGGCAGAGGAGGAGGAGGAGGAGATGACGACTGAGGAGGAGGAGGAGATGACGGCTGAGGAGGAGGATGAGATAACGGCAGAGGAGGAGCTAAAGACAGAGGAGAAGGGGCTGATGTTAGACGAGGAGGGGATAAAGGTAGAGGAGGAGGAGGAGGAGGAGATGAATGACATTCACACAAACCAGATTAACGCGTTTGTCCTGTATCTCCAAGAGAAAGTTGCAGAGCTGACGACTGATGAGGAGGAAATCATACTGGAGAAGGAAGCAAATAAAGCGGTAGAACGGGAGGAGGAGCTGAAAGCAAAGGAGGAGGAGTTGAAGGCAGAGGAGGAGGAGGAGGAGGAGGATGATGATGAGTTGAAGGCAGAGGAGGAGGTGAAGAATGACATCCAGCCCAACCAGATTAACGCGTTTGTCCTGTATCTCGAAGAGAAAGTTGCAGAGCTGACGACTGATGAGGAGGAAATCATACAGAAGAAGGAAGCAAAGGAAGCGGTAGAATGGGAGGAGGAATTGAAGGTAAAGGAAGAGGGGCTAAAGGTCGAGGAGGAGAAGGAGGTGAAAGTAGAGGAGGAGGAGATGGCGGCAGAGCAGGAGGAGATGAAATCAGAGGAGGAGGAAATGAAGGCAGAGGAGGAGGAGGAGATGGCGGCAGAGCAGGAGGAGATGAAATCAGAGGAGGATTTGAAGGCAGAGGAGAAGATGAAGGCAGAGGAGGCGGAGATGATAAAGGCTGAGGAGGAGAAGATAAAGGCAGAAGAGGAGGAGACGAAGGCGGTGGAGGAGCAGGCAATCACTTTGGTTGCGGAGGCTAAGGTTACAGAGGAAGACAGAGAGCTAGAGGGCGAGAAGGTAGTGAAGCTGTCAGAAATAACGGAGGAGTTAAGAGAGTTTGCTGAAACCTTGTGGAACGAAACGCCGATGGAGAAGATGAAGAAGGGGCACATACAGAAGGATGAAAAGATCATTAACGAAATGAAAGAGGTATTGGAGGGAATACGAGAGGCCAAAGACTTCAAAGAGGAGAGGAAGATCAATATAAAGAATGAAGATAGGAAGAAGGAGAGTGATCAAGATAACAAAGATCAGGCTGTTGTAACTGGAAGAAGACAGAAATGGTGGCAACTTTTATGCTGTTTTGGTTGGAGGAGGCGCAGCAGGCGTTCTTAAGACTTGAATGAAGACTTATGTTATGATCATTGACATTGTGAATAAAATTGTAAATAAATTGTAAATTTAAATTGACTTCTGAGGACTGTTTGACATATTTTGATTCACTATTGGAAGACGGGGAGTGGTATAATCCAGCAAATACAGAGAGAGAAAGAGAGAGAGAGAGAGAAAAAAAAGGATGGGGGGGGGGGGGGTGAAGAGATATCTATAAATTAAAAAAAAGAACAGACCCGTTTACTGATCAATTTATCGGGTTTCTCTAGAAACTCTTGCTATCAACTACCCAATTGATATGCTATGCAAACTGGCACCTCTATGGAGGGGATCCACTTTGCACACATTGGTTGCTACTATGTCTCACAAGCCTAATGCAAGCACTTGGGTCGTCAAAAAGAAACGTTTGTTAAAGACATAGGCGTAGAATTAGTAAACAGGCATACTGAGTGACAAACAGAAAAAAGGACGAATTTCCATGCATTTTCAAAATGACACATTATTTACTTTTTAGCAGTTGGGTTAAATAAACTCCATATTATCTCTCATTATTCTCTAAATGTATTCCAGTCCTTCCCTAAGTCGAGTTGAATGACTAGTATCAATGATATGCAAGTATCTGAAAAAATCTGGAACCTAATTGTGAAATGAAAACTATGAAATGGAAATATTGATATAAAGGCAATGCAAATACAAATGAGATTTATGTGTAGGCTTTAATGTAAATTTTTATTTTCACACAATGATTTGAATACTTACAGGTTAGACAAGGGAATTTCAGTTATTATCGGAATGAACATATCCATGTGATTTCATAATTACATTTGGTCATAAAGTTACAGATATTACTTACATTAAAGGTAAAGATCAGTATTGGAAACGCCCCAATTTCAAAAAATGAAATGGAAGCTCTCATTACCAATCATGTGAAAGAATATGTTTTGACTAATACATGATGATAAAAAATTTGCCGGGGAAACCGCCTACTAATTCATATATTTGGTAAATTTGTTTCTCTCATGGTCTGTGAGAGATATAGGGTAGTCCCATATACATCTTTCTGTGTATAGTGCTTGTAACTTTACGAAGAATGGGCCAAATTTCTTATCATTTTGATGATTCCAGAACCTTGCAGATGCTAGATGCTAGATGATCAACCTTTTCTGATCGATTCCACAACGTTTCTTTCACAATGCAATCGCATGACCATAACTGGTCTTTACCTTTAACACATTAATTACAGGGCAATTAAGTTAACATAGGCCTTATTGAAAATATTGTTTTGAATGTTTCCCATAAACAAAATTAAAGAATGTTCTCCTTAATTTCCTGGGCAATTATAATCAAACAGACCTAAATCTATAATTTTACTTCCTTTTTTTTCCATCTCAGTTTAGTACTGTATAATAAAAGAAAGTGTTTAATAAACACATCATTGAGTTAATAGTTTAGGGCAAAACTGTGGAATGTGTCCCTTGTCCACATATTTCATTTAAAGATGAATCTCTCGAGAAGACCATTGTATAATGGTGCTTTCTGGTACAGTCAAACCTGCTTTAGTGACCACCTGTATAGAAAGACCACATTTTGTGTTTCTCTTGAAAATGCTTTCTCATCGAAACATGTATTAAAGGGACCACATTTTTCATTTCCCCTTGAAAATCAGTTCGCACTGAAACGTATACTAAAGGAACCTGTACATAAAGACCACCTGCATATAAAGACTAATTTTCTTGTTTTCCTTGTGTTGTCTTTATATACAGGTTTCACTATCTAAGCCTTTACTTTTGAAAATGCAGGAATGTGTCTACGGTACAAATGTAGTAAAATCTTCATGGTTATATGCACCTGTGTGATAACATTACAACATCAATATCACATACATTCCAATTCCAATTCGATGAACTTTGCATTTGACTAGTATAATTTCTTACATGTATATTCAAATAGAATTAATTTTTTAAAAGAAAAGTCATCCTTTAAATACAAAAGATGTTTTTATTGAATTACATTGGAAAATAAGATATCTATTATCAAATTAATTCACAGGGCAGGGATGGATAACTTTAAGAGTGAAGGATTAACAAAAAACACACAAAAATAACAACAACAAAAAAATAACCTTGATAGGCCCATAACACATAGGATGAAGTTCTGCAATGTTGCATGAAATAAATTACACAAATATGTACAATTCAGTTAGAAATATAAAAAATAAATAGAAATATTTTTACAAAATTCAAGTATTTATAAGTCAAAACTCGTCTCTCAAAGATTATTTACAGTCTCAGAAATATGTTACAAAGGCATAAAAATGTACAATTCTAAGCATCTCTTCATTTACACATATTTCACATTTTAAAAACATATTGATAGGTATGTACATGAAGGTGATAAGGACCACATATGGCAGGTTAATACATCTGAAAATATCTTACCTAGCTTTAAAAGAGCTAAAAATGATATACAGTTGTCTCTGCAAAACTTTGGAAGTGTAAATAATGTGTTTTGCGTTGTTTGGTCAAAAAATTGATTTGCTTTAGGGTTAATTTGACTTAGGCGACTTTGAGTTATGCAGGGTTAACAGTTCATTTAAATTCAGCCCTCCAAAGAATCACATTCATTTTTAACAATTTAGTTATAGTTAAATTGATTTCCATGTTTAATATTCTAAATCCATTCTAACAACCTCTTAAAGACCAACAATAATTTTGTTAAATGTTTTGATTAAATACAGGTGAAAAAAAAATCATCCAAAGTTGTAAGCTGCTTAATTCTGCAACACAGAATTGAGATGTTCATTATTAAGAAAAATATTGAGTTTCTTGAATATATCCCCTCTAAGTACCGATACTTCAAAAAATTCTATTAGAGATTAACCAGAACAAATATTAATAAACCGACACCCAAGACACAGCAAACTGAATTGCCTTCAACCATTTATTTTACAGAAAGTGGAAGAGATAGGGGAGAAGGAGAGAGAGAGAGAGAGAGAAAGATATATATATATATATATATATATCCTTTGCTTTCCCTCTTTTTCTTTCTTTAGTTTTTGTATGACGTATTATTACGTCATAACACTTCCCTTCATTTTTTTCTTACTTGCTTGCCTTCCTATTTCTTTGTGACATAATTATTTGTGTTCCCTCTCGTTGTGCCTTGGCGCATTTTATTTTGACACATAACAATAATATTTTCAAAGTCAAGCAAAGTCATTACTTGACAAAGCTCTAAGGGCGAAAAATTTGTAAAACAATTTTTCTGTGTACGGAGCATCATCATTTGTTGTATTTTTTGGGGGTGTACATAAATATATATATAGTCAGAGAGAGAGAGAGAGAAAGAAAGAAAATGGTACAGAAAAATGATATAATTAATTCAATACTGTTACAGTCAATACTGGAAAAATACCTTTACCACATAACTACCCAATCTTACTAGATTCCAGATTCATATACAAATAGAATACTGTGAAAATGAAGGTTATGTCATTAACTACAGGAATAGCACACTCAAGATTGCCAAAAGCAGTCAAAATCTGGGCATGGAAGTAGGAGAAGAATCAATATAAATACTCTTCATAAACAGCTTCCAATACTATAGTTCACAAATATCAACAGATTTAAAACACCAACGTACCAGAGAAAATACAGGTAACTTGGTATGCAATATCAGAAAATAAATAAGAACAGTTGATTGCCATCTATATTATAAAAGATTGAATTGAATATTGCATTAAACACACATGTATACACATAAAGTAACAACAGACATTGCAGAAACTATTTAACATCACTATACTAGGATAGATTTTGTTTAAAGTTCACCGTTTCAAAATCACAATTTACAATTTACTGAACTGTACATGTATATCATACACATGCTTACAGTTATGAAGATAAACTGCCCTTTCTTTTTTAAATACAATGGTATAGTAACATGTTTAATTACACAGGGAAGCAATAGATTAGATAACTTGACTTTTACTGTCCGTCATACGTATTGCATCTGCATAGATCGGTGGTAACAGTATGATATAGAATAATGTGTGAATACTGAATAATGACAATAATTACAATACCCTGGAAGCTCAGATGTAATACAACATATAAAAGTGAAAAATTTACTGGCTGACTTTTTTCATTACTACACTGCCATGAATTCCTAATTTGTAATCCATGACAGAAATACTGTTACTTTGTCCTGAAATATGAATGTTATTTCATTTGCAAATATTTTTGCATTAAATAGTTTTCTTATCGGCAATGCTATGATAATATTTTGACAAGCAACAACTTGGACGTTTTATTTACTCATTGTTAAACTAACAAATAAGGGACAAATATACATCAATATTACTAATGCATACCATTTTTTGTACAAATATCACTTCCTTGCGATGGCATTTGACAAATGAAAGAATAAGGCAGCTAATTTTTAAAAGAAAGGGTTCATATAAAAAGCAAAGCACTGTATTTTAATAACAAGTGTTTCTGGTGCAGTGTTAAAATTGGCAAGTATATTTCAATTATTAAAACAAACAAAAATATTCTGAAATCTGCACAGCTGGAAGACTTAAGTGAGGTGACCACTGTATGATGACTGTATTTTATCATATTTTTTCTTCTCCTCAAAAAGTATTGCTAACATAAAAAATGGATGCCACTTGTGCTACATTAGGATTCAACGAAGCCACATTATGTCACAAATTAAGAGCCTAGTCTCTCTGTTGGCAGTAGGTTTTTACCCATGGAAGACAGTGACTCGTTTGGAGAAAACTTAGCTATGTTTATATGCCATGCGTAGATATGAACATACACAAATATTACTGAAAATTACTGTTGTATGAGTAGGTGTGATTATTATATTTTAAAAATATTTCTAAATATATATATCTTTAGCATATTTCATCATTTTCTTAGTTGTTTGTGCATCCTTATTGTATTAAAATACTGCATTTAAAAGAAGAACAGATTTAAAGTATCATTACAAGACCATAAAAAGATAGAAAAACCTCTAAAATACAAAGAAAAATATGATTGCAAAAAGAATATACACTGTAGGACAGGCTGTTATTTGTATGACCTTAAGTTGGGTACAATTTGAGATGCATTCAAGTTCAAACTGACCTGACAGGTTAACATTCAAATATCTAAAATATACAACTGTGCTGATAATCACACAAATTTACATAAAGTCTACACTTTCTACAATACCATATTGAATCAGGAAAGTGATTACGCAGTGTTCGATGGGGGAAGAAGTATATACCCGGGGAATGTAAAAGAATTCAATATAGAGAATAACTATTATCTTACAGCATGAGGAGCATCATTATGAAGATATCGTTATTTTGCTTGAAATATTGTTTCTGTGAACGTAGACATACTCCCTCTCCTTGCAAAAAAGCTGGAAGGGGAAATATTTGCAAGGTTCTATGAATTCATTATGAATGAGTATTTGCTTCAAAAGGCTTACTCATCCACACAATCTATTCTGAATTTGCATACAAAATTAAATTCAAATTTAAATATTCAACTATTTGTACATGTTTTCATTTTCAAAACTAATTTTTTACTTCTACAGTATTATTTGGAGAAGTTTTACTACTGCATATACCGCCATAAGAATTTACCAAAATCCTGACTTGATATGTTGTATCCCTGCCTGCAGTGATGACGTATTTAAGATGGTAATGAAAATTACTTATTTACATTTAAATTGAAATTGCATAGTGTTTAAAAATTCATGAGAGAATATTTCAGACTTTATCTTAAACATTTGTATTTACGTACATACAAAATTTGTAGATATGCATGTGAAGTTTATCGGAATGGCAGTTACTTTTATCATATGCCTATCATTCTTTACATTGTGAATTTTGTTATATCTTATATTCCAAATCCTTACTACTTCTACTACATGTACCTCTGATGTGAGTCACTCTCTTCACAAGTGTCAATGGTCAAGCCCTCTGGCCGATCTACTACGCTCTTTCCGCGATGGTGGACTACTTATCTCTGATCTGTGGCACTCTCTTCACAAGTGTCAATGGTCAAGCCCTCTGGCTGATCTACTACGCTCTCTCCGCGATGGTGGACTACTTATCTCTGGTCTGGGGCATTTTCTTCACAAGTGTCAATGGTCAAGCCCTCTGGCCGACCTACTACGCTCTCTCCGCAATGGTGGGCTACTTATCAAATCCTTGGATTCATCTAGTTGCTGGTGGAGCTGGGCTACTGTGCTCTGGTATCTGAAATTAAATAATAATAATAATACAAAAAATTTATATAGCGCTTGTGAAATAAAAGTTTCAAAGCGGTGTACACAAATCAAGATTATTTCAAGAAAAATCAATATTACTAATGGAATCAACATGACTTAAATTACCAAGAAAATAAAATATTACTAGCATTATAAATGTGGATAAAATAACTATATAAATGAAAGGTCATGATAGTTTGTTTTCTCTTGTTTTCTGATTGAGCATATGACATTATGAATATGACAGACAAAGAAAGCGGACAAAATATACAGTTCCTCAGGTAGACAAAGGAACATCCCTTCACTGCTATTATGTAAAAAGGTGAATATGCATGTGACACCTGTTCTACATATGTTTACATAATAGCAGTGAAGGGATGTTCCTTTGTCTACCTGAGGAACTGTATATTTTGTCCGCTTTCTATGTCAGTCATGTTCATAGTGTAATATAAAGGAAAACCTGCTTTAACAGCCACCTTTATAGAAAGACCACCTTCTATAGGGAGTGCATGTGTTTATTTCTCTTCAAACCTGTACAGAAGTAAAGACCACCTGCTTATAAAGACCATGGGGGTGTTTCACAAAGATCCCAAGTCGAACTTAACTCTAAGTTGGACTTAAAAATTATGGAAAGCCATTTATAGCCTTAAAATAAGATATACTCAAAAGCGAAAATTCAAGTATTTTAGATGTTTTATGAATTCCACATCAAGAACATGAAATCTCCATGATAATAGAAAATATGAATGATTTGAATCAACATTTAACTCCTTTTAAAATAACTTCTACAAAATATTTTCATTGATGCTAACAGCTTTCCATAATTGTTATGTCCAACTTAGAGATAAGATCAACTTAGGATCTTTGTGAAACACCCCCCCCCATGTTTCATTTCATCTTGGAGAGTGTCTTCGTATGTATACAGATTGCACTGTATCTACATTAGGATCTAATAACTGCTTATTGAGTCAGGTTAGTGAGCTCTGAGGTCTGGACAAAAATCAATTTAAAAAGAATAGTCAAGTGTGTTTTGTTAAATCTGTTTCTGTCAGATCAAACACAAAAAGTGTGAGAGGAGAGAAGAGAGAGAGAGAAAAAAGTAATCATAGAGAGAGAGAGAGAGAGAGAGAGAGAGAGAAAGAGAGAGAGAGATCACCACCAACATTATGTTGGTTCCACTCTTCAAAATGAGTTGATTACTTGTTGATATAAATCATCTGTTTCTACGAAAATTACATTCATGTTTTGAATTACAATGTTCCTACATATGATCCCAACATTTCATGAACAAAGAAGTTAATTACTTCACTTAATTTGTCTTCATTCTGACACAATTTAGATAAGATTTAAATTAAAAAAACAAAAAAATAAGGGAGGAGTATTATTCACAAGTACCTGTTGTATTTCTCCTCAATGCGCTGCCTTTCTTTATCAAGGTCCTACATGTCAAAAAAAAAATAATACAAAATATGAAAGGATCATTTGAAACATGTCATGGGTATAATTATAATGACATTGGTTGAAATAGTGCTGCCCAGCATGTGATCAAAATGTAACAAAGTTATAAAATTAATAGTAAATGAAAAGTTTACTCAACAACTATTTAAAGACGGTGCTGAATTGTCTGATTGTTACCAATCTTGAATGCTTTCATGGACACAGATACATCACTTTCACTAAAACATTTTAATTTGCATGCATGTTCAATGTACATTTGTATATCTTTACAGACTCAACTGTATGAAACATAACTTGTAAGTATGACCTTTCAATATGTAACCCACATATGTGGTGAGGCAATGACAGGAAATCAAAGGAATGTACATTTCAGAAAACCTTCCTGTAATGAACAGCGTACTCAATCCTACATACCAAATTGAAATCAACAACATTGTTCATTACACTGGCACATCTGGCCCATCATTCATATTGTGAATTTCAATCAGATATTTCAGAGGAGGAATGACAGCTACAAGAAGTTTATTTATAGTAGATATCAAAATGAACATTTCTGAAAGTCACATTCTCTTCCAAAGTTAGTTGCATGGACAAAAAAATAAAAAATTCCAGCATTGGGTGATAAAGTATCATGTACAAAAATAAAAGAAAGAAAGAAAGAATGAAAGAAACAGTTGCCCATATACCATTGCAGATCTGTTGCCAATACCACATCTTTTGATTCATAAATTGGCGAAATGTTCAGAGGTTAAACAAAAATCATTGTAGTTAAAAACAGAGTGTCATCAATAAACTTCTTAATAAATTTTTTGTCCATTTATAATGTTATCAGATACAGGCCTTTTTATTTGAACAACGAAACAATTTTATAATAATGATTTAAGGAAGAAAAAGTGATCAATTTAGCCATTAAGTAATTTTTGCTTTTGATGAGGTAACAGAAGAAGTGTGAAAGTAGTTACTACTTACCCTCAGTCTATCAAACTCTGAGTGAGAGGAGGAGGAGGAGGAGGGGTGAGGCGGAGGAGGTAAATGATCTGGCTCTGAGAGCCGTTCAATTGACCTATCCAGAATCTTAGTCCCCTGAAATAAAAGGAAGGATAACAATATTATATCTTTAAATGTTCCATTTACATAGCTCATAATAATCAATCAACAATTCACTATGCACTCAGCATATAGTAACCATAATGTTTCCATCTTGTGGAGAAAAATACAATCAAGAAAATAAACTCTTGGGAAAGTGAGTCAAACCTGGTTTAGTGACCACCTGTCTACAAAGACCACCTGTCTACAAGGACCACATTTTGTGCTTCCCTTGAAAATGGTTTCTCATTGAAACATGTGCAAAAGGAACCTGTCTACAAAGACCACTTTTTGTGTTTCCCTCGGGCTGTCGCTATAGACAGTTTTGACTATACATTGTTCAAAATCTGTACTTGTTTCCACAAGACTAGGAATTTGTATCATATTACATTACTGACAGTGACAAGGTATGTGTAAAATATGAATATGGAGGACGTTAACTCTGAGAAAAATTATATGAGCTAATGCCCTTTTGGCTCAAAGAGACAACTTGTTAACAATCTTATACCAGTAAAAACAAGAAAACTTGACTGGTAAAGAAGTGTAACAGATGAAGGAAAAGGTGATTTTCAGAAGTGATTTCCATCTCACCTCTCTGATATGTTCTTCCATGTTATCTACTTGCTTCTCCAACGATTTGACCGTGTGGACTCTTTCAAGGTTCTGTAGATGCAAATCTGGAAAGAGAAATGCGTATTTATAGTTCGTAAACAGATTCGCTGACTACCGTAACTACGTGAATGTATAATACACGTACATATACATAACAATTACGATATGAATTTTCAAAGTTGATTATCATTTTTTTTCTGAATTGCCCAACATCTTAGGATCAGGATCATAACATTTGAAGACTCTTCCACTTTCAGCAAAAAGAAGAACTCATAAAAGCAAATGTATGTTATGTCCCTGACAAAGAGAGACTGAAACTGTGACTTTCAAATGAAGGCTATGAATATAGATCTTGATGTTCATTCTTATGTCTCTTGACGAAGGCAAAGAAAGTGGATGCCTGGTAGATAGAATTTCCCGTCGTAGTTGAGCAGTTTAATCACTCGACTCGGAATGCGCAAAGGGTATGTTATAAGTTTGAGCCACGGCAAAGCACATGCGTCCTTGAGAAAGGCATTTTATCTATGTTGTTTCTCTCCACCCAGGTGTTAAATGGGTACCATGTAGGATGCAAATGACCATGAGACTGGATCATTATATGCATGGCTGTAAAAATGGCGACTGACTGGGATGCTCTCTAATGGAGCAAAGAGAGAGAGAGAGAGAGAGAGAGAGAGAGATAGAGAGAGCACTGTTAGTGCAAATCCTTAATCAAATCTAGTGACCTGGGTAATAATAAACTGTAAGACGAATTACCAATATCATTGATATTGTTAATGGCTTGAGAAATCCAAATCGGATGCACAAGCTACAACAAGAGTGGATGCCAAATTGTTGAAATGTTCACTGTACAAAAGCATGCTTTTACTGCCGATGAATATATCTTTCTCCTAACCTTGTTTCTCATACTGTAGATCTCGTAACATTTCCTCAGTTCTATCCAACTGAGTCTCGTAGGTGTACTTATCGGCCCGGTAATCTTGCCTCAGCTCGGTCAGCTCTGATCTGCTACGATTGAGGTTCTCTCGAAGCCTGCTACGCCCGTCACTCTGCTTACGAACTTCCTTTTGAAGCCAGTAGAGTTTGTTCTATTAAATAAGATACAAAAACATCATCTTTAAATGTACCATGATATTGTGAGGTACTATGTCCCTTTTGCAGTCGATTCAACAACTAATAGTTGTTATTTTCCTACTTCAAGAAATTTTCAAGCCCCCATTTTTTTTAGGGAAGTTCTAAATTAGTTTTATCTTTCAAATGCCATTGGAATTTAACCTTTTAATTTGTTTTCCTGCAAATGGGTCATAGTACCTTTAAGGTTAACCCCAGATATTTTGTTGTTGCACTGAACAGCTATCAAATACTGATTTTGAATTGCCAAAATAGTGACAAGAATCAACTTATCATGGAAGTTGCTCATGACAATGAAAGTCAACCAAAAGGTAATAAACAATTTGGAGACTGTCATAAAAACAGAAACAGATAACAGGTTGTCCATTTTCTAATTTCTTGCAGATTGATTACAGTCTTCTTCCAGCTTCTTTCCCTGCTTCTCTGTTCTTTTCAGCTTTCAGTGAGACCCCCTCTCACCTTTAGATTAGCAAGCATGGCATCGGGAGAGCCATGTGATCTGGAGAAGGGTTGGGGTGCGTGGTCATCATCGCCATTCTCAGTGACCAGTCCAACAAGGACGTCTACCTCTCGGACCACACCACGGACATCATTGTCATGGTCAGTTCGGAGGCTCTGAATGGCTAGTTCTGCTCTCTGCAAATGCTTCTCCAGTACAGACGATCTAAATAAAAGTGAATGGAAGTGAGAGTAAGTCAAGAAGGAATGAAATACAGTCAAACCGTCTGTAGAGACGGATTGTGCAGAAAGAGCACCTGCCTTAAATGGCCACATCTCTTGTTTCCCTTTAAAGACGGATCATGTCTAAAACTATGGTCACTATTTGTGTATTCGTTATCAGCCTTGTTCGTGTCACAACGATGGAACAAATGGGTATTTTGCAATGGACCGAGGTGTGTAAGCAGCATGGAAATCCTACAGGGTACATTCACTTTAAATACTGAACTAAATATTGTCCATGGGGAGTGTTTTGCAAAGACTAAGATTGACTTTAAGTTGGACTTAACTATGGTAGGCTGTTCATGCCACTCTTTGCTCTGAACCATTATGATCTTTAGATAATTTTTTTCCTTCAATAATGAATTATCAAAAATGTAAATTCTGTAGATTTGTGACCATGATTTGTTCGTCCCTTGAGAGAGCAATGCCAGTAAATAGTGAAAGCAAACAGTGGCATGAACGGCCTGCCATGGTTAAGTCCAACTTAAAGTAGATCTTAATCTTTGTGAAACACCCCCCTGGAGTTTCCACAAACCTGTTATCCCCTACTTCCACCAGCTGTGCCTGCTCCTCAAACCCAGCTCTGATCCGGTCAAAGTTTCTCCTTAGTTTGAGGTTCTCATCGTCAAGGTGACGGATCTCTCCCCGCATCTTCTCCATCTCGCCGTTTCCTCTCTCTACTTGGCGACGAAGGGACTTTGTGGATGATCTCGCCTCTGCTGATTCAATCTATAGGAAAAATAATCATAAGTGGAAGTTAAAGACAAAGTTGAGTACTGGGGGGTGTTTCACAAAGATCCTTAGTTGAACTTATCTTTAAGTTGGACTTAACAATTATGGAAAGCTGTTAGCATCCATGAAAATAATTTGTACAAGTTATTTCAAAAGGCATAAAATGTTGATTCAAATCATTCATATTTTCTATTATCATGGAAATTCCATGTTCTTGATTTGGAATTTATAAAAAGTCTGAAATACTTGAATTTCACTTTTAAATATATTATATTTTAAGGCTACAAATGGCTCTCCATAATGTTTAAGTCCAACTTAGAGTTGAGTTCGACTTAGGATCTTTGTGAAACACCTCCCCTGATCAAGTAAAACATTGTGAAAGAACTAAGATGAATTTATTAGGATGTTGATTATGAAGTACATAAGAATGAACATCAAAATTATATACAAATTCATTCAGTCTTGCTGAAATTCATATACAGTGTAAAAGCACTTTTTTTTTCTTCAATAATTTTTTTTTTATTGATTCCAAACAATACAAATTAATTTTAGAAATAAAATACAGTTGTTTTTCCTTGACATGAATTCAAAACATTTTCATTACATAAATTGTACAATGATGGAAACAAAAATGAAATCAGTTGTAACATAAAACAAATAACCCCATCCAACCAAACATTTTGCCATAATCTGTTAACATGTACACACTCCATACAGATAAGAGCTTAAGGGGATTACACACAACACACATGTGGCATAACAAAATTGGTCTATATTTTAAAACTATTTTCAGTAAAAATTTAGAATATGAATGTATCTCAAGAGCTATCAATTTCCAGTGACACTGCTACTATTTACTATTCTTCCACCTGGGAATAAATTGAATTGGAAAGCCCTCATAATATTTTCCCTTCACAAGAGCCCAAATTTTGTACACACTTGGCTGTTTTATCTTGTTTTAATTTAAAGTGTTTGCCATGTATAGATCACTCATTCTGTGAATGGCAGTATGTGTGTGTGTGTGTGTGTGGGAGGGGGGGGGGGGGTAAAGTAAACCTTATTTTCAAAATGATTTATGAAATTGTTTGTAACATGAATTTCAAAAAAAAATAAATGCATTGCACTTACTTTGAGAGCTTGGATCTCTGCTTCTGACTCGGCTTTCTCACATTTCATTCTCCGCATCAGATCTTGAACAATTTTCCCTTCATTGCCCTGCAATAATGTATATCAATAATATATTAAATTGACTCCCTAACATTGTTGAAGAAAAAACTGTAATTTTTGGATGAAATGTTACTTGCTATATTCCTTCTAATTTACTTACCCTCTAACAGGCAAAAAATCCTGAGAAAATTCTCAAACCACAAAGATATTTATGGTTTTCTTTGAAGGCGTCACTGTGCAACACCCTCTAACAGAGATTAACAGTAAATTCTCCCAACAATTTTTGAATTTTCCCCAACCGTTTTCCTTGAAAATAAGACATAAGACAGGCTTTTAAAACTGTTTCAAAACTTAAGTGTCTGGAATGGTCTACAGAGCAAATTTATTGCTTTGTGACGATTTAAATTCAACTCAAAATGTAATTAAATTGTAGTAATATAGTTGAGCTGTTGAGAGAATTAAGAAATTGATTAGATCAGTCTTTTCCAATTTTAATCGTTAATAATGGTTCGTTTTCACTCAAACTTTCAGATTATCTTTAATCGTACATCTAGCATTGAAGTCACTACCTTAGCACCATTTTCTCTCATCTGAAGAATGTTACCAAGTCCCTTTAAAGGTAATAAGCTTATAATATACAGTTATCTAAAACTGCTTTAAGATTATTGTTTTGTGTTATACCAGAAACATGAGCCTCTCTTTTATTTCCTTGCTTCTGATGGCAGTTCAAGAATGTACATGGCCTGGTCAGAAACATCTACAAATATTATATATCTGTACCTTTTCCTAACAATGTTAACTCCAAGAATGACACAGACTTTAATGTTTTCTTAAATATAAAGGTATATGATACGACACACAAACATATTTATTAAGAAATACAAGTTTCTAATAATCAACTCTACTCTGTCATTTACTCTTAAAAATTGATAATGGCAGAAATGTAGTTTTACAGGATGGTTATTTATCTTGTATCATAAAAAAATGTGCCTCAAGAAATAAATGAAAGTATTTTATTACCTTGGCTGTTTCCATTTCGCGATGTAATTTCTCAGTGAGAGCTACATTGTAGTCCTGAACCTGAATAAGCAAGAAAAATGGTAGATCATTAGTTTGAAAAAGAACAATTTCAAATTCTAATATCAACGAATAGACATACTAAAGCTTTTCGTCTTGCACTCACTGTTGGTCCCCCATGATCCTCTTTTTCTTATGTTAGTTGAGAGCTGAGTTAATGAGATAGCCACCTGTCAGTGACCTCGCTGTGTGGTCTAATGCCTTCTGGCCCAGTAGTATTGACGGTCTTTAAAGGAACAATCACCTCTTCGATTCCAAATTTGACTTTACAAAGGGGATTCTCAACACAGCTGAGCTGCCTAAAATCAACATCAGGGCCCTGCTTCATTAAAACTTGTTATCGATTAAAACATTCTAAAATTTCATGGCAAATTTGCTCTCAGCCAATCACATGCAAGGATTTCAGTAGCTTATAATGGGTACTGTAGCTGGTTACTGATAGCAAGTTTCATGAAACAGGGTCTAACAAGGGCAAGCTCCTAAGACTGATGAGGGTTCTATCAATCCATAAATTTAAAAGTGACAAGGAAGATTCAACAATCACAATGAACACAACACCAACATGAAAGGAATACTGAAAATGCAACCCACTACAAAGGCAGTAAAGCCTCACTCATAATTTTCAATATTGTACACTCTAGAGGCTTTTCTCGATTAAGACTGGAACGCACTGCATGAGAAACGTTTACACATCCTCTCAAAACAACCGCAGATCAAGGGTTTTGTCTTTTGAGCCATCAGGCAAGGGAATGCTTGCAGTTCATTTTCGAGGTACACACTCCACATCAAAAGCAACCATGCCAAACTTTTTAAACAGTTCTTCTTTTCCTGTCACTGTTCAGAACCTCAAAAGTGGAAGCATTTCAATGCATTTCACGGATAAAACAACAAACTCCGCACACAGCGACCGACCGTGGTGCATCAAAAATTCTTCAACCGTAAAAAAACTTACTTGTTGTACTAAAATTCTGCAATCATGACTTAAATGTATTCTACACATGATAAATAATGCCACCATGAATCCAAAGCCGGTGTGAATCTGACGTTGCTAATTGGGGAAATAATTACCAAAATAGAATTAAAATCTAATGACCTTGTGATGCTGGACTAAAACAAGTAGAAGAAGTTTCAAGGAAATTAATGAAAATTTGTCAAGTGTTTTAGAAACTAGTAAATGGTACTTGACTGATGTGTATCAACTATGAATAGAATCAGTTTGAACATGTTCCTGTTATTAGGCAGTGATGATCGTAGAGATCAAATAAACTATGAGTTTTCTTCAATGATAATGCATTAAAATAATAAATGGACTAAAAAAGTCAGGGTTCCCTGTATGGCAAGACATATCTGTTTACCATTTTGGATTTTTCACCTCTAGCAATTTGTTTCTTATTCTTAAATTCAAAGATTTATAAGGGTAAAGAGATCCTTATCTGTAAATTGGAAGAAAATTATTTTATTCTGGAGGATTTCATATTCAGATTTTAGCTCAAGCTATTCATAATGATAATGATAATGATATTGGGTTCTTGTATAGTGTTCATATCTGTCAGACATTCCTGATTATTACCCTGGCTTTAGCATGGCTGCATTACGGCGCTCTAGCATTTCAAGGAATTAATTCCAGCCAGGTACCCATTTACATCACCTGGGTTGAGTGTGGCAAACGTAGATCAATGTCTTGCCAAAGGACATTAGCGCTGCGGCGGGACTCGAACCACGGACCTTGTGATCCACAGTCTGGTGACGTAACCACTCGACCACGACACCTCTACTAAATACATATCAAAAGACCTCAGATAACTAAGAGGTGTATCAAAACTAAATTAAAAATGAAGAAAGTATATATTTTCCATTTGGAAACATCAATATTACAAAAATGAAAATGAGACAGCAGGATAAACGCGCTTCATATCATTCAATATAAATAATAGTGACTTTTTTGGGGTACCATGATCATGTTTCATCATGCCTTGACACTCTTGGCATTCCAATGTTACTACTCCAGTTTTAGCTAAACGTCCAAATATACTTTATGTACTATAGAATACTGGGTACCCATTGACACCTGGATGGAAAGTGGCCATCTTAGTTTAGCCAAAGGAAACTAATGTCGGTCTGGGATTTGAACCCTTGACTCCTTGATTGAAAACCAATTGAATGAACCACTAAACCACAACATCATTTTAGTAGTCTTGAAATCTGAATCTCATCAAATCCATACCTCTTGGAACTTTTTATCCAGCTTCTTAAGATCTTGCTTGATGTTTTGCTTCTCCTCCTCAGCAATGTCCAGCTGTCTGTCTACCACCTTCTTCTGAGCGGTCAGCTCAGAAAACTGAGTGGTCAGTTCAGCCTTTTGCCTGGTGATGTCGCGCAGCTCTCTCTGTAAATGACAAGACGGGTAGATACTAGATTTCATTCTGAGCATTTACATGTTTTGTATGCTAGATGGAGATACACATTGCTATAACAAGTATTTGTTCGGTACTGTGTATTTAGGCAATCCGTTTATATATTTATAAGATGTGTATACAAACATATTTTTTCAATTGTTTGAATTATCATTTATATACATATACATGGAGTCGGGCTAACTCGGAACAAAGACAACTCGGCCCAGCTGCAAGGTTTAGACAATTAGGGTTAGGGTTAGGCTTAGGGTTAGGTTTAGGGTAAGGGATAGGGTAAAATGACAAAAAATGACAGTTTTGGAAGCTGGGCTGAGTTGTCTTTGGTCCGAGTTAGCCTGGATCCATATACATGTAGTAATTATTGTATTCAAAGTTATGAGAATAATCTATTAATGCTGTATCAAGAAAAAAATAAACATAAATTAATAATAAAAATAATAATAACAAAATAATAATGATAATATGTTGCCTATGGCTAACAGTTCCTAGCTGAGTGAGAAACTTCACACATAAACGCAGGCTAATCGCTGCATGCATTGAGCTCACTGACCCTATTCCATGCTAACAGAAAGAGTTCATAAAGACACTTATATTTATCAGTAATCAGATTAAAAAAACACCAGCCAAACGAACAAACGAATGAACAAGCATTCTCACACCATACCTGTGTTCTCTGGTTCTGCCCTTGAGCATCATGTAATGTAGCTTTAGTTGAATCTAGCTGCTGCTCTACTTTGAGCTTTTCATTGCTGAGTATCATGAACCTCGATTGCTCTCCCCGTAACTCTCCCTCCAACTAGAATGGAAACAACAATAATAAAAATGGCGATGATGACAGTGACAATAATGATGATTATGAAGTAGAAGAAAAAGAAGAAGAAGAAAAAATGAAGAAGATGAAGAAGAGAAGAAGAAGAAGAAGAAGAAGAAGAAGAAGAAGAAGAAGAAGAAGAAGAAGAAGAAAAAGAAGAAGAAGTAGAAGTAGAAGAGGAAGAAGAAGAGGAAGAAGAAGAGGAAGAAGAAAAGGAAGATGAATCCATATAGATTTACGTGAGATATATGTCAACAATGAACTCTTAAGCAGAAAAAGGACTGTCCTAAGCGACAGCTTCGGAAAGTTTGACTGACGTCCTCTGATGAAGACAAATTATCACAATTAAATGAATACTACCGTATCAGCTGTTATTTTAACTAGGGTTTGATATTTCACAAATTTGCAAATTGTTGTAGGATCATATTTTCAACAACACAGGAGATAAGCTGGCAATGCATTTACTGCAAATAGGCTGTTATAACGATGTTATTATCATGAAAACAACAAATTGAAAAAAATCAAATCAAAGTGAGCCCCTAGCTGTCATCACCAACTTGCTATTTATTCACACGTAAAGTTGTTAAGATTTTGCCCCAGCAGTTGAATGAACGGATGAACCTTTACTGTGGTGTACTGACCTTGTCTGTTAGATTCCTGTTCTCCCGGAGTTCTTGGTCTAGTTTCAGACAGGAAGACTTCATTTCATTGACCTCGATGTCCTTTAATCTAAGCTGTTCATCTTGTCTTGCTAGCTTTTCCTAAAGAAGAAAAAGAAAAAAAATTTATCATCTATTTCATTCAATAAAGAACTGTGAAAAAAATATTAATCACAATAATAACAATAATAATAATGGTTATAATAATAGCAGCAACAATAATAATTACAATAATAATAATAATAACAATAATAATAATGGTCATAATAATAACAGCAACAATAATAATTACAATAATAATAATAATAACAATATTAATAATAACAATTTTATAATAATTATGATAATAATCTTTTTTCTGTTATGACTTCCGTTATGGACAAAAAGGAGAAATATGAAGATAAGATATATGGCATTTGAATGTTATAAGTGCTTCCTATATCCTGTCGAAAATAAGGAAAGATTGTATAGATTGAAAACATTGAATCTTAAATCAAAAGGAGAGGAAAATAAACAATTTGCAAAATATGACCATGTTACAAATTATGTCAGAAAGAAATAAAGACATAAAGCTTACCAGGATATCGGCGATTTCCCGTTGCAGGTTCTCCATCCTGTGGCTCATGTTTGCTTTGTGCATCTTTAATGCCTCGTTTTCCTTCAGTAGTTCCTCAGACCTATCTTGGTGTTGAGATGAGCTGTGACTGCTGGATTCATGTTCCCTCTCCAGCTTCCTGCATTTGGATTTCAAGCTATTCAAATAGAAATAATAATTAAAGGGTGCAATCCAACCCTTGTAATAACTTCATTTGTATGAAATCTTAAACTCTTTTAAATCTAAACTAAAAAAATACTTCATCTGTTTTTAAATCTATAATAATATTTGCATGTTAATACGTCTCCTATGTTTTGTACACTGTTTTGTTATTGTTATACTTTTTATAGCCAATTGTTGGAACTTGTATATGTATCTTTTAATAACACGGAGCTGCCTCGACAGAACCTTATGGTTTTATTTGCAGTTTCCCCAATTCATTTCTATTGCTGTTTAACTTTTTATAATTCCGATATATTTGTAGACATGTTTCCATTTTGTGTGTATTTTGTGTTTTCTATATTGTATATAATCTGTATCTTATATGTTTTTTATGGACTTGAATTGAAATAAAACTTGAACTTGAAAACTTGAAATTGAACTTGAAAGAAGGAAAATAAGAGAAACAGAGTGGCGAAAGTTTGAAATAAATAGGACCAATAATAAGAGAGTTATGAAAGTTTGAAATATGACATCACCATAGCTTTGTGAATCTCAAATTGGCAATTTGTGACGTACTTTACGGACTACATTCCTGTTTGTTGTGTACAAAAATATAATAAATTTCAGTTTTTCTCCCAAGTGCCTTCTCTCTTGGGACACTAATCAAAATATGCCATAGATAGTATATTATTATAGATTCTCTAAAGAGAAAAGACCCTCCCAAGACATACATTTCGAGAATTTTTTTATTTTTTTATTGTGTTGGAACAAATGGGAGAATTGTCCAGCATTGCATCACAGTGACATAACCGATTCAGCCAATTTGAAGTTCCTATACATTACAACTTTTACATATATATTCATATTAAACTTAATCATTTTTTGTCAGAATTCGATCAAATTTTCACCTTTAAATTTGATAATGTAATTCAGTACCGGTAATGCATAGTCCAAAATGATAACATTTTAATTTTTTCCTGATTCTCAGTAAGCAGCCTCTTGCCCTCTCTTTCTTTCCGTTCCCCATCTACCTCCCTCCTTTTCACATTTGTTCTTCATTATTTCTATCTTTCATATTCATTCTATTTAAAAACAATTTTTGTTCTCATTCTTTCTTCCTTTAATGCTCTCTTCTTTCATCCTAATTCTTTTCCCTATACTCCCTTGTCTAAGTTTCTCTGTACATTTACTTACTGTTTCAGTATGTTGAGAAGTTTTCTCTGCCTTTCTTTAGTCTTTCTTTGGTTCTTCTGTGAAAAGTCTATCACTCTGTTATTTCTCTCCTCCCCTCTCTTTTATTCTCCCATTTTTTCTTCTTTCTCTCTTCTTTCATCCTTACATTAAACATTTACATACTGTATCACCATGTCAACTAGTTTTCTCTCTCTCTCTCTCTCTCTCTTTAGGCTTTCCTTGGTTCTCTAAGTTGCCTCTCTTTCTCTCCTCCCCTTTGCTTTTCCTCTCCCTCATTCTGCCTCTTTATTTCTTTCTCTCTTCCTTCAACCTTACTCTATACTTTTACTTATTGTATCACCATATCAAGTAATTTTCCATCTCTCTTCAGTCTTTCTTTGGTGCTCTGGACAAATTTATCTTCTTCTCTTATTCTCTTCCTCCTTCTTTTTTCCCTGCTTCCGGACTTCTTCCTTCATCCTAACACTAAACCATGACTTACTGTTTCACCATGTCAAATAGTTTTTTCTGCCTCTCTTCTGTCTTTCCTTGGTTCTCTGAGTTGCCTCTCATTCTCTCTTTCTCTCCTCCCCTTCACTTTCCCTCTCCCTAACTCTGTCTCTTTCTTTCTCTCTTCCTTCAACCTTACTTTAAACTTTGACTCATTGCATCACCATGTCAAGCTGTTTTCTCTATCTCTCTTCAGTCTTTCTTTGGTGCTCTGAGAAAAAGTCCCTCAATCTATCTTCTACTCCTACTCTCTTTCTCCTTTCTCTCTTCGTTCACTCTTACATTAAACATTTACATACTGTATCACAATGTCAACTACCGTAGTTCTCTCTGTCTCTCTTTAGACTTTCTTGTTCTCTGAGCTGCCTCTCATTCTCTCTCTCTCTCTCTTTCTCTCCTCCCCTCCGCTTTTCCTCTCCCTCATTCTGTCTCTTTCTTTCTTTCTCTCTTTTTTCATCCTTACTCTAAACTTTTACTTATTGTATCACTATGTCAACTAGTCTACTCTAGACTACTCTCTCTCTCTTTAGTCTTTCCTTGGTTCTTTGAGCTGCCTCTCATTCTCTCTCTCTCTCTCTCTCTCTCTTTCTCTCCTCCCCTCCGCTTTTCCTCTCCCTCATTCTGTCTCTTTCTTTCTTTCTCTCTTTTTTCATCCTTACTCTAAACTTTTACTTATTGTATCACTATGTCAACTAGTCTACTCTAGACTACTCTCTCTCTCTTTAGTCTTTCCTTGGTTCTCTGAGTTGCCTCTCATTATCTACTCTCTCTCTTTCTCTCCTCCCCTTCACTCTTCCTATCCCTCATTTTGTCTCTTTCTTTCATTCTCTCTTCCGTCAACCTTACTCTAAAATTTTACTCATGGTATCACCATATTAAGCTGTTTTTATCAATCTCTCTTCAGTCTTTCTTTGGTGCTCTGGGAAAAAGTCCCTCAATCTATCTTCTACTCCTATTCTCTTCCTTCTTCTTTTCCCCTCCTTCCAGACTTCTTCCTTTCTCTCTTCCTTCATCCTAACACTCAACCCTGACTTACTGTTTCACCATGTCAAGTAGTTTTCTCTGCCTCTCTTCCGTCTTCCCTTGGTTCTCTGCGAGTAGTCTCTCACTCTCCCTGGCCCTCCTGATGCTAGCCTCGCTCTCATTAGTCTTCCGTCCATGCCTCTCTTCTAGGTCCTGGAGCTGGTCCAGGGCTTGCTGACGTTGGTGCTCACTCTCCGCTAGACTGTCTGTAGCATCCTTCAGCTGGGCTAGCAGCTTGCCCTGGCTCCTGTCCTTACCGTCAAGTTCTTTGTTGAGAGTCTGAAAGCATCAAAATAAATAGAGAGGTGTTGTGGTCTACTGGATAAGTCACCAGACTGCAGATCGCAAGGTACGGTGTTCGAGTCCCGCCGCGGCACTAAAGTCCTTTGGTAAGACGTCAATCTACATTTGCCACTCTCCACCCAGGTATTAAATGGGTACCTGGTAGGATACGAAAGTTAATGTGGTTGGATGAGCAAGTGTCGCTTGTAAAATGGCGACTGGCCGGAATGCTCCCCAGGGAGTGGAGAATGTGTTTACATTGTGTGCGGGTTAGCCTGAATCCGATAACCAGGGTAATAATATGGACTGCACCTAGAAACAAAGGTTTAGGCGCATTATTAATGTGAGCTATTATTATTATGAAATAAAACTAATTGCTATGATCTGATTTACCCACGATAGCCTCACCATAACTGCTCTCCTTGAGGGGCCTGCAATCATGCCATGAACTACTTACAGTTCATCTACCATGATAAGGTGGGAATTTACTTCTACACAGATCTCATTGTGTGGGCATACATTAAGAGAGACATCTACTTTAGCACCAATAGAAAGCGCCTATTCCATGCAACTTTAATTTCTTATGATGATTTATATAAATTTCAAGATAGCATAGTTTAATATAGCATAGCTATTTTCATATGTTTTTGTAGTAAGTAAGGTAAGTACTGTCTGAACTCTTTCGCTCAAACAACTTCTATTTTTTTCTTCTCCATTCTCTCCTTTTCACTGTCTTGGTCTTTCAACATACAAGTGTATTACTACATTAAACTCATAACTTTGTTTTGCAATGTCGATTTCATTTTACCAATGCTAAATCATTTCTGCAAAAGTTGACTTACTGTACAAAATGTATTTAATTTTGTATATGTTTATATCTCTCTATATTTTAGATTTGTTTGTAAATTGAGCATTTTCAGCCTGCGAGGTGCTTGTTTGATGTGTTTTTGCAATAAACCAAACCAATTCAATTCAATTCAAGTCAAGAAAGCATGTGATTTGGGATGGGTACTTACATCGATATGTTCAGACAGCTGCTCCTTTTGTCTTCTGCTTCTCTCCAGTTCTTTCCTCTGTTCATCATACTCCCTGAGACTACTGGCCTGGCTCAGCTGGGCTCTCAAGCTGTGAATCTCCCTCTCCAACCCAACGTTTTCTCTCGCACCATCTGCATCTGTAGATTTGTACAATGAAGGGAGAGAAAAAGATAAATATGGCTTACTCTCTCTCGTTCAGTCTGTGCGTGCCTGCCTCCCTCTTTCAGTCTGTGTGTTTCTCTCTCTCCCTCTTTCAGTCTGTGTGTTTCTCTCTCTCCCTCTTTCAGTCTGTGTGTTTCTCTCTCTCTCCCTCTCTTTCTCTTGCAGTCTGTGTGCATGTTTACCTTCCTCTTTTTCTTCCTCTTTCAGTCTCCATTTTGGGTGTATGATATACCCAAATGATTTGTAATGTTCCTTGTATTAATGATCTACATGTATCTATATTCATAATTTTACCAATTTTTATTATACTCAATTGAATAATATTAATAATAATGTTGAAAATGTATGTATTATATCAATCCATCCCTTTGGTTGCTACGAATAAACAAATTAATTTGTATCTCTGCAACTTTCTATCTCGGCCAGTTTTAGAAGACTGCAAAGACTAGACAAAAATAAAGGTGATAATAAAGGACACTTTCTCTCTCTCTCTCCTCCTATTAACCTAAATTTTATAAGAAGAGAAGAATGTTTGTACTTTGTGTTAATACAAGGGAGTACTTAGAAGACAAACAAATATAAAATACTTTTTCAGAACTAAATATTCTAAAGGTGAATCCTCTGATGAGATATGGCCAGCAACAGGAAAAATATTTCTCTCTCTCATTTTATTCATTTATTTATTTAAAAAAAAACTAGATGGAATTTGACTGCGCGCAGTCGAAAATGATGCCTCCGTCATAGAGCAATTTTACAAACTGAAACGGAAGAAATTTTTCAAATTCAAGTTCAATTGTAATCCATTAACAGGTTCTCAGAATATCGGGATTACAAGCAATTTCTCATATACATATAAGACCCTTTGACCTCATCTTTGACCTCATGACCCTAAAATCTACTCAGTTCATTGGTTCTGCAAGATGTCCTGAGTTAAATAGTAATCCATCTGTCAGTTCTAATGAGAATGCATTCACAAGCTATTTTTGCATAAATAATGAGCCCATGACCTTTGATCTTATGAACCAAGAATCTACTCAGTTCATTGGCTCTGCAAGTAACATACATGACCTACATGTAAGTTTGGCAGGAATCCATCAATCTGTTCTAATGATAATACGATCACAAGCTATTTTTGCATACATAATGTGCGCTGTGACCTTTGACCTCGTGACCCCAAAATCTTATCAGTGCATCGGCTCTGCAAGTAACATACATGACCTAAGTTTGGCAGGAATCCATCAATCGGTTCTTGAGATAACGCGATCACAAACTGTTTTTGCATACATTATGAGCCCTGTGACCTGTGACCTTTGACCTCGTAACCCCAAAATCTAATCAGTTCATTGGCTCTGCAAGATACATACATGACCAAAGTTTGGCAGGAATCCATCAATCGGTTCTTCAGATAACGCGATCACAAGCTGTTTTTGCATACATAATGAGCCCTGTGACCTTTGACCTTGTGACACCAAAATCTAATCAGTTCATCAGCTCTGCAAGATACATACATGACCAAAGTTTGGCAGGAATCCATTAATCGGTTCTTCAGATAACGCGATCACGAGAACGGGACGTACGTACGTACGGACGGACAACCCGAAAACATAATGCCTCCGGCTACTTCGTAACGGAGGCATAAAAATTCAACAGGGTGGCAAATATCACCTATTCGGTGGTCTTCCACGAGGCCCTGTTTTCTACATTTGTTGTGTTTGAGGGTTCTCCAAACTTTCCTGTACATTTCATTATATTTTCATTTTATTTTACTTTATTTCAAAACAATGCTACAACCACTAAACCCTCTCGTTACCTTCACGATTCCTATGTTGCCTCTCTCTCCTCAAGACAGGAAAGTCATCTTCATGGAAAGAGTCCTTCATCTGCGTCATCTGGCTCTTGAGATTGTGTCTATCTTCATCTGAGCGAGCAAGGTCCTTCCTAAGCGATTCCATCTATGGGAGAGTAAAAAAGATGGGCTTGCATTCAATCACAGGTGGACTTGGTTATACCTGGGCCCCGTCTGATAAAAACTTGCCATTAATCGCATCTTATTTGCAATGGGAGTTGCATGCTTACATTTTCATAATTTTATGAAACAAATTTGTTTTCCCTGGCTGCCTGCCGTAGCAACAAACAACAAACTCTGTTTCGTTGACGATCAGCCATGCATGAAGTTTTTTGTCTTCTTTGTTGTTAGGGCAGACAGCCAGTGGAAAGGATTTGTTTAATCAAATTATGGAAATGGAAGCATTACTTTAAACAAACAGAACTTTATTATTCGTGGCTCATTTTTCCTGATTGAGGTGTCCTATGAAAGGGCAGAAAACTAACTTTCTGAAAATGTGAATTTCTCTTTGAAATTCAGATACCATTTGCCAAATGACTTTTTGGTACCCTTTCTTCCATTTCGTTTTAATCACTCACGCGTGAAATATGCATCACATGAGTTGCATCAAATGAAAGAGGAATCTTTACAAATATGTATCATTTATCGATTGTAATCCTGATTAAGTTATGATAAAACATTGATAATTCTCGGTTACGTTTTTTCTGGGACGCATTGTATATAACACAGAGTCAGGAGATACACTCATGACTTTGCTGGGCACAGTTGTCATTTATTTACACATAGAAAAAGTGGCGGTTTACAACATCATATCTGAACAAGCCTTTTAAAAGAACTCACATGTTGCTGGAGAACGGATGAACTTCCGTGAGATTGGTCCAGTTTTCTCCTGGTACTCTCCAGCTCCGAAGCCATCTTCTGCTTCTCAGCTTCCATCTGGATCAGCCTTGATCTCAACTCGCGATCTTCCTCCCGGCTAACGTTCAGCAGAGTCTACGATGGTTATAGAAAGAATAGGACATGGAGACATTGACCATCTGTAAAGGTTAATATCCCTCTCACCTCTCTCTCCCTGTCATCTCCTCTCCCCTCTCTCTCTCACTCTCTCTCTCTCCTATATCCCTCTCACCTCTCAGCCGTCAATTACAAACAATATGCAAATTCCAAACCCTCAATGGCATATAGGGAAGGGGGAGAAAAAAGGGAGCCAAGCAAAAAATAGCCCATCCCCCCCCCCCCTTCCAGCATACTCTCCCCTTCTTGTTCTCTTGTTACTCTTGTCACTCTTGACAACTTTCTTATTCCTTACTCTTTCTCCTCTTTTAGTACATCTTACTCCCTTCTCCTTCACTCACCAGAGCATGTTCCATATATATCAGTTGACCACCTCCAAAATGCAACATAGTGCCCCCCCCCCACTTTCCCTTGCTTTACATCTCTCACCCTTATTTCTCTTTCCCCTTTCTCCCATTACCTGTTACTCCATCTTCTCTGTCTCTCTCTCACTCATCTGATCTGTCTTGATCTCAGCCAACAGTCCCCTTGTGGTTTTCATTCAACAGTCCAACAAAATCAGGACAACTGCACTTTGAACACTTTCTCTCTCTCTTTCTCTCCTCCCTGTCACTCAAGTGTTTTAAAAATGTTATTTGGTTACATTTGATTTTTTAACAGCATTTCATTGCTTCATTACTCTTAATTCTCAGCTGATTTAATCAGACTTTCTTGGGCAAGATGCCTCTGTTCTCTCAAGTCAAATCCTGGGCCCTGTCGTACAAAGAGTATCAATCGCAACTATGTACATAAGAGATAGGAGATTGCAAACTTGCGATTAATTGAAAGACTTACGAATGATTTGGATCAATCATAACTCTTTGTAAGATGGGCCCAGGGTTGATTGCTATACCTCTCTTATCTCTGTTTTGATGGAATCCCTGTCATCAGTGCCTTTGAATTTCCTAGAAACTGACTCTCGTTGCAACCGCAGCTCTTCCTGTAAATCTTTCAGACGTTTCTCAACCCTCTCTGATGGCTGCAAAAGATAAAAGAGAGAAGAAAAAAATCTCTACTAAATCAACATTTACAACTTTCACATCATCCGTTATTTTTTTTCGGTAACAAATTTTCACATTGCTTCAAAAACTCACCATCATCTTCATTTTCATGCCATCATAATCAAAACGTTTACAATTTTCTAAACACCCAGTACTATACTCTAACCAAAGACTACTGTATATATTATTTCCAGGCCATACCAATCTACAAAAATGTCTGAATCATAACAACATGTGCAATTTTGTCTTCATGTGCATACATTAAAAAAAACATCTCATTAACGAGAGGTCAGCAGAACTCTTGGCTCGGGTGAGCTAAAATATGAAACTGTAGAGTATCTTACACCACACACGTACCCCTAACCCTAATCCTATCATGAGGGTTAAGCTAACCCCAAACTTATTAGATAAATATTTTTTTTAATATCACATCATAAGCAATCTTTAAATCTAGCAGTGTAAACAATAAATAAAATTAAAGAATATACGCTTGACTGGAGATGCAAAGGTCAAGGGTTTGAATCCTGACACAGCCCTAATATCTTTTGGCAAGATATTAACCTACACCTGCTACTCTCCACCCAGGTGTTAAAATGGGTACCCGGTCAAACAGTTTTTGAGCATCAAGTAACGCTTGGCTGAAATGCTCCCCAGGAAGTGGAGATTGTGCACACAGTGTGACCGGGTATATCTGTAAAGAGCTTAGAGATGCCCGAGATGTATTAAGCGCTATATAAAAGCTGAATATTATTATTATTATTATACCTTGCTTTCTTGCCACTGTGACCGCTTCACAGAGTCTGAAAGGTCTAGAAGAATCTTCTTATTTTCAGACTCGACCTGGCTACGACGATTCCTTTCTTGACTGAGCTCTTCTGCTAGTCTGGCCTGATCCCGGCCCAAATCACGAACATCCTGATGGATCACATGAACCTGAGAGCGTAAGGGTTAAAGTTCGTTCAATACAACTTGTTATATTGAATAACAATAATACTACAGCATTTATTATGCACCATCGATGTAGTAAACTATTCTGAGGTGCAGAGGGAGATTAATACCCTGGCTTTAGCACGGCTGCAATTACGGCGCTCTAGCATTTCAAGGAATTAATTCCTGCCAGGTATCCATTTACATCACCAGGGTTGAGTGTGGCAAATGTAGATAAATGTCTTGCCAAAGGACATTAGTGCTCAGGCTTTGTGGTCTCTTAGATAAGCCATTGGACTGTGGATCACAAGGTACAAGGTCCTTGTTATATCACTTATATCCTTTGTCAAGACATTAATCTACATTTACCATTCTCCACCCAGGAGAGGTAAATAGGTATTAATTAGGAAGAACTTCCTTAAATGCTGTCGCACCTACTCATGGCAGAACAGCTAAAGCTATGCAGCTATCATTATAAAAATTTCTACCCATGTTTTGTTTTTCATAAAGTGATGTTTAGTATAGTAACTAGTTTATATAATGACTTTATACCAAGTTTTTTTTCCAATTTTCTTTTTGGTGACTCACTTCAATGAAGGGTAGAGTGAATCTTATGGCAGTCATTTCAAATCATTTGCAGTACTCAAGTCGTTCGAAACATCAAATTAATATTTTCACATTCATACCAAATACATGTACTAAATTCAATGACCTTTGGATATGGGGAATGAACAAAAAAAGAATGTCTTTATCAAGCTCTGTTTATTTTATTGAACACAACACTTTTAATGCACTTTCAAAAACACAAATATTTGAACTATGTATGATGCTAACTTATAATTAGTCAATTAAATTTTAATAATCAAGTGTCTTACCTCATCAGCATTTTGACTGAATCTTACAGAAGGCCTTGTTGTCCTCCTCTGTGACAAAATAGTATACCGTAATCATCAATCAATAATGCTACAAATGTTAAGAAGCTGGATATCACACATAATATGAGAATTAAAAAAAAAAAGGCATTTGATAAAATAAAATAAGAAGTTATAATGAGTGTACCAATATTAGAGATTAATTTACATAAAGTAATCCTAAAGTGCAGTACAGATTTATTCTTAAATATTCAAGCTAGGTATTCTGACATTTGCTGTCATGGCAGCAAAAAAGGGTTAGGGTGTAATAGGGTTTGGTTGCGATCTGGTTATAGGTAAAATACATGGATAGGTAGAGTGCTTGGCACATTATTGAAGAAATTCATGATATTTGTCACCAAAAGATGTTGTGCAATACCCAGACATCAATAAACAAATCTGAACAAAACAGCTATAATATGTATTCAAATATCAAAGTTACCATAGTTATGCAGTACCTAAATTTCACTCTGCAAAATGTGACTTGTACCTTCTTCATCCCTTTCCCTTTCCCTCTCTCTCTCCCTCTCTATTTCTTTATCATTCCTAACATAATAGCTCAGTTGCAACTGTATAACCGTGGTAATGATATGATACCTTGTACGGAGCACAATAGAGTATATATGTATAGTAGCTGTGCTTTATAATTGTATATATTAGGATTATTAATTTTTGTCCAATTCTCTCTCTCTCCATCTCAATTTTTCTACTTCATTTCCTCTATCTCTAACTTTTTTATTCTCTATCATACCCCCTCTCTCACTCTTGTTTTCCGTATCTATCTCTCTCTCTCACATTCAATCACTGTATCTCATTCTGTCTATTGCTCTAATTAGTTCACTCTCTTTCTCTCTCTATATCCTACTTACCGCATGCGATGCTGAAGCTGATCTTCTATGCCTTGAGTCCGATCTTAATTCACTCGCTGACATTGTGTCAGACTCATGTCTTGAGAATCTGTCAGAGCGATCCCTACTCAGTTGAGAATCTTGTTGATTTAGGTTGGACCGCAACTAGATATTTAACAAGAAAAAGAAAGAATTGACAAATCAAAACAAGTAAAAACATATAATGGTAGTATCTTTAGAGATAGGTCAGATTAGGACTTTTCTTTAAAAGGAACACTTTGATACTTTTTAATTGTAGTTTTATTACTCATACAATCACTCTGAACCTCAATAAAAAAAAATATACACACATTTCTCATCATCATATCAAGTCCTATTGCAATTTCTTTCATAGTCCAATCATAGTCAGACTGTTAATTAACTTTAATAATTGCATATGGCAGGATCAAATAAAGGGTGTACATACCCTGTCAATTGCATTAGTCTGTTTGGTGCTGGCACTTCTGTATGTTCCTAACAGCTCACCAACTTCTTGTAAGTTTCTGTTGGTGTCCTGTAAAAGGATGAATCACAGAAAATGAAATTGAATAATTATAACATTTCATTGGGTATTGTAAACATGTTTCTGCAATAATTAGTAAACTTTCTCTCTGCATTGTCAAGTATAAGTTATCAAGACGGGGTTACAGAAAAAAAAGTATGGTGTTAAAATAAATGGAAAGAAAAAAGAATTTGAAAGAAACAAACATAAGCATGATGGCTCAGTGGTAGAGCAGTGGTTTCTCAACTGGGAGGACCTGGTTTTGAAACTAAGTTGATGCACAAGTACCAGTTGGAAAGGCATTAATTGGGGAACCTACAATAAAACAAGCTAGTATAGTATGCTTTCCAGAAGGTTCCTGTTTCATTTCATAATTTTAAACTTACCAGTACTTTGTCAACTATGTTCTTTATTGTACAAACATTTGATATGAAATGGAATAAATTCAAATCGATCGATTAATCATCTATTACCAAGTCCCTTGGATAAGGTCCCTGTGGTTGCATAGATCCACAAGTATACTTGCTTTCTTAGGAGTCAAGTAAAATCAAACCTCAATCTATCAACACCCAAAAACAAAAAATGATCAAGATTCAAGAACATCCCATCAGTTAAGTTTTGGTTTGGGGTAGGTGGAGTCACATTGCTGTTGCTGTTTTTAATCAATACAATAACAGAAAGCCATTTGAATTATATTTATCCAGGAAGTTGACAAAATCCTACTTAAATCGTCAACACAAATTTTACTTGATATATGATCATTCTAAATACATTAACAAAATCTTTATCTAACATTGCAAATCTACATATACATGTACTTTAAAATAAGAAAATAACAAATGAGTCCATCTGTATGATTATCAAGACAACATTTTTAAAGATGATTCATAGTGACCTCTTCACAGGGTAAATTTATTTAATATCATAAAAGTGAACACGTTGTGAAGTATACTAAAAGTCCTTTATCTTACTATTGCTTCATAATAAAGCATATTATATGCAAGGTCTTGGTGGAAATCATGACAAGATTTTCGGCAAAAAAAAGAAGAAGGCCTAGCTTACCCTTAGAGAGGAGGCCAAAGTATCCACTCTCCCGGCAACATCAGAATTAGATGAAGGTCTAGAGCGTCCTCTTCTGGGCAGTGGATAGCGCCTTGCACTGATTGCACTGCCTGTATCTGAAGCGCCATAGCCATCACTTTCTGTCGACATTCTTGATATTCTCTGCTTTAATAGTAAAGCACAACAAAGCACTTAGTAAGCAAGGAAACAAGTACAAGTTACTATCATAATCTTATTTTCCTAGTAAATATAATTTACAAAAAAGAGTACAAGCCTTGTTGTGCTACGTTTGAACTACCATAGAATATTATTATTCAGTACAATACATTACAGAGTCTACATAGCATTTTTGAAATGCAACAAAATATAATTGTCACTGTAGGCCTGTCTCCATCAGCTTGAGTCGGCCAAATAGCCTGCTATTTCTGATCCGGGGAATTCCTGATCACAAAATAGCCTGCTATTTGCTCGGGGAATCTTCCCAAGATATCTTGGGCTAGTTTGGAAAATAGCCTGCTATTTGCGGTCTGTCACTAGCCCAAAAGCTCTGGAAGATTTCTGGATAGGCCTGTCTTCATCAGCTCGAGTTGTCCAAAATAGCCTGCTATTTCTGATCCGGGAAATTAGGTGGATTGAGAAATAGCGGGCTATTTGCTCAGGAAATCTTCCAGATATATCTTGGGCTAGTTTGCAAAATAGCCCCCTAATTGTGGTTCACTAGCCCGAAGATTATGGAAGATTTCTCGATCCTGGCATGCATGACAATATCCTACTGTTTCCGGTTTCTGGTGCTGGTTTTTTCATGCATGAATGTTTCATGTGCGATCAGCTGTTAGCTAGACAATTTATATACACTGCTGTTACTTGTTTACATGTACAACTGCTGCGTGCAGACTTTAAAGATCGTGACCACTACTGGGCCAGAAGGGATTAGACCACACAGAGAGCCATCGAGGTCACTGTGACAGGTGGCTATCTCATTAACTCAGCTCTCATTTAACATAAGAAAAAGAGGATCATGGGGGACCAACAGGCACCGATTAGGGAAGTTTTCTATATAGAGGGAGCAAGTAGCTACAAGTATGGCAGTGTGCCTTTAAATTAATCATCGTTTTGTCAAAGATATACCAGTTAATTTTTCGTTATTCCTGATTCTGTTTGATTATTTTAAGTTGAACATGTTAGTGTTGTATTGTGTAGTATTATGTCTCACTGGGCCGCGGAGCAGGTTGGGGCTTAATTTCAGTGAATTTATTCAACATGATTTTGCAGTCAATGGAGATGAATTTCCTGACAAGAAATAGAGGTTGAAGTCTGAGAAAAAAATTGTTATGGTTGGTATAAACTGTCTCACAATAACGAATTAAAAATACCGTGTACATGTAAGAGTGTGCGACCGATTCAAGACTAGCCGCTGATGAGCGACTGTACTTTGTTCATATTTTGGATGGAATTTAAATGTCATTTTGGACTTTGTCCCGGCACTGACATGCCCATTCCCTCGGACCTGTCTAATTCTCAACAGATAATGACAAATATTCATCAAATTGCACTAGGGTAGCGCGCCCAGTATTCGGTCAATTCCCAGTATTCGGTCAGACAGCCGTTTCAACAGCTGTAACAATTAAAAAAATAATTTATGAACCACGAAACTTGCACAAATCAGGCAGCTGAACAATTTTTCTTAACTCTCAAAATTAAATCAGATTCAGGGCCCTGGAAAGATCTCCAACTTAGCTCGAAATTGGTCAGTGTCGCACAACTTTCCGCACTTCCGCGTTCTCTTAGCACATGCGCTAACATGCATAGCCATATGTAGAAGTCTATTGCGAAACAACTACGTGTGCTGTCACAATGAATTTAGTATGTGTGTGAAGAGAATCACTTCCGTGTTCGCTCCATCGCAGCGAATTTGCAAATGATGCACTTGCCGATGTGCAAGAGGTATTTATACGATACCCTTGCCATGCGGTATCGCTCGGCCAGTATTCGGTCAACGCATTGACATTCAGTGCTTTATCGCGCAATTGTGTGAAAATAGTGCGCAAATACGCTACGCTCCTTTGCAACGGAGATACCACGCACAAATTGCGTGACCGAATTCTAATCGGCGCGACCGAATTCTGGGCAGAAAAATGCTCCGTCTTCTTTCGGAAGTATTTTGCTTATCATTATTTTATATTTTAAGTGACTATAAAATCCTGTTAGAGGAATAAATTTCTTTTCTTTTGATGGATAGATTGCCAAACAAAAGAGGTAAAAATTCAAAATATTTTGAGTGATTTCCCCTTAAGTGACCGAATACTGGGCACTCTACCCTAGTCTAAAAATCTATTTGTCCCTTCAGTTAAGGCTTTATTATATTGTCCAATGCAATTCTTATAAAATTTATGAACTATCGCTCATAAACTGCTTCTAAATGCTGTTTTAAATCAACTATCCGGACACACAACCTGTACCTGGCCTGTTCAGACACACAACAACCGTGACAAAGACGTCTGGGCATACGCTCCACTTCTAAATTACACGCAAAATAATGAATAGATGGGGCAGTGTTGTTATTTCTGCTTCGTCGACGAGCTACCAGCTGCTCCTTTGTACCTCATTTTAACACTGATATCATTTTACTATCTCTCAATAACTGATTTTTCTTACCTTTCTCGGAGATATCTATGATTACCTGTAGACTACAGACCATTAACAGCCTGGAAAGGAATACTCTTCATGATTATCAGGACGTACAAAATTTACGTTAAATTGGCCGCTTTCACTTCCTTGGCAGATTAATTCTGAAAGCTCGCCTGTGATTGGTTCGTGCACATGGCCTAGCCCGGCTATAGTCTTTGACTAAGCTCGCCGCGGCTTTTCTTTGACGATGAGCAAGACTACTCGACCGAAAAAAATAACGGATGCTGATTCGGATTTAACTTTATTGCTTTCTCGATGTCTTTGATATTTGAAGCCTCATTTTTCGTATTCAATTGTCCCGTCATTCATATCAAGCTTGCAATCAGCGGGCTAGCTACAGGGGTACGTCGCCTCCAGATGGAATGGCTGAAAGAAAAAAAAGAGAAATCAGACAAAAAGGATAGAGAGATGGAGATGGAGAGAGAGAGAGAGAGAGAGAGAGAGAGAGAGAGAGAGAGAGAGAGAGAGAGAGAGAGAGACGATAGACAGACAGACAGAAAGGGGGTGGAGGTGAGAGAAAAATAGAAAGGAAGAGGGAAAGGCAATCATACAACATGTTTACGAGAGGTGTTAGACCTTCCTACAATATTTAGCATATCAATTCATTTAAACATCTTTCGACAGACTTCATAATTATATCAGTAATACATTGATCAGCACGTTCGTTTGCTGTGCCCCTCCAATATGATAAATATGCATTGCTCAGGAATGCGAAATTGATAGATTCAGATTATACACTCACAATCATAAAATGCGCCTCTATGAATTTTCTCCGCTGAATATACATTGCGCGTGTTTTGATTACTAATAACAATAAGCTGGTCTCGTCTGGCTGTCCTACATAAATCAATCTCGAATGATTTTGATTATTGTCATCGTCTGGATGAAATATATATGCATGGAGATCAATAGGTGGTCATCAAAAAGATAAATTACTGTAAATCTTTATAACCATTACAAGTGGGGGAAGATGTTTGCATGCTTCATTTCGATAAGCTAAATGTATGTTTTTTTCATTCAGGAAGTCTGAACAAAATAATGTTGAATACGCGATTTGAGATTTGTTTAAAACTAAAAAAAAATTAAACACATAGAAATAACAATCCGGACCCTGACGATTATTATTGTTTTCCTACTTTGTTCGTGTTAAAGTTCATTCATTGTTTCAAAATGCAAAGCAGACTCTGGAATTGAGGTTAACTTTATATAACCCCCCCCCCCCCCCCCCCTTACAGCAAAAATCACGAAGAGTGTTAGAAACAAAAGCATTGTCAAAGCACGGTAAACCTGGGGGGTGTTTCACTAAACCCTAAAATCGATCGGATCGATTTTAAGGGCCTAAAATGGATTTCGATTTTAGTTGATGAAACACCCCCTGGTTAGAATGGTTTGAAGGGGGACAAGCTCTCACTACGATAATACCACAATGTATTCATATCTCTTATCATCACGTTTTCCAAGTTCCTCTTTCTGCCCTCTAGTGCTCTTTCACAAAAATGTTGCTCAGCTCAGCAAAGGTTTTCCGGGGCACCCTAATTATTCAAACCAGGACCATCGAAATTGTGTTCCTCGCATATTACAGTGTTGTGAACTAAATATTACTCTAAAGCAGATATCCTATGTAGATAAGTCCATTGAATTTGAGGGTTAGCATGTTAACAAAAAGATTAACACTTGGGTTACTCTCTTTGTATTTCTAGATGGTTGCTCATTTTCCACACGTGCACTTTTTCACAAACCACTAAAGCACCAGTTTTACAAAGGGATTGCTTTGTGTAACACAATTGCCTTTAAAAGTATACCCGTTTACGGTCTCGATTAGCTCCATGCTGAGGCGGCACTCCCGGGTGGGGGCAGTGGCGGATCCAGGAAAAAAAAGAAGTGCATTTTTACATTTTTTAAAGTTAATTTTACCTTTTTTTTGGAGATGGCCCCCCCCCTGGCGCTCAAGTGATGGAGGGGGGGGGGGGGTGCAAATTTTCAAATTTTCGAGGGCCCCCCTAAAAAAAAATGTGCTCACTACCCCCCTTCCCCCCCCCCCCCCCCCCCCCCCCCCACTGAGCGACTTTTTGGCCGGCGCGATTTTCAAATTTGAGGGAGCAAAAAATAAATAATTGGGCCCCCTCCCCTAAGAAATCCTGGATCCGCGCCTGGTGGGGGCATACTCAGTCCTGGGCATACTGCAGTGCCCCACTTGATCAAGTACCCCCAAAATACCCCTTTGTACATAAGAAATGTGCCCCTATTACTTTGTAATAGTGCCCGTTCCACTTTTCACCTCTGATAGGTGCCACTCTTATTTTGACTCGTGCCCCTTTTCCTTTGCCATAAGCTTTTACCTTCGATAAGTGCCCCTATGACAATCAGATCGGTACCCCTTTTCTTTGAACAAATGCAGATTTTCATTTATTATGAGCGCCCCTTTTTCATTCTCATAAGTGCCCCTTTTAATATCTGGTCAGTGCCCCTTTTCACCTCTGATAATTTCCCTTTTAACAATGATACGTGTCCCTTTTCTTTTCCAATAAGGGACCTATCCCCTTTTCATAAATACCCCATTTCCCCTCTTATAAATGCCACTATCAAAATCTGATGGGTGCCCCTTTTTCGTTCAGAAGTGCCCATTTCCCATTTTCCTAAGTGCCCCTTTTCATCCCTGATGAGTGCCTCTTTTCAGGTGTAAGAAGTGCCCATTTTCACTTCTAATAATTACCCTTTGTAATTTGATAGTGCTCCTTTTCTTTTCTAATATCCTTTTCGATAAGTGTCCCCTTTTCCTCTCTTCATTAAACGTGCCCCTAATTTAAAGCGACCTATAATAAGAGCAATTCCCCCAAAGCTCGCTTGCTACGCTCGGTCACATTTATAGATGATATAATTATGTTATTTATCAAAGGTCTTTTCAGTCTTCGGTTAAATTTCTTGTAAACAAATTCGACGACGTGTAACATGAACGGTAAAATACGAAATAGACCGAGCTTAAATAAAACTAAAGCCTTGCTGGTAAAAAGGGCTTTATGCACTGTTAAAACAATATATGCTGGGTAACAATTAATGTGCCCAATGTATAGAGTAATAATTTGTGTTAGAACAACTTTTGTGCAATTACAGACCAAACGTGCTTGATCAATTTTTTCAAGCACACCAAAAGTGCCCCTCTAACTTTGTAAGAAGTGCCCCTTTTTACATAGGCAAAGTGCCCCTATTACTTTGCAATAGTGCCTCTTCCACTTTTCACCTCTGATAAGTGCCACTTTTATTTTGACACTGTCCAAAATTTGGTGGATGTAATTAAACTCTTGTTGGCCAACTTTTTTTCCCTTTATATTTCAATTCGTTCAGTGTGTCACTTAGAACATACAAAAGGATAGGACGGCGATAATATTACAGAATTCATTAAAAATTTCATCTCCTGGTTATGATTCATACCGCAGTTGAATTATAATCATAACAATTTGAACAAGAAAACAAGAATATTAAATTTTTCCTGTACTAAACGTCGATCATTTTTGTGATAAATAGATTACAGTTCTTTCCCCCTTTTCTTTAATTCCTAATAAATTTATTGAATAACAACAGGAGCATATTTTCACGATCAAGCAAAAAGATTTGTAAATGCTATCTTTAATCACGAAAGCATACGGATGTTGAGACGAGGAAATCATGATGGAAACATGAAACATTCACCAGCTACTCAACATTCAACATTCAACATTCAACATTCAACATTCAACATTCACCAGCTACTCTCTCTCTCTCTCTCCCTGTCTCTCTGTCTTTCTCTCTCTCTCTGTGTCTGTTTCTCTGGGTGTGTCTGTGTGTGTCTGTCTGTCTCTCTGCCTACGTCTCTCTGCCTACGTCTATCTGCCTACGTCTCTCTGTCTCTGTCTCTCTTTGTCTCTCTCACTCTCTGTCTCTCTGCCCCTCTCTGCCCCCCTCTCTCTCTCTCTCTCTCTGTCTCTCTCTCTCACTCTTATTCCCTGCCGAGAACAGGATGCGAATGTAAAATTAAAATAACAACAAACTCAGGTATAACGGAAGGGGATGAGAATGATTAATGTATAGTTACCTGTACATGATTATTCTTCAGCACATTCTGATTTATCGGAGGTGCTGAGAATAATGTCTGCTTTGCTAGAACCATCTGCTCTGATTGATGGCGGGAAATAAATTTCAGGTGTAATTTGTCTGGATGGATGATTTATTCAGGCACAGGAAGGGTGATGCTTGCCGGATTTCTACTTGCCAATTTTAAAGAAACTGTAAAAAATATATTGAGTAAATTTTTTAAAAATAAAAACAACAACAAAGAAGCAGGAGAACGTATAAAATGTGTGTGGGCGATTTAAGATTGAACAGAAATATAACTTTAATTTGAAAGAGAAAGAGAAAGAGAAAGAGAAAGAGAAAGAGAAAAAGAGAGAGAGAGGGGTGGGGTGGGGTGGAACAAGAGAAAGAAAGAGAGCAAGATAGAGACTATAGTTGTAAGACTAAAATAACCAAGAGAGAGAGAGAGAGAGGATGACGGAAATGAAAGGAGAAATAGCGAAACGCTACAAGGATTTGTCAACCCCCCAAGACGGTTGTATAATGCCAAAGCTATATTTTTCTCATTAAGTTGCACCCGAGTTTATCAATTTAAGAGAAAATATTTTTGGTTGCAGTAGCTTCTCTATGTTATTGAAAACTAAAACATCTTTCTGGAATTAATTTTAAAAGTTCTGTATTTTACAACATGTGTCATTAGAATATCTAGACATGCTCTTTTAATAGGAAATGTACCCCCTTTGTTTTGTTTTGTTTTGTTTTGTTTTTGCATGGATACGGATATGGTGCATGATGCCATTGATCAAGGAGTTCCAAGGAAATCTTTTTAACATAAGAGAAAGAAGAGGTGAACAGAAGAGCTAGAAAAGTAGCAATCAAATAAAGGTTATCGAAATAGTGGTTCAATGGGGGAATGAGATAGAAGGACTTATCATTACAAAAGAAGAAAAAAATTTCGTTAGCATTTCTGAAAGAATCACAAACCCTTTTTGCGACAGCTCAGGCTTTGGTATTCAAAATCATTTTAGCCTCGGAGAGCGATCTGAATACTGCAGCAGTGAGGTAAGAACTCGTTCTTGCTATTCATACACATCTTCATGATTTGACAGAGTTTCAGAAAAATGAGTGGTAACCTCATGGATAGTGCAATATTTTCTTGAAAAATCTTCAAGAACAGTGGCTTAGCGACAGGGGGGGGGGGGGGGAGGGCACATTTTTCACCAGGGGGCCTGACATTTTCCGAAGGTCAACTTTCCATTTTCTAACATTTAGCGACCGAGGGAAGCGAGCGAGGAAAAAAAGTGATACTTTGTAATGGAAAAGGTGTACTTTCGTCTTTTGTCCTGATGCACTATAAAAACATTAAATGACATTTTCGAGCTCTGAATCGCTGATAGAATATGAAATGGTGCTTGCCCGAATATTGTTATTTCGCCAGAATCATCGGGGTGCAACCGGTCTCGTATATACGCCTATGGCATTCACTCTCTCTTAATTCAGCAAACAATCACATCACCTGTTATTCTACAAATCAATCAGTCAGCAGCACATGGATGATTAGAAATAACACCTTTTGTATCGAGATATCAAAGATCAATGTTCGCTAGAAGGCACTATACGAGATTGATAATCAGCAATGCAAGAAGGAATAAAAATATTTTGTGAGAAAAACCTTGTTCTGGGGGAGAACTTTTGTAAACTTTTAGTTGCGATTTTAATTTATTCATTATTTTTTCCTTAGCACTTTTGACTGATTTTGAAACATATTCTCAAAGATAATGCACTCAAATATAACTTTTCTCACTCACTTTACGTGAAAAGAAGTAAACCATGATAAAATAAAATCCCAACATCTCACTATCAACCAAGCAGGCTCTTCACATGATCTATAAAGAGAGTAGGGGGCGATTCCATGACTCTTTACAGGGGATAGGGGTCCAAGTCCCTGAAGTCACAAGCAAAAAGAAGTTATGGAGAACAAAAAAGGGTTTCCAACCCCCGTGACCCCCCTGCTCTCCTGGATCCGCCTCTCGAGGAGGTCAGTCTTGACAAAAGTATCATCATCTCTCTGAATTTCACCTCTTTTCTTCTGTTTTTTAATAATCTACCATCATCCATTACACACTTTCAAATCCCCAGTTTTAAGGACACACCAGCGAAAACAAGACTCATTCAAAGTCAATATGTGTTTTTCTTCTCATATTTAAAACTTTTAAAGTTTTATTGGTTTGTCATAACAAAATTAAGTGATTCATTGTTATTAAAAAAGAAACAACAATAACTTTACATGTTACAACGTTTGATGAATCATTTAAATTAGTATTCTGTATGAACATCAATAGCATAAAAGCGGTAGAATTAAGATGTACTCGTTGAATATTTCAAGACTTGTGCTTTTTTATACAAAACACGATCGCAACTACTCCATATTATGACAAACGTAAAACGTTAACAAAGAAAACAGAAAACAGGACAGTTTTGCATTCCTGCTTTAACATAATGTTCTGGCACTTATGACATGGTGCATAAAGTACATAAGTAAAATGAATGAATAAATAAATAAATACAAATGGCGATTAATGATAAATTTCTATTTTGTTTGTCGCACAATTCACCTATATTATTAAGAATACATGGTACATTTTGTCTTACTCTACCGTCCATACTCAATTTTTTTATTATTTTAAAGTCTAGTCGCAGTCGGATTGCAAGGTGTGCTTTGGCCTGTGAGTGCATTGTGAATTACGGATGTCGCTGTCCATACGGGGTAGACCTACATACTCTGCGTGGTTAGAAGCGTGACTTACAACTGACATTGTATGGACAGGAATTACGGTTTCTGAAGTCCATACTGCTACATTCATGGTTCATACATAGATAAATTCCAATCATTCTTACCCGTCATATTTTGCCCAACATTAATGAAATGCAAAGTTGCAAAATGCAAAAAAGAAAAAAAAAAGGAAAGAATCTGATACAGATAAAGAACGATATAGATCTCATAAAGTCACATACTGGTCCAACAGGTTGTCTGTAGAATTATACCTTGTATGTGCATTTCTTATCAAAACGTTGGGAATATCATTAAAAATAAATCATTAAAAATAACATGATTGCTTGCTTTCTAGCACATCAAATTCAATCAATGTCATGTAAGTAAGGTTTCAATGACACAGTACTAATCGCAATATTTTAATGTAAAGGGGGCGTTCATCGTTTATCAATGTTTTGATGGATGATCTATATATAATTGTCCAACATTATCATCGAAATGGTTTGTTATTTCCTTCACGATCTTCGATGTAAACAACCGGTAATATTTAAATAGGATAATTTATATGGATAAGAACCTCACTTTAAAAAAAAAAATTCAACCTCGAGGAAATGAATGGATTGATTGCATATGACGATACTATTTTTAGGCCGAATGAAAGTCGTCCCTATTTTTGGCAATCTTTGTTGATCTGTGTATAAATCATACTTTTTATTTTGCTCGGCCTACAAAGATAAGTTAGAGCAATGATGAACGTGGATATAACTCCTGTTAACCACAAACATCGATGATTGAATCCTCAGAGTCAAATCGTATTGTTTGTTTCTCTTTGGTTCCATCGGATGACTCTCATTTTTTCATCTCTCTCCTTCAAAATTCAGATTGAATCCAACAAATAAATGAGATCAGAAGCAGGATTGAGAAATATTTTCTATTGTGATATTGTTCTGAATACCAAGGCATTCTTATTTTCATCGATCTAGCTGAAGTCTTTCCAGCGCTCTAATGTACGATTGTATTATTTGGTTTCCATGCCAGTTTATGACGTCACTGACCGTACTTCATTTTCAGAAAATATATATCAAATGTGCGCCCGACAGCTCTCAGAGAAATTGTATATCTGGGGATGAGTTCTTGCTCTTCATTTCTCCCTTTTCATCATCAAAGTGGCATTTTCATTAAAAGGAATAACAAATGAACGCAGATCATAACAGAGGGATGGATTGCTCTGTTAAGCGGCATAAACAGTGTCACTTACTGTGGGAATCATTAGGTTTCTCTAATTTGTCTACATCTGCGCCATAAATAACGTTAGACCGAACGCTGTGTCGGATCATTGCCACATATTAAACTATCCGCCACATGAAAAATTACAGGGAAAGCTTTGTTAATGAATAGCATCGTTCTATTCCTAGTGTAGATGAACCAAAATAACCTTTAGAAAAAAAAAACGATAAACAGTCGATTCTTAAAGCATGTGCAAAGTCCATGTTCAAAGAAATAAGTCATTAACAACCAAATTTTGTTGTAAGCGGTAGATATGGTCCTTGATTTTATTATTTTCTTAACAAAATTGATATGAATTAATGTGCCTTGTGTAATTTAGTTTATTATGTCCTTCATGAAAATTGATTATTGTTTTCGGATTTTTTTGAGAGAGAGACAAGTCATGAAAGAAATATCTTTAAGATTGCTATAATGCGTTCATTGTTTGATAGTGTGTTCTACACGAGACATATTACAGAAAGTATATAGGAATATGTCTTATATAATGCTTGGATTTAAGTCATGTCCAAGTTGCTAGGTCCATGTCACTGGAGATGGGTGCCCTATGCATACGCGCTCTGATATGAGTCCGGGTTTCGCTGATTCCGAACCATCGTCCTCTACCGCATAGTCAAATCGCCCTTTTGTCCGCTTTCAAGTTCGGGTGAGAGTATATGGACCCACTTTATAGGTCCATGGTCAGAGTACAGTCGAAGGAAATTATTGTGCTCTTGGTCAGTTTCCTGTTGGCAAGTCAGCATTGAAAAGGTCCAGTTAGTTGGAATGGATATGGTACCAGACATAGCGTCTGAGTTTACCATTGCGAAAATCGTATCCATTTATTGTTTTGTAGGTGTTCCTTTTTGTCTTAAGCCTTTTTGTCGTACGTCCTACATTAACAAGTACCTGAAGTCGAAGTTATTGGAAAGTTCATGAAGTACTGGTATGGTTTAACGGTAATTCGCGAGTCGTAAGTCTCAGTATATATAGTTAATAATTGTGTGCACGGAACGGCGTGATTATTCGTATATATGCGATCGTCATGTTGCCTATTATCACTTAACTGAACTATGCAGTAGAAATCTGCAGTCTAATCAGAAGAAAACCGATATTGGTCAGGTATCAAGTAGTTTACTTCCCGTTTGATGTACAACTTCTTGTCTAATTCTTCAGATGAAAATTTATTTAAGTTGTCCTTTGTCAGTTTGCAAAACATTGTCTCGTGTTCCAGTTTTTCCGGGTCTACTGGTAGTCGATTTCGTAGTTATTGTCAAAACGTTGAGATTTCGTCGAATAAGGATCTCTAATTTTATCCTGTACTGCAGTATCGGTCATTCGTAAACAGACGCACTTCACAATGCACCCGTTTGCGAGTCTAATTCCTAGTATGAGGAAGAGATAATTCCGAATGGCGGAGAGAGAGAGAGAGAGAGAAAAGTGTAATATGTTTATAAGATTTCGTTTGTAGAAAACTTCGGTTAAGGTCAGTTGGTGAGGTAAGACGCCATTTTGAAAGTCAGTCGATCTACCATTTCGTTGCGCAATGATGTCGAAGCCACCGAACCTGGCTAGTCATAGTATTACACTCGATACACGTGAACTCAGAAGAGGCGTTTGACACATGCACAAGTCTCCCAAGCATCTTAGGTTGTCAGTGTCAGATTGTGGTCAAGTCAACCGTCAAGAGTACCACTGATTTGAATATGTGTACGTCAAATATGTCCCTAGATCGTTAAATACTGCATTTTAAAATCCTATGTTAAATACTGTCGAAAGTTCATGTTATTCAAAATGCCTACCGATAATAGGTAAAACGCAAGTTCTTGTATATTAATATTTTTTTCTTCAAATGTCCATATTTTAGATTAGGAAACGATGCCGCAGAATAAATTCTCTATACAATTGCTAACAAAGCATGAATATTTAGCTCAAGTAAACATGGTGAAAGTGAAAATCTATGATCTTCATCACAATTTTGTACTCATCCTTCCTGACCAAACTGAATGGCAGCTATTGTTGAGGTATCTTCTGCACGAGCTGTTGGTGAATTCATTGTTCTTCAGTTCGTGAGTATAAAGTCATCGTTTCAAAGTGGTTTTCAGAGGTTGAAGGAGTTAAGTCGTGTCATTGTGTTTTTCAACGGGTGAGTCGTAGTTCGTTTTGAGTTGACGTTAAGACAATGAAGGTTACATTTAAAACTATTAAGATATATTTTGTCTATATTAAAGTCAGAGTCCGAAGGTCATCGTTAACGTCTGTGTTATGAAGCACTCTATTCTTATTATTGAAAAGTCTACATTTATTTTAATCATATTGGGACGAGGTGACAAGTTCCCAGTCAAGGTTCAGGAAATACCTAAGTCATCCAGAGTCCGACGATTGCCCAAGTCTAGATATCACAAGTCAAAGCCAAAATATCTTTGAATATATGTGATTATTTTGAAGTGTTAAGAGCATTCCAATGATATATGATTTAATTTCACGTTGATAACAGTACACTCAATATAGGTAAACTCGGAAGAGGTGTTTGACATATGCACACGTCTCCCGAGCATCTTGGATAGTCAACGTCAGTTTATGGGTCAACTCAACCGTCAAGAGTATCACTGATGTGAATTTAGTTAAGTATGTTAACTATTTCCCTTGATCGTTTGATACTGCAAGTTTAAATCCTATGTTAAATATGTACATGTCAGACTTCTATCTTTCAAATTAAGTCATGTCTTTGTCTGTAGTACTTTGTATGTCTTCTTTGTCTTACTCCATTGATGTTGAAGATCAGCAGCTTCCTCAGCAGCCACAACACACCAGGGGCCCGTTGCACAGAACTTACCATTGATGATAACTTTGCCATCAATGGTAGCTACCATGGAAACCTTGATTATGATTGGCTGTTGAGCCCTGTTATCATGGTAATTGCCATTGATGGAAAAGTTACCATCAATAGTAAGTTTTGTGCAACGGGGCCCAGGTTCTTGGGTTGATGGGTTACTTGCCTATTGAATGAGCATAAATGGTCATTATAGCTGGTAACCACACGGAAGATAGACGACCACTGTCTAGTCCGATCGGTCAGACTCTATAGTCCTGGTATAAGTATCCTAGTCGTTTTTAAGTTCTCAGTTCTGTGTCCGAGTAACTCTCTTGCTGATTTGAACCTGTGTCATAGTTTTTTAAACTTTGAACCGGGTGACCAGAGTTCTAACCGAAAAGTCCCCGAAAAACCCCAAAACACTGCCTTCTGGTTCTGTCCATCCGTAATTAAAGTGATTTACGTATGGTATGAGTTGGTTTGTCTATACCTTCTCTGTCCGAAGGAAATGGTCAATAAGTCATTCTGAATGCGTAGGAAAATGCATTCTTCAAGTCGGTCTGAACATCATCTAGTTTAAGCCTTTAATAAAAGTCAAATGATGATCCTACAGTTGTGTCAAACGGTCGTTCGAAAACGTCCCGTTTGATTGAGTTCTGCCGGGTAAATTAAAGTCTTTAAGCCCAACGACTCTGACCAAACATGGACATTTCTTTTCAATCATAACCCTTTTATTAAACCGATTGTCACTATCCAGACGTCAAGACTGTGGTAAGTGTGGCGTTAGTTTTTGTCAATGTCAGTATCCTTGTCTGTAAGTTTTTCCTACAGATTCCGTCCAGTTTTCGTCACTTCTATACTCGCTCCAGATTTCTTAAACAGTTTTCGTCAGTTTTTCGTCGTTACAGTCTTCTGTAAGTCTTGATGACGGTTCTGTCAGGGTTAATCACTACTGTATACTGGTCTGTAAGTTCTCATACAGGTTCTCATTTGCTCGTCTGTAAGTTCTCATCAATGTTACGCCAAGTATTCGTTTTTGAGTCTTCATTTGAATGACGTCTTGTGTCCAACGGGCACGATGGTTATCTGTAGGACTATTTTGCAGTATGGTGTTCTTAAGTTCTGACGTAGGTTTTGTCAAGTCTTCGTCACCATGTTCGTCTGCCGGTTATGTCGAGTGTTTTGTCAAACCTTTGTCAGAATGCTCGTCAAGAAGTTCTGTGAAGTGCTTCGTCAAGTTTTTATCATGTTCGTCTGTAGGTTCTGATGAAAGTTTCCTAAAATATTTGTCTTAATGCTCGTCTAGACGGTCCGATAAGTTTTCGGTCAAGTTATCGTCACTCTGTACGTCCGTCAATTCTGATGCATGTTCTTCCAGTTCTCCTCACAACGTTCGTCAAAACTTTCTGATTTAAACACTTTGCGGTCAAGATGTTACATTGAGGTCATCTAATTCTAATGAGTGTTGCGTTAAAATTTCGTCAATATTCGTCTGTATTTTCGCTGAATATTCGTCATTAAACTCGTCAGTTCCCAAGTTATTCTAGGCGTTTTGTCGTTCTTCATAATTCAATGCAGTCAAAGACCGAACTAGTCCCTGCCGTACGTTGGCCTATATTACATGGTGCCTGATGTGCAATGCGTATAAGAAATGAGACAGGTTCCGCCAACATGGTCATGTTTTCATCGTTGCGATAGTCTGTAAGTCATGATAGTTAAGTCAAGTTCGTCAAGTCTTCGTCAGCATGGTTGTTTTTAAAATTAAGAATCAATTCCGGCAGTTTTTCTTTAGTGTGCCCCTTGTATTTTTAAGTTAACATGTGCAGTTCGTAATTTTGTTGTAATTATTTCGTCTATGAGTTCTTACGAAGAATCCGTACAAAATTTGCATTCAGCGTTTCAGGTAGTTGGCCTAGTTTTGTTTTCTCCTACCTGTTCTAGTCATAAATACGTTTGGTCGCTTCCTGGTTATAGCATGATATTGTCAATGGTCGGTCATCCAAATCTTCGACTTATTATCGGAAATACGTCACACATACAGTCGAAAACCTGTCATGCAGTCACTAAGACATCTTCAAGTGGGTGTGTGCTTTATCCATGTCGAGTTGTATACCTCCTTCTTAATGATGACGAGTTAGAATTCAAGATGAAGTTATGGGGAAAATTATTCTAAAGTATCTGTACACCCGGTAACATATAGAAATCCTTAAATATTCTAGTGTATAAATTTCGAGTTTCATTTCCGGTCACTTCTTCGGTTGATTGTAGTCGTCACAATGTGAGTTCGTAGTGCTGTCTGTATTGCGAATCACTGTCATGCTTAGTCGAGTATTTCGTCCCAAGCCAGTGTAGTGTATTAGAATTTAATGCTTGTTGCACTGTTCTGTAGATGTGTGTCACTTTTAGCAAGGTCAGTGTCAAAATCCGATGTCGAAATATAGAAAGGAATAGTCCTCTCATACACCATGTCGAAATATGGTGGTTACATTTTTGCTTTGATAAAAACGTTAAACTTCCTTTTTTTAAAAAATTATTGTCAAGTGTTTTATCACTAGTTTTCAGGCAATTTTGAAATTTTATTCGACTTCTATCTCCTTCTCCATTACTATCACATATTAAGGGGGTGTTGTCTTCTGACGAAAGGTATATTTCATTCATGCTCTGTCCTCGTGCAATAGTACTTCAATTTGAAACTTACCTCGAATCAACGACCTACCTCTCATGTCTGCCGGGGACAAAATTGTAGTCTAAAACAAAGTCAGTGATAGTCGTCATGTACAGTCTTATGGTGCTGATTCGTCATTAAAGTGAAATGTAAATTTACATGTGTCTAGATTTCTTCGGCAAAAGGTCAGAGTAGTTGAAGTCCATACATATAAGTTCAATATCTTGTCATGGCGATGTCTCTTGTCTTGCCGAAGGTTGGAGTCGGCTCATTGTATCTTTCTTTTGAACAGGATAATGTACGTTATCAATTGGAATAAGACTGCCTTTTGGAAGAAAACCAATATCTCATAATTTCGATATACGGCTTAGTAATTGAAAATGAGGTAAAGAAGGAATGAAAGATTAACCTTATATCAAATTTATGATTTGACCTTTTCAGCTTTCGTGGAGGAAAGTAGGGAAAAGAGGTCATACCAAAGGCCTAGTCAGAGTCAATGAGAGTTGTCATTTTGAAATTGTAGGGGAAAATTGAAATGATAGTGGGTTGGTTGACGCTCCAAAGGGTTCTTTTGCATCACATAGTAAACACAAAAGGACTGCATGTTCTCTGCCTCTTGTATATTTGAAACGGCATTTGTAAACAAGGCAATGATTTGACTCCAAATAAAAAAAGAAAGGAAAGGTGACCAGAACACTTCCCACGTTGTCGTGACAGAATGTTAATTGAATGCCAACGCTTTGCTTGGAGTGATACAATTGGTAGTTGACACTTCAGGAAAGCATTGCAGAGTATCGGCTCATCTCTCAAGTCTACCTACCCGCAGCTGCCCCGCTGTGTCATGTCCAATTTGCGGTGAGCCGCCGACGTCCATCGGGTAGGAATGCAGCTCGGCTAGCCGCGAGAGAGAAAAGTGAAACACTTCTCAATCGGACGCGCCCAAATAAACTGCATATTTTCTGTTATCGAATCAACGACTGGGGATAGCTTGGTCAGTTGGTCAGAGAGTAAACGGAACAGTAACGATTCCCTACATAGATCAAGAAATAGGCCTACTATATGACATGAAGATATGACACATACTTTAAATAATTTGTTAAGTATCAAGGCTTTTTGAATATATATCATGATTAAGGCATGAAAGCCCTTCCTTTTTTGAGTTACTTCTTCTAACATGTCTCTGCTTTAACGTATCTTATAGTGATATTAATGAGGTATATGTAATTCGGAGGAAACTGCATTCAGCGTGATGTAGAATGAAAGATGAACGCAAAAGCATAATAAAATGTGGGTGAAAGCGATATGACTACATTTACATATTGGGGATGATACTATCATTCATGTGCATTCTATCCTTAACCTTATTTCGCAAACAAGGAAACTACTTTTTTGCGCGACATAGTAAAGATAATACTGGCAAGATAAATTACTTTTTTGGTCATGCACATCTCTATGTCTAAGAATAAAATAACGACGAGATTGAATATCGCGAAATATATATTTTATAGTCTTTGACGCATGAATATTTGAATTAGGCAAGAACATTTTGAATCGCAAAATCTATCGAGCCCGATCTTAATGATGACAATTAAATAAAGGAACAAACAGGGACTGTTTAGCATAAGGATAAGTATTACTTCTTAAAGCCATCAACTGTTATGAAATGGATGGTACTTAAACTTGACCTTTTTCGTGATTTCTGTGAAGCTGTCATAAAATTTGCATTACAATGTTATTATTTTATAAGGCCAAGGGATAAAATTCATCACAATATCTCGTGCCATTAACATCTATTCAAACAGAGGACCTTAAACGTGAACGAGGTTTAACAGATCAATGTAGGCCTTTAAGAACGTTGGCGCTCTGTCGACTAAATGGTGGTGCTGTGTTTCTTACTTGCGATGAAGTCCGCAATGTCTTCTTAAAAAGTATCATTCTGGGAAATTTTGAGGACTATCGATGTTCAAATATTATTTGATGAGGTGTTTTCCTTGTGTCTATTTAGGTTATTAGAAATCAACTTCCTGAGTATAATTAGAGTGTTGCCCAGAAAGTTGGAATATATTTTCTTACCTCTTTTCATGAAATCATTGTGACAATAGGATTTATTCTTGACAGATAGAGTTAATGCCTTCTCAGAATATATTAATAAATCTAGAGAGTCATGGAGAGTAATCAATAATAATCTGATAAGATATATACTTTATCAAGACTAAAACATATTGTCACAATCATTTCACGGAAAGAGGGAAAAAATGTCTTCCTATTTTATGGGCATAGGTGTATGTACTATATTGACATTCCGAAACGTACTGGTTCTGAAAAAATAAATATATAAAAAATGTATATTTTGAGAATCAGTCACCTGTTTGATAAATACTAACGGATTTGACTACATGTATATAGTTAACAACTAAATTAGTTTACCCCGTGTATATTAAACTATCAGGATACATTTTATCACTATTTAACATGAATATCTACTGAATTAAAAAAATCTTTTAGCAAATAATATTGTGTACTCTGAAAGTAAAATATTACTCATCGAAAGCCAAGTACAGTCTTGTTACAAAGTGATCAAAATACAATATTGAGTGATTTATTAATAAAAGTGCACAAAAAATGAAGGAAGACTGCGCCAGCCTTTTATATTGTGGTCTATTGCTTCTGATTCGACCAACAAACACGAGGGGATTGCCGTGTGGTTCCCAACCCTTCTTTGTACGTGCAGATTGATTCAGACTGCTTCTGAAACACACAGATGCAGCACAAGAAGGACTTTGACCGGGTCCAAACGGCCACACGATATAGAACGTACGCTCCAGTCGGAACAGGCCTCAAGAATGACATTAATGTTCTTGTCGATCGATCTCCATTTGGCCGATCAACGATAGTGACGTCAAGATTTGTGCACTCTGTCTCAGAGTCATTTTGGCTGCCAGAGTTTCGTTCACCCTGACTAAATTATAGTTAGACAAAGAGGGTTTCAGGAGGGAGTCGATAGTCCAGTTGTCTTGCCGTATCAGGGGGGGGGGGGAGGTGAAGGTAGCGAGAGGGTTGTGCTTTCAATCAAGTGGATATCAATGAATGATTTTAAGAAAATGTCTTCCGGCGCGACACTTCCTAAACGTTTGAACCAGTTTCGTCATACGTTACAAATGAGATATAAGTACTGTTTACTTGGAATCGTACATCTACATTGTTTAATCATATAAATAAAATCAGCTACAATCTATATAATGACGATGTACGGGAAGATAAGCGATCAAACTCTGACAGGTTAAATGACTCTGAATTCAGAGGCAGGCCTCGTTTCATCTCTCCCGCCTTTTCGCTTGCTGACGTTGCTTGTGTTGTCTCCTGTGGCGAGGTGTCCACTGGCATGTTAGAATTCTTTTAAAGGCTCTGCGAAAAGTTGCATTACATAATGCGTAACAAATAGGATTCACCGTGCTGTTTAAGTAACACAGCCAGTATGCGACTTCAAAACTTCTGGTGACGGCCGCGTTGTTGATTCCACTAAAAGAAATGAGCACCAATACGCTATACGGAGTCCATGTGATAATGAAGGCTAGTAGAATAGCACATAGTGTTCTCGCAGCCTTCTTTTCTCGTATCAATTGTGACTTGCGTTTGCGATTTACGTTGGTTTTGGCGCGAACCGCCATTTTGTTCACCATTGAGATGGTGCTGATGCTAAGATTGGACTGACTGTTTGCAGGTGCTTTGTTGTTACTAGCTACAGAATTCGATCTTGATTTTTCATTTCCGTTTGTTTCCGGTGGCATGAGGCGAGTTCCTTCTTGATCTTGAATCAAAGACTGTTCCCTTTGAGGCGATTCCTCCACCATGGTAATTTTGGGAAGTTTGTCCTCCTCGCTCGCGTTGGGACTTTCATCTGGTAGCTTTATGAGTATAGTATAAAGAGAGGCAGCGAAACTCTTATTATTATCACTCGAGTTGTTTTCCGCGGCAGCTAGATTACCGTTCAACTGATGGGCACTTCTCGGAGGTTCTCGGATAGTGTGGTGTCTTGGAGAGTCCGAAGGTAAGATCGCTTGTGCCCTTGATCCCCGCCGTGACTTGAGGCTGGCAGAGTAAGACATAGTGGACGGTGAGTTATGGTGGATTGTTAGATCACTGCTATCGTCTTCTTCATCTCCTAGATCAGCTATCAGACAGCAGGGACAACGGAGACACTTTGATGTGTTTCTGACTCGAACTCCAACTTCTTCATCGGTATCTTCACTGGAAAGAAGCCGACGGGCAGGGGCACTGGAATGACCACCTTCCTGTAGTCTCTCCAGCTCCAACGATCTCTTTTCTGTTTCGCGCCAGATTTTGTAGTACAGCGTTCCCATGAGTGCGACCGGCAAATAAAATGCAATAACTATAGTAACAACATTGAGAGCAATCTCGTCATAAAGGAACTGGATATAGCAGTCGTCTGGGGGTACGTTTCTTCCTGCTTTAAAAAAGAATTGCCAACCAATTATAAGTGGTATCCAAACTACAACGGATACTAACCAGGCCAACGCGATCATAACTTTAGCTTTCTTTGGAGTTCGATTGGCTCTGTAAGTAAGTGGCCGAGTCACTGACAAGAATCGATCGAAACAGATAATGCACAAGTTCATGACGGACGCGTTAGATGCAACATAATCAATTGACAGCCAGATGTCGCAGAAGATGTTTCCTAGTCTCCAACCGCCCTGCAGTAAGTACAAGGTGTAAATGGGGATAGACAGGGCGCCGATGATGATATCGGCTGTCGCCAGACTGAGGATGAAGTAGTTGTTGACGACCTGAAGTTGCTTGTCCATATAGAAGGACAGCCACACCATGACGTTGGCGCTGACTGTAAAGATGGCAATAGTGGCACTGGTGATGATGATGAGGATGGCTTCCCATAACTCATGATCGCCGAACGGCTGCAGAACCGTCTCTGTGTCGTTGAAGAGTGAGTTGTTGTAGTAGTCGTTGTAGGATCCATCGACAACAGCCGTGGATATGGCTGATATAGGGCTCAGGGTTTGCGGCATAGCCACTCGTGAGGCAAGCCAAGCCAACCAGTCAGCTACTCACTGCAGAGGGAAAGGAAAGGAATAAAAAAAAATCAAGGAAATAATCAATTAGCGGACTGGAATACAAATACCAAACAAGAGTGAATGATGAGGCATTTCAAGTTGCATCAGCTAGGGGCTTCTTAAACATTTAAATAACATCGTTTCATATCAGTCAATTCTGTTCTACCCTTGTAAAGAAATCATATTTTTTTGGAGAAATTCTTCGAATCTATTGATGAACAAAAATATTGTGAAAGTGGGGGAGCAAGTTTTGATCGGTACGCTAGTCACGTGCTAGTGTTGTCCCTAAGTCCTATTTAAAATGTCTCTGCCCTCCTCCAAGCAATTGTCTCATTTGTAGGATAAATATTATTCAAATTGTCCGTCAACATTGCGGGTATGGCCTGCCTTCGGCTTGTTTACCTTACTATATCTTTGGGGAAGAAAATATAGGGGGAAATTACGAACGGAGAGTGGGAGTATAAAGGAGAATTATTCGAAGAGATATAGAGGAATGAAAAGAATGAGAGGGTGAGGTTAATTCTACTTGAGAATTGTGGAAATACGTCAAAGTGGAATGAAGTTGCACGACACCTATTGATGACAATTTAAATGGGTACAAAAGGAAGGTAATTACAATTGATAAATAGAAAGTACTTTTAAACTCGTCGATAACACGAGAAGTAATGAAATTTGAGTAATAAAATGGTAGCAAGACAGAAAGAAAAGAGGGATGAAAACTCGGCGACAATGTATGATCGCTCTACCACGAGCCAAGCTGACTAAACGAAGAGGTTTTATGAAAGCGGGACAAACAAGCCCAGTGGGATATTGATAGACGACAAGCTTGGGAAATTAATACCTCCAAGCATTTGAAGGAGTGTAAAGAAAAAACTTTCGTTTGATTTGTCTGACAGTTGCAGTTTGAGTCATGTTCATGGCGTGAAAAATGCTCCTATACTAACTTGTTTCTATTAATATACCCGTATAAATGAGTCTACTCCACCCTTCCCTGTTGACAAAGCAGCAAGGATATCACATCTCTTCTACCTAAAAGTATTTAATTCCAATATATAAGTTTCATAAGATATATTTTGATCATTACTAATCGGCTACGGGAACTTGATGGAGCCAATGGGTTGAATGATCAACAGATTTTAAAAAGTTTGATTGAAAAGGGATCTTAAAACTATTAATAGTGAAAACAAATATGAAATTTAACATGAATCGCGTTACTATCACTGTTCTAAACTGTTCCAAAATGGCAGTGATGTTTTCTATGTTGTATCCTAACGCTATCCTCTCTGCACGTGAGATGGTTTCGTTTTGTTCGGCGTGATTATTGACATTGGGAAATGACAACAATTCAATAAAAACCAATGGAGCTGGGATGAGGTGCCGCTGGCAGATAAAAACACCAGGTGAAATCCTTCTTTGCAGTCTCAGTCCCACCTTGGGGGAAAGAGTCAGACGCAGAGGATTTGAGAGAGGTTCGGAGGATAGTGTACTCGGCTCGGGTAGAGTTTTGCGGGTGATGGAGGGGAAAGCGTGAGGAAGAAAAAAAAAGGGGGGGGGGGGGCTTCACTAGACTGGGGGGGGGGGGGGGGGGGGGGGTTGTCGGATTAAATTTAACGACTAGCTAGCTAAAGATATTCTATCCAGAAAGAATATCATCCCTTTTTGTAAACATTTGAAGAAACATTCAGACCCATATACACAGGGTATTGATTATGCTACCACATGTTTGAATATGCATGGTGAGTTAAGATCGTCGCCATTATCGACGCCATTTTGAAAAGTTCAGTTTGTAAATCAGCTAATGGAAAAGTACATACATGTAGTAACAGGCTAAGTGTAAAGAGAAAGATTACGAAGCAATACAACGAACATCTGAAGATAGAACAACGATGGCAAGGGCATATGGAGATTTATCGATAGTTGATGATGGCTGATGAACAGAATGTTTGCAAGATTCTTAAGCGATGGAAAGGATTTGTGAAGCCATGTCATGCTTATTTGATAAACGAGGATGGGGCGTTTTACTCCACCACGCACCCCCATAATCTACCCTGCCTGATTTCTATTTTCATTATATCTGTCGCTACAGCTTGATTGTGCATTGAGGAATAGGAGATTCTATGACTACTGTGACGTGCGAGCGCGTGCAAAGCAAAGAAAGTATCATAAATCTGTGACGTCAGCACGGCAGACTGGTGCTCATTTTGATGGAGAACATCGGATGTAGCCTTCTATTGAGAAGACAGGAATAAAGAGAGTCCTATCCGCTTAAACTCTGTCTTCTGGAGAAGCTTGTTTCTCTTTCAGCTATTTTTAAACAACATTGGAGTGGAACAGTCGAATGTTTTCCACTCTTGAATGTAAAGATTTACCCGTATCATGAACAAATAACACATTCAATATGACGTGATAAACTGCAGTCAATAAAAAGTAGAAATCGAATAAAGCACCTAAAGATTATTAAAATATTAGGTTTTCGTTTCATTGCTTCTAAAACTATGGCTGGAACATGATTATAGAAAATAAAGTATTACTGACCCTTATCTACATAGATGAAATCAGTGTTATAATACATTGAGAACATTATGAGATGCGCAAACAAAGATTGACAATCTTATAATATTCATTAATATATTCATATTTCTATATTTTGGGAGTGAGGATCACAGTAAGGGTTGATTTTTGGAAGAAACATGGATATGAATACACCTGATCGGTATCACCTGACCGACAATAAACAAATCAAAGCAACAACACACTGTGGATATTTTATAAGTCGAGGCTATCAAGTCCACCCACCGTTGGCATTTGAAATTAGAACCAAGGGCATAGATCTGATTTGGCTTTCCCTAGATGTCCATTCAACGGAGCTCCATGACGTAGATTATTGAAGCATTGCTTTTGTGTTGGCGACGTTAAAAATTGCTAACATGAATGCTTGAGTTATTGATATTGTTCAAGTGAGTTCAGAAAGATGATGAAGCATTTTTTATTAGGTTCTTGAGGAGAAAAGGAGATGACATGTGTAACGATGTAAAAAGAGAAATATAGACGGATGGAAAATAGTGAGAGCATATAGTGAAAGTTCTGGAATTATCTCGATTCTATGATTAAAAGGTCTGTTAGTGTACATGTATACAGAAGAAAATTGAAAAGTTATTATATGAATACATATTGTCATTCCTGATTCCTGACTATTCTTGTCTCCAAGCTGTATACTTTTGTTCATTACAATGAGTAAATAACGGTATGACCATACCAACTATGCTTATAATATACTCATATCGAGAACAAACTATATTGTAATATTGTTTCAATAAGCTGCAGATATATTCCCTTCCTTTTTCCTTGTCTTTTGTAGTTAATTGTGAGTATCGGTTCATGTATCCCTGTAATCTCCCTTTCCCTGTTTTTAGCGTGTATTTGTATTTTATAAACTTTACTTTAGTTAATTATGTCATTTGTAGTTTAAGGGGCCAATCCACAACAAGCTCTGCTTTTCCATAGGCTCCGCCACTATATCTCTTAAGTTCAACTTAATGGACAATATTCTTAATAGTGTGTACCCGTGTTGTATGTATTTGTATATTATAATCATTTTCAAGATGTTGTTACACTCTTTGTAAAATGAGATATTGTGGAAACCAATAAACTATCTATCTATCTATAAAAGGGTTTAAATGGGATAAGCGAATGAGAAGAATAAGTTTATAATTGTTCTCTTTTTGGATTGTTATACATTCAGAAGTATGTAGTCACTGCCTGTACCCTATAATGACGAGGTGTCGTGGTTTAGTGGTTTCTTCACTTGACTCTCAATCGTAACGTTGAGGGTTCGAATCCAAGCCCGACACTAACATCATTTGGCAAGACATTATCCACATTTGTTACTCTCCACTCAGTATATGTAGTCTGCAGCCAGGGATAGATCATACCTCAAAGAGTTACAGTTGCAATTTCAGCAGTGCGCCTATATAAGGAATATGAAAACTTGATAACTTTAACATTCAACTCAATGAAACTCTCATCATGGAACCAATGTTTAATCTATCTATGGATATTTCTCTTCATCGTTGGTTTGCCTTGCGTGTTTCTAATAGATGCCATGCTGACTGTTCAATTTTCCTTAATACACTTGGCTGATTAAAACCAACATGGCGTCCACATTTTCGTAATGGCCGCCTCCCAAACGAGAGGGCCAGGCCGGGCCGAACACAATAAATGAAATCGAGTTTTTCTTCGACGCCTGGCTTCGGTTTCGCTGCACCCCTTCGAAGCTGCAAGCTAAACCCTGCCAAATTACAATCGTAATTGTATTTAATCCCCTACCACTCTGCACCCGCCAGGCTTGTAATGCACCGTATGTCAAACACTCCAACACCGGAAATACCAATCCACTCATTAGGATTAAACTAGAACATAGGAAGAGAGATATGGGAGGAAAGACGGAAAGATAGAAGAGAGAAAGTATCAGACGGAGAAACAGAGAGAGAGAGTTAGGGCATGCATAATAACATAAATGTATATATTGAGAGATATGATGAGAGATTCGAGGCAAAGGGAGAGATAAAAAGAGATGACAAAGAGAGGGAGAGAGAGAGAGAGGGAGAGAGTTAGGACATGTTTAATAACATAAATGTATATATTAAGAGATATGGTGAGAGATTCGAAGTAAAGGGAGAGATATATGGAAAGAGAGGATGAGCGAGTGAGAGAGCGAAAGAAAGAGAGACAGAGACAGAGACAGAGAGCCAGGGTAAGGTTTTTGGTCAAAAATAATTGGGGTTTGGACGTTTGGTGATTGGTTAAAAAAAGGTTTGTGTCGAAACAAAGAAGAATTATTTATATACTCCAATATAATATAACCCAATATAAGAAACAACGACGACAACAAAGAGGAACAAAGGAGAATATTAGTGAAGTTTCTAGCGATGGGGAAAACTATGAACGATTGGGTGTAGATGTAGATCTCATTCACGACAATCGAACGAATAATACAGGGAGATGAGGTTCATGTGGA